GCTCCAAACAGGAGCTCGTGATTTCTACTCGAGTCGATTGGAAATCAAGGACCTTGACCACATGATGACTAAAACAAGGGCCCTGATTGGCTCGCCACCCTGACGGGCTGGGATGCTACAAGGCCGAAATCTCGTGGCACGGACGGGAAATGTCCAGGTCCGAAGTGAGAAGGGGAATTCGGACTCGGTCTTTTCGGGCAAAGACAAAGGAGGTGTAGCTCGTTGGTGGAGAGACGGTGACGCGAGATGGCTATAAGATGTGCCGTCCGTCTTGGGTAATGATGGAGGAGAAGCTTGTTGTACTATACCTTTTGCTGTTCAATTGATACACGACTGACACACATCTCATCAATTCACAATCACCTGTCTACTCATTCAATACTTCAATACTCAATTACCATGACCCATCTCACCAACGAAACATCTCCCCTCCTCCAGGTAGAACCTGCAATTGAGCGCTCCATCTCATATCAGAGCAACCACACTCCCTACGATGTCCGGCCTCTACACCCTCAGCAGTGCAAGCACGAAGAGTGCCATCTCGACTACAGCGACATCCTCCGCGACATCATCATTGGCTTCTCTGATGGCCTCACTGTACCATTTGCCCTGACCGCAGGTCTATCCAGCCTCGGTAGCGCCAAGGTAGTTATCATTGCCGGCCTAGCAGAGCTCTTCTCCGGTATGATAAGCATGGGTCTCGGCGCGTACCTCGCTGCCGTCACAGAGCGGGACGCGTACCACTCGCAAGAAGGCAAGAAGACGTTCGCCGTGCAATACATGCCCGCCGATGAGCGAACGGGCGTCTACGACGTGCTGGAAAAGTATTCCGTTTCCCGCGGTGCCGCGGCGCCACTCGTTGATGAGCTATGCAAGAACCCACAGGAGTGGGTTCGCTTCATGATGGACTTTGAACTCAAGCTCGAGAAGCCCAACGTGCACCGAGCATGGATCTCTGCCGTAACCATGGGTCTAAGCTACTTTATCGGCGGATTGATCCCCATGATTCCCTACTTTGTCATGGACCGTGTGCGCGAGGCGCTGTTTGTGTCGATTGGCATCACGGTCGCTGTTCTGCTGGTGTTTGGCTACGTCAAGAACTATGTCGCCATCCGGAACCACCGCGCGGGTGTCTGGGGTGCTGTGCAGACGCTGGTGATTGGCATGCTGGCAGCTGGAACGAGTTATGCCATTGTGAGGGGGTTGGACAGCAAGGACACGTAAGGTTTGGAGCACGCTGGAGGTGGACGGGATCAGGCCAGCGATGGTGCGATTAAGGCGGTCGAGATAATGGCGTCGGCGTTGGGTGATGTTTTTCTTTCTTGGTGCAACACAAAAAATGTGCCGGGGATATCGGCCTCGGGGATCGGCTTGATTGGCATTGCAAGCAGGTACAGGGACAGAGGAACCGAGTTGGCGACGCGTCGAAAAAGGCGATTGTATTTAATGACTGAAATGACAAAACTCCATTCCTCCAAAGGCGACGGTCGCCTTGAAAATATCCATCTCCTCCTCTCGTATCTACCTCCCCTCCTCCACCTCGTTAGTAGTATCCTTGTTCACACGCGACGAAATCAGTACTGACCTGAAGAAAAAAAGGTGAAGCCATCGCCCTCCCCAGAGTGATCGGAATTGAGTCATCCTCGTAAAGAGGACGCTGCGTATCGCACTTCAGTTTTCTCCAAACAAGCCTCGCAACGACTTCCCATGGAGACACGCTTCAAAGAGACGGCTCCGAGATTTCTGATGTCGTTTGCAAGCGTCGATTGACGCCAGGCCGTTACCGGCAGACCGTCCGCATCCCCGAGGAGGGGCGGGAGGTGATGTTTGAGGCAGTACTCCGAATTTCCCACATGCTTGTTGATGTTCCAGTTCCGAAGAAAAGGATCTGAGAGGTTTCGTGAGAAGTCTCTCTGTTTGTAGCATGGAAACGCAGCGTTAGGGAGGGCGATGGCTTGGAGAGGGAAAGAAGAGGGTTCGCGATGCGTGAGGCGGGAGAATTTTTATGTGGATGTTTAAGCCGGGGTTTTGCCGGTGGGGGTGCAGGGTAGGAGTTGGGCGCCTTGCACCTCAACTTTATGCACCTTTGAACTGTGTTAATTGATGGGAAATTATCGTGTGCGATAAAGAGTGAATAAGTGGGTAAGCTGATGAGCCCAATGAAACAAAGTAAGTTGTTCAGAGCTCTGTTGTGCTTTGTTTTGTGAGGTATTGGCTTCGACTCGACATTCAACATCACCCACCTGTTTACAGGCAGTTGTTTAGAAGAAGTTGTTGTCCATCGTGGTAGTCGGTCACAATTGACGTCTTATTTTACCGCCCACAATCTTTATGTACGATGATTTTCACATGATACCCATATTTCCTCTCGGAAACTCACTTGGAACACCTTGTGGCCCTGATCCACTCGGCACTTCAAAGGGACAGAATATCACGCTTCCAGCCGCCTTGTCCTGCTTGCCCAGCAGCGGACCCTTGAGATCCATCTTTGCCATGAGGCCCGCGACCTAGTAAACGCGTTAGAATGAGGCTGTATTAAAGAAATTTTGACGCGAGACATACCTTGTTCACTGCAGAAGGATCAATACCTGTTTTCCGTAGTTCATGCGCCATCTGTACCGCGACCGACGCCGTGATGGGATTCTCTTGCCCTATCGTTATCATGAGACCCATCAAAGCATTCATCTTCATCTCGCTGTCATGATTCTGAAAGCTTGTGTAATCTTCTAAAAAGACATAGGCTGCCATGTATGCTGCAAAGGCCACCATCGGGTTCCGAAACATGCCAGTAACATCTGCAAGAGAAGCCACGATGCCAAAGATTGCGTCTGCGGCTGGGAGTAGTCGGACTTGTGTCCCGAAGAGTATCTCGAGGGGTATGTTGTGCTTTTTTGCTCGTGCTACACCAGAACGATGGAGGCAGATTGTTGCTGTGTGGAGTTGTAAGCTTATCATTGTAGCGTTGCGGTTGTAGGCTGTTGATGTGCGGAGACTGTCTGGTAGTGTGATAAAGGCTGTTGCAAGACCGTTGTTGAGATCTTCATGGCGTCTCCAGAATGCACTGTTTTGAATGTCTGTTGGATTGTCATCGGGACGGTCTTGATAGGTGTGGTCGAGACATTCATGGAAAAGGTGTGTGGCGAGAACGCGGCATGCAAAGTATGAGCATTGTGACTTGTCTCCGTTTATCGCTTCGGTAAGAGTAGTTGATGATTCCTCGACACCGAGTTGAAACGCCTCTTCTGATGCAGGAAGCTTGGTGTTGATCTGTCACGAGTTAGTGACACCTAAAACCAAGTCTCGTCATCTTACTCTCTGAACATCCATCAAACTGGGCCATCCCGTGGTGCTGCTCGTGTTCCTATCACCACAAAAGATAGCCCACAGAGTCCGTCGTCTCTCCTCTTGTTCGCACCAGTCTTTGGGCGGTGGCAATGTCTGGCTTAAATTGCCCTCACCGTCGAGCTGATGCAAGCCCATGATTTGAGCTAAACGGACACCTTTTGAAGTACTCATTGAGGAACGAGAAAACCAGAGGTTTTGCACTTCGAAACGCTCCATGAGAAGACAAGTCTGTGCGTGAGCTAGAGTGACAAAGTATTCTCCTTCGCCCTGAGATGGACATGTTAGTAACAGCCTGGAAGTTGCATCTGATGACTGACCTTGAGCTCATCAGCCTCATAGTAATATCTGGCTCTCCGATAAAAGGGCTGAGATAGTTGTTTATGGGCTGGAGACACAGATGCAGCAAGGGCCAGGACCATGTATTGGAGACACATGGGTGGCTGCATGTGAGGCGGTTGATAGAGTGACGCCTGATATCTTGATGGATGAATGAATCGGGACTCATTTTGGATGATTGTAAAGAAGGTACTCGTCCTGCCAAGTGTTAGACTCGCCAATTGGCAGGTGTACATGAGTACTTACAGCTCTTCAACAACATCTTGAGGAGGTAGCTGTTCAAAGCGACCAGTCTCAATGAGGTCACTCTCAGGCGAATCAAACGGTCTGAATGACTGATACCCTTCCTCCTGTGTTGCCTTCAATCGATTCTCCAACTCAACTAAATCCGCCCGTTAGTCCCCGAGTCCGTGTCGGCATGGCCGACCCCGAGGCCGGCACGTTCGGATGTATGCTCACCTAATCTCGACTCCAGCTCCTTGACTCTCGGCCTTGTCGCCGTAATCACCGGCCGCTTCCTTGTCGCGGGATATTGGCACCGGACCTCGGAGCGAGAACACCGAGTGCATCGCGGGCTTAGGCGGTCGCACTTTAGCTTGCGATTGCGGCATTCGTAGCAGGAAAAAGGCATGAGGCCTTCTTCGTCCTCAGGATTGTGGGAGGATGACGACGCCATGGCTAGTGGGACTGGATGAAGTTTCGGCCGTGTAGATCTGTGTTTCCGGTACTTTGTGCCATGGGAGTGAGGCTGTGAGGTGAGAGATTAAGTGCAAATCATTTGACTTCATTGCGATGAGGAGATTCAAGGATCAAGATGAGCTGGAGCCTGGAGCTGACTTGATTCGTCACTGGCCGAAATACAGTGGGTCAGCTGCCATCTACCATCTGATAGCGAAACGAGACAGAGCAAGAGATTGTCTTTTTTGCATCATTTTTTCCCCTCATAGAATGTCATTGAATAAAAGGAATTGAGTTTCGTGATTGGAAATGCTGCTGCATGCCAAGGTTTCAATGTTTTGGAACCCTGGAGCTCAAGGCTGTAGCTTATATCATTAGCTACTTCACAAAGCCAAGAACTAAAGAAAAGGGTTAAAAGAAGACAAGTTCTATTGGTATGTTCAAATATATACTTGATACTAGATCATGAAACGAATGAAGGAAAAGTAACCAAACGCTTCTCATTGAGAGATGCCAATCCTTAAATATCCTCAAACCAGAGCCAATCTATCCCAGTCGCCATACCCGATCAAATGCCAAGATAAAGGAAAGTGAATTTTAGCCATCCCATCCTCCTAACCACTCAGTAGAAAGCCAGCTGCTTAGAAGCCGCCGTTGGGGTTGGGGTTGGGGATCACAGCACCGCCCTGCTGGACAGGAGGAATGACAGAGATCTCAGTCTGGGCAGCGAGCTCCTTGTGGCGGCGGAGGCTGAAGTCCTGGTTGTCAAAGTTCTGGTTGATGACGCCAACCATGCCGTTCTGGCAGTGGTTGCCGTTCTGCTGAGGGCAGTAGTACCAGATGGGAGTCTTGTCCTCAACAACGATCTGGAAGACATCGGGAGCCTGGCCCTCCTGAGTGGGGAAGTTGAAGCCGGCGAAGAAACCGTCACCCTCGGCGAGAGGCTGGCAGGGCTCGCCGAAGCTGGACTGGGCGACGGAGTGGTTCTTGGGGAGGAAGTGCCACTCGACAATGTCACCGATCTCGGCGACGACGTTGTCGGGGTCGAAGCGGAGACCGCCAAGGCCGGCGTTGACAGAGTGGGTGACACCGGTGAGGGTGACGACCTTGTCGGGATGGTCGCGCTCGGTCTTGCTAGGGGCGGGAGCAGCAGAGACAGTAGCAGCGAGGAGGAGAGCGGCGGAGAAGGTCTTGAGAGAGAACATTTTGATGGTTGTAGTTGAGATTGTTGTAGTGTTGATTGAAAGTTGAGTTGAGGTTGGAAAGATGAGAGTGAGTTGATGATTGTAGTGGTTGTTGTAGTTGTGATTGTGATGATGAGAATATTGTCTGTTGAGCGGGCATCTCATCCCATTATATACAACTTCGACCAAAACTGAATCTCTAATATCATCAAGCTCTCACTCGCCTCATCGTCAGCCTCCGGAGCTCAACCCTACCGGAATCGCCTCTAAGCTCAGCCCTCCCCGGTAATAGCAGCTCTGCTGTAGCTCAGCCGCCACGACACTCCAAGATGGTGTCCGGAACTGCTCCTCTCCGGACCAAGCTTGTCCTCCCCAGCAAGCTCCCTGATTGGACAAGTCACCCGTGAGCTGGGCTTAGATGCTGACTTTGCAACGGCAATTGGGGGCTAGTGTGAGCCACGCTGACGGTTCTGACCCCAAGCTGGCTGCGCCTCCCGCCCAAATCTCTAAATCTGGGGGAGCATGGCCACGCGAATTTGAAACTACTGCTGGATTACCAAGATTGGAAGGAAGTGCCCTATTTTTAGGGGGATATGCTATGAAACTTTTGGTCTTAATGGTTTACCACGTGTTATCGTGTCCTTGGGTCCACGGAGACGTTTTGTTTTGCTATATCAGCTGGCCTATAGGCGATGTTTTACTCGAATCCTTGCCTCTTGGTCTGAGCTGCTGTTGTATTACCAAGACGCTGGGCTTCTGTCGCCCCCGCAAACTAAGATGCTGCGGGTAAAGAATAAGCCATGACATTACAGCGGTCGGCCGCCTGGTTCTACCGCATGGACACTGCATCAGGAAGGTCGTCGAAACATCAGCGGGCTTTCTGTCCGTTGATGCTGTTCAGCATCATTGGGCATTTCCGTGGAAAAAAATAGGAAATAACCATCTGACTCAGCCTTGTGTCGCTGTCAACCAGACCTTGCCGGTTGTTGATCAGGGAATGCTACTCTGTCTTACAGATTCTGCAGTCTTGGTGCTGCGCCGGCAAAGTCGGAATGTTTGTCTCACTGTGCCACCGCTTGGAGGTGTTGCCGCCCCCAGGTGAGGCATATCACATGGTCGCTGTGCATCTCTTGGAAGGGCTAGATCGACGAGGAGACTCCCGACTTTGACCTTTCTTGGACTTTGGAGGCGCCTCATTGTCCAAAGTTCTTTGTAAGCTTAGGACAAAGTAGTTTTAGAGGCAAAAGGGCGGTGGCTTGCCCGAATGTCAGCATGCAGTGGATATTACAACACTCGAGCTGTAGCTCATTGCCCCATTTCATTGCTTGGAATAACTATTTCCATGTTGTTGAGGTCTTTGGTAACTCAAGAAACATCATATCCACATAGAATTGCACAGCCCGTGCCCCGGAATCCTTCCCTGCTGTCATGCATGCAAGGTAAGTAAGCTTCTGCAGGATCCTTCGGCTTCTGTCGTTGCCGAATCCTTCGACATGGATACCGGCACAAGTAAATTACAGCTTGGTTGTCAAAGCTGGAATCTCGGAGTTGAAAATAGCAATGAAAGATTTTCACTTCCTAGAGTGTAGCTCCAATGGAAAGCTCATCATTCGGCTTTCCGGCTGGTGATATCTTGAGCTCGCTTGGATCTTTATTTTTCTTTTTCGTTCTCCCCCCCCCTTTCCCCCCTTCTTTTTTCCTTCTTTATTTTCTTCATTAGGAGGGATCCTTAATCTCGGAAGCTTTTACCTTTCAATCCGTATTTAAGATAAGAAAGAAGTTGTCGACGGCCATTGGGGTTCCTTTCCATACACATCGACACTTTTAGATTGTGTACCAGATACCTAGATTCATAATCCCGTTGCATATATTCTCACGAGAGAAATACGACCTCTTTTTCTGTTCATTTCTTTCAATTTCTGTCATTAACGCTTTTGTAGCAGGCGATTTCTTCGTGATATCCCATGGGGCAGGAGACAAGCCTGTTGTGTGCACAACAGAGCTCCTTCCAGAAAAATAAGGATATTAGCTCACTGGTACTTGCTAAATTTCCACTCTTGACCATATGAATATTATTAGAGGACGGCTTTATATATAGTAGTTGGCAAGTGCTGTCACAAGGAAGTCAAGAGCTAGTTTCAAGACTTCCAAGGAGCTGGCATAACCTGGTTTGCTTACGGCAAGAGCCATGCCTTGGAAATTTGAAGTGTTTTTAAGGTAGGTAAGGAATTAGGTTTCTCGAAGAATCCCTATTTCGCAAGCACGTGCCTAAGATTATCGGCTACTGTGTTAGCATCGGGATATGATGCTATGATATGTTGACAATGTGTTCTTTGTTATAGGTAGTTCGAAGCCCAGCCCTCAATCATCCCCTCTTAAAAGTCAGGTGACCCGGCTCTGTGTGTGATCTTGGCTTGCATAACGTTGCATGTTGGGCTGAAGCCTGGCTTACCTTGCTGCCTAAACACACCGGCTGCAATAGCATGATCAATCTCATGAACCACAAAGCTACGGGAAACAAGCCGAGCAAACGTGAAAATGGACCCCGACGACGCATTTTCTAGGCTTACTTCGCCACCCGGATGCCCTTACTTGTGCGCTTCTTGTACCGACGTCCTGAGTTGTGTCGGAGATGATCCCCAATTCCCCATCCCCGGCCACTTGACCCGCCATAGTTTTCTCAAGGCTGTAGCAAACAAATGCTTTATCTGCTGGCGACTATTTCAAGCCCTCGGCAGCACCCATCATGAATTTTTACGAACGCTCACTCGATACGAGCGCCTGGAGGATCCAACAAGGGATTATAACTATCCGTTGACCAGGCTGGGAATTAACAATCAATATGCCGAATACTCCAGAATTTCCGTGGATTCTGAGTTTCTTACACGCAATTGGACGAGGAATCTCGACCTAGCGACACTTCCAGATTTGGCCCGTGTCATCGAAGACATGGATAAGGACAAGTTTATTGCCTTCGATTATGTCCTCGTCAAGATGGATGATTACGCAGAAGATTTAGGTGGGTATTGCAAACCCCATGTTTAGCTAGTTGTGGAAATAACTCACACTCTTGATAGAAATTTCTCAGTGGATCGAATCCTGTACCGGGCTTGTTGATGCCATGGCATGGGAGGACACAATTGATCTTATTGGGAAGTGGATCAGGGCTTGTGACATGGGCCATAAGCAGTGCAATGATCGTGCGAGGGACACGAGCTGGTTTCCTACCCGGGTCCTCGATCTCGCTCCCCCAGAGTTCGCCAAGTCTGATGGAGAAGCGGTCAAGGTCATCGAAAGGGAACAGGTTGTGCCTGGGAGTCGCTATGTCACCTTGAGCCACCGCTGGAACGAACACATCCCCAAGCTGACCTCCTCAAACCTCAAGGCCCGGCTTCAGAAGATACCCTTTGAGAATTTGACCAAGACGTTCCGTGACTTCATAACCGTATCTAGACGCCTAGGCGTTCGATATGCCTGGATTGACTCGCTTTGTATCATCCAGGAGAGTGAACACGGTGGCTCCGACTGGGCCCAAGAGTGCCTGACGATGGATCTAGTATACAGAAACTCGTTTTGCAACCTCTCAGCAGACTGGCCCACGGATTCAGATGGCTTTTTTCTCGACCGAAAAGTGCGACAGTTTGATCTTCCTACTATCAAGATTAAGTTTGACAAGTTTCCAACCACTGAAGACAGCGAGGACAGTGAGGACATCAAAGACATCGAAGGCGGCGAAGAACAAGAGTTTGAATTCCTGTTGGTCGACAATGACACCTGGGATTGTGAGGTAACCAAATCACCAATCAATTCCCGAGGTTGGGTTCTCCAGGAACGCTTCCTATCACCACGCGTACTTCATTTCTGCCGAAATGAAGTCTTTTTCGAATGCTGCGAGACGCAGAAATTTGAGCGGTTTCGACGTTCCATGCCGGCAATTGACAGGCTAGTTTATGACCCCTTCAAGAACATTGTCCAGAAATTTGATGGCACATATGATACTGAGTCTTGTCACCGGGTGTGGAGAAGAGTTCCAGAGATCTACAACAACTGCAAACTCACCTATCCTGACGATAAGCTTGTTGCGGTCTCGGGTATTGCGCGCTACCTCAAGACTTACCTGGTAGATGATGTTTACGTCATGGGAATTTGGGCCTCGGACATCAACGCTCAGATGCTCTGGGTGTGTGAGACCATAATTAGGCCCTATGTCGTCGACTGCCAAACCTTGGGTGAACTCGAACCCCTTTCCGAGACAGCCGTCCAAGCAGTCTCGACACCTCTTCGCCAGTGCAAAGGACCGACTTTTTCTTGGGTATCAACAGACCAGCTCGCCGTATCCTTCTTTACAAACCACAAGCTTTCCATTACACGGAAATCTGTCTGCGAATGTACAAGATTGGTCAAGTATCGAGAGGGACACGCCCCATTTGATGATGAACCCATCACTGAGGACATATTTGATTATCCTGGTCAACCAATGGTAGAGCTCAAGGTGGCCGGCCTCCTTCGTCGAGTGAGGTTGATAGATACTGGAAGTACGCTATTGCGTGCCGTCTTCCTCGATGAGAATGATGGTAGATCTGAGAATTATGGATCCTTACGGCATGATCCATACAATACCACGCTAGTATCTCTGGATTTTGCTGTTGATCCTTCAGAAATTCCCAACATTGAATCACGAGTTTGCTTCTGTATACTCTGGGCCGATTCCGATTCCGATTACACGACGACCGCTAGCGTCCCCCCACCCTCTATTATTCTCGAGTTAGTCGATCTGGAAATGGGTCGCTTTCGTAGGATTGGGATGATGCTGAACTCTAGGCTGATTCAAGGGTCCGCGGTGGACTATCCTGGCTGGAATTACGACCCGAAGACGGGACTGCACACCATCTATATCATTTGATTTGTTCTATTTCGTCAGGTGGAGGTACTAGATTGATATGTGGATAATTGGTTTTGGTCCTGTAATGAAGACACTTTGCGTATAGGAACTGGTTAGAGAAACTCTTGAGGTCGTTTAGGAGAGCCCCCCATGTGTCATTTCAAACCTATTTTGTCTAGAACAGTGCCGGCTTCCATCCTCCTGCTACCCCTCGAGCGATACAGAATGTAATGCTGGCGACCATGTAAAACCCGCCTGCAAAGATGATCAAGTTTCGATAGCCATCTCCGCCTCCATCCAGCAAAGCGCCAGCAATGGGAATGCCCACCAAGGCCCCGAAACTTGCGACAAAATATGCCATCCCATTCGACTTTCCGTAGTCCTCGATCCTGCATACTCGAGACACACAAACTGGTGACAGGCTAATGGCTGCCCCTGACCAGAAGCCAAAGAGTACTGAGAAGGCCATGACTCGAGCATGATCGCCGTCTGCTATTAACCATAGACCCAGGATAAAAGCCCCACAGGACAGGGCTGTGACAATCATTGTGTTGAAAGCTCCAAAACGATCGGCGATGTAACCGGGAAGAACTCGGCCAGGGATGGCCCCGGCGTTTAAGAGGACATTGAGTAAGTATGCCTCGCGTGAGCTGAACCCGTATGAGAGTGCATATGAGCACAGATAGGTATAAGGGATAAAGACGGCAAATTCAACAAGGAAGATGGCCGCTACTGTGACTGAAAAGTTGACGTCCCTGAAAAGACCAAAGTCGATATACGCTTTGGCCTTTTTGTTATGAGGTATGTGCTTCCGGAGGAATACGTTGGCAACAATAAGGAGGCCAAGTGACAGAAATGCTACTACGCGTATAGCCCAAGGGAAGCCAATGCGAGGTGTCAGATAGAGAATGATGATTGAGAAGATGATGCCTCCAATACCGCCAGCGCTGCAGGCCAAGCCAGTTGCGAAAGCTCGGCGCTTACAAAACCAATGCCCGATAGCTGACAGGCTGGGGTTGAATAGTAGGGATGAAGATATGCCTCCAAGGACGCCGAAGGAGAGGAGGAAATGGTAGAACTCTGGATGTTGATATTAGGAAAGTTATAGGGAGGTGGGAGGGTATGGATTACCGGTGGATAGGCTCATGAAGATCAAAGACGCAATAACACCAATGGATCCCGGGAGAAGTAGTAGTTTAATGTCGTATGCATCAAAGACAGGGCCTGGGCCAACAGTCAGTTCATGTCCTGAATACCAAGGTATCTCCCGAGAAACTTACCAACTTGGGCGCCACAAGCCGTGATGAAGAAAGCGTAGCAGCTAAATATCCATCCTGATTTACTCTCAGAGATACCCTCTAGTTCATTCTCAGAGATCCAGGCCTGGAGAACAGCCAAGGTATTGAGCAAGCCCATGGGAGGGACCATGGCGCACCAAGCGCCTACAACAACCATCCAGGCCTTGATTCCACCGTCGGGATAATCAATCTCGTCGTTCTGGGCATCATTATCTGATTGTGAAAGTTTGTTAGTGGATTGTCAGTCATGATATTGGCAATGGACTTACCCTCTTGAACTGATATTGGCTGGGCCCCCCTGGGACGCATAGTCTGAGCATCGCCTTCAGCCATGCCGAGTATACTTGAAACAATATTCTATAGAGGTTAAAAGGAATTAGCAAAAGGCAATTTGAGTTGTTCAAGTCGCCGGTGCGAAGAAACTTCGAGGTCGAGAAAAGACTTTGGGGAAGAGAAAAGCCCCTCTTTGCTGTGAATGGCCCAGAGTGCGCGGGGCAATCGGCGCAGACATGACTCAACCTATCAGATGGCCTTGGCACCACTATCAGTTTATCGTAAAGTTATCTACTTGAAAAGGAAGGTCCTTTGGCGTGGCTACAAATAAAGTGAGGTTGAAGGATTTACAACATCAAAGACACAATGAGATAATTACTTAAAAGAGTAACAGAGGGGGGAGTGTGCAAGAACAAATGGTAGAAACACAGCCGCGCTTCTACCTTGGCCGACCCTTCCAGAAAGGTGTGAGTAAGGCAAAAGAAGAGCAGTGTTGAAGCTGTAGAAACAAAAGACCAAAGGTTAAGGTAGCAAAAGGAGCAAAAAGAAAATCTCTTGCGTCATCCGGAATTCGAATCCGAGCCTCAACTTCTCTCTAATGGAAGAGTTGAATCCTAACCCCTAGACCAATGACGCTTGTTGATGTCTCGGCTGCCGAATATCGGGACTTATAAGGATCAGCGGCACGTAGGCCCATTCTGGGCTAGTCTCTGAATGCCCTCGCTTGTGTGCTTACCTCGCCAGGATCCCTGTATTGATATGGGGAGCTTATCTGAGCTTATTTGGCATGATTGGAGTTTGTTTTAGAGATGTTGTCAACTTCTAACTTGATCTATGCTTGCTTCTTCATGTCATACTTGTAGTACCAGCCCTCGCCCTTCATATCACTCCTGATCTTGTAGTTGTCCTCGGCAATCCTCAAGATATCCAGATCCACCTCCACAATCTCAACCTTTTCCTCGCCAATTTCAATCTTGCCAAGCGTGCCCAGAATTGGCATGTTTACAGAGCTCAGTCCACCTGCGTTGCAAAAGGCAACTGCTGCAGTGTTCTCAAAAGCCCGTGATGTCAGGGCACTCTCGATGAAGATTCTCTCTGCATCCGGGTTTAGTTCCTGTCCTTCCTCTCCGGCGTCCGTTAGGAACCAGTACGACGGGATGATAATGAGGTCCGCGCCGTCGTTAACCAAGGCTCGGAAAGCTTCTGGGAAGGCTAGATCCCAGCAGATGACCATGCCAGCCCGCACAGGTCGACCATCAGCATGCTTCAGGGGTGTATCGAAAGCGGTATGAGGCGTGTGAGCTGATGAGGTAAGATGAGGTCGCTCAGGATGCCAAAGGTTCTTCTTTTGATAAGAACCACAGATCTCGCCAGTCCCGGCGGCCAGGAAGTAAGCCATGTTGCGCAACTCCTCATCCTTGCCATTTTCTGCCATATGCACCTCACAAATGGTACCTGGAACAATGTTGATGTTCAACTCCCGCGCAAGATCCTGATACTTGGCCAGGCAGCCCGCTGACTTCTTGCTGGCCGAGACAAAGTCGACATGCTCAGGGGCCCATGATGTGAGATGAAACTCTGGAAGAATGGCGATATCACATCCTTTAGCAGCTGCCTCGCGCAAGTGTCCTTCAGCCTTGGCAAAGTTGTCGTCGACAACGATGGGCTTATCGGGTTGTCAGTGACTCAACTCAAAAAGTGCAAAGTTTCGCCTAGTGCAAAGGTTGTGTCTGATTGGAAGACGAACCTTGGGGTCAAACTGAATCAGCGCGATCTTGTAAACAGGAGCCATGGTGTTTGGTAGAAAGTTGTTTCTTGGAGACTGAGTCAGTGGCGAGATTTGGTTGAGATGCGGAGAATGACTCGGAACTCGGCTTGACGCTTGAACTAGCGCTTCTCTACCTGAATACAAGCTGAGATGCTCACGTGTTTGTTCAGCTGTTCCGTGGGTTCCGTGAAATGAGGACCTATCAACACCAAACTTGTGCCGAATTGAAAAGGTTATCGAGTTCATTTTCTCAGACTCAAACTCATCAACTGTCATAGGCAAGAAGTGTGAAAATCAAGGCTTCCTTGTCATTCGCTAACGCTATATGCATACCCTGTATCGATCCATCAAATATGTACAATCAGATTATCATAACATCCAAACTTGACTCCTCAAGTCGATTAAAGAATTTAAACCCGGCACATGCGGCCATCCGCAGCCACGCTCCAGGCATCGCTACCAACACCCTTGAGGTTGTAGAACAGCGACTTGGGATCCCACTTCTTTTTGATAGAAGCAAGACGGCTCCAGTTGTCGCCATAGAAAGTCTCCTGCCAGTTGAGCTGGTTAAAGTCGGCCTCGTTCATGTAAGTGCCGCTGCCGGGAGTGACGGCCTCGATCTGGGGCATGAACTCGTAGGTGATGCGCTTCTGCATCGTGAGCATGTCGTTCCAGCGGAGGGGATCCCAGGTGGTGGCGAGCTGCATCGACATGATGGCCTTGCGCCAGGCGGGGTGCACGGCGTTGGAGACGCCCTTGTAAGGCTGGAAGCTGCCACCGCTGCCGACGGCAATGACGCCGTTGGCGGTGAGGTTGCGGATCGTCTTTTGGAAGTTGTCGTTGTCGTTCTCGATGACGGAACGGGGGATGAGACGACCACCATACTGATACTCGGAAGCACCAATGTGGCCGTTGGGGAGAGGACCCATATAAGTGTCGTAGTGGTCGCGGTAGTTGAGGGTGGTGTAGGAAACCACGGGCGTGATGCCAACCGAGGCGAGGTAGGTAGTGAAGGGGCCAAGGACCTCATCGCGGACATAGTCTCCGGTGGAGTTGACAAGCGTGATGGGCTTGACGACGAGAACACCAGCAGTGACATAGTAGATAACGGTAGGACCGTGGTCAATCATGGCGGGCAGAAGCTCGTGGAACTTGGCGACAGCATTATCAAAGGTAGCCTTGTCAGTAGCAACCATCTGGAGAGTAGCGCCTCCAATGGTACCAGTGTAGTGAGCTCGAACAGTCAGGGAAGTGACAACAGCAAAGTTGCCAGCACCACCACCGCTCAGAGCCCAGTAGAGGTCACTGTTCTCGAAAGCAGAAGCCCTGACGACTCTGCCGGCCGCAGTAACAACTTCGAACTCGAGAGTCTGATCAGCACCGAGACCATAGCTGGTGCTAAGAGCAGAGTGGCCACCACCAAGGGTGAAGCCGGCAAGACCGACGGTAGGGCACTCGCCAGAGACGGTGGTGAGGCCGTGAGAGTTGGCAAACTCGACGGCGTCCGCGCCCTGGATACCGGCGCCGAGCTTGACGGCAGGGCCGTTGTAGAGCTTGTCGGACCAGTAGACGACTTCAGCGTCCTTCATGAAGTGAGTCCAGATGGCGAGAGAGCCAGCGCCAGTAGAGCGACCAAGGTAGCTGTCGCATTGTTAGTCAAGAGTCTAATGGGAATACAGTGGGCACATACTCATGGCCAGTGTTGCGAACAACCAGGCGGATGTTGTGATCGTTGGCAAACCGAACAGCGGCAGCAACTTGGTTGGCGTTGGACACCTTGACGGCATAGGCAGCATAGTTGCCAAGAGTGCAAGGGCGAGACTCAGCCAAGAAGGGGTCACAGCTCTGGTTGGCAAAGAAGGCCTGCATCACAGACGAAGATGACTCGAAGCTGGGCTGCGTTAGTAAACAACTCAAGCTATTTAGAGTTCCAAGCTTACTGAGTCTGGGGAAGCTTCCACGCCGTTTGCAAAGCCGAGCAAGCCGCGGCGTCGTAGGTAGGGTCATGACACGGCGAACCGATGGGAACAGTCTTGATGAGAACGCCGCCGACAGTCTGGTTAAACTGGTTCCACACGTTGGTAGAGGGCCAGCAGGCGTCGCCGGGTAGGCATCGACACTTGGGCGTAGAGCCAGCGCTGACGGCGCCGACGGTGGCAAGAGCCCATGACAGAGACTGCGTGATTCTCATCTTGGCGGTTGAAGTTGAAGATGCGTCGATGGATGAGATGGACAAGAGATGTGGCGTCCTCCTGCGTATTTAATAGGATACCATCCTAGGCCTCCAAGCCTACCCAAGAGATGCATCCCGTCTTGGATGACCTGGGGTCCTTGCTAGCACGCACAGTAGATTCGCATGAAAATGGAGTCGGAGGAAGCGGCTGAGGCGCGCTAGGATTCTTCCGACCGCAAGCAATGAATGGCTTCCTTACTGATTCTGGAAGCTAGGACCAAGACGCTTGGTCTTCAGGGACCAGGGGAGCCCCCAGACGTGCCCAAGATAGCGTGGCCTGGACGTTGAGAGATTTCTTGGTAGCGTCGCCGGTTTGCCGGACGACTCGCGTCCGAAGGTCTAAGGCCGGAGATTAGGGATGGAAGTGGAATTATCCGTTGACAGTAGCTGACGAAGACCGGTAATGGCCAATAATGGTGGCTTGCTATTGCCTGGGTCTTGGCGAGGGGTCAACCCGGATAACCACGTGTGTTAGCGAAGACTTGGCAGAGTTATCTTCTTCTGTAAGCATTTACGAAGGATCAAGCGAGCAAGACGAGGATGAGAGAGAATTGGTGCCAAAATTTGTGTTGAACGGAGCTAAAGCATATGGGAAGCCCCTGATGACATCCACCTTTGCCACCTCGAGCTGGATGTTCTCCACTTGTTACAGATCAATGCAGGAACAGTCATGGAGGTATGATTCGGCGAATTGACGGTTAAAAGCTCTTCAAAGGAGTATAGAATAGCCTTGACTCGCTGCCAAGGCCATGGTTCGCAAAGGCGAGTAATGAATGACCTATCTATTCCTCCTCCTACTCCTACGATATCGCTCTTGCGATAAAAAGGTCCGATGCTAAATAAATCCACTTCAATCCATCTCTTAGCCCGCTGATCATTTCCTTTTTGAAACGACGAATTCAGGTCCGCCTTTTACACGGACCATCCGAGCTGGTACGATCCCCCAGCAGAACGGTGGGAAACAGGGGGTTTTTGTCATTCCGTTGGCGGAAGTTATCTTCAGATGCAGGTCCGCCCGAGGACCGAGGTGGATTTTTTGATAAGCAGGGGATCTCCAGGAGCTGACTCCGCGTTGGGATCTGACAGGGAGGAAGATCATGCCACTTTTCGTAGTGATTTTCGATGGGATTGCTTTGCCCCTGTTGATGCTGCCTTGTTTCTGGATCCTGATCTGCAGTCTGTTCGTGTATCTTGATCTGACAGTGATGAACAAAGATATCTCTGAAGCTGATTTGAAGCTGATTGAGCTCTCACCACAATCATGGCGTTCAAGCGTGTGTAGCTACTCAGGTCCTTCATTTTGAGCTCCTGAAAAACTCTTACCCCTGATTCATGCTTTCACGTAACCTCTCCAATGAGCAAAAAGGTCCCACCCGCCCTCCGGCCCGGATCTACAAAAATGTACAAGTCAACTCTCGGAGCTTCTACCACTCTCGTCCAGACTCCCTAACTGGTCCAACGCCACACGTGAGAGCCACACCGGAAATAGGGACCCTCGGATCTGAATAGGGATCTTCTGGGGAAGTTACCCTACGGGTGCACTGAATCGGGCAACTTGTGTGTCGGGTAAGTCTGTGCGTAGTTGATGGTGTGTGACTATCTGGAGCCGGTTCACATGTTTTGAATCACTGATGCGGCGATCTTGGATCCACGAGGTTTAGAAAGGTTTTTTTTTAATGGACTACGTGTTTTAGCTTGTGAAAGTTTAATAAAAATGACATGAGTCCTTCCTGGTTGCCCACTTTCAACTTTTCTTGTTTCTTTTTTTTGGTCGTGATGCTTTCATGATGCTTTTTGGAGTCAGCCTATTTGCTTGCCTTTTGGCGTTACCAGCTGGTCTGGCTGCGTCTTCTACCTCGGCTTGGCCTGAATGCGCAGTAAGACCAAATTTCGAGTGCTTTTCTTTGGTTACCCGTGCTGATGATGTTAGGTCGAATGTTTGAAGATCGCCAGCAACTCGACATGTTCCGTTACAAACCCAACGTGTCTCTGCACCGATGAGATGATCCAGATACCCATGGACATGTGTATCAAGAAAGGATGCACGATCAAGGAATTATTGGGTATGTATTCCTAAGCTAACCGGATCATCCCATATTAACCCTGCTCAGTCACAACCAACTTGACCATGACCAGCTGCGGTGCTCCTATCCGAGACAAGACCGACGAATACATCATCTTGTCTAACACGTTTGCCGTTATCACCGGCTTGTTCATCCTTCAGCGATTTGTCTCAAAGATCTACTGGAAGCTTCCTCTTGGTCTCGACGACTGGTTCATCCTCATCACCTTTCTCTCTGGTGTTCCGAGCTCAGTAATCACTGTTCACGGTACGGCAGCAAACGGCCTAGGTCGTGACATCTGGACTCTTACTCCGACGGAAATCACCAATTTTGGCTACTTCTTTCACGTCATGGCTATCCTCTACTTCGCCCAGGTGACACTTCTAAAGCTGTCCCTCCTATTCTTCTACCTTCGTATCTTTCCCACTGTTGGCGTTCGAAGGACTCTCTGGGCCACCGTCATATTCAATAGCCTTTTTGGATTGGCTTTTGTATTTACTGCCGTTTTTCAGTGTAAACCCATCAGCTATTTCTGGGAGAAGTGGGATGGCGAACACCAAGGGCACTGTGCTGATCTCAACGCCATCACTTGGTCCAACGCTGGCATCAGCATTGCCCTTGATTGCTGGATGCTTGCTGTTCCTTTGTCTCAGCTTAAGGCGCTGAACTTGGATTGGAAGAAGAAGATTGGTGTTGGAATGATGTTTTGCGTGGGCACGTTGTAAGTCTTGTCCTTGTTCAGTGATGATGAGCCTGTTACTGACTCTTATTCAGCGTCACTGTTGTCAGCATTCTGAGACTGAGAGCGGTTGTTAAGTTCAAAGCCGAGACAGAGAACGCGACGTGGGAGTTTCTGGAAGTTTCTAAATGGTCTACCATCGAGATCAACGTCGGCATGATTTGCGCCTGCATGCCCTCCCTACGGATCTTACTGGTCCGGCTCTTCCCCAAGATTCTGGGCACTTCTCGGCGCTACTACCAAAACTACGCGAGCAACACTGGACGAAACACAAACAAGAACAGGTCTAGACAATTGGGCACCAATGCTACCACAGAGGTGGATACGACTAGTCGGCCGGTTGAGTCGAGGGGGATCACGTATCAACGTACCTATGACGTGCAGTATGGCGATAGTGATGAGACGCACTTGGTTCATATGAAGGATTTGGATGCAAAGAGCGCTAGATCTGGGGTTTCTGGGGTTTCGGTATAGGTTATAGAGGCTGGATGTAATTATGTCTGATGAATTATGATTTTTGGGACACTAAACGTGCACAAATCCCTAACCCGGGGCATACATGTCATTCAGTGGTCAGTTTCTCTGGCATTATCAAGTCCAGACTCTGATGCAGCCCGAACCAGCTTTGCCTTTGACCCTTGAGCAGGTCACCACCACTGGCCACATGCTGGGTTCTCATGATCAGTCACCTCTGTTGGTATGGCCGTATGCTCTCCTGGGATAGTAATGAAAGAATTAAATGGCATGAATTTGGTTATAGCTGAGTTCTGGGAATGAGAACTGAGCGATAGCGGATGTTGATGTTGTCAAGTAGGTATACACATTGTTATAGGACCACCATGACTGCGATTGCCGCTGCACCCAAATCACCGGTTGTTTCCTGATGAAAATTATGGATAAAGGTATGTCCATAAATCAGATTCATTCGTCTAACCTTCTTGCTTCAAAACATTGGCTATCTAGGACAACTAGTGTGCTGCTGTTTCAGTCGCAAAAGTGCACTTTCCTGCAACATAAATACACATATTCCCATCAGGCTGAACATAAAGCACGATACCATCCTCTCCAGCATGACCACCAGTGTTGCTCGTCCACGTAGCAGTACCACCTGATCCAACACACAAATTCCCGTCCGATGACAACCAGGCGGAATCGGCGTTAGTCGCCCCGGCTGTCCACATGAGTGTCTCCGGCTCGAATTCATTCCATGGTCTCTTCTTGAGAAGAACCAAATTTCCTTTGCTGCTGATACGGGCGACGTAGATATCTGCGTTGACAGTGGTGCTGATACAATGCGCCTTGTCGAGTGTCACTCCAGGCGTGAGAGAGTTGCCGATGGATGCGACGATGTCGGAAATCTTCCACAGAATCTTTCCGTCACCGTTGCGGACAAAGATGTTGCAGTCGTTGTCAAGGATGAGCCCTGGATCACCATTCAGTTGAGGGAGGCCATCTGGGCCAGGGGGTGCATAGGTTGTGTTGAGGGCTGGATGTCGGTTGCTGCTGCGCCATAGACTATTGTTGCTCGCATCGCTGATCTGAAGTACCTTGTCTCGACCAAAGGTAAAGGAGTTGGCAGTTGAGCTCGTCAAGGGGGGTTGATAGACGACACTGGTGTTGAGGCTAGTGTTGCTGAGCTGAAGACCACCAGATGCGAGGAACGTAATCTCGTGAACGCCGCTCGGTGATTGAATCTTTTGGCCAATGAGAAGAGTCTCGCCCATATTGAGTTCCGACACGGTACCGCTGAATGCGGGGCAGGATGTGTTGCTCCTCCAGATGGTTTGGCCCCCGTTAATGTCGTGGAGAGCCAGATCACCCGAGTCTTTGAGCACCAGGCTTCCCGGAACGTGATTGGCAAAGATGTTGTCTCGTAAATTGGTGTTGACAGGAGCCTCCCAGATCTTTCTACCGTTTTCTGCCCAGAGGATCAAGTCATTGTTGTAGCCCATCGTCATCATTGAGGTGTCGAGGTTTGGAGGCGGGCTGGAGGTGAAGAGAGTGGTTTTGGTTGGGACATTTTGGATGATGAATTGGCTACTGTCCAAGAGTGTTACTGTCATCTTTCCGCTTGGAGAAGGCATGGATTGGCCGGATGCGAGATATTGTCCAGGCAGTAATGTGTTGCCAGAGGTGTAGGCGACGAACTTGGACGAGAGTTAGCATCAGCCCTATCAGTCAAGGTAGATTGGGTTAGAACCTACATCAGGAGGCACATATGTCTGCACCCTGGATGCATCCGTGGACCAAACGACGATATCGTCAAGTTTGAGGTCCACAACGCCATCGTTTCCCAACTTCAGAACACAGTTTCCAGGAGTCCTTCGGAACGTCGTGTGCGATGACCATTGGGTTTGAAAGCTTGCGATGACTGCCATGTTGCCTGTGGTATCAACCTGAACCCAGCCGCCACCTTCGGGGTCGCCCGCGCCTGTAGACCATGTGGTTGTAGAGCCCTGGGCGAGAACAAAGTTGAGATCGAGGCCGAGAGTGAGAGTATAGTTACCGTTGGCAGATGTGAGCAACTCGCCAGGGAGGATCCTCTCTCCGCCGACAATGTGGTTCTTTACTGGCCATGAGTACGCAGGTCCTGTTCTAGAGGACCACACAATCTGGTTATCAGTCCTTATAACCATGTTTCCATCATCCCTGACCTGAAAGTAAGAAGTGCTATTGCCTCTACCGGCCGTTCCAGCCTGCCATTTGGGATCTCCAGATGTATCGAGGATCTCGAGTTCTCCATCAGCACGGAAGAGGAGGCTCTGGGCGGGAAGACCCGGTGCCATACCGGCGGACCAAAGAGGGCCCTTGCCATTTTGGTACATGACGCAGTTGCAGTCAGGTTGCATGATGAGCGTGTAACTGCCGTTGGTGGACACCAGGGTTTGGTTGATGTTCAAGGCGGTACCGGGGTTGAGGCGGTCCGTGGGAGCTGGAGCTGGAGGTGGCACGGTCTGTATCATGGTCAACATATGCGTTTAATTATAGGTTTTATATGACTTACTGACTTGGTAGCAGGGCTGGATGGGCTCGCAGGGGTGTCTGCAGGTGTTGGCAGCGGAGCTTGTGTACTGTTTGTGCTCCAAAAGACCTTGCCATCCGTACTAATGACAACATTCCCATCATCTTGAATAATTAATTCAGAATCAGCAGTACCCTGACCTCCACTGCCACTCGACCACTTCTCACTGCCATCTTTCTCCAGAAGCCTGAGGTTGCCGTCGGTCTCCAAGATGCAGGTGACTGGCTTGGGATAGCCCCAGGTGTTGGAGCACCAGATGGGTCGCCCGCCCGGCGCGTAGGCGCAGCAGTTGCCGTCATTTTGGAGGACAAAGGCGTAGTCACCGTTGGGAGACTTGATTAATCCGTCGACGCCAAGGGAGGAACCAGCCTTGAGCCGATCTGAGATGGTTGGTGTTGCAGGCGCTGCCGGCGTTGCTGGTTGTGACATGATGGCGGCAGTTGATAATTACGGAGCAGAGATTCTCAAAGACAATATTGAGGACTTTAGTAGTCTGTATGTAATTACCCTGTTTATATAGTTCTTCTATGCCCGCTACCACTTGGAAGTCTGTCGATTGCGTGAGAACCAAGTCGTCCAAACACCTACATCACATGTTGTTATATTGTCCAATCCCGCGCCTGTCTACCCGATCTTTTGAAACATTGCCTGATAGTTTCGAATAGCTCGACGTAACTACTCAGTCTGGACTCTTCATCATGTCAAGCCAAAGCCACAACTGGCTGCGCTATTGACAACCATCGGCGGCTAGAGCACCAAAGAGGTTAGCGACATAGGTTCCAGGCCCTGCAGGTGTCTCGGCCGAGTTCAGCTTCAGCCAGCCACCCTGTAGTTATGGGACGAGATGCCTCGGGAGGGCTTTGGTAGATCCAAATTTGTATGCACGTTATTATAGCATGCTGCTTTTGGACAATTCGTTCTAATAGTGGCATAAGAGGCGTTTATCGTGGAGCCAGGACCGGCAAAACGGCCACTGTCACAAGCCTAGAAGCCTAAGCGGCGGGCCGTCCCTGTGACATTTGCATCACGCGACAGATAAAGACCAAAGAACTCGTGGGGAAGCCAGATAATAACATAACTTGTATCTCTAACACAAACATTGTACATCGATTGACCCCAAGCCCTTGCGAACCAATCTATTTTACTCTTCGTCTTCCTCTCTAGATGCGCGAAGGTCGGCAGCAAGACTCAGGTCCAACGGTGTGTAGCGTCGACTGGTTGGCGCTCTGGTTGGAACGAGGGACGTCGTTAGATGGGTTGACCTCGAAGAAGCTGGTTGGCTTCAGAGACACGGCAAACTTTTCGACAGGCATAACAGGGAAGTCTAGATCATAGTTAGTAAATGTTCAGAAGTTAAGAATGATAGAGACATACCTTCAGGTCGAGTGACGTGAGTAACTCCAAAAGAGTGCCAGAGAACAACATCCTCATTCTTGACATTCTCATCGCGTTTCGCCCAGATAGCCAGACCAGTATCCTCCCGGCTCTGGTTCGTAAACTCTCCCGACGCCCACAACTCGTCATCGTTATACTTTGTCACCCAAATGGGCTTAGAAGTAAAAACACCGCGGCGGTAGTTGAATGTGTGAGGAGCCATCATGAGCATCTGGCTAGGAACAGCATGCAGCTTGTATCCGTGGGGCTTTCCAGAGATGGCGTTTGTCCGGGACTCGTTGATGATCTTGAATGTGCGGTTCTTTGTAAGGTCAAGGTCGTAGCCGCCTGGCTTCTCGATCGGTGTTGTGTTTACTCTGAAGGCGCAGCCGAAGGGATCGACGTCGGGTTCGTTGATCACGGGGTGGCATTCGTCGTATGTGATTGTGTTGTTTCGGTCGCCGTCTAGGCACGGGTCGACTCGGACGCAGAAAATGTGCTGGTGGTTGACGGCCAGAACGCCTGGGGCGACGATTGTGCCCCAGGGGACTTGAAGGCCTTGACGGATGGGCATGGTAGAGACGATACCGGTGGCTCGAACCTCGATGTGGATGTTGGCAGCTTGGTCGAGCACGAAGGCTAGAATGTACTCGTAGTTGGCAACCGTTGCCGTGCACTGGATGACGAGCTGTCTGTTCCTCACAACTGAAGACTTGTGATTGCGGAAGTTGGTATGCTTCCAGCCGATACCATCGTCAATCTCGTGCATGCAGACAACATTAGGCATGACAGCAGGCTTGCCATCTGCAGTCACTCGAACACCGCTGAAGTAGGCAATATGTCCAAGACAGTCACAGCCAAGGCTCAGGCTGTTGGAGGTAAGACCAAACCCAGAGTCGCCTAGGTCAAAGGCCTGCTTTCGGTGATATGGTGATCGAGGGTCGCCGTATGGAACCGTCATCTCGCTCATGGATACTCTGTAGAACAGGGGACGTCCGTCGTACTGCACATCGTGAAGAACAGGACCTTCTCGAAGAGTCCAACCAAGTTGGAAAGACCACTTCTGCCACTCAACACGGCGGCCAAATATCTTGAAAGAAGGGCCCTCGGGCTGAACAACTTGCAGTGGCTTGAGATCTTTTCGGAAGGCATCCTCTCCCATGATGTTTGCACTATACTCGACAGGCTTGGCAGGCTCCCAGGGCTGAGTCTCGGGATCCAGCTCGTCGCCAGTGCCCATAGGAAGCCTTTCGATCTCGACGAGCTCGAGGGTGTGTGCGTCGAAGATGGGGGCGAGAGGGAGAGGGAGAGAGTAATGGTTGGCTTCGGGGTCTTCGTCGAGGGCGATGTACATGTAGCATTGGAAGAGTCGTCGTCGTTCGTTGGCGTCGTCGGTGCCAAAGGCCCAAGGGTCGTTGAGAATACGGGCACTAGAAAGGTCAATGGATGTCTGGGTATTTGTCTGAGGGCATCTTACTTGGGAGGAAGCTTGAGCTTGGCAACTTCGGCCAAGACCTCGGGGTGGCTGTTGCAGGCTCTGGTGATGAGCTCGTACTCGTGCCAGTCAACAGGTCCTTGAGAGTTGGGAGCATCGTAGAGCTTCTCAACTCTCTTGGTTGCCAGGTTAACAATGGCGATCAAGAGAGCCTGGCTGGTCTTCAGGTGGTAGTACGCCCTAGCCCTTCGATCAGGAGCAGGGCCATTGTGGTGAAGGTGCTGAAGTGTAGTGTCCTTGGGAGGCTCAGCGAGATCAACAAGCTTGAATCTGATCTCGTTTTCTGCGCATCCGATCTGCTTGTGGACAATCTGCGAGGCCGTCTGCACCTCGTCGACAGTCAGGGGGTCGAGAGGGTGAGGAGCAGACTTGGAGGCGTGGGATGACATTTTGACAAAGATCTCGTAGCTCTTGAAGATAGTAAAACAAGTGCTTGAGGATTTGCTTGAGATGATCTCGAATCTGTCGCGTCTTGCATCTTGTCTTATACTCGGCTTGTGGTTGGTGAAGCTGCGGAGTTTGGAGTGTGGAGCAAATCTGTCATGGACGAGCTAATGGTAGTGTCTTTGCCTCCGCATGGTCCAGATTACCGTTTTAGGAAATAATGCCAGCGTCAGGTGCAGACTGCGGGGGAGGAGCGTCTGCTCTGCTTCCTTTATCTGGGGGCGATGCAAACCGTTGCCTGCTTCTGGGGATGGAGTGCACAGCTTGTTGCGCCCCTTGCTAGTTTTGGTAGGACCAGCAGCTGGACCGAGGTTGATCTGCAGGAAGCTATCGTGGGGCTTGATAAGCTATAAAGGGGACGCGTGAGATGGAGCACTTATATCCAGGGTATCCCTCGTGCTGTTATCAAGATTGCTTGTTCTGGATTTTATTCTTCTACACAACTACGATAAGAGATATCTCAACATGCCTGACTTCAAAGGACTCGACTTGACCGGCAAGACTGCCATCGTCACTGGCGCTTCCAGGTAGGATCCTCAGTCTCCGAGACACGGCAGCTACTCACGCGAACCGCCACAGGGGCATTGGTGCTGCAATTGCTGTCCAATTAGGACAACGTGGCGCCAATGTTGTTGTCAACTACACCAGTGACAAGAGCAAGCAACGCGCCCTCGACGTCGTCAAGAAGATCGAGGCCAGCGGCTCAAAGGCGGCCCTCTGCCAGGCTAGCGTATCTACCATGAAGGATATTCCCAAGATTGTGGAGAGTGCGCTACAGCTCAGCCAGACTGGAAAGATTGAGATTTTGATCCACAAGTGAGTCTCCCATCACCCGTTTGTAACACATTCTAACTGTTGATCAGTGCTGCCCTCGGAGTCGACGCGAACCTCGACGAAGTTACAGAAGAGCTCTTCCAAACTCACTTCGACACCAACGTCAAAGGCCCAATCTTCCTCACCCAAGCGGTAATCCCACACATCGCCCACGGCGGGCGCATAGTCTTTGTCTCTTCAGCAGCCGCCCGTCTCGGCGTAGCCGGTCAAACAGTCTACGGCGCCACAAAAGCCGCCGACGAGTCATTAGCCCGCGTCTGGGCAAAGGAACTCGGCCAGTCACATGGAATCACTGTCAACTGTGTGAATCCTGGACCTGTTGCTACGGATCAGTGGCAGGAGAGTGATGAGCAGTTTAGACAGGATATGCAGCCGCTTATTGAGTCTACGCCGGCTGCTGCTAGGATTGCAGAGGTTGATGATATTGCGCCTTTGGTTGCGTTTCTTTGTACGGATGATGCGAGATGGACCACTGGGTCTGTTCTTTGTGCGAATGGTGGGCTTTATAACTGATGGTTCTGATTATAAACAGAGCTTGAGAATTATGGTTATGGATGGTCTCTATTTGGTCATATAGGGTTGAGAGAACTTGTTACACCCGGATGCTTGTTACCTGTGACCCGTGCAAGTTGGTCTTGGACAGCTGAAAGGAAGAAAGCGTTGATCCAGAACAGACACCAGCCGCAGCTTGGACGTGGCGTGAACCAATTCCTGAGTTTCCCAACCACAACACATGCGAGACTGTGACAACCGGAATGGTTGACTTTGACGCGACCAAGATCCGCGTGAAACAGTGGCATGAAGTTGGACAACCGAATGCCACGAGGCTTACTCTCAAGATGTTCTTCCGTGAGATACAGCAATACGAAATCTTGTCAACTATAAAGTATTGAATTCGCAAATGGCCGTGTCGATCGTTATCACGTCTTTTCGTCTATATCTCGTCCAAACTTACTCTTCAGGCATGGGCAACTCCGGAACCTTCTTGACCACCCTCGCAGGGCTTCCAAGAGCCACGCTCCAAGCCGGAATATCTCGCGTAACAACAGATCCCGCGCCTATCGTACAGCCATCACCGATAGTGACACCGGGCAAAATTATAACGCCGCCTCCAATCCAACAATCGTTACCGATGTTTATGGCCTTGGCATACTCGATATTATCTCTTCGGCTCGCAACTTCGATCTCGTGCGTCGCTGTCGAAATCATGACATTGGGACCAACCATCACGCGGTCACCAATCGTCACGATGGCAGAGTCTAGGATCGTGAGGCCGAAGTTGGCGTAGAACCTCTTGCCTACCGAGACGTTTGGGCCGTAGTCGACACGGAAGGGGGGTTCGACAAAGACTTCGTCATCAGCGACGTGGCCAAGTCGTCCGCGTAGCATCTCAGCTCGCTTCTTGGCCACGGCGTCATGTGTGTATTCTTCGTCGCTCGTAGGGAACCAGTTGTTGTATTCGTGCATGAACTTGCGACCGTCGAGACGACCCTTGACGAGCTCGGGGACAAAGGAGTCGTAGCTATTGAGATGTGAGTGAATGGCGTCTTGGGAAGAGGGGCTGAGGAGGGGTTGACTGACAGCATGCCCGAGATCATCCTGTCGTACTGCTCGCAGTGAGGGACATTGGCCAACTTGGAGGCCTTTTCAAGCTCTATCGGGCACTTTTCGGTGGCAGCCATTATGAATTGCGTATAACGAAGAAAAGTATCAAAGTGGAATGAGGAGAAAAAGAAGAAGAGAATGAGGGCTTTGACGAAGCTCTCGTGGACATAGCAAGACCCTTGCAGTTGGGACATGTAATAAGTCACACCTTCTTTGGAGTTCCCACACCGACCAAAGGGATCCTGCAGGTAAACTAATCTCAATGAGGAAATACTCCCAACTCCCTGTCGCGCCACCCATTATCAATGACTAGCCAGGCCCACTAAACAGGAAATCTTTCAACATGACGGGTTTCGTTTAACAAAGACGGTCGAGATACCACTGCTTGGCAGATACGCGCTCCGATATGAGCCCGCGAAATGGAGATTGGATCTATATCTTCTTTAGAAGAAGAGATAAGCGTGTTGGTCGCGGAGAAGCTCTGAGCATGTCTGAGGGGAGTTGTCAGCTTTGGTGGAGGCCATGACATGGCTTGCGGGGCTAGTCAAGCGATGAGCAAGGGTTGGGCAACTTACGAATTCCATCCATGGAACGTTGGACCAGCCGTGGGGGTTTGTCCTCCTCTCTTCCCAGACCTTGGTGAGCATCTCGGTCATGGCTGGATGCTGGAAGCCTGTCGCGTGCTTGATCTCGCCTACACACCAGCTGGCGTAGTGCATCTGATGCGGAGAAGACGTATCGGCTCCAGCTAGAAATAGAGGGAACAGTAGTCGTTTGTAAAAGACTGTGTCTCGAGGCATTGCCGCGCAGACATCGAAAATGGCTGCCACTGATGCCTTGATCCGAATGTCTTCGCATGACATGGCAAATGGATCCGGGAATCGAAGCACTCGAAGCAGACAAGAATGTCTGTACGCCTCTGCGAGATGCTTCCATTCCTGGTGTCCCGTGGGGTAGACTGCCTGATCGGGGTCCCAACCGCGAAAGAACTTTTCGGCCTCGTCTAGCATCGCCTGGAACTGATCTATCGGCAGGTCCCCCGCGCGGAAAGCCTTGCCCGCCTCCAGTACCTGGCCGATCCGGTGGAAGATGACAGGGGGACAGCCGACGAGGGTGTGGAGGCTGAGGCTTCCGTGATCGCGCACGCAGCGACGTACGTCCTCCGAGTAGGAGAGCTTCTCGGCGCCGCTGAAGCCCCGCAGCATGTCGAGCCTGGATCCTGGGTTAGTCTGGGGTAAATCCGGTCTGTGGCTGATTGCTCACCATGCCAAGGCTGATATGAAGAACATGCTAGCTTTAGATCGTGTGGAGAAGTCGGTAGGACAGGCCAATCTCTTGCACAGGAATGAGACGCCGGTTAGGTGAGCTCCATGGGAAGAAACGCCAGTCTCGCAGACCTGGGGAAATAGATGCGTTAGCTTGGTATGTGGCATAGGGGAGTGCAACATACGTCATGCAGGACCAGCAGTAGGGCCATGCATAGTACATACTCCTCCTCGGAGACGCTGAGGGCTGATACTTCTTCCTGGAGAAGCAATGCCCCGAGCGAGTGCAGCGCCGATACTCGGTACTGAAGCGAGATGGCGACAAAGTGCTGGCTGCTGTTCTTGCCCGAGATGTGCATGTGGCACGTTGTCAGACCCAATAGGGCGTGAAGAACACCTTGATGCTGGTACGCCAGAGGCAGGACGTGTATCCTAAAAGGATTGTCGGTACCCTGGATATGGATGGTGAGATACTCACTGAGTATCTGATCGACTGAGAGAGCAGTCAGCTGCCGCCCAATGAACACCCTTGAGTCCCTTACAGTAGTCAATGAGAGGACGGTTCGAGATGATGTCCTGGCTGAGGTCGGGGGTCCCGATGAGGGGCGAGGTGGAGTCGATGTGAACCGGCGTAAACGGAGAATGTGACACAGACGCCGGAGACGGCAAGCTGAGGATGGTAGAGTCTGGAAGTCCTTGGTCTGGAGATAGAGAAGCCTGCGGAGAAGCCGAGTCCGTCACCGACCTTGTGGTGACGGCCTCTTGCACGGCAGCCGACGACGAGCCAGAGGGGGACTCGCCCGAGATGGGGAACGAGGGAGTGGAGGATAGAGCTACGCTATCTCTTCTCGTGCTCGATGAGCCCCGGCGGGCCAAGGGGACAGTCATCATCTCGCAGAACTGAAAGCGCGGAGGATATCCCTCGCAGTGCAGGCCCTTGGTGCGGCATCTATCGCAGATGGGGCGCTTGCGGTCGCATTTGCGACACTTTTTGCGGCATGTGCCACAGGCTGGGTCTAGATGAGAGTTAGATTGGATACTCAGCGTGACTATCACGGCCATGATCCGTCTGTGAGTGAGGTCAGAAAGTTGATTGCGCCACTCACCCTTGCGCCGAGCCGTCGGGCGCTTGACCGTTGAAGTCATGTCGGTTGCCATTGTTACCCAAAAAGCAGAGAGTTGCCGAGGTTTACAGTGGGAGGAACAGCAGCAGAGGAATGAGCAAGCTCAGACAGGGAAGTTGATGGGAGGAAATGTGGTTTGCTCACGCAGAGTGCGGCCGATTAACGAGACTTTTTGTGGAGAGGCCGAAACGTGCGGGGAAAATGTTGACGCTGATCTAGCGGAACGAGCTAATGCTATCAAGAGGGTGTGGTAATCGCCTGCGGGGGCTGTCAAGCTGATACGCAATATCTTTTGAGGTGGTGATGAGATTTTTGGATTTGTAACTGTTTACTTGAAGCCTTGTCCTTGCTGAGGAATCTTCAGAGCGAGAGTGATGATGATGGATGGTCTTGGGGGTTGCACGGCTTGGGACACAATATGGCTGAACTTCCTACTTGGGCGATCTTCATCGGCCACCCTGTACCTTGGCTGAAACAACCCAGCTTGTCTATCAGCTCGCCTTACCCTGGACACTGAACCTGTGTTTGGCGACAAGATTATGATCAAGCTTGTGCTCGTCCGCCGGCTCCGGCTCTAGAGCGCAATGAGTGGCTGAGCAGCGCTTCTTATCATCTCCACCACTGGGGACGGAAGTGAGCCTCAACTCCCCGCTTGCAGGGTTTATGACTATATCTCACGATCAGGCTGAAGAGTGTTGCGTTCCCCTTGTTGATATCAAGCCTCTTTCCATGAGAGGACATGAGGAACTGGGAGGACTGCCAATGCATTGGAACGTTCGACTGAACAGTTAAAATCGTGGAACCTTGCACCATAGACCTTGTCGTATGGGTGGCAAGAGTCTTGATAAAGATATCTAAGGATGGGGACTTCGGCAGGTCACCGTCCTGGCGACTGCTCGCAACCGTCTCGAGACGTCCCTGTTGTAAGAATAGAGTGGAGAGCTTTGTGAGGGGAACGGAATTGGAGACACGATCGACACGGCGGTCCTCTTTGTCGGATCCAATACTATCCTGAGCCACTCTCACATCCATCGAGGCCCAACATCGTCATATAGAGATCGATAACATAGCCGAGGAGCATGTCAGCCTGAGGCTAAGAATGTACAATCGCCCCTCCCGGGACAAGCCTTGGGAGCGGGAGCTCGGAGCGAGTCTGAACGAGGCGAGGTTGACTTTTACCGTTTTAGGAAATACTCCCAACCTGCGCCGCTAAGATCGAAATGGGAATAGAGAAAACGTGCACAAGGCGCGCTTGCGATCGTGGACCATGGCGATAAAGGAGTGGCAGATAAGGGAGGGGAGTAGTAATTATTTACTACCTAGTTAAAAGGGTACTTAGCATTAAGTTAGTAATATGAGGATAAAAGTATTAGAAAAAAGTATAAGATATATAATTATAATTATAAGCTTTATTTAGTAAAAAATATAAATTAAATATATAAAACTGTAAAAATAATTTATTATAAATAATTCCTTAAATAATTTTTAAGTATTTAATATTAAATTTTTCTTATACTTAAAGAAGCCTTTAAATACCCTTTTAATTACTTATGCTTACTAGAGTATCTTACTTAAACTTACTAGTAGTAGTCTAAACTAGCACTTCTTAGACCATACCCTTATCACACACCTTCACGACCAGACTCAAAAGTGCGGGGGCAGCGTTGAAAAGCCCTTGCAAATCCAAAATCCGGGGCAAATGCAAGGTTTCTCTTCCCTGTTCACACCTTTCTGCCGGCGCCCCCTCACGGCTGGCTCGGAACCAATCACGACCTCCCCCTCCCTGTCTATCGCCGGCGATGCTCTTGTAGAACGTTATCTTGGAGATGGTGTTGAGCACGCCCGACCGAACTAAGACGCTATCAAGAGTCACACCCCCAGATCCTTGGCTGGCCGGCTTGATTCATTTAAAGAGCCTCGTCTGCTACGATCGGTTTGGATATCGCAGACCTCACGTCCTCTCTGAAGAGCACTCTTTCACATACTCTTGTCTTGATACTTCTTCATCTGCTATTATTCCCAATGTCGGTCACCGAAAAGCCCGCCATGGAAAGCAAACCTATCGAAGGTGACCGCGAAAGCGTTGCCAAAGGTACCATCATCGGCGACGACCTCGATGATGCTATCCTGAGAGCAAACGGCCACAGACCAGACTTGAGGCGCCAGTTCAACTGGTTCTCTGCTCTTGGTCTGGGTTTCTCCATCACCAACTCCTGGGCTGGATACATTGTTCGCGTGCTTCTCGCCACTCTCCGCCACCATCGCTAACCATTTCGCCAGAGCAACTTTGGCCAAAGCCTCATCTATGGAGGACCTCAGGTCTGTATCCTGGCACTTGTAGTCGCCTGGGTTGTGCAGTTCCTCATTACCCTTGGCCTGAGCGAGATCGCCTCCGCCTTTCCGGTGAGATAACCGACCCCTGGCATCCCTGAGACAACTGGCTAACGGGATTTACCCCAGTCCACCGGTGGCCAGTACCACTTCTGCTACATTCTCAGTCCCGAGAAGACTAAGCGGTTCACCGCCTTCACGATCGGCTGGATGTCTACCCTTGCTTGGTGGGTTGTGACGTAAGGAACCCCCCCCTGTGAGCTATGCCTAGATAGATGGCTGACATGCTGTGTAGGTGCTCTGGAATCTCACTTGCCGCTGCTGTGCTTGGCGGAATGATCAGCTTTGTGCACCCCGAGTTTGTGGCCACTAGCTGGCAAATCTACCTCTTCTATGTTGCCGTGGCATTCATCACAGGTAATCTCCGACTACCCCCAACTCCCCAGAACAGATCCTGACGTGCCGCTAGTTGTACCAGTGTTTGTTGCTTCGAAACGCATCGCGATTATGGTCCAGTTCACTCTCATTTGCTCCATTTTTGGAATGTTGCTGTTCCTCTTCGTCCCTACGGGAATGCACAAACACACAAACGATCCCTCCTTCCTCGTCCAATCTGGCCTTGGCGTAAGCGGCTGGAACTCTGGTACAGCCTGGGTCTTGGGCATCACCAACTGCATGTATGCTTTCGGTGCCACTGACGGAGGTAATATTGTCCCTTCTTGCCAACAGCGAGTTCGTCTAACGCAGAGTAGCCATCCACATTAGTGAGGAGATGTCGCACCCTGGACGAAGAGTGCCACAGGTCATCATCATGACCATGTTTATCGGCCTACTTACTAGCCTGCCTCTCTTTATTGCCTTGATGTTCTTCATGACGGATCTGGATGCCGTCCGACACTCGCCACTTCCTAGCATGGAGATCATTTACCAAGCGTAAGAGTCCATCTACGGTCCCTCAAAATCATTGCGCTAACTTCGCAACAGCACCGGAAATCGCAACGTTACCATTGGCCTCGAAGCACTCCTTCTTGTTGTCTACATCTGTACGAATTCTTCCCTGTCGAGTGTAACGACACCCCTATGCTCACACAGTCACTAGTTTCTCTTCCCTCTCAGTGGGTCACCTGTGGCCGTATTGCTTGGGCTTTGGCTCGTGATGTAGGTTCTCTTCCGTCCTCGTGGGCTCACAAAGACTGACCCTTCTAGAACGGCGTCCCTTACTCCAACTACTTCTCCAAGGTTGACCGAAAGCTCGAGTTCCCCGTCCGAACGACCATCATGGCTTTCATCTTCACTCTGATCTACGGCCTGCTCTACCTCGCTTCCACTAGCGCCTTCAACTCGATTATTACATCGGCTGTTCTGTTCCTGAACATTACGTATGCTGTTCCTCAGGGAATTCTGCTCACTCAAGGACGCAAGGAGCATCTACCCCCACGATATCTGAACCTGGGCGCTCTCGGCTACGTCTGCAATGTCTTTTCTATTCTCTGGATCGTAGTGCTGGGAGTCTTTGTGTGCATGCCGCCTACTTTGCCTGTCGCGACCGAGACCATGAACTATATCAGCGTTGTTACCGTTGGACTGTTTTCCATCATCATCGGGCTCTGGTTCTTCGAGGGCAGGAAGAAGTTTGAGGGTCCTCATATCGACTGGGAAATGATCAAGGAGGCCAATCTTCAAATGCTCAAGGGAGAGATTCATCAGGTCTAAGAGGGAAGACTGGACCTTTCGACTAGGAATGGTTGATACTGGGGTGACTGCTTGTAAAGTGGTGTACGAAGTGTGACCTCAAATTAGGCAGGGTTTTGTATTCTAATATGCATTAGTTTGACTGTTTCTGAATGCAATAAAATTGTCCTATATGATTTCGTTTTCTACTTGAACTATTTTGTGAGAAGACTAAGCTCCAAGCTTATGGGCAAACTTGCCCAGCGGATTGGACGGCCAAGTCGAGAACCTAGATAAATCCAGGCTTCTGTTAGCTTCATCCTATAAGTAAGAAGAAAGTGCCATGCCTGCGAGGTGTGAACTCCATCCTGCTTATTGACTTATCGTAGAGTGTTGCATCGCAGCTACGTAATCTATCATATGGTGAATGGGGGCAACAGGCAGGACGAAGGATTCTCGGTGACATGTCATTTACTTGAAGAAATCTGTAGTCCTTATGATAGTTCTATTTCTAGGTCTAGGACTAGGAGAGCGTTAAGATATTGGCTTGACTATGATTACTTCTTCTCTCTCAAAACCTTCCGTAGCCAGGCATTTCTCGTCTTGATGGCTTCAGCACCTATCTCAGTAGGATAGAACAAGTCAAACCCATGGCATCCTCCTCCCCAAATGTGCAAATCTGCTTGAACACCGCATTCCCAGAGTTTGGTAGCATAGGCAATGTCCTCATCCCGGAAGGGCTCACCAGAACCGGCATCGATATAGGCAGGTGGAAGGTCTGACAAGTCTTCAGCACGCCCGGGTGCCACGTACTGACTGACAGTTCCCTTCTCGGCATCATCGCCGAGAACCAATTTCCAGGCGTATCGACCCCAAGCTGTGTAAAAGCCTCGACCGTTTTCAAACTGTCGACTCGACAAGCTGGTGAACCGATCATCAAGCATCGGGCATACCAGCAACTGCGCGCAGACTTTAGGGCCATTGTGGTCCCGGGAGTACAGCAATGTCCCTGCGGCTATGCCTGCTCCAGCTGAGACGCCAGCGATGATGAAACGAGCCGGGTCGATGTCGAGCTTGCTCAGGTTTTCGGACATCCAGACCAGTGAAGCGTAGCTGTCTTGAACTGCAGCACTACCGTGAAAGTCTGGGGCCAAGCGGTATCCAGGACTGACCACCACAGCATCGAGCTCTTTGACGAACTCGCTCACTGCTGCGAGACCAACGTAGACATTTCCCATGACCCTTCCTCCGCCATGGATGAAAAGGATGCCGGGCCGGAGCTTCGACGATATTGACCGAGACTTACTTCTCAAGACAATAGCACGAATTGGACCATCTCCACCAGGCACAGTTGTTTCTTCGATGTCTATCGCTGGATCGTTGTAGATGGCGTCATCTCGAGGAGGTTCTTCCCTGCGAAGCTCGAGTAGCTCATCCAAGCTTGCGGGTATCGGCCGATGCTGATTGTCCTCAACGGCTGTGATCTCGGGATCCCAAGGGGGCAATCTGAGGGTTGGCGTGCCATTGGACGTCATTTTCGCTGATGAGTGCCAAGTATCTAGTGACGATAAAACAAGATGACGGACAAATGAAGTTGTCTAGATGGAAGAAATGCCTGTAGTTGGGTTATCAGTGTTTGGGGGGTTCCAGAAAGCGACTAGTTGCGTACATGTGACCAACAAGATTTGGAGTATGTCCCTTTTTCGACAACATGCCAATAGTCAGCTTTGAAAAGCTCCATTAACCCCCTGCGTCTCTTGGAGAAGTGCGGAGGTGGTCTTGAGGTGTTGGTATCGTTGCCTAATCGAGTAATGGTGGCAGCGTTGATCCAATCCAAGAGGGCCAATCGGCATTCAACCGCAGCAACAGCAAGGGTGGGCTATCAATCCGTCACGCCTTCTGCCCTGGATCAGATCCAGATCCAGGTAATGCTATCATCTACCGAGACACAAGAATCCCCCCCCGCCACTATCAATGCCGGGTGCGGGTATTATCTATCAACTGGTTTCGCCGCCTTGTCCGATAAGCACTACCAGGCCAAGCTGACAACAACAAAATCCCCATTTAGAAAACCACGCCTCCAAGAGGGCAGTTCAGGCACGTCATGTTTGGCTGTGATTCTATGTATCGGTTCCGCTGCATCGTAACAGAACACTAGTAAAATTCCTTTCATCAGGCGAGAGCTTTGCCACGGCAACTAGCATATAATAGAGCAAAGACTAAGCGGAATCTCCGGCACCTGATCTCCCCTGAGCCTTTTTACTTGTCCTCCTCATTTTACGCGGGAAATTGCTCCAAGCGGACTCCAATGTTTCTCGTATGGCATCCCATATCCCCGTCAGCCAACCTGGCAACCTGTAGCTGCCTTGGTCTGGTCGCATGTACCACGCGATTCCGATAACGAGAGTGTACGTGAAGAGAGGCAGGGTAACAAAACTGCTGCGGAAAGACGAGGGCTCTGGCACCATGTCACTGCCTTCTTCTGCCGGATTGTTCAAGAATGGCAACGCCCAGAATGTCTTTTTCGTCAGCTTCGTCTTCAGAGTATCCACTGTAAGAAGTTACATACCGCCAAGAAGCTCACTGGTGTGAAGAGAACGGTGACAACGGTGAAAATATAGATGGCCTGATTCAATGCCATGGCCTTGGTGGCCTCGCGAAGGGATGTAGCGTTGAATAACTACGGGGAGAACAGTCAGTACATTTATCATCCATGGAGTATAAGAACGGAGGATACATACGCCATCACGCAAACTTTTGATTTCTTCTGACTTCTTTCGAACTCGGGTCTGAAACCTAGTAGCGCGTTCCTTCATGCTTTTCATGGAAACATTGACATTGTGTTCTGCTTCATCAACATAAATGATAGCACGTCTCCAAGCCGGCATATCGCGCAAGTCGTCGATGCTCAGTAAAAGTTCGTCCAGCCACTCGTCCATGATCCTGAGAAGCTGGATGGCAATGAAATAGTCTTTAGAGCGGGTGAAAGACTTGTCAAACATGAGATCTTCCACGCGTTTCTCGTATTCAAAATCACTCAACTAGTTACAACTGTTAGCAAGATTCCTCTCAAATCTAGGATCGTGGGTTTTGTTCTTTCGTATCGTCACTACTCACGTTAACATGAACAAGCTTGTCTATGCTGTCGAGAGCGTTGCCCCAAGCATCAAGCGACCTTTCAAGGACTCTAGAGACCTCAAACATGTAATTTGTGATGGCAGTTCCCTTCCCACACGGCCTCAGTCCATACCGGGCCCAATTGACCTCCGACTTGGTATGCCCGACTTGTGTGCTGGGAGTCCAGTCTCCCGGGGCTGGCGACATGTTCTCGTCGGCCAAGATGAGAATGTTGAACAGGCCTGGGAAATAGTGAGATACCCGAATGCTTACCCGGACTCGTTTTTCTTCCAAACACTGTAGAGATGAACCACGCCCGATAATCGCTCTTTCCCTATCCCCTAAAATACAAGGGTACCGCGTATTGTCTTTTAGGTCACGACTTTCAATGGTTGGGCAAAAATAACGGAGCTGAGATTGAATGGTGGTTTGCCCATCCAGCGCGTACCAAGAATCGAGTCCACCTTGGAAATCTCGGTGAAGGAACGACAACAGGCGCTTCAGATCGAATTCCGCTGGACGGTTGCCCAACATCGATTTAGAAGGCGGCAAAAGAAACGGTTCGTCGTAACTTAGCACACTTGCCAACTGGTCCAGACGGAACATGTGTTGTTCGTTCTTGTAGTTTTCCAGTTTGCAATAACTGACGAGAGAGTCAGCTGCCAACTTAAGAAGAGGTTATATTATTACTGCTTACATGACTTGCCCTCTGAACTTGACTGGCACTGCCGAAGTGTCGACATCGTCCGCTGACCCTCGGCCCTAACATAAAACATTAGTCCGTATGTAGCGGTAAAACATGGGAGTCATCTTCAGCTTTACTTGTCTTGTCTGTTTGCTTTCTGCTGCATCCAAGCACCATTGATGCCATTGCCGTTCCAATGCAAGATATTTGAAATCTCTGTCCAGCTCATCAATACCGGGTCGCCGCCATCTGACCTGGGCATAACCATCCTGGAAGTTTTTACGCCACTGGCAATGAGCTTGAACGACCGGCATGCTGCCGCAACTCTCTAATATAACCTTCTCCATGCCTTCGAGGTGTCGGTGTAGAGGCCACGCGTGGCGAATAGCGTTAGCCACATCGTCCGGCAGTGGTTCTGGGTTAAGGGACCAAACGAAATCCACCTTTTTGCTGCGTTTGACCATAATGGAGAACCTGGACGGCCTAGAGTTGAGTAGGTCTAGCCCTGGAACGTACTTTGCGCCTTTTGCACCTACCATCCAGGACCACCTAATGGGCACCCCCACCTAATGGACCACCAAAATTTCAATCTTCCCATACAAAATCCGAATTTTCAAGTATATCGCATTCAGCCAAGAACGAAGATACTCACAAACCCATACCTGTGTTATATAGTAGTTTTTATGAAATTTTATTATCGGCTTGACTTTTTCCCGTTCCGCCTCGTGGCCTAGTTCTCTGGCCCTTTGAAATTTTTCGCATTTCTCCTTATCTACCCTACGCGACTCTATCCACTTAAGCCGAATTTTCACCTAATTTTCTTATCGGAACTCCTTTCCTAATGGTTCGCCGTGTTTATACCGAAGATAACGTAGCTGAGGCTATACTCGATATTACTAATAGAGGCCTATTATAGACGGGGGCGGCCGAGAAACGTGGAGTCCCTTAGTCGACCCTTTTTGGGTGACTTTCTGGTTAAGCGAGTAGGAATAAACGAATCTAGGCCCACTAGCGTCTTTTAAAGAGCCAGGAGGAGACCCTTATTCGTTAGGTACTGCGATAAGAATCTCTGGGCTATGCTCCCTCGCATAGCTAGCTCCGCGCCTATATCGAGGCTATCCTTAAATAATAAGGCGATAATAAGCCTTTAGGCAAGTACTAGACTATGAGGTTCGTCTAATATTACCTAAAACTATCTACTAAGCTTAGAAAATATTAGGAAGCCGCTAGATTTAACGGGTTTACTCCGAAGGCGGTTAATTAGTACTTCGATATTAGGGAGAATGAGTACGGCTGGATTAAGCCTAAGAATACGGTTAACGTGGACGAGGGCGGTATAATAGCGGGTTTTAGTAAGTATTCTATAAGTACTCTATGGGTTTTTATAGGGAATAGCTAAGTAGTTATCTATGAGGCCTAGACGGCCTCGTAATCGGGAGCTTTGACCCGAAGAAGAAGGCGATATTAAAGGGCTCCTAGTCGCGCAAGTAGACCTCATTTATCGAGGCCGTCACCGTAATTAGCCGCGCTTTAAAACCGGGGATTATCTTTAAAGGAAAGGAGCTATAGAAATAGTGGTTTCTAGACGAGTTCAAATTAATAGCCGACTGGCACTATATCATATCGCCTAACGGCTAGACCGACAACCATATAGCTCTCGAGTGGCTAAAAGATATCTATCTACCTTAAATAGAGCCTCGTGATATATCGGATACGAGACTAATTATCCTTAATAGTCATAGGAGCTATGCATAGGTGAGCCTTTGGGTATTTTCGCCGCATAATTGCCGGCTATAGGGTCGCTGATAAGCAGCTAGGACGAGTAGATAGCGACGTGCTTTCTAAATAACATCTACTATTATTACTTACTAGCATATTATTCCCATGGTTTATAGCCGTTAGATAATGGAATTTTTAATATTATTAAAGGTGCGTATCGGAAAGAACTCTAAAAGCTAGCTAGTTTAACCGATTCTGCGCTGGTTAATAAAGTCTACTTTATCCGGGCATACGTGAAAGCTAGGGAGGTAGGCATAAGGAAGGATATTATCTTATCCGGCTAGAGGTTTACTAGAAATTGGCCTATTAACCGTCATAAAGCTCTAATATACCCGGAAATTTAACTGGATAAAGAAAAAGTGGTAGAACGGTTTAAGACGCCTAGCCCTCCTTAACTACACTCAGATAATACCCCGAAAACGAGCCGCTAGGTAAGAGATATAGCTAAATACCGAAGTCGTCTGACCTGGTAGAAGTATAGTAAGATCGCAAAGGGACTAGAAGCTTTAGAGATAAAGGTTGCCGTTTAGAATGCGCGGATTATTAGCCTCGAGGAGTAAATAGCTTAGCTGCGGCGAGGGAAGAAAAGAAAGGCGGTATTAAACCCGAACCGATGATTTATGGCTCTAGCGGAGGCTCTAGCGACTAGAGAAGTTTATCTTGACTTAAAGGAAGTAGAAATAGAGGTAGATATGGATAAGGAGGTCGAGTCGGTGATTAAGGTGGGTATTAGGTCAGAGGACGAAAGTGAGGACTTTATAGTCGTAATAAAGTACTATTAGCGCATACGGAGCGGTCGGGAGGTTAAAAAACCACGCAGAGAGTAAAATTTAAACAATTTTCTATAAACTTTCTTCAAAGCCTCGTTTATTAATAGAGAATCGGGACTGTTTTTGCGGACATCAAAATTTGGATTTTATATGGGAGGCTCGAAATTTTGGTGGTCTATTAGGTGGGGGTGCCCATTAGGTGGTCCTAGATGGTAGCGTCAAGGTTCCACATCATGCTTGACAAATGCAAACACTCTCTAGCGAGATACGCGAAAAAACTGTAGCCCAAGCATGGCCGGTGGCCAATTGACGTTATTTTGATATTAAGGATGGAGTGAATAATCACGTTGGAGTCTCGGCAGTTTTGCAAATGGTAAATGGGGGATCAATCTTGGAACCCAGTATTTTCCTCCTCATAGGTGCACACGAAACGTGTCAATGCATTGGAATGCCAGTAACCGTACTTTCTAACCCCCAAATTGAACAAACCCAGAACGGGGATAGGCAGAGCTCCACAACATGAAGATAGAGGGGCAAGGTGTTTAATCGATTTTCATCATGAAAAGTATCTTGCAGGTTAATCTCCCGCCATCTAGCAACCTCTACTACTGCAGTCACAAGCATAGCCCTGTGATGGGTTCATGCTAACCATACTCCTGCCATTAATCAAGCAACCGTTTTACCACATCTTGTCCCAAAGACGACGCGCAAAGCTCTTTGGCTCTTCAATGCCCTTGTTGTCCCAATGTGCCAACTCCCTGTCCACAGCTTCCTTACCACTCCAAAGGTCAGCCTCCCTCGCCTTGACGAACTTTGTTCTCTTGAAAACCTTGTAAGATACGTAAACGATCAACATGTACCCGATTCCAAAGTACCTGGTGATGAAACCCGATGTAGAGAAGGGGCTAAAAACATCAAAGCCGAGGAAGATGAGGACGATGCAGCCAAACGCGGCCCCGATGTAGGCACCATACGGCATGAAGGGAGCTTTCCAGGCAAGAGCGTCGCGGTTAATGCCTTGAGCCTTAAGGGCCCTGTACCAGCCGATGTAGGTAATGAGCATGGCCGTGTAAGAAAGGACAAAGGCGCAGGTAGACAAGCCGACGAACCAGCCAAATACAGTGGCGCCGTCGTTGGTTGCAACCAGGAAGGTGATGCACGAGATCAAACTGACGGCTCCTACACAGTAAATAGGGTTGCCTGCCTTGGTGCACCGGAGGAAGATCTTGGGGGCGTGCCCGTCCATGGCCAGCGAGTACAAGGTTCGAGATGACGAGTACAGCATGGCGTTGCCACAGCTCCAGCCGCTAATAACGATGAGTGCGTTGATGAAGCTGGCCAGTCCCTTGATGCCTAGGTTCTCGATACCGATAACCCACGGGCTAGCAGCAGAGCCCACGTTGCCACCACTCAAAGCGGACAGGAGCTTCGGATCCTGGCTATTGCATATGATGCCGACGCCCAACGTTCCCAAGACGTAAAAGAAGAAGATGCGGAACCAAGTAGCTTTGGCACATCGGGGAACATTGCGACGAGGATCCTTCATCTCGCCTGCGCTTAGAGCAATGAAATCCGGTCCAGCGATGGAGAAAGCAGCCAGAACCATGACGCTCCAGAAGCCGAGGAAGCGACCTGTGGTTCCTTCGGTCATGTATTCGTGCATGGCTCCGCCTTCGGACCAGTTGTGAAAGCCGTAGGCCCAACCCATGGGGTTTCCTCCGCACATTGTTACCAACGTGAGGAGAAGGAGGCCGAGGAGGAGAATGATCTTTGTGCCGCCGAAAATGAACTCGGACTCTCCGTACCACCTATGATCGGTCATGTTAGCGAATAGAATGGGTATTTGATGGAGCGTCTACCGTACTTTACTGCGAATAGGTTGAGAAAGACGCAAACTACTAAGGCCATGGCGACCCAAGCGGCATTGTTGACGTTGAGATCCCAGTAGCCCATGACGGTAACAACAGCAGAAAGCTCAGTGCAGAAGAGCATGGCACTCCCATAGAAGTAAGTCCAGCCAAGTGCAAACCCAAAGGCCGGATCAACATAACGACTTGCAAACTCGTAGATGTTTCCACGAATCGGCAGATGAGCAACCATCTCGGCGACTCCAAGTGAGCAAGGGAGGATAAAGATGGTTGGGTAGATGAGGAATCCGAGAAGGAGGGACAGAGGGCCCGCGGTTCTCAGAGCGCTGCCGATGCCGACAAAGAGGCCTGTTCCGATGGAGCTAGCAATGACCATGATCTGGAGATGGCGATTTGACAGGCCCCGTTTGGTGGAGCCGTACTTGGTGTAAATGTCGCTGCGGTCGGCAGTATCCACGATGCCCTCAGCTGCCGAGGTTTCCCTGCATAGCTGGAGCGGGTCGCCCGGAGGTTTCGACTCCATAGAGGTACCCATGGTTTCAGGCGGGATGAAGAATTGAAGTAGGAGGCGGATGAAGTGTCTTGGGAGTCACCAAAGATGAGGAAAGCTGCTGGTTTCTTGAAGCCTGGGGAAGATCAACACTGACGAGGTAACATTCTCCTACTTATAGTCTAGAGTGCTACACCTTATCTAAACTTTCGGCTTTGCTTGCCGCACTTCAAGTACACTGTATCTATCACCCATGAAGCTGTTCCCCGGGATAGGTGCAGCAGACCTTATCGTTACCCCGGATTCTCGGGTCTTGGCGATTGGCCGCCGGCCACGGAAGATGCCCGCCCAATGCCTCGTCATTAATGAACCTGACGCCAATCAAGGGTGACATGAATCATTGCCGAATTTATCGATTTGGAAAGAACAGCAGATCGAGGTTTCTCCGCAGTGTTTTTGTCATGTTGTATCAGCGGAGGAGGTCTAGATGATCTTGGTGGAGCGGACTAACAGCGGTTAGCTTAACGCTATGACCTCATCTCTTAGAGATTCCAATCTAGGTTTAGGCCAGCTCTCAAACTGCGCGATGCCAGGTTTGGAAAGTCGGAGAGGCTTGTCTGATTGGACACTGAACTGGCCTCTTGCTGAAAGCAATCACGAGACGTTGATTGGATGGACCTCACAGGCGAATCTCTCCGAGTTTCCTATCAGGGACGGCATCGAGAGGAGGGACGATGGCAGAGACTCAATCATAAAGGAAGTCATGAGAACCTCACCCGATCGCCTCTACATCAACATCGAGGTATCTGTCCAAAATGGCTTTGTTGTCACTTCCTCTCCTTGCAGGAGCAACACTACTTCTCTTCGTCATTGCCCTTGTCCGACGCCTGTTCTCTCCTTTGTCTCGTTTCCCAGGACCAAAGTTAGGTCTCTTGACGCCATGGCAACTAAGGTATCACGAGCTTCAAGGCAAGCGGACACAATACATTCACCAGATGCACCAGCAGTATGGTAATGTCGTCCGCGTTGCTCCCAACGAGGTTGTCTTCTCGTCGCTCGAGGCGATGAAGGAGATCTACCTTTCCAAGGGAAGTGGTTACGACAAGCCCTCATTCTATGACCTATTCTCTCAGTTTGGTCTCAGGTAAGACATGCGACCTGACCAACTTGGCCTCAACTCTAACAAACATCCAGGACAATGTTTTCTACTCGCGAGAAAGGCCCCGTAAGTGACTCCGTTGGCTTGTAAGCTTCCCCACCTGATCCATCCCAGCACAGCAAGAGAAGACGCATCATCGCAGATCGCTACGCCAACTCCAACGTCATCCGAGATTCTGCCCTTCACGGCATTCAAGAGAGGTCACAGAATTTCATCAAGAGATGCTCCGAAGCTCCGAGGCAGGAACTTGATGTCTATGTACGCATGTCTTAGATCCTTTTGTGGTCAGAGACTAACTCAATCTAGCTATTCCTCCATTGCTATGCCTTCGACTGCGTCACGCATCATCTGTTTCACCCACATGGCAGTGATTCGATCCTCAAGCAGTCAGATGAGGAGACTCTGGTTGAGGCCGTCTTTGACAATAGTCTTGCCAGTGAGCATCTTTGAGAACGCCAATACTGTACCTGAAACTGACATGGTTCTAGGACGTCTTTTTATTCACTACAATCCCACGATAGGTAGCCTCATGGGGAAGCTCGGCGTCTTTGGCAAGTCTCGTGACATCCCTAGGACTAGGCAGCTCATCCTTGATGGAGCCACTGGCGGCCCTGTTGCTGATTTTACCCTCGTCAGTCGCATGCGCGAGGATAAGTTCGGCATGGGACCCATGGTCATTGCATCTGAATGTATGGACCACACCCTAGCCGGTATCGAGACAACAGGTGATGCCCTCTGCTTCTTAATGTGGCAGATCTCACAGCCTGGCTACGAAATCATCCAAGAACGTCTTCGCGACGAGTTTCTAGCCAACGAGGGTGTATCCTTTGAACAGCTCCCCTATCTCGAGGCAGTCGTCAAGGAAGGGTTGAGAGTCTTCCCTTCGATTCCAATGAGCTTACCCCGGTGTGTCCCTCCCGAAGGCGCATCTGTGGATGGCCACTGGCTCCCCGGCGGAACACTCGTCAGCTGCCAGCCATATTCCATGCACCGGATGGACGAGGTCGCGTTCCCGGAACCAGACAGCTTCAAGCCCGAGCGGTGGTTGGAGGAGAAGGGTTTGGCAGAGAGGAACCGACTGTTCTTTACTTTTTCCAACGGTGGACGGGCATGCATCGGCCGACAGTAAGTTTTCCAGCCCGTTGATGATTGTACTAGCGCTGACTCTACTGTTAGTCTGGCTGTGGCCGAGATGAAGACTCTGATGAGGGATATCTATTCAACTTTCAAGACTACCCCAGCGGAGGGCATGGCTGCTGACATGAGCATGGATGATCAGATTTTTACGTCGCGGCCGAAGGATCAAAAGTGTATTCTCAAGTTTACGCGGTGGGAAGAAGAACTTGTATGAAACGGTTATGGTTCGAAAATTAAGGTGGATAGTGTTATGGAATGGTAGCAGTATGGTGGTTTTCGGATTAGGTTTAAATACTGGCGTAAAACATTAACTATCTTATTTTTATTTGGTACTAATGGGTCTTTGTGAAAGTGCTGTTGAGTTGACAATAAAATACTGGCAGTCCAAACCGTTAGTGATGGCAGTCAATATCGTCAAAGTGATGGACTTCTCGAGACTCCAATGCTATGCAAGATGCAACCCGTTCCGCCAAGACGGCTCGACATGACCTCACGGCTTGATTACACCCGTGAAACAACAGAAATATAGTGGAATATGATTCATTTCGAGTCATTTACCCCCTCATCTTGTCGCTGACAACCCAAAAAACCCATTCATCCCTTCTCAAGCCATCACAGTTGATCTCCCACCCTAGACCGGCCCGGGCTTGGCTTGTCAATTGCCGCACGCTATTGGTCCAGTCCAACTCCGCCCCATGTCTTCCCCGCGAGTCAAGATAAGGAAGCCGATCAGCAACTCACCCTCGTTCAACATCCACAGCTATGAGCACACAAGGTCGACTCCCTCCAAAAATCACCCGGTCGCGTGGCGGCTGCGAGCGCTGTCGAAGGCGACGTCAGAAATGTGACCAGAAGAAGCCCTCCTGTGAGAGATGCGCCCAGGCTGGGGTTGGAGGCTCGTGTCGCTATGAACTCAAGTTGAGCTGGGGTGGGAGGTCATTTCGGAAGTCGCCTTTTGGCAAATATCTCAACAATGTGGAGAGAGGTGAGCTTTGAATAAGGCCCCATTGTCTTTGATTGATGCTCATCTGTCCCAGATAATACTGTCGATGGTCATGGCTTTGTTTATTGCGTGCCTCAATCTCGTCCTCCTCCACCACCTCATTCTTTCGAACCACCAGCATCATCACCGCCATCAGTCGCTTGTACCTACAACGAGACAATACAGCCCGAGTCTTTACCAAATCTGGAAACACCTGAGACCATAGACGACGACATCGAACTTATTATCCCCCACAGCGACTCTCTGGAAGTCGACCCTGAGCTTGGGTCAGCGGACAACAACTTCACCCTTGCCCTTCCACCCCCAAGCCAAATATCCGTCCTACCCCCAATGGCCCACTACTTGCTCCAATTCTACCTCGCCGAAACGATGCGCCTTACCGTCCCAAGCAGCTACGCCAGGACGCAGATCTGCCACTTTCTCGTCCCCATGTCGATGCAGCAGCCCAGTTTGCTATACGCTATCATGGCCTTTGCCGCGGTTCATCTCGAGGCTTCAGGAAGGCTTCCCAGAAACCCAGGAAGGCTGATTGATACGCTACAGTCGACGAGTATCCGCCATCTGCGACAGTTGTTAACCGACGAGGACCCTATAGCGCAGGCTGCTGCGCTCGCTACGGCGAGGACGCTTTGCCAGGCACAGATCTACGGCGGGACAGCGTCCTGGCGTGTTCATCTTAATGGCGCAAGGGCGATTCTTGAATCATCTCACTTCAGAACTCGACTTATCGGTAGCTGTTCATGCTCATCCATCAACGCAGACTTTCTCTCTAGTTGGTTCAACAACGCAGAAGCACTCGCTGCTCTAAGTCCATCTGGTCTTCTTCACGGCCAACTCCAAGTCGGTTGCCATTCAAGCAGAGATCTCCGTTTCGACATGTTTGGCGGTGTCATGTCTGACCTTCCAGATCTGTTCCGGGAGGTTGGTGCCCTGGTTAAAGAGAGCCGCCGACAGCAGCACAATCGTATATCCGAGGGCACCATCTTGTCAGAAACCGATATCGCTCAAGAAGCGGATGCCTTGACGCGAGAGATATACTCTAGGCTAGAACGTGATTCTGTCCAGAACCTGGCGCTTCAAACGGATATGCTCATGGGGCTGTCGGCAAATGACATACACGACTACGCGTTGAGCAACGCCGGATTTCTCTATACCGCACTCCTTCACATTCACTGCGGAGTGCGGGCATTGTCACCACATGCCGAAGAGGCCCAATTCTGCGTCGACCAGATAATACAATGTGCCCAAGACATGACTTGCTCTTCTGGTCTATCGCCCAGAGTTTTGCTCGTTGCACCTCTATTCACAGCTGGGATCTGCGCTACGGGCCCTGCGCAGGATAGCATACGGTCTGCATTGACAGACATAGGACGGTGGATGAGGACTCCACATTTGACAAAGACTATGGCGTTATTAGAGGACATCTGGCAGAAACCGTCTGCAGAAACCCAGAGTTCGCGCGTTTGGTCATGGTTTGGTAAGTTGTTTGGTCTCGTATCTTGAGTGTGCAGAGCTGACCAGTAGCAGACAAGATCAATTTTGACTTTCTTCCTTACTAGGGGTGACGCAAGGTGCTAGGCGTTCTTTCTGTCGATTGGATACAAAAGGAGTGGCCCCATGAATTAGACGAATTTTCTTATTGAGCAACTCTGAACATCAAGACTACAATTTGAATCTCAAACATCCGCTGCCTTATTATCTCCAGCAACGGAATCAATCCGCTCAATACCTTCCGGGTCGATAGTCTTACTGTGCGGCGCAATACCTTTGCGAATTGCAACACTCTCCTCAAACGTGCCATAGATATCCTTCTCATCCTGGAGCCCAGCACCCTTGGGCTTCGATATGAAGCAAAAAGCAGTGTACAAGACAGCTGATTCGAAGAAGCCAAAGAGGTAGTTGCCAAGATAGTAGTTGAACAAGCCGCGTGAGATAACCACCGACGGGTTGACATTGGCAATCATGCCTGGCATGGCTGGGACGAAGCAGACGACCCAAGCGACAATTCCACGCCAGTTGAAGCCGTATGTGTACCAGTAAGAACCCTCTTTTGAGCCGGTGTAAAGATGGCTGATTTGGATCTTTTGTCGACGGATGATGAAGTAGTCGGCCATCATGATTCCAGTCAGAGGACTGAGGAACACGGAGAAGGACGCGGCCACGGCGACAAAGACACTTGCAGTGTTGTAAAACTCCCACGGCTGTACTGCCCATGATAACAGCGCCGCAATCAGAGTACCCCTTCGGATAGAGATCCACTTTGGAAACAAGCCAGCAAGGTCCATACCCGCGGCATACCCGTTTCCGAGAACGTTTTCTGCAATCTGGCCAAGGACGAAGCCAAAGCTGCAGAAGAAAGCGCCAGCTCGAGCCTTGGCACTATAGTCGTCCAGCATCCATTGTATGACAATGGCCAGCGGGTTCCAAAACGGCTCTTCGACTTTCCAGATCTCCATAGACGCCGAAGCTGTGAGGATGGCAAAGATGGGCACGAGCATGCCAGCACCGAGGAGAGAGAAGACAAGGCCTGGGACTTGAACGCCTTGCTTTCGTGCAAAACGAGTGAAATCACTCTGGTTGATGATGCCTGCTGCAATATTGCCAACGCTGGCAATGATGCCGTATACCCAGGCCCAACCCTTGGAGAGAGTTCCAGGTTGACGGACACCGGCGATGAATAGAGGTCCAGCACCTCCAGCGGTGGTGGTTGCCCAGATAGTGATGCCGAGCATGACAAAGAGGACGATGACATTTGCGGCGATGGCGTACCATTTCGATTTTTCGGGGCGAATAAGCTGTGATACTTGAGTAAGCACTGAAGATGAGACCTGACCGAGTCACTTACCAAGAATGGGACGGATATGATGTGAAACAAGAGAAAGCCGACAAAATCTCTCGTAACCATGTTGGCGCTTGCTGGGAACGTGTTCTCCATGTGCAAGAAGCTATAGCTCCAACTACTGATCATAGCCGAGACGCAGAGCCCGCCGAGCCATGCTTGAGAACCATACCAGACAATGGACAGCATGATACGCATTGCCTGGCCTATGTAAGCACCGTGCATACCGAATACTATTCTGCAAGAGATTTAGCATTTCATCTCATCGGATGGGAGCGTCATACCTTTGTGCGACACTAAAGCCAATGTGCCACTCTGCACCCATCCATCCGTTACCAATGACGAGAAGAACCATGAGAACTCGAGCCAGAATCATAAGTCCGATTGTTTGTGGGACTGTGAGACCCAGCGACAACAGAGACGCCGCCGCAGTCCATGCCGAGATGCACAGGCTGTATGGTATTAATCGACATTCCGACTCTTAGAATTATCCGGAGCGGCGTACCTTGCGATAGATCCCCAGCCAATGTAGGCCCAGTAACCCCATGTCCGCCTGTTGGGGGGCAGAGGAGCGATATCTGGATTAATCCATCGGTCTGTCACGTACCCGACCACTTGGTCGTTGTCGACCTTGAGTTTTTGAAGGAACCTCGATGGCATGGTGTGGCAATGGTGTTTAACTCATGAAGCGACAGAAGCTTGTTGGCATCAATTGAAGTATCCGTCAAACACAACATTAAAGCGACAGAAGGGCGGGATAAGCTGGATCATATAGTAAAAGCCCGCGTGATCTTATCAATCCCCGACCGTTGGACCGGAAGCGGTAGTTCGTACTCTAATCCATCCCCAAAGGCTGGTACAGAAGCGGCATTTCGTTTAGAGCATGCCACCAACAACCAGATCAACCAGCGGCACAGTTCTCAGCTGGCATGTCAAGGTCACATTGTCGAGCGGGGGTTGCATGTGGGAAGACCATGGCATTGGATCGGCAGCTGGATATCGTCTCGGCTCTAAGCTTGGGTGTTGTGACCATGGGCGAGACGCCGTGGGGGGGGGCTTATCAATCTAATCTTTAATCATGGCCCTGGCCGAGGCAGATTCCTTCCACATGCTTCACAGAGTAGGGATCATCCGACGAACCTAGTCGAGGCTGCATGTTTATCTCCAGTGCAACATGAGACCCTGGCCTGGTCTGACCATCGCTTAAACCCCGCCACCGCTTCCTCCATTCTATTGCCGCGTGGTAGGCCTTCGTCTCTGCCTTGCTCACCTCCTCACTACACTAATCCTTTCCCTTGAGTTGCCTGATCGTCCATGGAGTCAACAGCTTTAGTTTGTACTTCAAGCCGACACAACTCTGTTCGCAGTGCCGAAAAGTGCGTCAAATATGTATGGCAATACCACAGCACAGGCAGCAACTAGGTATCGTCAGCTAATAAAACTTTCCTTGAGTGCTCATACTGACCGATTGACATCATGACAAAGGGCTCAGAAATTCCAGACAGCCAGGCCCACGTTTTCCCGCTGCTGCCAATCCTAGGGGCCTCTGTCAACTGTGGCGAGTTCGTTTCAGGTGTAAAATCTCTAAGCCCACCCTTCAAATCCTCTGACCTTCCATCAACCATAGCCTTGAGTCTTTCTGCATCAGGCAATTCCAAGTCGTCGATCAAGTCCAGCAGAGTTGAGCACACTAAACGCCAGCCAATCATAGACTCCGTAGGACTCATCCCTCTCCACAAGGGTTTCCGAACCTGGTAGCAAACTCGCTCCTTGCCCACATATAGAACCACCCTGTGACGGCCCTGATCGTCGCTTCTGGCGTGTCCACCCTCTCTTCTCGTTAAGAGCGTATCTTCTTCTACTTTGTAGCTGAAGGAGATCCTGGTCTCGGCACCTTTGCGGAGGAATATATCTATCAACTGGCTGCACCGCACAGGATACCTGGCTGAGAGGTTCCAGTTCTTATCAATAAGAGCCACGAGAACCACGAGCCAGATTGTCCATCCTTCGCCCGGCGCATTTGGTGGGAGTCGTGAGTCCAGCATGAATTCCATGATACTCAGGGTTCCTTGGTCTCCTGATTTCAGCCAGCTCAGCATGCAGGTAACAAAAAGCCTGGCTGCTTCCTCATCACTGTCAAGAGGAGATGGGTGGTGGTCCGCCTTCCATGTGACATACTCAAGAAAGCCTTCTCTACCTGCTTCGTAAGTCAAATTCCCCGAACTCTCCCACTGTCGGGCGCCTCGCCAATCGAGGATGCGCCAAACGTCATCCAGTGTCGCCAATAACCTTGCTTCGGGATGACTATTCCCCTGCATCTGGCAAAGCTCTTCGCCAATACGGTCGAGAAGATATGGCGTTATGTCGTCTCTCCAGTCGGCTTTGCAGATGGAGAGAAGTGGGTTTGGGTGGCAGCGGAAGAGATCTTTTACCGCGCGCAACTCGGCCAGATATGATAGACATATCGCCTTGTGAATGTCCGAACTGTCGATCTTTTCTTGGATGAGGTTTCGAATACTCCCTTGTTTGAGAAACTCGCAAACAGATCGGTGAGCAAAAATGATATCCCCTGTGTTTACAAACACAACCTTCTCTGTGTTCTCAACTACAACTTGCTCTGGGTGCTCAGCCACTTCCAGCAGACCTTTCGAATAAGCCATAATCCTGCGTCGCGCCGCCGCAATGCGCTCACCATTGTCAGATTGGTCCAATAGGACATCCTCCTCTTCAGTGACGAACCCAGGAGTGTAAAATTCCGTCACAAAAAAGCAGAACAATGCTGACATGTTTTTGTTGATGTCATTGAACCTCAATGCAACAGCCATCATCAAATAGGCCCGCTGCTTGTGGGTACTTGCCACTGACATGAGCAGCTCCCTGAAAAGGTCGTCCAGCTCAGATGGCGTTGAGTTGACCTTTTCCAGTAGCAGGGGGAGTGTATCGCCATCTGCCCATCCTTCTCGAAGTGATTTTAGGACCAACGCCACCCAGAGGAAGACACCGTCAGCTCGTTCGATAACTGCCCGCTTTAAGGGTGACAAATCTAGCGACTTTTCCTTCTCCTCGGTTGAAGGGAATAGTTCTGCAAGTCGATCTCTAACAAGAGTTTCGATGTCTTCTTTTGTCAATTGATGAAGCCTCAGTTTCAATTTGGGGTCAAGATTGAAGCGTCCAGTCTCAAAGATATTGAGTTCCCGACTGGATACGCATAGCTTGACGTCTTGCGGAGCGAGGTCGACCCATTCAAAAAGAAGCTTGACTAGGTCTCCGTAGTCCTCTCGCGTGGTTTCCTTGTACTCATCAAGACCGTCAATGAAGAAGCAGAAGCTGTGATCGCAGTACAGGTCTCTGTTGTTGATCATTTTGTAGAATGCATCACGAATCTGATCTTTCTGCAGCTTCAGGCTACTGTCAGTCAGCCATGGTGTTGCTGAAGATTTGGACGCTTCCCAAAGCTCTGGAAGGACGTCTGGAATGAGATCAGGGCATTGAGAGAGCGAGTCGTGGAGCAGGCCTCGAAATAAGCCTTCGAGGTTCCTCTGCAGATCGCTTTCGCCGTGTCTCCAGAAGAAATAGTTCGCACGCACGACACGGCTACCGGCCGCCCATTGCTCGAGGCGCTCTTCTGTGCGAGGATCATAGCAAAGGAACCTCATCAGGGTCGACTTGCCGGATCCCGGCTTGCCTGCGATGTGAAAAACACCACGGCCATGGGATAGCCAGTCCACGAACGAGCCCTCCCGTAAGATCCAATCAAAAGTTCCGGCATGTGCTGAGTGGACTTGGTCTATCCGTCGATGCATTGTCTCGAAGGAGAGACTTCGTAAGATACGGTGTTTTCTCACGGAGTCGTAAGTTTTCCCAGACAAGCCCAAGAGCTCACCCAGCTGGGTTTGGATGCCGCCATCCAATGAAGAGACATGAACTCCTTCGCGAAGCGTCTTAAACAGCCTTTCAAGCGATTCAAACTGATCAGCATTCGACTTTTCGGACCGAGCAAGACCTTCAAGCGTCTTTTTTATGTCCGAACTGGGCACATGATTAGATACACATCAGTCGATCTTACGGTATAAAAGGCTTCGCTTACCGCATCAAGGCATTCAAGCACAACACTAGCTTGTCCTGGCAACTGTCGAGCTGGCTTTGTAATTCCTTCTTTTCTGTTTTGTACCAGAGGCTGCTCAACGCAGCCGATACACTTGCGATACGTGACTTGTCTTTGACTGCCGTTTTCTCCAAATATCCCAAGAGCCGGTCTGATAGCTGTTGACACTCTCCCACAAGCTCTTGGAGATTCTTCCCAAGTGGTCCCGACGGTGAAGACGCTCCATTCTTGACCTCGCACGTGAGGTCTTTGAGATGCTGAGTATGGACTTTGAGGCTTGCATCTTGACGGGTGGCGCCGGTGGCAGAACCATAGATCTCAGCGGTGCCTTTGATGAGCTTACAGCTGAAATCGACAAGTTGGACGATGGCGCAGGTGAGACTGAGGCTTGCGAGGGGATCCATGGAGCATCACCGGCGTGTTGTTCGAGCGAAGAGATGAGATGCGCTGGCAGGGCTGTTGGGTTGAAAATAAGGCTTTTAGGCACTAAAGAAGCAGAATGGTGGCATTTCTGTTGGTAGCGAATTCCTGCATCAAAGCCGCCTTAAACCACCTTCTCTTATTGGAGTAAACCTTTTATAAAGGTTACACATTATGTAAAGTATCATTAGGTGCAATTAAGCATCTATATTCGTCTTGTCATTAATTTCTACCGACAAGAAAGGCAATCAGCCATAATAGCAACAGCCAGATTTATCATGCATGACGGGATTACGATCTGATATCCTAAAATAGTATGACCCGGAAAGTGTCTTGTCTTTAAAGAGATAGTCTTTATTTCACGCTTTACACTTCCGCGATGAGAAGAGCGCGTCCGTAAAACTTCCAGCGCGTAGGATCTACGTTGTTTCTAGTTAAGCCTCGACTGGCTAGATGTTCCCGTAGTGCGCGAATTTACGTTACCAAAAGCTCTCATCGTTGTGCCTCTGTAGCCTGATCGCGATGTCGAACACCAGAACTAGTGCAAGCGACGCCGTGAAAATCCCGGCCTCTCGTGTCACTCGAAGGGCCATGTTCTCAAAAAAGAAGGAAACTTGTCATATTATCTCTTCTCTCCGCTGATTTTCACATCATCACTCGATTGTGGTGCCATAAAGAGTATAGTAGGAAGCCGGAAGGATTCAACTTCCTTGTGACTCTTCGCTTATTACAGAAGGTAACATTAGACCGCTGTTGCTCGCTTGACTATTTATGAGGCTTTAAACTGCAAGTTGAGCGAGTCAGTATTCTAAATATTTACACCCTTATTGATCGTTCGTCTGTCATGTTTCTATCCTCGCTATTCTTTGTAACAAGCCTGCTGGGGTCGGCCTCCGCATCTTGGTGTGCAGCTGAAGATCCTTCTGCTGACGTTTTGTCTACAATACGCGCGTTGAGGGATGCCGAAAGGGACAAGTCTTTTACTCTTTCCCGTCGGCAAGATGATCCCATCGACATTCCGGTATATATGCACGCAGTTGTCAATACCACGAATGAAGACACGGTCTTAGACAGCAATATTCTTGAGGCACAGCTTGCTGTGATATCGGACCGCTTTGCCCCCCATGGCATCTCGTTTACGCTGCAAGGTATCGATCGATTGGTGGACGATGATCTATCAAGAGGCTACACCAGTCTAGCCTGGAGCGGCCATCTAGTCTCGTCAAGAAAAGGCGACTACGCGACTCTCAACCTCTGGTACGTCACCAATATGGACCCCTCCATCGGCGGCGGATGTTCCATCCCCAACGCAAACACTCCACCTGGCTCCATCCTCGCACGACTGGATGGCTGCACACTACAAGGCTATTCGGTACCAGGCGGCAGGTTTAATGGAACAACTTACCTTGGAGAAATCTCTGTGCATGAGATCGGCCATTGGCTTGGACTACTACACACCTTTGACGGCGAGTCGTGTACAGGAAATGGAGACTACATCGACGATACACCGGCCGAGAAGTCTTACGAATTCATGGCCTGCCCAATTGGAAAAGACACTTGCCCTGATCAACCTGGGTTAGATCCTATTGACAATTTTAGTAAGCCACCCTTGTGTTTCGGGTTATATAGTTTCTATTGCATGCCTTGCCGCGTTCTAGCTTCCAACCATAACCTCTCGAATAAAGCAATCGTTAACTTGAACTCTTATAGTGGATTACTCTGGAGATGGATGGTAAGTTCCTACCTACTTTTTCCATAGACTTAAGATTTCACTTTGCTAATGCTATCGTATTTACAGCTGGAACAATTTTACTCCAGGACAAAAGGTTAGGATGCACAACAGTTGGTTCACTCTTAGATTGGGCAAGTAAACTCCCGAAAGACGCTGGGTTCCGGAAGGAACATGCTGCATTAGAAATGACTCCAAATGCCAATACTTAGTTCTTTCGATATGCGGGTATCTTCAGCTGGAATTACGAGAATGATCAACTGTCGTAGCGAAAAGTTCGCGTAACAGAGACATGTTAACTGCGCATGGATAAAGAAGCTGTTCGACAGTTAAACTATGTTCAACTTGGCTGTATTGGCACTTTAACTGAACTATGAAGCCCCCAGAGCTTGGAAGTACCCTCATTCATGAGGTTTGTAGACGGGGTTTCATCGTGAACATGGGCATTGGGCTCTCCCCTAGATTTTGTAGGGGGTTTGTAAGTTCTGGGGTTGGGCAGCAATGCGCCAAGAAGAAACCCACCTGGAGTCTTCAGTGCCGTGATCGAGTTGATGGCCACAAGTGAAGAGGTTAAAAACGTTCGTTACGGTAATGAAGAGGCTGTCAGCAGGCCCAGACTTCCGCACCCACCGCCAAGAAGTCTTTACTTGGCTGGCGTACTCACGACGAACCTGATCACACTCGGACTTTGGTCTTGGGCCAAGCGCAAGTCGTCGGGGATGTCTCGTTTCTTTCCCCAGACACTTGGCACTTTACAACTTCTACCTGAGGGCTAGAGTCAACCATGAATAGCCTGTCGGATCTTCCGTAGCATAAACCCGCTGATACCGGGTTTCTTCTTCTACGAGCCCTCGCTATGCTCACTCCATTATCACGTTCTCCATACCCCCCAACTTTTCTCGCCGAATTACGGCGTCTGAACGCCCAACAGGATTAATCCCTACAGACCTCGCCAGGGGAACTCGGTTCTGTCAAGATTTGGAAACGTGCTTACTGATCCCTGTCGTGCCATTACATACCTCAATGTCTGCGATCCTTGCTCCCCATCATGCCCGTTTGCCTGCCGGACAACCATTCCATGGAAGCGCCGATGGTCCGAGATAATACGTATACTACGTTTTGAACGTCAGGAATCAGTCCTCACTTTGAGGTTTAGTATCCTATTGCCAACAAAATGCTAGCATCCTCGTCACAGGCTCGCGTCTGACATAGGTCCACGCTACGGGGTGCTTTTAGTAGACGAGCCTGATCATCACTCGATTCTACTCGTTTTGCCACGTTGAACGCCACTCCTAAGTCGCTTCAAGGGAAAGCAGTGATGAATATCATGAGACGGCAATCTTCAGCATTTCCATCTTCTATCCGAAACATCTTACGTCCTTCTAGAAGATTATTCTCTGCATCAGCGGGATCCCTCCCGAGGGTGCAGCTCGAGCTGTGGGATAGGACGTACACGCCCGGCGGCTCCCATGCTCCAACCCTTGAGCTTTATCCACACCCTTGGAACCAGTAGGGGTAATTGCCGTCCCGTATGACGCAAGAGAATGCGGCAAATTTAGCCTAACCTGGCAAAGTCTTGCGGCTGCTGAGGCGCTTGATCCTTGGATCTCCATCAGCAACCTGGGCGAACAGACGTCGATTTGTAACAGAAACGACTGTAAGCGGTAGGCGACTCGGGTAAGAGATGAGGCATTATTTGATAAATGCCTCGGAGACGATGCTGTTCATACAGTTCGTCGCACGTCAAGCTTATGATCCTTGGCAAGGGAAGTCAACGTTGCGCTCGATGCCTAACTCTGGTGGAATAGGTAAGGTATGAATAAATTACGGCACCAGATTTATTCCCGAAGACAAGGCAGCTCACTAGGAGATGCCTCAAAGGGGCAGGCGTTCAAGACCCTTACTGTAGTGAAACCTGGCCTCCTTGACCATAAGATTGAGGCTGCCAGACACGAGGCGAACCAACAGATTTGATTGACAGTTAAATGATCTGGTGTGATGAAGCACAGGATCCCAAGCTGTGGATCTTAGGCTTCTTGTAAACTTCCGCGCACCAATTGAGAACAGCTGGTGAATATTTGTAGTTACGATGAGGCTACACTCTTTGCCAGGATCGGTTGTGATATCCGATAACAGTGGGCCCCAAACTGACCTCTCTCTTGCCGAAGCTAGGTAGTCAAAGCGGCTGAAGTTTGTTCCAACCCCCCTTGAACGTCCAGGGATCGGTTCCCGCCCCCGAGCACACCGGGGTGGAAGCCGACCCCTGGCTCTTATACCTCAGGAGACTCTTTCTCGGGGACAACGACGGCACGAGAACCACAAAACTCTTGGGGGCCCATTCTTGCCCACTGATTCCGTTTTTTACTGCCTTCAACTCCACTCAAAATGGCTTCACTTGCGGTTCTGCCAAGACACCAAGAGCCACCCTCCTGATCAGGGACCAGGCGTGTCTAAATCCCCTCAACCCTCCGGATCCTCCGCCCCTGACTTCCGGGCGGATACACTCCATGATGTGACAAAAGTTGGGTCTCGTCATCACAAACACTCCACTGCCCAGTTTTCGATACCCCAATGCCCCATGGGGAGCTGTTCCGGGGTAAGAGCGCCCAGCATGGTCCGCTGATCCTATACTGTGAAGAAATATCGTCTTGGCTTTGATTGGTTCGCCCTGAGGGAATTGATAGGCAGCGGGCTTCAGACATCAGACGCTTCGGCCTTTAACCACCATGGATCAACCCCGAGGACTATTCTACGACTACGTACCCGGTGAAGCTTTGGTAGGTATGGAGGAACTATTTAAACTCGTCGAGCTGCAGGAGACTCGCCGGAATATGACTTAGCACTCGATTCTCCAGCCACTTCCCCCTGATCTGATTCCCAGACTTCTTCACTAGTATCTGATTACAGCTTTAAGCCAAGTTGTTCACCCTTCCATAAATCTGGTCCTCGCGGCTGGAGCAAGTCTCGACCCCAGATCAAAATCCCTCAAGTCAGAAAGCCCGATCGAATCGAACAAATCACAATGTCTACCCCAAACGAGTCCATCAAAACGAGCCCTGTCGAAAAGGATGCCAACCTCGACCGCAAACACTCCGACGTAGAAAAAGCCGCCCATGACTCTGGCCATGAAACAGGCACCGACTTCGATATCAAGCCCGCCGCGAGTGAAGAAGTTGGCGGTGTCTTTGGTGGTGAGGGAGGCAAGAACTTCCGAGTCATGGGCCGCAAGAGCACCCTTTTCGCCCTTCTCACCAACCAATTCGGCATCGCCGCTCTTGGATTGCCCTCCGCCTACCGCGATATCGGAATTGTCCCCGGAATTATCGTAACTTGGGGAACAGCATTGCTGGCTTGGTACACAGGCTACGAGTTTTGGCGATTTTACTGCCGTCATCCTCACTGCGTAACTGTCATCGACATGGCCAGGACCGCAGGTGGCCGGTTTTGGGAAGTAATCGTGGGCATCGCGTTTGTGATCCAGCTCAACATGTGCTGCGCTTCAGCTTCGGTCACGCTTTCTATCGGTTTCAACTCGATCGGCGACCATTCCATGTGCACAGTGGGCTTCATTGGCATCGCCTGTCTCATCTCCTACCTCCTATGCATCCCGCGAACGATGAAGTTCGTGGCGCAGAGCGGCTTGCCCTGCATGATCAGCATCATCGCAGCCGTTTTGATCACCATGATCAGCATTGGTGTTTCGAAGCCAAACCTAGCCGAAGATGGCTGGAAGCCAGATCTGAAGGTCGCGAACAACCCAGGTTTCAAGACAATTTTCAATGCGGTTCTCAAGATTGTGTGGGCATTCGCGGGTCACCACGCCTATGTCTCGTATATGGCCGAGATGCGCGACCCCGTCAAGGATTTTCCCTGGGCTCTCAGCTGGCTGGGTATCATCGGCGCCAGCTTCTACACGTTCTTAGCTGTTGGCATTTACTGTCTTTCTGGAGAGTACACAACTTCTCCCGCCCTCGGCGCAGCGCCTAGAATCGCGGCCAAGGCAGCTTATGGGATCGTTATTCCGGCTATTGTCACTGCCGCTCTCGCCAACGGCCACATCGGCATTAAATACGTTTTTGTCGTTGTGATGCGCAAGATGAACGCCCTCAACGAAATCACGGCAAACACCCCCAAGTCCTGGGGCGTATGGGTCACCATCGCAACAGTCTTCTGGATCGTCGCCTTCATCATCTCCAACGCCATCCCGATCTTCGACTCTCTGGTCTCTATCCAGTCAGCTACTACCTACGCCTGGTTCTCGTTTGGAATTGCCAGTGTCCTTTGGTTCAGCTGGAACAAGGGCAACTACTTCAAGAGCCCCAAGCAGATCGCTTTCTTCTGCTTGAATGTTTCCATTGTCGGTTGGGCGTTTTTTCTCAACGGCTGTGGTCTTTGGTCTTCTATCACTCAGATGCTGGACATCTTTGCTAGTGACAAGGGCGTCAACGGCAGTTTCAGCTGCGGTGACAACTCGGCCCTGTAAATACCTCTGACCAGTTTCACATGAAGAAGGACAGTTGGATGCATCTGTGTTGCATGGCGGATGAGTTTTGGTTACGATTTCATACCTGTATATTTTGCAGTTTTTGCACTCCTGTCTACACCAAATAAACTACGTGGTTCCACTTCTCCTGGCCCTTGCTGTGTGCGTGATCTGTGACGTGAGGGTGTTGGCATTGGGCATGGAACAGAGGATTGAGCTTTGATCTCTAACCAGAATCTCTTTCCGTCATCAAGCTCCGCGGTATAAGTGACACCATACAAATGGAAGCGATTTACGCAAGTGGACACATACTGGTGGTTCTATGGATTCCAGAATTTGTGCTCCTGCTGGAATTCAGGCTACCGTGCTGATCTCGAAAACAATTTCGTGATGAGACGCCAGTTGGAAAGATAAGTAGGAGTATCATCGTGTGTGCGGCATGACTCAAGTTGAGCTCAGTCTATTTGTGCAGCTTCTTATAGACGGGAGGATCTTGAATGCAACTTCTGCTGCATCTCTATTCGCCGCCTGCTAACAGTCCAATCTCCAACAATAAGCGAGCTTCCGGATCAAGACAAGCCTGGAAAGCTGTCGCACGATTTAAGTGGCACAGGATATTTATAAAATCAGACGCTAGACGGTTTAGGCAATGGCCGAATTGCTGCAAAGTCGCGTTATAGCACGCGTGGCTGAGACCTCTAAACCCTCATTTTCGACAACCATCATCTCTCTTGGTCATCCCTTCTTTCATCAATCACTTGCTGTTGTCGCTCGCTCTTAGCTCACCAGCAATAATCATGGCGCCATTTTTCAGCTGGCTGATGCTTTTCAGCCTCTTGGGGGTTGGTCATGCCTCGGCCCAAAGATTCAACCAGGAAGAGCAAAATCGGAATGCAGACTGTGACGTGAGTAACCCTTGGTGACGTGTCATCATCCTCAACTTTAGTCTAGAAAGAGTACTCAATTCATATTCTCTAGAATGGCTGCTTCTTTGGTAGCTTCCCGGGGGGCTCTTGTACGAATGACGCAGCGTGCATGTGCACGCAGCAAGAGTACCGCGAGAGATACTTTTGTTGCATGGCAGAGAAGTGTGCAGCTTCAGTATTGCCTGGTAAGCGTCATTGGCTTGTTACTCATTGCTGGATAACAACTAATCAAATTGTAGACTCTATCCAAAGGCAAACGCTAGAGTGTGAAGCCAGAAACATGGAATTCACCTTTGACGTGGAAAAAGTCTGCGGCATCAAGCTCACCACCACCTCTTCTGCTGTCTCGTTCACTGCACCTTTTAGGGTCTCTTCTACAGTCATTAGTGGCTCCGATGAGTCTTCAACTACATCTACCCTGGCTTCAACAGCATCAACGCCCGAAACCACCACCGACGCGTCTTCTGCTGGCACCTCTGAGGCAAGTTCTGCGGGAAATTCTGCGCCAACTACGAATAGCGGGTTGCAATTGAAAGCCATGGTGAATGGTATTGCGATAACTGCTGCCTTGTCAGGAATAATGCTCTGGTAATATGATGCCATCATCTCATGTCTATGTCTGATAGCTCTAATTTGAAAGGAAATCAATCTTCGATCTTCTGGCTCAGTTAACCCATCAAGGGCCGGGCTACAGCTATAAGAACGCATTGGAAATTAATCTCCACATTGTTAAAACCGCCATCCTTGCTGGGATCTAGAATATCTAATTTCTTCTCGATGAAATGCCACTGCACGAGAAACCACCTATTTAAGGCTAAACCTATATCGGGGTCTAGTCTTTCGCTGATAGGAAGCAGCCTCAAGCCCTAGGTATGAAGTAACTCAGCATGACTGGTCGTCTAAGTTGGGAGAAAGAATCCCTCTCAAGCGTATTCCAATCAAAGAGGGCTACCTTTTAACGAAGCCTTAAGAGGACCTTTATTTAATGATAACGTTCACGTATGAACAAAATTCACACGACGCCTTGGCGATATGCATGTATCAGTTGTGGCTTCATACAGCAAATTACAAACATCACCAATCAGCTGCCTCACGAACGCCACCATACAGGTACCTAACATTCCCCTCACAAATATTAGGCAGCAATAAGAAATATTGTTGAAATATCACCAAAGCGCCCATCCCTTTCAACAACCTGTCAGTTGTGTTGCTTGCCCCATCATGGCACGGAGAAACCTAGCCGATTGTCCGCCGACAGACACCACTGAAGAAGATGAGCGTCAACCTGAGACATCTGGAGATAATGATGCACGTTTCCAGGCCCAAGAAGAGATTCTCCATGGCGGAGATAAGGGCCTTGCCATTCCAAAAACCACCACACAGTCCACTGCTGCCGAAAATTCGGTACATCTGGAACAAACACTTCAACCCTATGGTGATGAGATAAGCTCCAACGTGAGATCAGCGAGTCAGGGGGAAGCTTCAGATACCGATGGAAAATATTCACCCGAGAATACTGGGCTGGAAGTATCCGCCGGCGTCGAAACTGCAAGTCATTCAAACGGAAACGCAACCGGCGGGGGTCAGGAATTGTCTCAACTAGGAGCTATCATCCTTGCCAAGATCAGACAACGATTCCTTTTTATGTTACCATCCAGGACCACCTAATGGGCACCCCCACCTAATGGACCACCAAAATTTCGAGCCTCCCATACAAAATCCAAATTTTAATATCCGCAAAAACAGTCCCGATTCTCCATTAATAAACGAGGCTTTGAAGAAAGTTTATAGAAAATTGTTTAAATTTCACTCTCTGCGTGGTTTTTTAACCTCCCGACCGCTCCGTATGCGCTAGCAGTGCTTTATTACGACTATAAAGTCCTCACTTTCGTCCTCTGACCTAATACCCACCTCAATTACCGACTCGACCTCCTTATCTACATCCACCTCTATTTCTGCTTCCTTTGAGTTAGGATAAACTTCTCTAGTCGCTAGAGCCTCCGCTAGAGCCATAAATCGTCGGTTCGGGTTCGGTACCGCCTTTCTTTTCTTCCCTCGCCGCAGCTAGGCTATTTACTCCTCGAGGCCAATAATCCGCGTATTCTAAACGGCAACCTTTATCTCTAAAGCTTCTAGTCCCTTTGCGATCTTACTATACTTCTACCGGGTCGGACGACTTCGGTATTTAGCTATATCTCTTACCTAGCGGCTTATTTTCGGGGTATTATCTAAGTGCAGTTGAGGAGGGCTAGGCATCTTAAACTATTCTACCACTTTTTCTTTATCCGGTTAAATTTCCGGGTATATTAGAGCTTTATGACGGTTAATAGGCTAATTTCCAGTAAACCTCTAGCCGGATAAGATAATATCCTTCCTTATGCCCGCCTCCCTGGCTTTCGCGTATGCCCGGATAAAGTGGACTTTGTCAACCGGCGCAGAATCAGTCAAACTAGCTAGCTTTTAGAGTTCTTTCTGATACGTACCTTTAATAATATTAAAAATTCTATTATCTAACGGCTATAAACCATAGGAATAATATGCTAGTAGGTAATAGCAGTAAACGTTATTTAGAAAGCACGTCGCTATCTATTCGTCCTAGCTGCTCGTTAGCGACCCTATAGCCGGCAATTATGCGGCGAAAACACCTAAAGGCTCACCTATGTATAGCTCCCATGACCGTCAAGGATAATTAGTCTCGCATCCGATGCATCACGAGGCTCTATTTAAGGTAGATAGATATCTTTCAGCCACTCGAGAGCTATATAGTTATCGGTCTAGCCGTTAGGCGATGTGATATAGTGCCAATCGGCTATTAATTTAAACTCGTCTAGAAACTACTATTTCTATAGCTCCTTTCCTTTAAAGATAATCCCTGGTTTTAAAGCGCGGCTAATTGCGGTAACGGCCTCGATAAATAAGGTCCACTTGCGCGACTAGGAGCCCTTTAATATCGCCTTCTTCTTCGGGTTAGAGCTCCCGATTACGAGGCCGTCTAGGCCTCATAGATAACTACTTAGCTATTCCCTATAAAAACCCATAGAGTACTTATAGAATACTTACCGAAACCCGCTATTATACCGCCCTCGTCTACGTTAACCGTATTCTTAGGCTTAATCCAGCTATACTTATTCTCCCTAATATCAAAGTACTAATTAACCGCCTTCGGAGTAAACCCGTTAAATCTAGCGGCTTCCTAATATTTTCTAAGCTTAGTAGATAGTTTTAGGTAATATTAGATGAACCTCGTAGTCTAGTACTTGCCTAAAGGCTTATTATCGCCTTATTATTTAAGGATAGCCTCGATATAGGCGCGGAGCTAGCTATGCGAGGGAGCATAGCCTAGAGATTCTTATCGCAGTACCTAATGAATAAGGGTCTCTTCTTAGCTCTTTAAAAGACGCTAGTGGGCCTAGATTCGTTTATTCTTACTCGCTTAACCGGAAAGTCGCCTAAAAAGGGTCAACCGAGGGACTCTACGTTTCTCGGCCGCCCCCGTCTATAATAGGCCTCTATTAGTAATATCGAGTATAGCCTTAGCTATATCATCTTCGGTATAAATACGGCGAACCATTAGGAAAGGAGTTCCGATAAGAAAATTAGGTAAAAATTCGGCTTAAGTAGATAGAGTCGCGTAGGGTAGATAAGGAGAAATGCGAAAAATTTCAAAGGGCTAGAGAACTAGGCCACGAGGCGGAACGGGAAAAAGTCAAGCCGATAATAAAATTTCATAAAAACTACTATATAACATAGGTATAGGTTTATGAGTATCTTCGTTCTTAGCTAAATGCGATATACTTGAAAATTCGGATTTTATATGGGAAGATTGAAATTTTGGTGGTCCATTAGGTGGGGGTGCCCATTAGGTGGTCCTGGATGGTAATGAAGATCATGGTTGGGAACATGGAGCTGAGTCTAGTCCTTTTTAAGAAGTTGTAAGAGATGGGGCACAACGACCACGGGTATAAACCCAAGCATGGTCGTTGGTATCCATTCAAGACTATCTCAAACACCAAAAATCGGCAAATATGACTCTCCGACTTTCTACCAGAATCTCCATTAAGTGGGCCGACGATGCCCCTTCCGAGCCTACCGATACCGTTGTACTAAGTGTCGGCGATTATTTCATGGATTTGCGCATCACCAAAGCAGATCAGTCTATCGACTGGGCATTTGCTGGAACCAGGGAGATCCTATCACGGGATCCTCGTAAGTCGCAAGTCGATTCAATTATCAGGCGTCTCTAAGAATGTTCAGTGCACTGCAGATGGAATCATACCATCGACTCCAGACTCTCCTTTGACCCGGACGAAGGAAAGTTTCAGCCACTTGCAAATGGCGACGACCTCGAGACCGGATCTATGCCCTGCGTTGAGAAAGGGAACCAAGTCACGCCTTACGAAGAAGTCTGGCGAGAGCTCCAGCCCAACCATGGAATGAACCGCGGTTGGATCTTGCAAGGAAAAGCAGATGGCGATGATGTCTTCCTCGGCCAGTATGGTGGCATATACCTTGCTATGCGTCAAAACAAGGAGGGCGTGTTCAGCGTTGTAAAGGAAAAGTTGACCAACGTCCAAGGTCGGCTGCAGTGGAAGAGTGCGTATCAATCGGGTGACCTGAAGCTTACGTCACTCTCAAGCATGGGCGTAATCTCTCCGCCTGAAGAAGAGAAGTGGAGGATCGGTGGCAGGGCAGTATTCGATGGTCAGGCATACCTGGTTCGCGCGTTGGAGACTCATGGGAAGGAAAAGGCTGTCAAGACACGAAGATCACGACTATAGAGGGTAGAGACTCCCTACTACGAAAGATGTATATTATTGTAGAAGAAAATAATATAGTAGACTTGACTAAGACTATAACTAAGTACATACTTATGTGCTTAAAGATACCGTATAAAAGACTAAAATATATATTGATATTCATTATTTGTCAATCTAAGCTTGAAATTTACCACTGATTTTAGCGCCGTTAACCTGCAGCCATATCACATACTCTAGCGAATCATCCAAGGCAAAGAGCCGCTGAGAACTTCTAAATGCTGCAGGCTGGACGGTTCTGATCAGCCACGCATGTATGCGTAGCAAATAATATGCTGGGCTGATACTGCTTACCCCTCCTGTGAGGCGGGGGAGGGCTTGATGTCTGCTATTTAAACGCTCTCAGACCTCAGCCGTTTCCCTCTACTAATCCTATCACTCCTGATACCTCCCACCAACACATTTGAGCGCAATATTTTCCGCCATTGTAAGAGACCCGGCCGTCGGGAAATGACACATCAATAACTAAAGAAGAGAGAGGTACAATTATCACGCCTCCCGAGCCCCGACTTTAAACAGCACCCGACGCTTGGGCCTCGATTTTGATTCAATTTTCCGAAGCTCATGGAAGTGGCCAGCTTAGCGACCGGACTCTCTGGTTACCTGCATCTTCTCGAGCGGACCCTGCAAGATGTCAGAGAGGTGTCGGTAGCCATCACCAGGTTGCGCCGTGAGGCCCATAGCCTTCCACCAGAGTATGAACAGTTAGATTATGAGTAAGTATGACTGATTTATGAAACTCGAGAACTAGCTGCTTATGCTTTTGTGCAGGTTCACCAATCTCTGTTCGCTTCTTGAGACACTGTGCAGCAACGCGCGTCTCTTAGAACTTCTGCAGCATGAGTTGATGCACCCTCTTCTTGAGCTTGTCGAAAGAACCATAGCAGTTGTTGATCATACGCGCGAGATCACCTCCTCTACCGCCTCGTTCAGCTTGTCATTCGGAAGACGGCGACTCGGCCAACGCTTTCCACCGAGATCTTCTGTACAAGAACTACTCGTTAGGATTGGGATCCTGAATGTGCAATACAATCGATTCATATCTGTATCGGAAGTGAAACACGTGTAAGTTCTCTTCCCACCTTGCTCCCGCGGAGGCAAGTACTTACAAGGTACAACCCAGTAGCGGCTTGGTCCGATTGCTTGAAAGGACCACTCTCGACCACCTCGAGGGTTTCGAAACGATCCTCGATTGGATCAGTGGGCTAAATTTCGCCGCCGATCAAGTATCTCTCACTGAGCTTCGTGTGCCAGGAACAGGGCAGTGGTTTCTCACCTCAGCGACAGTTCAGATTTGGGTGGAAAAGTACAATGGACAGACTTATCAACCCGTTCTGCTTTGTCAAGGGATGCCTGGAGCTGGCAAGACAGTGCTTACAGCCGTCTTGGTCGAGCTCCTCGCTAATTCCAGCCAAGACGGCCAAGAGCATGGCCTTGCCTACACCTACTGCTCCGAGCGCAAGAACCACTCGTCTCATGCACTTCTCTCAAGTCTTGTGAAGCAGCTGTGTCGCGGGAGGAAGGAGCAGCAAGTTATGGCCCGCCTGCGATCTCTTCACGATGTTCATCAGCCCCGGGGCTCAGTTCCCTCGAGCTTGGAGGTTTCCGAGCTCCTAGAATACGTCGTCACGCTGTATCCTCACGTCTATCTTGTCGCAGACGGCCTGGACGAAATGCCGATGGATGAGAGAGGCCCATTCCTCCGAGCACTTGGGCTGCTCTGCCGACGTCAAAAGCATGTCAGGTTCCTAGCAATGGCTCGGCGGGGCATCGAGTATCAATTCAAGGAGCACTTCGACAATTATGTTACCAAGGCCATCTCAGCGACCGAAGAGGACATCAGAACCTACGTCCAGCATCAACTATCGAATCACCGCCGCCTTCCCGAGCAATTGCTGGCGCGACAAGACGAAGTCACAGCGAAAATTGTGGCTTCGGCCGGCGAAATGTGAGAATTTCTTCCTCTTTATCTTCTCGTTATCCTCCTGGCTTGCTTTCTCTTTCCGCCCCTGATCCTCTGTTTGTCAAGTCCTTTTGTTTCCTTTACCTAGTTCCTGTTAAGATCCTCCCTGCCGCCTTCCCCCCAACTAAAGCCTACAACAGGTTTCTTTTCGCAGTACTTTCTGTGCGACATCTTCTCGAAGCTCCAACACTTGCACAGGCGTTACGCGCCATCTCGCGCCGCCCTCCGGAAATCGATGCCGTTTGGGATCAAGCAACTAGTTGGGTCGCGGCTCAGCCAAAGTCTGTCACCAAGTACAAGTTCGTGCTCTTGAGCTGGCTTGTTTATGCAACACGGTCACTCACCACGATCGAGCTCCAGCATGCCATCGCCATCCAAGAGGAAGGCAGAGACCCGGAGGAAGACGATCTCCCAGACATGGATAACTTGCTGTCAGAATTCAGAGGAATCGTGAGCGACGAAGGAAATGGATTTCCCCGAGTTGCCCACCAATCTGCTTTGGAATACTTTATCGCAAAAGAGAAGGATTATTTTCCCGACGCTGAGCAGAAAGTTCTCAAGACTTGCATCACCGCCCTCTCGTCACCGTCATTTGAACAGGGACCTTGTTTAACAGACGAGGCATTTGGTGCTCGGGTCTCACAGCACCCGTTCTACGATTACGCTGCCAAAAATTGGGGGAGGCATGCTTCAAACTTGGCGTCTTCGGACGGCTTCCTCTTAAGCTTTCTCCGTGACCACTACAAGCGGTCTGCGTCGGTCCAAGCATTAATGGCGTTCGGAGGTCAGCCAGGATACAGCCAAAACGTGCCGAAACTCTGGACGGCCACTCACATGATGGCGTATTTTGGGCTTCACGACGCGTTGAAGAAATACGCCCCAGAAGGCGGAGACGAAGAGAAAAATGCCAGGGACTCGCACGGCCGTACCCCTCTGAGTTGGGCAGCGGCTAGGGGGTACCTCGATGTGGCAAAGCTGTTGATTTCTTTCAATATCGTCGACTCTGGTCTTCTAGATCATACAGGCCGAGCTCCGATGTGGTATGCGGCGCGCGATGACCGTAAAGATGTCCTTGAACTCCTCCTTGAAGACATGTCCAGCTCTGAAGATGGACCCCTTGGTGAGCAGGTGTTCAAATCTGTACTCGTGGCTGCAGAAAACGGGCACGAAAAGAGCTTAGAAGTCCTATTAAAGACGAAGCACGTTGAGCCGAATATGAAAGACGATAGAGGAAGGACACCGCTGTGGATTGCCGCCAACAACGGGCACGTGAGGGCTTCCATTGTCGCTTTGCGGTCGGGCGCGAAACTGAGCGAACCGGACAATGACGGCAACCGTCCTCTGTCGCGTGCGGTTGCGCGTGGCCACCTTGCAGTTGTCAAATTGTTCCTTGACAATGAGTCAGTGACCCTAACTGGGGAGGGCGAAAGGTCGCTTATTCAACTGGCTGCGGACAACGGCCACGATAAGGTCGTCGCTCTTCTGATCCAGAAGTCAGGCGATGCAGGCGAGAAGGCTAATATCTGGAAATGGGCAGTCGACACAAAGTCGTGGCCAGTTCTCGGGCTGCTTGTTGACAGAGACAGCTTCGTCGACCAGAATGTCGGCGATGGTCAGACTATATTGACCCTGGCGTCACAAATGGGCCAAGAGTCGGTAGTGGAGCGAATTCTAGGTCTTCATCCACAGAAGATGAACGAGCAGGACATGAACGGCCGCCTTCCGCTCTCGCTGGCGGTAGAGTTTGGTCAGACTTCTGTTGTCAAGGTGCTCGTCCAAAAGTTCAAGGCGGACCTGAATCAGAAGGATGCCAGCAACGAGGTGCCCATCTTACTGGCTGTTAGAAGCAACAAACCTGACATTTTAAGTCTCCTACTTGACTGCGGCGCAGCTGCCCCGGCATCCGCAGGCGGCAGGACACTTCTCTCCTTGGTGGCAGAGAACGGCAGTCGAGAAATAGCCCAGAACCTCGTCAAACGCCCTGGGGTGGACCTCAACGCTGGAGACGACACGCAACGGACCCCTTTATCGTGGGCTGCTGGTTATGGGAATGACGAGTTCATGCGATGCCTTCTCGAACAAGATGGCATCTTGGTCAATGAACCAGACGTAAACTCGTGGACGCCCTTGTTCTGGGCCGTAAAGAATGGCTGCGCCGCGGCTGCGGCTCTTCTCATCGACAAAGTCGAAAACATCAATCACGCAGACAAAGATGGACGCACTGCGCTTCACGAGGCAGTCATGAATGGAAAAGAAAACCTAGTATCTATGTTCCTGGGAAAATCCACCATCAGAGCCGACATGCGTGACAAAGACGACAAGACGCCTCTCCTCATGGCACTCGAAGGTGCCGACACTCGCCAGGAGTTGATCCGGAAGCTCGCGCCAAAGGACACGGTCACTCTGCACATCATGGCAAATCATAACAGACATGAACTCGTTGCGCCGCTAGCTAATGCAGGATACGATCTCAACAAGCTCGACTTTCGGACTGGCAGGCCGATACAGGAAGCAATCCGCAAGGGTAACACAGACTTTTTGGAGGCTCTCATCGCCGCTGGAGCAGACACGAAGGAGCCGGACTTCGATGGGCTGACGCCATTGCGACTTGCAATTCATCAACGCAAAGACACATTAGTAAAGACTTTGCTGAAGTGTCAAGGAACGATGATGGGCGTCTTGGCAGAGGAGCTACGAGATATTTTCAAGCTCCCCGAGCCTCCTGCGCAACGGCCAACTATTAATCGAACGCTAGGCATCAAGCCGAGTGATTCTTTCATTCTGGCCATCACAGAGTCCACGGAGAAGGGCCACATGGTCGAAGCAATCAAACTCAGCGCCGTGGAATCAACCTGGTGGCCTGCAAAGTCGAATGCCTCGATGGGCAGGCGTTTGTGGTAGGGGCCTATAAGTACCCCTTGAGCATCATGGAATGAAAAGAAAGACTAATCATAACTTTGATTTGACGTTGAAATAGCCATCTCGATCACGATCCCGGATGGTTGAAGACGAAGCATCCCGGCTCCGATGGGCTCGAATGGGGCACTGAGGTCAAGTCGGCAGACACCGATCGAGTCTTCTTTGCAGAGGCCTGGTTTACGGCCCGGCCAGGTATCGACCAGCGGACGCTCCCTACGTGGAAATGCAGGATCGGCTGGACGGTTTCTTTCACGGAGGGTGCGTCCAAGCCAAAGTTGACCACGCGCGACCACTTCAGTATGCTGCCCTATGGCTGGCTCCCAGAGGATGGAATCGACTTTTTCCAGCTCTTCATTCAGCACCTGGAAAAGACGTGGCATACCATCTGCGACAAGGCGCACTATGACCTGCTTGAACTTGTGCGTTGTCCTACGTGTTGCTGACAGAGCTTGAAAACGGTAACCAGGTTGCTGACTTTCCATCTCGAACAGAGGAGAACCATCTTGAGAAAACGAGGGCACGATAATAAGCTCATCAATCGACTTCTCGACCACGCAAACATGTGGGCAGAGCTGAGGCATACACTCCGACTGCAGGTTTCCAACTCAAGAAAATTCAACGAGGAGTACTGCAAGAGGTTCTTGGAGCAGCCGGACCCGAGGCTGGAGGCTACGATTGAGGGCCTTGAGATGTCGGTCAAGATGCGGATTGACAGCCTTGACCGTGCCCTACAGGATCTTATACAAATCGTACGCCTCGTCACTGCTGTTGTGGGCGACTGAGTAGCTGACTGATTGTTATAGGAGTTCAATTTGGTCTCGATCAAGGAGGCGCAGCTGTCAACAAGCACATCAACGAGCATGAAGCGGCTGAGCTGGATCACGGTAAGGAGTGTCTTGCTACTAATTCCGCCGTTGGTGGGAGCAATCCACAATCCCTTCCTACTGACTCTATTCTATAGTTCTTCTTCCTCCCACTTACATTCATTGCGGTATGTACCAGTCCAGATTGGCTTTGGCCTTAGATTCAAATCAGGTGAGCTGACTTGGTCCTCAATGCAGGGAGTGTTCGGCATGAACATCAACCTTCTGGAGTCGAACCCGCCTTGGTGGTTCTACATTATCTTTGCATCCGCCACCATGACCATCACGTTTGCGGTTTGGATTGTGTTCAAGCGATATCCTGATGTAAGAGTCGCATGTCCTACTGTCTTGTTTTGAAGATGGCTGACAAAATATCTAGCTCGAGGGAGACATTGAGAAGCGGTTTGCGTGGTTGGTGGACCCGGAGAACTGGAAGGAAAGCCGTCCGAGGGATGTCGAGGCAAAAGTACGTACTCCGAGGGATTGAGGTGGCGAGATTCAGTGATGAGGAGAGATACGGAAGGTATGATATTAAAATGTGTTCTTTGCCATCCTGGAAGCAGCTCATGCCGGAAATGCTGAGTAGATAGTGTGGGTGCCTGATACTCCAACCCTAGATAAGCCCTGCCGTTGGAGTGGCCTTGAGTGGAAGGAGACATGGAGAAGTCGTAATCACCCTATAGGTTCTAAGTTGAAAAGGCGGATGGATCGCTGTTAGATTGGACCCAAGTAGCCACGACCCCGTATCAGCCCATGGTCATCTGGCTTAATTGTCCTGGGCTTGAACTATTATTACCTTTACCTGTTGCGAACTCGTATTTCCTTTCTGGGCTCTTTCATCATCTCTTTGACTTTTGTCCCAGCCAGCTTTTACTTGCGCGCCGACACAGCTCCCGCCTCAACGACAGTCGATGATGGATTCTGAATCTGGCCTAGACCCGGTGCCTAAAATTCCATCAACAAACTCAGCCCTCCCTGAAATTTCAATTCCTAAAGAGTGGCTTCTTGCCTCTTCTTCGTCCGACCCAGGTGTCTCCATGGCGAAGCCCCTTCAGCAACCTTGCGGTATATGTGCCTGGGATGGGACTCTTAAAACGCTGTTCCACTTCAACAACTTTGCACACAGATACTTATGGCAATTGAAGCGTTCCGAATACGTGTCTTGCCAATTTCTTTCTATCGCCTGTTACGCCGTTCTCAAAAAGATTGCAGAAGGACAAACAGACGGACGTTGGCCTGATTCCTCCGAAGTAATTATCTGGGGTTCAGATTTCACAGCGACGCCAAATCAACACATGCCAGGACAGCGAGCGATCACAATAAGACGAGCGCCGCCAATCCCATGGCCACCTACAGGGCCGACAAAGGTTGGGTTTTATATCTTTATTCCCGCCGGTCAGTACCGAAAAGAGCCTCCCTGCGGGCTGCCGACAAAGAAGATATTACGCGGCTCAATATCTTCCACATCTTCGGCATCATGGGTACGACAACGATTAGAAACATGCTCGAGTGCTCATGTGAAATGTCCCTCGTCGCCGAACCAAAGCTTTCTCCCCACCCGGCTCGTGGATGTTAGACCTCTTGGTCCAGAGGGCAACGTCAAATTAATCCAAGGCCTCAACCTCCCCAACGGCACTCGATACGCAGCACTGAGCTATGTTTGGGGAGATGTCAACTTGCAAGAGCACATCAAAACCACGCAGTCTACGCTAGCAAGTAACCTCGACAAAATTGTACTCTCTTCCCTCCCGCGGACCCTTCGGGATGCCGTCGTTTTCACACGAGATTTGGGTCTTGATTTCTTATGGGTAGACTCTCTCTGCATCATTCAGAACGATCAAGACGAGTGGGCTCATGAAGCGGGCCGCATGTACGATGTATACAAAAACTCTTTTGTCATGCTCGGGGCTCTCTGGGGTCGTGATTGTGACTCGGGGCTATTTGGCACCTGTGCCGAATGGCAGTCCTAGCAGATTGCAGTACTCCGCTTGGATCACGACACATGGCCACTCCACGTCAGCCAAGAACACGAAGATTTGCAGTTAAACTACAGATGGTGCGAATGGGACCCACCGCTCCTGAATCGTGCCTGGTGTTTCCAGGAACGGATGGTGCCCCCGAGGAGTATCTTCTTTGGTCGAGGCGAGGTGATTTTTGGATGCCACGAAGGGATAAGCTGTGAGTGTGGTATCAGCTACAACGCCGTTAAATATCCATCGTCCAAACAGGCTGAAATTATGTCATTCGGGAATACGGACCAGCCTTCCTCGCCTCCTGGGCCGGAACATGGCCTTCGCTGGGTCGACCCAGACCCCCAAAAGGCATGGCGACAAGTGGTAGAAGAATACTCCTCCAGAATATTGACTTCCGAGAAGGATAGACCTATTGCTATAGGCGCGGTTGCAGAGCAATTAAGCTATTCCAGACCTGGAGAGCAATATCTTGCAGGATTATGGTCCGCTACATTCCTGGTTGACTTGTGCTGGTGGGTACCCGGACGCAACTGGCACAAAGGAAAGGAGCCGGGCGATGTGACCGCCATACCAAGTTGGTCCTGGGCTTCCAGGGCTAAGAAGGTCAAATATGAAGGAGCCGACATGCTGTTGCCCACTGCTGAGATCATCCAAGTCAGTTGCAACTACAAAAATGACAATCCCTACGGGGTCTTACTAGATAGCAAGCTGATCCTCCGCGGCCGCATCATGCGTTGGTGGTCTCGCACGGCTAAAGTTAGAAGCACATCTGATGAGACAGGTGAGAGGGTCTTCTTTGGAAGCAAAGGAACGTCAATCCACTCAAGATATATTTCTGAAGACGGACAACATTGGCGGAGGATTCCGCCCGGAACTTTTCTTTTTGAGCTAGGGCGTTGGTCTGGGGATAATGTCCTGAGTGTCTTCCTGGTTTTGAACTGCCAAGACGAAGAATCCTCGGTTTTTCAACGACATGGTTTTCTCAGTCCTACCTCCTTGCCTGTTGAGTCAATAGGGAGGGAAGAAATTCGAGACCTGAGTAGGAAGTTCGCTGAGTATAGTGAGATTAGGGAGTGTACTATTGTATAACAGAAAGAGTCTGTACTTCTGCTCTTTGCTAGCTAGAAGAACTGAGAAACGAGTCAACTCATAATGTCATGCATTGCAACATGATTGTCCATTGTAAGCCTTGCATTACAGGTATCAAAAGGCCTGCTGGTAGGCTCCTCCTAAGTTTGAACGGACGGTGTTAGTCCCTGCCACATTTGCCCAATCTCACTTGGTCGTAGCCCCAGTTGTGTAACGAAGTATAGAAGGTTATTGCCAGTGCTGGAGAGCGCATCCCGCGTCTTCTGGAAGCGGGGAAGGGTATAGTCTATCTGCCGATATAGGGTCATGTGGTCCAAGAACCCCTCTAGGAACAGCTCAAGTTACTCTATTCGAGGCTCGGAAGAAACCTTCCGTTTCACGATACAGGCTAAAATTTAATAGGCGGGGAATTTGCGACGATGGAGCTTGTTTCGGCAGGGTCGTCGCGGGTAAATTGAGACTGCCGACCAAGCTGCGTCCATCATATTCGGGACTGGGAATGGATATTGCCGTAACAGCTATTTCCAGGGCCATCGTATGCGTCGTAAATAACCGCCAGAGAGTATAAATAAGACAGCTTGGTCAAGGTTTTGGTTTCCAGTCACTCCCAGACAGCGCCTCCGTCAATTTCTTCCTTCCCCTCCCCGAGCACATTTATCACCATGAAGGCTTTCATGCCTCTCGTCGCCTTTTTTGGCACTGTCACCGCCCAGCTCCAGCAAATAACCAACTTCGGATCCAATCCGTCGGGCGCCAAGATGTTTATTCATGTTCCGACGAACCTGCCGTCTAACCCAGCCATCGTAGTCGCTATCCACTACTGCCAGGGCACAGCCCAGTCGTACTACCAGAATACGCCGTATGCCCAGCTTTCTGATCAGAAGGGATTCATAGTCATCTATCCCGAGAGTCCTTATAGTGGAACTTGCTGGGACGTCAGCTCCAAAGCTACCATGACTCACGATGGTGGCGCCAACAGCAACAGCATCGCCAACATGGTTCGCTACGCACTGCAGACTTACAAGGCCAACCCCGCCAAGGTTTTCGTCACGGGTTCTTCATCTGGTGCTATGATGACTGTGAGTCGAGATACCTGTATGAGGGACGAGATACTGACAGCGGCATAGAACGTCATGGCTGCCACTTATCCAGACCTGTTTGCAGCTGGCATCGTCTACTCTGGTGTGCCAGCCGGATGCTTCTTCACCAACTCAGTCAATGGCTGGAACTCGGACTGCGCTCAGGGCAGAGTCAACAAATCACCAGCCGACTGGGCCCAGATGGTTAAGGACGCCTATCCTGGCTATAATGGAGCTCGGCCCAAGATGCAGATCTATCATGGTGGTGCTGATAATATCCTCCTTTCACCAAATTATCAGGAAACCATTGACCAGTGGGCCGGTGTGTTTGGCTATAATTCCGTGAGCCCCCAGTCGTCAAACAACAATGTTCCCCAAGCTGGTTACAAAACCGACACGTTCGGGCCGAAGCTGGTTGGCATCTTTGCACAAAATGTCGGCCATTCTGTTCCTGTGCGAGGTGCTGATGACATGAAGTTCTTTGGGCTATAGAGAGGTTGAACAGTCGTACCCGAGTAGTCTAAACTCATCCCACACACAAAAGGGTAGATCAAGGCAACCAGCGAAAGAAACATAGTTATCAGCGCAATCAGAAAGGACTTATCACTACTCTATAGTATAAATAGAGCTCAGTGGTCAAACGATTCATCATTTCTACTAAGCCACTTCTCTATAGCTGTGTTTGAACCCCTACATATCAGCAATCCACCGTTCGCACATGAACACCACCCAACAATCCCCTTGTTTTGTTTAAGTCCTAAAGGCTCAGAAGGCAAAGAATCCCACTAATCCCATGGTGATGGAGACGATCGAGCTGGCGATCCTGAAAACCCCAGAGGCAGCCCGGTCATCTTCAAGATGCATGAGGATGGCAGCTCGTGGAGTCGAGTCGCCAGCCTTGACAACGACCTCATCATACATCTCATAGAAGGTGTCGCGGTCAATGTTGCGCAGGACGGTGGCGTTCTTCATGGCTGCCGTCAGTGTGGCGTCGTAGACGTGATCCTGGACGAACAAGTGGCCGGCACCCAAGTTGGGGATCTGGCGCAGAGGGCCATGAGGGGCAACGTCTGGGACAAGGGGGGTTGGGAAAGGTCGGCCCGCCTCGGACAGCTTGGCGATGGAGACAAGAGGCTTCTTGAAAAGGACGCCACGGTAGAAAATATGCTTGAGATGATTGGTGTGTTGCTTGTAGGCATTGACAAGGTCGGCTGCGAAGTCCTCGGGGTCTTGACCTTCAGGAACGGAGCGGTAGGAGGAGTACAGCATTCCCGTGGCGGACTCAAAGAGAAATATGTAATTAACTTGGGGGTGCGGAGTTGCGGGGTTGACGTGCTGAGTGCTCATGATGGGTAGGTGTGACAGGGTTTGGTAGAGATGGTTCTTTGTGGCAAGGCAACAAAATGTTACAGGGAATGGTTCGCATCGTAAAAGGCAACCGCAGTCGAGGTATATAACTACAGACAAGTACAAAGATATAGAGAAATACCATGTTTCACTGTTACTACACAGAAAAGAGACCGAAGTATGTGGTTGCAGACATTTAAAGTGCTTCATACAGGAGAAATGACAATTTGTCTGGACGTAGTGACAAACACCGGGCTCGGGCCAAGGTCTAGGGTAGTAAAAAAATAAGACGAACTCCTGTTGTGGAGATGGAAAGTCAAACAGACCGAAACTAGTGAGTATATATATTGACAGTTTGAGCTTTGCTTGACAAGGTAGATCAACAGTTGGGGTCAAAGACTTTCCCTTCTTTTGGCCAAAGGACTGAAATAAGAAAAGAATTCAGGCGTGAGAGATCCCTCATCCCGGATCCGAGGGTAGGGCAGGGGGTAGCCGAACTTCATTGGTAGATGAGGCGATATTCAGGGGTCTTGCGGGGTACGACGTCATTTCTCAATACCTCCCAGAGATTCTCTGGAGCTAAAGATAAAAGCACTGCCCGGCTGGAGGCAGAGGTAAATCGCTACCTTGACTACACAGCTAAGGGTAGTAGATTTGGTAGTGAGCGACTTTGCAATCCCCTTCACAGCTCTGTTCAGCCGCGCTCAAGTAACTCGAGCCCCGGATATTGACATCTCGAAGACTCCTCATTGTTGGTCAAAAACAATTTCAGCTTCGCATGTTTCGTTGATTTTCCCCTTATCCCCTGGCCCTGGAAAGTGATGAGGGATTGTAGGCTTCGTTGCCGTGAACCCGTCAGCTGGGACTGACGTTTTTGTCCGTAGCTCGGGAGAAATGTAAAACTAACTGAACAAAACACTGCCTCCCGCTCCTGACGTCCACCTTGCCCCCTTAACCTCAACTAAATTCGTCTACAACTCTGAAGATACCTTCTAACTCAATTTCCATCTTTCCATCTGCCCTAAACTTCGAAAGCAACGATGGCTGTTGTAAGTCCCCTTGATTTTGCTGGTTTTCGGTCCGCTCCCGCTCCCGCCCCCCACCCCCGCCCGGCGACGGTACAAGGCTGAATTAAGGTTAACTCGTTAGGTCTCACCCCTCGGATGCTTTATCTACAGCGAAACACCAAGTGATCACTTCTACAGTCTTGCAAACAACTATGACTGCGAAGCCACGAATTACGCCGAGCCTCATCGTGATCATGGCCTCAAGTCCGACAACGATCTCCGAGGCTTGATTAAAGCCGGGCATTGCTATGTAAGTGTTGACCGAGTACCGAGTCGCGGCCATGATCTGATCACTGTTTCGGCACAGAAACCTACCCTCGAGCGACTTCCCATCGACCTCAAGAGTGATGACCCTGCCTGCCTTGAACTCGATCTATCCTCGGCCGATTCCATCCGAAGCTCTCAAAAGGGTGTCTCGTCCGATGCTCATGGCCTCCCCTTGTCCGAGCCCTGTTCATCGCCTGAGAGCGAACAAGGGAGAGGTGGACAAGATGCGTCGCTTGTGCCCCGGGACACTCGTCCACCAAGACTGCCGCGATTGACCGAACCGCCCCTCTTGGCCGCCATACGTCAAGTCTTGTCCTCAGATCCCTCCTACGCAGAAGATGTCATCTGTGCCGTGAACCAATTCCCCCACGACAAGCGCAGCCTTTCCATCGAATCCGAACCCGAACCCTCTGATGACCCTGGGTCGTCGAAACCACCCGCAGGGCCTCCTAAAAGCGCCTGACACCCTCGGGCAATGACTCGAAAGGGAGCGGCAGAGCTGGCCGAGGCACTGGAAGGGGCCGTGGTGGACAAGGCGCAGGTGACAAAGACGACAGGGAAAGCCAAGATGGAAGCGGGAGAGGTGACCCCCCGCGGCCTACCAGGGACGTGAACATGGAGAAGCGTCGCCGCTGGGTCTGTCCCTACGCTCTTGCATACCCTCATTTGCGCCATATCCCCATGTTTAGACACTGCTGGCCTGGCAATATGACTGAGGTGCACCTCTGGAGGTAAGCGAATCCATGCACTGACACTCCAAGTCTGACATTGAATCTTAACTCTCTGCAGGGATCACCTTGCGAAACATCATTCCCCAATCGATCCGAACGCCAATCCCCCCCCACAGGCGGATCCCGCACAGTTCCACATGAACCCTGAGCAATGGGAGATGGTTTATAACAAGATCGAAAACAGAGGCAAAAAGCGCCCCCGAGACAAAAATGAGTGGTTCTCTCACTGGAAGAATATCTTTCTCGAGGTCTGGCGCATCATCTTTCCTCAGAGCCAGTTTCCCTCCTTGGACGAACCCTCCTCCCCTTGTATGTTCTTGGCCTATCTCCCCGTCTATTGTTCAAGTCAGCACGTCTGTACTAACATTCGCACAGTTCACCTGAATAGCGACGAGACAACAGAGCTACAGCGTCAAGTGAAAGAGGTGCTGAGGTCACTACGCGATGCCAGAGCGAAGCGAGCCGTTGAGTCCAAAGCTATTGCATCTAGGGAGGACTTCCGCCCAAGTAACGCAGAACTGGACGACATGATGTCAGAAGCCATCAACGTCGTGCTGCTCAGCACTCCAGTTGCTTTCGATGCTACTCATCGGCTCGCCCATACTTCTCAAACGCCGCAGACCACCTCGGCCGGTCACACAGACACAGTCGGGCCCCATCCTGAGACAGCACTGCAAGACGTTCCGTCCGAGACACACGCTTACACGCCTACCACAGCAGATGGAGCGTCTGGATTCGCCCCTGTCGACTCGAATACTGCACAAACAGCCTCCACGGACTCATTTATAGCCCCCTTGCGGCTATCTCCCAACGGAACTCGAGTCGTCATAGTCTTACGCCCATACGACGACTGCAACCTTCAAACTGGTGCTCAGAGGGGAAAGCTGCGACTCTATCTACCGGTATCATTTTACGCAAAAGACTTCAGCCAAGAATCATTACCTACGCCCCCGACCCCGAACATTCTCGCTAATCCCCCTCCGTCGGCGATGGACCTTGACCCAGGCATCAGTCAGCAACCGCCAACAGGGCCACATGGATTGCAAGGCATCTCCATGCAAGACATTCAAGGGGGCCCGTTTGGGCCAGAAGAACTCGCAGTGATGGATCATCTTGGGCGAATGGGGCAATAACTGTGGTGCGAGTAGTCAGGAGGTGCGCCCAAGGGATATAGGCTGCCACAAACACTGCATTTCTTTTCGGGCATTAGGCATGAAATTAATACAGACTTCTTTATCGATTATTACTCCCAACTATTCCGTGAGTCGCTGTCTTGGACCATTAATAACGCAAGCTTCTGTTGCTTTCCCTTCGTCGTTTTCATGTTCCCTATTCCAATCCAGGGCGGCAAACACTCACACACTCTCTTTGACATCAGTCCAGCTGATTTGAATAACCAGCAAAGTCCAGCATATCTAGTCCTGTAAGTCCAATTAGGAAACTCTGGTCATCACGGTAAATGGTCGAAGTAAAATCGTTCTCTGGCATGACCAATGGCTCAGACACTGTTGTCGGCTGTTGCATCAACAGTCTCGTAGTTGAGAGTGGCTCGAGTCCGCTCCACCCAGCATCTTCATCCGTATTCTGCAGGTTACACAAGTCCGCGTCCGGAGCAGACCGCTCCCTACTTGTGATCTCAGGCTTACTAGCTGTCACTTGTTCAACCGTACTGTCGAAAATGTTTGTCTGTGGCTGATGTTGACTTGCAAGCCACGCTGCCCAGTCATTGTATGCTGAAGGCTGTAGTGACTCTATGCCTTCTTCAAGCTGGTCTGAAAAGGTGCCAGATTGCCGGAGTTTATGAGCCGCCTCGTTTGAGATAGCCTGTAGTGTTTCCACGAATCTCACACCCACTTTGGCAGTCAAATTCCCAGCTGCCATATCTCGGAGACAATTTAGACCAAAGGTCACTCTGCTCTCATACGTGGAGTCCCTTTCAATAATTCCCGCAATGAGAGTAACGATGGTTGCAATACTGCAGCCTTGAAAGTCCGTAAAAGAGAATCGAGCCGTGTTCCGGATGCGGGTCAAGTCCTCGAAAAGTTGAAGGAGCTTTCTCGCCGCTTTTGTGCAGGACTTGGATAATCTTTCAATTGCCCCGTCAATTCTTAATGGTTGAGATTCCTGACCTAGATGATGCTGAAGTGTAGTTCTCACGGCTGTAATTAGTGAGACCTTGCCGATAGCGATCCAGGCATAGTAGTAATTCAAATAAAGGTGAAAGACCGCTCGGTATCTCGAGTCCCGAGGATTAATACTCTCCAGATCAAAGTCTTCGGGTAGGGATTTCTTCCACTCTCTTAGCTTGGCTTCCGCATTTGCTGACCCCGTAGGTTTCGCAGCTTCGGTTGATGGGGCCCTGGAAAAGTCAGTAGATTCAGTGTTGAATGTCTGCCAGCAAGCCTACTCTGAGTCTGTGGCACGGTCTAATATTGTTATCAGACGTGCATAGGCAATTTGGAGTTGGATGTTGTCAAACTTCTGGGCCCTGTCAAGCGATGGCAGAGGGGTCGGCAACGGGGCCTTGATGATACCGGCATCCACAGACCGCGGCCGGTTGAGCTTGATGGTTGTGCATCTAAACCACAGGCTCAGTTTTCTGGGTCGTTAAGATTCCAGTATACATACCGTTCGAGAGAATAAATAGACCACCAAAGCCGATGACGAACCTCCCGCTCTCTCTCATCTAGCATTTGATCATCCGAGCTTTGATGTAGATCAAACGTCAATGCCTTCCTTAGAGCTAGACCCATATAGATGTATGAAGACTTGACAGCACTCAGCGGCATGAGGCAGACACCGAGAAGAAAGCAGGCTTGGATAGATCTTAAGCATGACCTCTCTATAATGTCGGGGACCAGAAGTTTGGCTTGGCGAAAAAAGACACGCCCTGGGTCGCATTCCTCAGTTTGGAGAGTGGGTGACAAGTTATTTGGTCTTTCGAGAGGGGTCCAGTGGCTCCCAAGGGCAAAGATTCCTAGTAAAAGGCAAATAAAGCTAGGGTCTGATCTCAAGGGAGACATCGGGTTGGAGTAAAATTGGTCCAGCTCGTCGATGACCTGGGCTTGATCAAAGTAGAAGAATATGTCGACACCGTGTTTGATGCATACCGATAGTAAAAAGTCGGCCACCGATTTTGGGGGCAATGAATCAACTGTGGCCTTTAGGCGAGACTGTTCGGACAGTGAGAGAGTCTTTGGGCGTATGATGTGCTTTACAAGATCCATTAGCAGAGACTTTTTGAGGTCGTTGAAGTGCTGCCGACATACTGCTTGCATGGCAGCCATGTCTTGCGCTTCTGGACCAGACATGGCGTCGAGCGAGAAAGCCTCGCGAAGTCTAGATAAGAAATGTGGCCACAGAACCCTTTCGGTCTGATCTACAGCCATGGGTTAGTGGGTATTGCGAGGAGGTCGAGTTTGAGTGGCCCACGGCTATCGATGGATATATCCTGTTGAGGTGTGGTTGTAGATTGGCTCGGCGGGCCGGGTACTTGGTTTTGAAGAGGGAGTGGACTCTCACTCTCTCTTGAGGATAGCCTCTCCCTGTTTGTGTGAGCACAACAGGTGGAGTACAGCATGTAGACATGCAAGATGGAAGAACGTACTTCTCAAACCGGCAGGTCAGGTTATTGGCTTGGCATCTTTGACAAATTCCTCCGCTCGCCTCAATGCATTTACTCTTCCTCGCCTTGCAGCGATCGCAGCTACACATGACACGTTAGTGATGTTTGCCACTTCAAGGGTCGTACTTACGCTCGAGCGGCTCTCTTCCGATTCTCGTCGGCAACACGGCGTTTACGACGTCGGCGGGCGGCAGCCAGAGACTCCATTTCCGAGGGGTCTGATGCTATGTGCACCCTGGTAAGATGTTCCGTATTGGATTGAGCCCATCGGCATGTTGCCATTCAAGAGAGAATTTGATGAGGGGAAGAATCGGCAATTTGATCGTCCGTCGGGAGCTTGGCCGAGATCTTGTCGGGTGTCTGCCGGGAATATGTACTGTACCATCTCAGCTAGGGGCCGAGCCACCAAGCTAACGTTAGTGCAGATGATGATCAAACAATTGAGTCTCGGTACTGAAACGAGCTTTGTAGGGCAGCTATTATTCTATGCGCAGGTCTTGGCAGAATACACGTCTTGGATAAACTGATCTCGGCAAGGCTGTCTTGATTCATTGCTGGCCCAGAGTGAAGGGGGCAGCATCGGTTGGACTTGCTGGAGTTTTGGGAACATTTCAACAAGGAAAGGAAGGATTAACTGGGTTAAGGTATACAATGAGACTTGATTCAGAGTACTTGGTCCACTTGAGCCAACGGGTAGTACTTGTCACGGGTAGATGCGCATGGTAGTCAAGGCCAATACACGTGCAACCAAACACGAAGTTAGTCAAGGGAGAATAGTCGCTTCCTGATAGACAAAAGCCGCCAAGGCTCTCAACGAATTATGGTTGACATCTAGGTTATTTAATTCGGTACGTATAAGAGATAATGCACAATCTGCAAATGTTTTGATGTTTACTCGGGCGAATGGCCCCCGAATTGTTGAGTTCAGGTGTAGGGTGGATGGCCTCAAATGGCACATGTCACTGACACGACATGACCAGCATGCGTGGTCAGGAACAAAAGTAAGTCTAGTAAAAAGAAATATGAAATTTCTCAAAGAAAAAGAGGTTAATTCGAGACGACGTTCATACATCCTCGTATCTGCCGAAGGGGTGGTGAGTCGTCCATCAAATGAAGCTCCAACATACACAGCTGGAGATATTCAAGGCAGGAAGGACGGCATTAGAGCATCGCCAACTATGATGCATCTTCTCGGTATGATCTCTACTTGCAATGCAAACTCATAGTTCTTAATCTTATCAGTGAAGGTCCATCTTATCTTGTAGATTTCAACTTATCTCCAGCTCTGGTTAGGAGGCCTCATCGCAGATATCAGCTTCCAAGACGGTTCACGACATGTAGCATCATCAAAACTACAAGGCATCGCTCGGGATTGCGATTTGTCAAACACTAGAGTTTATGCCCTTGGTGCGGACTCACTTCAGGGCGCGTCAAGATCACGGTTTCAACTGCGGTGTCTAATTCCATGGTGGGCTGATGACACATCCTTTGACCCGACAACTTGCGCGATGCTATACCATCACGTCGGTTGCAGCATTTGCTCCGGCAGACAAGATACATATTTTGTGAGAACCAACAAAGCATAATGTCTAACAGATCATGCACTTGCTTTTCAATCCATTCTATCGGCGCCGAGACATCTTCATCGATGTCTCACCAATGATATCATACTAGATCTTCTGTTACAGGTCCAGATGAAGATCCCCAGACAAAATCCACAAATAACAGGCCCGATTTATTAGTTACAGCTTATCGAAGCCACTGTGCGGCGCGTGTCTCGTCTGGTTTGAGGATAAATTGCAAACAAGCAGACATCAGCTGTTTAGGCTTGGGGTGGAAATCTTATCGCACGAGTCAAAGCGGCCGCATATTTGCTGTTGGGCCTGGAACCGCTCGGCCCACAGATTGAGCCAGGCTGAGATGATGAAGATTTGGAAGCAAAAGGTCCTCAGAGAGATCCAGAGAAACAGGGTTATCGTCAGGACGACCAACCTGCCCTGACCTGCATTATTGAGATCTACCTCAATCCCGGGGCTCTTGTCCCTGTTTTCCGTCTTTATAGGGGTCTTTGACGGTGAGACTGACTGCGAGAGATGTTGGTTGTGTTTGGGGTTGACGAGTCTGACTCGTGTTTTGCTTGCGGACGTCTCCACCGCGGAGCCGAACTGCATGGCGTAGTTGCGGAACTCAATTGGCGCCCTGTCGACACCGATTTGCGGCCGTCTAGGGCCACTCGGCTTCTCGCGTTAGCGGCAGAGACTAGCGGTTCTGCAGCTGGGAAGCGTCGACCAAGATGAGGCGGCCTTGACACATTACGATGCCTTCTTGTTCGATGCCTTCTGCCCGGACTGATCCGGTTGGCTGGATCCCCCCTGCATGGCCCTGTCCAGGCCACGTTTTTTCTTCGTGATCGAAGCTGCGCACGCTCCCCTTGGAGACAGTCTAGTTTAGCTGGCGTTGTCTGACTGTCGTATCAAAGGTCTGTCCTGGTGCTTGGGTGCAGAAGGAGAGCGTGCTAGGCTGGCGGAGCCGCAAAAGCAATGCCAATATGGAGAGCAATCTTGAGAATGACTCGACTATCGATTGAAGATCAGAGGATGCCAAATGGATGACAGATGGGTACCGTACGGACACCAGATGGAACCCAGATGTACCCTGAGAGTGAATGACAGATTTGCGGTGGCAGTCACAAAATATCGGTAGGGAAACCCCATACCCCAACATGTTACATGATTGAGTGCAACTCCCGCAACAGAAACCGGGGCCTCCTGTGATCCTTCAGCATTCGCGGGGCAAGCTGATACCTACCGAGATGGGGAAACAACAGGTTCAGGGACCCTTCGGGGCAGTTGGAGCCCGACAATGCAAATGCTCATCCTAGAAAGATCTTCAACGGTCCCCATTACATTGCGGGTCCTGGAAGCTCTGATCCTGTCCCCTGGGATGCGGAAGCGTCAACGAGCGCACACCCACGCCCACACACCCCCTGGCCCTTTCACTAGCGTCGATGCATGGCATGTATGGCTTTTGCTCAAATATGCAGTCTGACGCTTTCCAAAAGCAATTGTCTCTGTTGCTTCTTTGTTTCTTTGACCTCGTCATTCCTTTTATCTTTTTTCATCAAGCGTCGAGAGTCCCTCGACACCACAGGCCGGAAAGATGGGAGGCTTTTTGATGCCAGAGCATTACCAGTTCTACAAGCCCAGTGTCAATGATATGAACATTGCGAGTATCGCTTGGGGATTCTCTCTGGGTGTTTGTATCTTCACGGGCGCAAAGGGTGCGAGGCAGACGGTCAAGTCATGGAAGCGTGGTATGAGAACAAACATCTATCTCGTCCTCTTGTGGACGGAATGGTGTAGCAGCACCATCATGTCCGCCATCACATGGTCATATCTCCGCGAGTACATCAAGCCTAGCTTTGCCGTCTTCTTCGTTATCGGTATGACCTCACACTGGTCTGCGACTGTCGCATCTCCTCTAACATGTCACGACAGTCTTCCTCTGGGCCGTTCAGATTCAAACCCTACTACAGATCATCATCAACCGAATTTCGATTCTAATGGTAGTCCGACAAAATGCGTGGAAGCTCAAGCTCGGTGTCTTCCTGACTCTTCTGTGCATCAACATTAGCGTCTTCTGCGTTTGGATACCTGCCCGACTACAGATCAGCGAAAAGTGGAGGGATGTCAACAATGTCTGGGATCGAGTTGAGAAGGTCATTTTCCTGATGATTGATGCGGCTCTCAACTTTTACTTTATCCATCTGGTCCGATCTCGACTCATCGCCAACGGTCTCACCAAGTACAACCGACTTTACCGATTCAACTTGTTGATGATTGGTGTCTCCATCACCATGGATGTACGTGTTGGACCCTCACTGTTTCATACTTCAACCCACTAACGTGAAACAGGTGCTTCTGATCGCCATGATGTCTCTCCCCAACGATATCGTCTACCTCCAGTTCCATCCCCTCGCATACCTCGTCAAGCTCCACATCGAGATGAACATGGCCGAGCTTATCACCAAGGTCGTCAAGGCCAGCAACCCCAACGGTTACGACTACTCTGGCTCGCGAAGTCGATCGAACCCCAAGAGCTCTCAGCACCGTACCGCCACCGGCAAGAAGATGGGATCCATCTTCCCAGCCGGCAACACCACCTATGTCGAGGCTGGAGAGGACATCGAGCTGCCCACCAGAGAGGAGCCTGGTATCCAGGTCTCCAAGACTACTCAGGTGGTGGTCAAGCAGACGGCACCACAGGAATATGACGATCCCGACTTTGCTAGCGAATCGAGTTCGACGCGACAGTTGAAACGGGAGCACTTTGCGGTCTAATCTGTTGTCTCATCTACTACATCACAGCAACACTTTTGTATACTCACGGATCAACATTGTCTTCACCATATAAGATACCTTTACCCCTCCATGATTAGATTTAGAAGCGGCAACGAGCACAAAGCCGTGCATAGTGTCAAAGCACGGCATTCACCTAATAGCATAGACCACATAGAGTTTAGATGAAATTTAATGCATGAAACCGCCCCCTCTTGATACGACCCTTGCAGACATCGTTATCCATGTCGAAAATCCTCGTCGTTGCGCCAAGAATCGGCACTAAGAGTCGGCTCCGCTCGTCCGGACATGCTGTGGCTGACTGAGAGCTAACGTTAGATCCGCTCTAGCAAGATTTGAGGCCCCCCCGGTCGAGAATCACGCTATCATCGGACCATGCTCAGAGACGAGTTAAGGGGAAGAGGTCATTGTCTAATCGTGGAGTGCGTGATCTCAAGACTGAAAAAAAGCAATGCGTCCCCAGTTTGGTGTGTGTGGGAAAACATGCCGGTTCCTTGTCTTCCCCAGAGAATCTCAGGATCTGGCAGATGTGGGTTCGGCAAAAGAAAAGAGAAAAAAGCAACAGAGACAGTGAAAAGGGACACATCACTGTGGATTATGGGGAAGTGTTGATGACTTGCAGTTCAACCACGTTTGGTCGTGATTTGACGTGCCAAGTTGCCTAGTTTTTCTTTTGCTGTTTGATGTTTGACAGACGATGCAGGTCAACTCAATCTCGTCATTTTCACACTTTGACATATGCACACAATATTGACTGTAGCAGTCAACTCTTGTCAGCTCATCGCAGCCATCTCAAACTCGTATTCTTCATCAAACACACACATGATCTCCTCCATGAAGGGGCCTCTCCAAAGCTCAAACACCCGATTGCAATCTACCATGCAGGAACTAGTTGCTGCAGACTTTTCACGGGTAAGCACATGACCATGGCGCCGCTATCTGGAACCAATCGCCCATCGATTCCCTTTCGATCTCTCTCGTCCAAGCTCTCAAGAACGCCTCTCAAACCGGCTCACTGAACAGCCTAGCCTGATAAAACATGGACACCATGTTCGGACGGGTGGCGTGGTGCGGTGTGCCCTGGCGAGCAGTGCATAACGGCACAGGTTCCCGGGACAGGGGCACGCTCGCTCGGCCAAGGGGGATGCTACCTTCTCTCGCTTGAACCATGCTGTTGGTCCTGCGGCTCAGCTTTTTCTTCAACGGGATATCTTCGGACGATGAATTCGCTATTTCCGCAAAGCCTCAAACAAGAGAGATCGACAGAGCCAAGACACGGAACCGCCTCACCCGTGTATTCCAGAATGCCACCGAGTAGGGGTTTACGCAAAAAAACCCATGTGTCAAACACGAGGTCCTACCCCCCTTCTCAGCCCCGTTCGAAACCTCGTCCCCCTAAACTGCAAAGCGGCGGGAGCTAAGAGCTTGGGTGCCGATAGGGCGGGTAAAAGGGTGCCACCGCCCGTGTGTCTTTGTCTCAGAAACGCGGCCGTCGATCCCCTAGAACCTCTTAAACTTTGAGCAGGGTGGAACGCGGATATTGAGGCCGAGATACGCGAAGGTACCTGGAGCCGCATCGAGTTTACGGCCTAGTGCGCGTTGAGTCCTGGAGTCAATGGTCTAATAGAAAAGGGATCCGACATGTTGGTCTCTTGATGGATTCTTGGTTCCTGACCTAGTGATCGCTTTATCGCTTCGAATGTCGATCTCTTGATTTGACATGCCCAACTCTGAGCCGCAACCATGAGTTGACACCATACTGGAGCCTCAAGTCGCTTGTCGATCGGCTTTTTGTCAGAGATGACTGAGTCACTAAGATCGCCCTAGATATCGGAAGTGTACCGAGTGCGAAAAATTGAGTCGCATTCGGTGCAACACTTACTACACTGTTTGGGAATAATGTAACGGCGTTTCACTTTTGCTACGCTCCTCAGCCCTGAACGATTGACTCAATCACGCGATACAGAATATGCCGTAGATCTGACAAAGTCCTGTTCCTGTCAGAATGCCCAGGTCACACCACTGTCTCTACCCGCTCACCGTGACCAGGGTAGGCAATAATCTCGGTGTAATACTCGGTAACGGAACTATCGATCAATAAAAAAGGACCCTGTCACTCAGCTGTCGTAAACTTCTCTTTCGGGGGAGAAACCTGACTGCCGAAGGAGGGGTTGCCAGGGATCGTTTGTCACTATCTCCGGTATCCAGTGGATTGGTTACGTCAACATCATCGTGTCAAAAGGGGATACATGGCCATCACTGAGGGTCGGTAGTATCAATGACCCGATGCTTGGACGGGCGAAAGTCGCCGGAGCCGGGCTTGAATCATATCGCCACAGTTGATTGCATAACCGTTGATGGAAGGATCCAGGAAGCCACAAGCTCCTTTTTCCAACCCTATTGATAGGACTGAAACACTGGCTAGTTGGCATGCGGAACAACACGATACTCCCCGGGAGGTGTTGGGCCGAAGGTAGTGGAGCGCCACTGTCTGTCCGTCATGCAGGAAATCAACTGAGACGGGCCTAGAAAATTTCCAGATAATCAGGGATACCAAGACTTTAGTCAACTCAAAGATACCGCTCGTCATCCTGAAGCTCCCCTACTTCCTCACTAGAAAGCCCACAATGGCCATATCTGATTCCATCCCCAGGCTCTGGTCTTCTCATTACGCCCCATTTCAATGGAACAAGTGGTGCCTCTGGCTGTGGTAGACCGTTTGGGTGATGACAAGCTGCCGTGATGGCTAAGCTGCAGCTGCCAACCACAGGAATTGCCGTCGGCAATTTCATGCATCCTGTGATCACCACCCAGCAAAACATTAGAAAAGAGGTAATTACAACAAAGATAATCGCTATAGGCGAGTATCCACAGGTGGAAAAGAACCATTTCGGGTCGGAAGCTGAGTCTTCCCTATCCTCGATGACGACGAGAAATAAGCTTTGTGACAGCATCCAGTGCATTAGAATTGACACGAGAATAAAGGGGATACTGAATCGGTACGGAAGCTGTAAGAAATACCGTGGACGCTGCTCCCCTTTTGGGTGAGAGGAAACTCGCATTGCTTTTCTTTTCCTGCCAAAGTTGGACCACTCTTTCGAGGACAGCATGCAGGTAAAGAGAGCATTGAACTGGAAATAAAGGATCGAAAATGCAAGCTGTGGTGCATTTGCGATGAAAACATAAAGCAGAGTCTCGTTATCCTGGGACAAGAAAAGATCTATGCCAGTTATTAGAGCAGTCTCTGATACGGTGCCGAAGCAATATTACACAGCGATTTGATATCGCGAGCACCGACTAACTCCCGAAGGCCACAGGTAAAAAGAAATACAGAGTAGCGCTCAGAGCGGTACAATATCTGTCAATTGGTAGTTAGACGAACGATCCTTTAAGAGATCAAGGGTCTACTTTGGAGAAACAACTTACAGGAATGCAGCCGTCGCCCATCTGCGACCGCTGACGGCTGCTGCCTAGCGTCTCCTCTTCTATTTTTTGATGACATCGCTGTCAGCCACATAATCAAAGGACACACTTGAAGACACACGGCAGTATCAAAACCCAATACTGCAAAACACCGTAAACCTAAGGTAAGGTTCTATAGCCATAGAAACCTAATAGCTGGAAGATGAGCCTCGCAGTTCAAGATGCCACCTTTCCTCTAGCGTCTCCTCCTCAAAGATGAAGTCGTGGGGCCAGTGCATCCTCTTGTGCCCAGATTCTTGACGCGGTCAATGGACACAAGCCGCATGCTCTTGGAACCAGGCTCCGGAGTCTCCGGGAAGGTCTGAATAGCACCGCCAAGCACAAATAAGGGTTGTTCTGGGGGATTGAAGGCCACATAGATCAGTACCCCAGCTTTGATGATATTCGCGCCAAGAACAGCACCGGCAATGAAGACACTGAAGCTCACACGGCAGAGCTGACGTACTGGCTTGCTGAGACAATACTTGGCTTGATATCCGAACGGTTTCCAGTTTTCAGGTTGCTTTCTCACGTCTGCAATCAGATCATGACAGAGAGAGCAGTCTGGCTCCTCGCATATCCAGTCAAAGGGTGATGGGCGGCAATATCCTCGAAGCATGCCTGGATACAGGGATACATCCTCCCTGTCATAGATACGTTCCAGGAAGACATCGGAGCCTCCGTCACATACCACAATCACGTCACTCCTTGCGGTTTGAAAGCCAGTGGCATAGGCATCGATGCATTCCAAGGAAGTGGGGTTGTCCCAGTTCTCTTTGAGAGCGCGCTGGAATAGCTCTCCCATTTGGAGGTCATCGCTATCCCTTGTGAATCGAGAGGAAGCATTCCATCTGACGAGCTCATCAATGTTGTGTGCTGTATAGTCGAATATCGAAATAGATGCAAAAACAACTGAGTTGAATCTGTGAAGTGTCCGCTGGAGTCTAGTCTCTGATTAAGGAACACATTTGATGCGCGTACAGAAGATGCAAGGGGACCGAAAAAATACCCAAGAGCACCCAGAAAAAAGTTCTCTTGCAAGATACTTTTCCCAGATTTCGAACGCTCAGAACTCCAATATCCATCCACTCTTCTCGTGCATGAGCTCGATCGACTTCAGCCCGTGTTGGGGCCGACAAGCATTGCATCCCGTAGCTGCTAGCTGATAGGAGGACGCAGCTGAAGATGTTGATCAAAAGATGAAGTACGACGTTCAACTTCTTCGAAGTGGTGCAAGGGCCTTCATAAATGATTCTTCGAGTGGTGGTAGTATCTCCAGCCTCACCTCCTGTCGGCAACTTGAGCGCCCAGAGAGTGGTGGAGAAGTTGATAATGAACACGACCAGAACGGAGGCAACACCTGTAATCAGACTGAATCTCCAACCAGAAGTCATACTTTGTTGGGTTGGGCTAGAACCCGGCTGGGTCCCGACTCTTACGTCGGAAGATGCCATGCTCAGGTAGGTAGGCACTTGGTATTCTGAGAAGCTTCCTTGGCGGTTGAAAGAGGTCAAAGTTCAAGTTCCCGAAGATGTAAGCCTTGCAATGTTAAGGGAGGGTAAAGGATCCCCCTTTTACATGTCAGATACTAATTTCTGATTCCCCGAAGAGCGAGCCAACGTGGCGCCCAGCTGAGCATCCTTAACGACCCAACGAGGGAGCCAAGCCAAGGCCCTGTATGTTGTACGTCAAAGAATGCATCGGAAAATACTGCAACAGGTTCCGACTAACAAGAGCATTACGCCATAAAGAGCCGATTGGTCCAGGAACACGCGAGCCCGTAGGTGGTGATCTCGATCTTCTAGCCTAGTTAACCTATAAAGAGCTGGGCTTTACCTATAGTAAAGAGCACATTGCCAACACATCATAGTGCAATGCTAACATAGTGGTTGGTGATCTCGTTAATGGGGAAAGGCGATAAACGAAGTTAAATCAGCCTTGCAAGGTAGAAAAAGTTCAAATAAATAGACACATTCTTCCTCTCACGCCATCAAAATCTCTCGTATACTTGGCTACTATGTGATAGATCATTTGCGGCAAATGCAGAGCTACAATGCGTTCCAAGCGAAGGCTATTTTAACGTGGAGGGGAAGGCCAGTGCTATTAGAAAAGCCACCATGAAACTTTTATAAACATCTACTTCTACTGTATTTTGTTGGCGTAGAATCTATGAGGGAATCTGACATTACTACTATGCAGCATAGCGAATCAGATATCTGCAAAGACTTTCAACAGGATATTGCTTTCGGGCCAAGACAAAAGTTCCCTCATTAGAAGCTTCCTCCACAAATGAATCCCAAGTGTCGGAAAGAAGAGCATAAGGTTCCTGTTCAAACAGTTTCCTCGCCGCTGAGCGCCAAAGAGAGGCCAGTTTGAAAGATTTCGTCGAAAAGCTGATAGTGATGACATTCACCTCCAACTCAGCCACTTGAACCGACATCAAGCAAGGCTGATCACACCAAGCACCAGTGCCGAGGTTGAACCCAGAAATCAAGGTGTAGTTTTTAATACCTCGTCCATCTGAACTCGGAGAAAACTTGAAAAAGAAAGTCGCGTGGTTCATCTCCGTGTTCAACCAATGGCAAACTGGTAAAGTCTCCCTGGCCTTGCCGTGACTTTCGCAAACAAGCCTCAGTGACATTCTCCCGGCCAGAGCTAATGTCTGCAACAGTGATGTATCCAAGTGTTCCTGGTACATCTTTTGGAAACTGAGCCAATTATATCTTAGAGAGAAGCTGATTGTATCAGAGATGGGTCTCAGACGAACCAATGCCTGGCAGAATGAGGTCCACATTGAAGGAGAATGTCCACAGTTCAATAAAAGGAATAGAACCAGTTTTGCCGCTAAGGGCTTGCATACCGAACTGGACATTGCCACCTTCAGCGGGATATCATGTCGAACGGGACCCTGTCGGCGGAGTGGCTCGAATCTCGATGAGAGCCTCGACCATACTTGGAGAACTTGGTCAACCATCTCCTCGTCGAGCCCGAGGGCATAGGGCTTAATCAGGTCTCTGGCTATCTTTTTGCGTGTTTTCCGTGTCCGGGGCTGGGGCTTTGTCGTATGGCAGCGAGAGGCAAACAGATTTAGAAGCGCAAAGCACAGCTCATCCCTGGGCATGACACTTTGCCAACGCTCCATATGCGATACTGTCTTCTCGGAAATTTGTGTAGACTGGTTTCGGCGAATAGCAGCCGCCGCATGGCACCTTCCGTCCACGACGGCCCTTAGGAATAAGGAGTCAAAGTCCAATTGACCAAACAGCCCATCCGGTAGAGAATCGATCAAGAAGGCGATGAGTCTTGGCGAGTCCTTCTCCACCGCATGAGCCAATAGTATATCAAAGACTGCTTTCTTTGCATCATCTCGAGTGCAGAATGCCTGGTCAGGGTGGGAGTGCGTCCCCGATAGAAGTTGCCTCAAGAATATGCGTGCGACTTGGAGCCTTCGTGAGGTCACAGCTTGGTCCATACCCTCCATCAGATCTGAAAACAGGAAGTTCTGAGCTCTTTCAATCATAAGCGATAGTAACCCAGCGGTCCCATGACGCACTGACAGAAGCAAGTCACGTGCAGTAGGCTGATAGCCAGACTCTAGTAACATGCGAGGAAGGGAATCATCCCCTGGACTCGAGATTGATCCGGCCGAAAGCGAGTTGGATGAGCCTTGAAGTATGTTTCTGGGACAGGACCCGGACCTGGAGATGAGGGCCAGACTAAATGGGTTTCCAAGAACCAACTGGCCAGTCAAGTTCAACCAGGTACTGTCGAGAACGGCGCGGACCAACGGTTCAATGCCTGAACCGATGGCCCTACAGAGCAGATAATTTGTCGGCCAATCGGGTGATAAAAACGCTTGAAATGGGATGTCAAAGTGGTAGGCCGTGCCCTCTTCTCTGAGCTTCCGTGATAGCCAGCACCACATGAGTGCTGCAGTGGGTTTTCGGAATGTTTTCAACACACATGCCCAGACTTGATCCAAGTGTCCAGAGACTAGTTTTGCATGCATCTCCCAACGGCTGTAAGCATACATTTGCAGTGGGAATCTGACAACTCCGTGTTCATGATGGGGATAAGAAGAGCCAACCGAAAGGCAATGCCCAATGTATGCCAATGAGCTTCTCACGATATGCCGGTGAGCAAGATCAAGATTGATGGCATATGTGTGAGAAAGCGAGTCCAAAGTTCTGGAACTGACCAGATACTCCTTGACAGAAAAATGGGCAAGTGTGACAGTGTAATGCTTTGGCTGGAACATCGCCTCGGTCAAGTCTGGTGGCGGATTAACCTTGACCAAACCAGGAAGCAGGTCTAGGAGGCCGAAATCCTTGATGCGGTGATCCTCACTGAAGGGGACCTCCTCGTCAGGCTTGATGATAGATGCGTCGACCAACTCTTCCAGGTAAAGAGGACGAATACAGCAGCACAGCCACTGGAGCGCCGTCTTGGCTTCATAAACCACCTCGGAGTCAATCTGAAGCAAGACGCGCTCATAAGTTGCGTCGAGACTCTTGGGGAGCGAAGAGAGTATATTCTGAACATCGCAATCACGCAGGATGCGTTTCATCTTCAGCTCTTGCATTTGCAAAGCTGTCAAACGGAACCTATTTGACACTAGTTAGCATTTCCTTCCCAGAAGTAGAAGACATGTATGTCTCTTACATGCCGCCAGCCCCTGCCACCAGCGTCTCATGGATCTTGTGCTTGATGTGATCGGGCAGCGATGCCAGTCTTGGGGTTAACTTGATCTGATTGGTCACATAGATCTCCATGTCGTTTCTCGCGCCGCCGGATGAGAAGGGGAAAGTCCTCCAGTGCTGACTTCCAAGTATTTCCTTTTCGATATGCCTTTCCGGGCGACTGGAAACGAGGATGTGCAACAAAGGATACGCCCTTTCAGCCATCTGATTTAGTAGGAGAAGTAGTGTGGTTCGATCTGGTCCATATGGAATTTCGTCAAGGCCATCTAAGACCATGTAAACTTGAGAGGCTTGGGTCACGTCGGCATCCGTCCCCGAGGCGCAAACTCTTTCCAGGTAAGCAAGCAAGGTGGCCTGCATTTGTTTGGTAGATGGAGGATCCAGACCGCATCTCTGGTGCAATGCCTCCATCAGGGTATCAACGGAGTGTGCCAAGCAGAGCTGCCGGAGCACGGACTTCAGAAAGCCGGCAATACCATGGCGATCGGTGTCGCTGAAAGTGAAGTAAAAGTAAGCGATTCTATCACCACGTTGTGGAGCCCTGCTTTTCAACTCTTCGATAACAGAAGAACTATAGGGGTTAGCGTTTTAGGATCTAACTCCTGGGTAAAGCTTACCATAGAACCGTCTTTCCGCATCCGACTTTGAGAAGAATTAGCTTGCACACACACACTAGGATTTCATCATGGAGTACAAACCGTCGCCAGCAAGCCACATGCTTCGCCCAGTATTGGCCCACTCTAGGAATTCCTGGCTCTCCAGGAACCATTCTCCAGTTCCTTCTTCCCGCTGATCCTGTGCGGACAGGTGAGCAGCAGAGATATCAGGGGCAGCCAGCCACTCAATCAAGGCACATCTTCGAGCCTCTCGATTCTTTTCTGCAACAAGTGTCAGCACACGAGCCGATGTTCCGGGTAAAGCCTCTACCTTTTTCCATTTCGATGCGCTCCTTATTCGAATTTTGGAGGGTAGTCAGATCCGCGTGGACCTTTCTCAGATCGTTCAGACTGGTCGCTGTTGTGTTTCTTGTATGAGAGTCAGGACAAGGTCATGTAACTTCGCTTCGGATGGCCGACTTACAGGCTAAGGAGGCCCACAACCATGTGTAAATCTTCGCGCAGTTCACTAAGAACAGACTGTACCCGCATGATCTCCCCTTGATAGAAGATTCGAAGCATTCGCCGATTGAAATTTTTGAACTTTGTTCGAAGCTTCTCCGGGTCCCCTTCCCTCTTGAACTTCTCCAACATCTCTTCCAGCTTCTTGACATTGGAATCACAGCCCTTCATAGTGATTCGAACTATCGAGATGATGTCTTCCGAGAGATTGGGCTTTTCGAGGGTGATCTCAAGCTGGGTGAATATGTTTGCTAGGGCGAGCAGGGATCGCTGAATCTCGGCGACATCTTCGTCGGCATGTGTCCAGAGGTCGTAGTAGCCGAGTAGGCCCTTCGACACCTGCAAAGCGAGGCTCACAATGGCCAAGCAAGTTCCAGGGTCTGACATCGTAGATTGTCGTTGAGTTCAGCTGAAAGAACAGACTTGCGATTCTTGGGACGGTGGCCTGATTTAATAGACCTTGACTTAGTGGCCGCGAACCAACACCTCGGAAACAGGCCTGGGCTTTGGCGCTGTTCTGGCATTCCCGTTGGCTAACACTGCGGCAAGGCAAACTGGCCATGTCACACGAGGCACTGCTTGGCTGCTTATTTGTTGCTTTTCACTGGACGACCAGGTGGCAGTGTCTGCAGGCGCCGCCGCCCAAAGACGCCCAAAGGGTGCGGCGAAGCAAGACTGAGGCCACCTAAAGAAAAAAAAGTGTGGCATGCATTCTTTCTCTGACAAACAATACAGCTAATGTTGTGACTTGAAGAGAGGTTTCTCGGATAGCTCAAGTACATAGACGCTGAGAGAAAACGCGCCTTGGTGATCTGCCCTGACGAGCCATCTTACATGATGTCAGATGATGACATGGGTGCGCGCCCTTTGGTTGTCAACCATGAGGCTTGTTAACACCTGAAGACGGCCTCAGTCGATAGAGGAAGAAAAGGCTTAAACTCAATTCAACCTCAACTCAGCCCACAACGTCTCAGTGAACCGCAACTTCAACATGGCGAGGACTAGTGGCAGTGTCACCTCGCTTCACGCTGCAATCGTTCCTCTAGAACCGATTGCTCCAGATGTCAAGACCAAACCACACAATACGAACCATGCAAGTACCACCCCCGCTCACTCCGCGTCAATTCTCGGTCAAGATGTCGATACCGCTGTGCCAACCGACCCAGACGTTTCGGCTCCGTCACAATCTCTGGGTATCTCCAAGATCAGAGGTGTGACTGTTATCGTCACGTTGGCAGGCATCAGCTTTCTCAACACCATGGGCTCTGGCATTCTAATTGCTGCCCTGCCAAGGATCGCCGATGACGTGGGTCTCGGGGAAAGTCTCATCCTGTGGCCTGCAGCCGTGTATGCACTCGCAGCCGGTTGCCTACTCCTCATCTTCGGTGCCATTTCTGATGTGATTGGCGCCAAGTTGATGTGGGTAACAGGCAGCTATCTCTTCGTCGCCTTCACGCTGGCGGTTGGTCTCGCTCAAACCGGGATCCAGATCATCGTCTTTCGAACCCTACTTGGAGCATCTATTTCGATGTGCTTACCCACCGCCGTGAGCTTAATCTCGAACACCTTCCCGAGAGGAAACTGGAGAAACATTGCTTTTGCCATGAACGGTATGGGCAGTCCCTTGGGCTATGCTCTCGGCTTGGTTCTTGGAGGCATCTTCACTGATACAATCGGCTGGCGATGGGCTTACTACATGATGGCCATCATTAATTTTTGTCTCTCGACTTGTGCTATTTGGTCTCTGCCGTCCGTTCACACCGAATCTGAGCGAAAGTGGACCGGCAGGCTGATGCACGAGATTGACTGGGTTGGTGCTACGACTATGAGTGTGGCGCTTGGCATGCTCTTATACGTGCTTGCCATGATATCGTCCTCCTACAAAAAGCTCAGCGACGCATCCAACATTGTTCTCTTGACAACCGCCATCATCTTGTTAATCGCATTCCCTTTCTGGATGAACTATCAAGTCAAGCGCGGGAAACCAGCCCTGATCCCAAATGATCTCTGGAGAAACAGGTCCTTTACCTCAGTGTGCATTGCCGTCTTTCTTTGCTGGGCATCGTTAAACGGCATAGAATATTTTACCACTTTGTAGTAAGTGGCGTCAGAGCAGACTCACTCTTCCAGGCTAACGCATAGCCAAAGTTTCCAAAAGGTCGAAGGTCTATCCGCCTTGCAGAGCTCGCTACGATTCTTGCCCCATGTCATCATGGGTGTCGCAGTCAACATCATCACTGGGTTGCTCATCGCACGTGTCAAAGTGCGCACTCTAGCCGTTGTCACGGCACTCATCACCATGGTGGCCTCGCCTCTGATGGCTACAGTCGATGTTGGTGAAAACTATTGGCTTGCACCGTTTTGGGCCATGTTTCTCTCACCTGTTAACCCAGATGGTAAGTCTCTCAATGCCACAGCCTCAGATTCATTCTAACAGATCCAGTACTCTTCACCGTGTCTAACCTGGTCATCTCTGATGCCTACCCCCCAGAGATGCAGTCTCTCGCCGGTGGTGTATTCAATGAAGTCGGGCAATTTGGAAACTCTGTAGGGCTGGCCATCACCGCCGCAATCGCAGCATCTGTCACAGAGCACTCTGGGATCCAAGCACGTGAGGAAGCGTTGATGAAAGGTTATCGAGTTGCGTTTTGGACTATCTTTGCCAGCTGTTCGGCTGTTACCATTGTTGTTTGGTTTGGACTGAGAAAGGGTGGGGTTGTGGGCAGGAAACAGGATTGATCGTGGCTTTCTTTACCTCCTTGTTTTTCTTGGCATCAAGGCGTCTCCGAGAGGAGTTATTGAGCACAATGTCAAAGAACACAACCATCTCTTTGTTCGTTTATTTTCATTAATATCTACTAGACTAGAAGTGCACTTATGGCCTCTAGAGTTATTAAGATGACATTTTGCCGGCTTGGTTTCTAATTCTGTGTGTGTCTGTCTTCATTGGACTCTCTCATCTCCTCGCAGCAGCATGACCACCCCCCTTTTTCTTCATTATTCATACACATGGCTAAAACTAACTCGCTTATAGGGATAGAACTGCGACTTTCCTTCCTCAGATTGAGATGCTTACGAGATTGGAAATAGAGGGTGAGTGAAGGGTGCAAGGAGGCTTGTGCCTTAGGCCCTCTGCAGCGTCGCAGCCCGAGGGCACACAATCGACGCATGATTAAAATCCAGCGAGGGGGAGCTGAGACCCTGAAAAGTGCGGCTCCTTGCAGAGTCTTAATCAGCGTGTGTGGTTGTGGTGACATTGGGCCAGGATGATGGGATTCGTTGTGCTGAAAGTGCAAATGGCGTCCATCACCTGATAACACGGCCTTTCCATTTCATGCCGGTACTGGTGTCAGATATAACCCAAACGAGTTATCCGAAAAGACGCGAATGTACCGTAAATCCCAATTTCTTACTTGGGTTATCCGTCCGGCCCGTAGATAGGACCTCGGCGGTCTATAAGTACCTCCATCTCATGACACCTACACCAGAGATGCTCAATCACCTCTCCAGACGACCTCAAGTCATGGACACCATTTCCCCGTACAGCTCTCAGGCGTTCCAGCTGCTTCCCGGCCTGCAGGAGTCCTACGAAGCGTTCCAATCCAGCGGCGGTCAGGCCTTGCTCCAGTCTCACTTCCGGGATCTCTTCGCCCGCTACAACGTGACCAATCAGTTTGGAGTTGCCCTGGTCCATCGGCACTTTAACCTCGGAGACGATGAAATCCTGGTCGACGTCAACGGCACCTCTACCCCGTGGCAGAAACCTCGCCCAAATGGGGTGAGCGGTTCTCTTCGCAGGTATGACCGGCTCATCCGACCTCAGTCCTGGACGGCCGATGACGATGGGCACCTGATGCCGTACGAGTTCTTCCTCGACGAGGATTCCAACGAGGCCGATGACCTGCAGTCCGTAGACCCTTCCTTCCTGGCAGACTTCCTTGCCCTCCTCACCAACCTTAAACTCACGGGCGTGCTGGGGCTCCGCCTCATCAGGGGACCCGAGTCTCGGCGTATCGAGGTGACGGAGAAGAACGCCAACATCACGTTTCCCGTCCCGGCCGGAGTCATCCCGTCATCAGCTGGTCACCTGGAGGCAGCCTGGGCTTTCCCAGCCGCGCCAGGCGACGGCAAAACTGCAATTTCTGGAGCCCCAGTCACTAGGGACTGGTGCGTATCGTTTTGTTTGTTCAAAGGCGGTCCCCACGCCGAAATCCATGTAAGAAGCTCTTGTTTATCATGTTGATTCCGCGTCACTGACAAACACGACCTGCGAGCCAGAGCCGGAACTGATGATGATAACTGGTATCCGAGAGCGGGGCCGTCAAATGAATTGATAGGTGCAGAGACTTGTTTCGCTGCTTTGAAGAGGAGGTTCAACAATTGAAACGCCGTGGTGGGAGTGAATATCTGGAACTAGGAGCGTAGTTTCAACACTACCGTAGTTTACTCTTTTCTCTCCAATTTGATACGTGACTGAGCTGTTTGTTTCTTAAACACATGCTTCCTTGTGTGTGAGCGTCGCTAGTCAATGTGTTTGCTGGAGATTGTGCGGACAAGCTCTAATGTATACATATATGCAATAACAAAGAAAGCAATAGGCCAGTAGTACTACATCAGAAGAATAAGCTTTGTAGAGTATGTAGCTTTTACCTGCATTGCAAAAAGGACATGCGATCAAGTGCGGTTAATGGCCATGACTGCTCTTTTGGGTTTGCCTATAAACTGGATTTTTTTATGACTCAGTATATATGCCTAAAAATAATAAAAGAAAAAAAAATTAAAAAAAAAAAAAAAATGCATGGCTTTTAATAAAAAGTACTCATCACCTGTTATAGTTATATCAGCATACCTAACGCTAGTATTAAATAGATCCAAATAGCGAGAAAGTGAGTGACAGGTCACTCTCTTGCGCTATGAACCCACTCCAAGATTCGGGTCACATCTTGAACTACAATACTTCTCACTGCTGGAACTGCTGAGTGGTTTTGTTAGAGCAGCGAAGGGCCAGAGCAAGACCACATCAGTGTAGTACATTAGTTTCATAGCATCACATGGCGGGTCAACACTTTGATATGAGATGAGATCAATGAGCGACTCTTCACTGTGCAGATGATATTCTTCGGCTTTTGGTAGTCAAGAATGTGATTGATGTGGCTGAGCTACCTAACATTGCCTGATTCCATCCTATCCACCGCCATTCCATTCAACGAGCCAAGGCGCTCGGCTAGTTACAGAGATCGTACTCATCACGCTGCGCCCATCTTACTTCCACTGGGCAACAAGATATTGGTTGCCATTGTCAGGGTCGACGACATAGACCTGGATGGTCTGGGTGTCGGCGATGCCACGACCAGCGTTGTACTCAAGGAAGTTGACCTTCTGCGAGCCGTCAGACTGCACAGAGTAGGAGTCACGAACTCCCAGATCCTGACCAGCCTTGACGACACGGTACTTATAGGGCTTGTTGGTCAGGACACGGGGGAAGGTGAGGTTGTCGATGTAGGAGTTGGGGCTTCCGCGACCCCAGTTGGGAGTGTAGTCGAAGCTGAGCTTCTTCTGGCTCGCGACAATGTAGAAGAGAACGGCGGAGTCATTGGTGGTAGCCATGGTGTAGTGTGTGGTGGTTGAACTGTGACGGGGTGGGTCAGTCAAGGTCTTGTTCAAGCGAGACCAAGTCCCAAGGATGGTGCGGACCTTTGAAATGTTGTCTTGGGTAGAGGGAAGTGTAGATTGAAGGGTTGAGTTGAGAACAGAGATTGAGAGGAATAAAGAGGTTCTTATATACCTGAAAGCGCCAAGTAAACGTGTTAGCTACACTATCATCACTATTCTTAAGACTATGATTTATCCGCAAGACAACCAAGCTGGAAACCCAGGACAACTTTGAATCGTATCTCACAACATTACACCATGGCCATGAATGTTTTCTATTGAATTCGCTAGGACGAATACATATTTAAGGCTTGTTCCCTCCCAACGTCTTGTTCAATTGACTATCTCACCATCTGAGATTCGGCAATGAGATATCGCGATGTCGCAAGTGAGACATGTCTGACTATAGGGCACACGGATTCGTCGGCAGTTTTTCAGCTGGATGCACCTCTCCCGTCTTAGCTCGATTGCTGCAGAAATGTCCCTCCTCTGCAGACGGCTCAACAGATCCCACCTGCGGGTGGGTTTGACCGAGCGGAGGGGTATGAGGCATCATGTGCGATGGGCAGGTTTTGACGAAACCTGAGGGGTTTTGAGGGTGTCCTCGGATCGGAAGAACATGTTTGTGCCACGTCGGTGTATGCAGTCTCGACATAGCGTCTTTCTGTGTGACCTACCTCAGGCAAGTTGGACCAAATGAGGCACCAGACGGGCCACCACATGACATGGTGTTGGAGCACACATCTTGCCTCAGGTTTCATCAGATCTCGCTGCTACAAGGCGGGGTCGATGCCGTAGAGTTACACTCGATTTTGCTAGGAAGCACAATAACTAGTATTTAGAGATGGGAGAAACTGTATTGCCTGTAACCCCAGCTAGTGAAATGCTATGTGGCTCAAGTTTGTTGGCCTCCTCATGATGAACATCCGACAGCTCATTGCCAGCAACTATGCGTGGATTTCATTGCCTTCTGAAGGATCTGACGCATCCTCAAAGTTAAAAACATACGTCCAAAAAGCAATACATGAAATCCAGTGACAGCAGTTATGAACCTTCATGATCAGGGCGAACTGTTGTGCGGACTCAGTGACCGAGAGTCGCTAGCTCAACGTCTTGTTAATGATATTCCTTTCTGCCTTGTATACTTGTCTATTCCGCACGTAAAATCCTAATTCTTTGAAAATATGCGCAAAAATCCTGCGGAGAAACCTGAGATCATCTTGGTTCTGCGGCGGCGGGCATCGGTTCTCATGGAGGTTCCCATTGACAGCCCAATTCCCCATCAGTTACCTCCAGTGTACTGTAAAAAGCAATTTCCTCTGGCGAGTTCCGAACAATGCATGTGACGTGTACAATCTCAGGCCACCAGCCTCGTATAGCTTCAAAATTGAGGCAGCTGTGTCTACGTTTGTGTCTTTTTCTCCCATCTAAGTACGGGTCAGTGAAGGAAAAGGTATTAACAGGAAATCTGGCTCACAGGTCCAAGAACAGTTTCCAAAGGATGGAAAAGAGAATCCCCTGCAGGCCGTTGGCCAAGATGCGAGTCTTGAGGCCCCGGCCAAAGAGTCCTGTGATGCCATCCTGAACAACGACTGCGCGCGCAGCTTCACCTGGGAAAGAGTTATTCTAAAGCCTACAAAATTCTTATCTTCAACCTGAATCTTACCATATGAAACCTTGGTGTCGTTGACTTGGCGATAAGTCTTGACAACTCTCAGTGAGTTCGAGATGGAGTCTGAGACGATTGAGGCACAGAACCCGATAAAGGCTAGTCGTAGAAGCCACCAAAAGAGCGGGTGCTTCGCTGGCTCAGCGATAACCTCTGATAGGAAGTTGTACTGTTGACTGTAAGCCATAGTCCGTGATAGATGGCTGTCAACTTGCCGTAGCAAACCAAGGGTAATGTCCAACAAATGTGGCAGCCGCAGTAGCAAATGCACCCCACCAGAGACTTCCAATTCCATTCGACTTGATGCGTCGTCTAAGGAGGGCTGTTCCGCGGGCACCTTGTGCTTGGAGGGTAGTCTTAAGTGTGTCGATGGGGGTGAGGATCATGCGGAAAGCCGCGGCGCTGGCACAGCGTTAGGACATATCGATCTGGTTTCACTGGGGTTCCATTACCAAAGAGACGCAAAAATTGTCTTGATGGGCGATGGCAGGGTTTTCAAGTATGGGTTCGATTGGAGCAGGGCAAGAATGCCGGCGTTGGCAGCCGTGTCTCCGAATCTCGAGACGGGTCCTGTAGGAAGTCAGAATGGGAAATGCCCAGGACTTGGAGGATGAGATTTGCAGACCTTGAACAAGAGCAGGGGAGATTCCTTGATAATAACGTCGAATTCCTCCCTCCTCATAAAGAGTCCGCGTGGCAATAGTGAATGATGTGCCGTGGCGATACTGATAGTTCATGATTGTACGCAGTGGCTGTCGGAGTGTCAGCATCAGCACAGATTGAGTAGATACCTATGTGAGATAAACATACCATGAGAAGCAAGACCTGCAGTACCATAGCCGCCGCGCCACTGAGACCTCCTCCGAGGGCGCGCTTGAGAGCGCCTTTCAGGTCGAACTAAAGTAAATATTAACACAGAGTCATCAGATACAGGGTGCAGAGTTAGTACATCGGTTTCATCGGCATCGATCCATCCCTTCACAAAGACCCCAATCACGATCAATAATAACAAAATCCAGAATATGCGCCAAGCGTATCGTCTCCTCGGCGTCTTCTCCTCGGGCGTCGGCTCCGGCTCCGCTCCGGACTCGGACCCCTCACCCTGGACCTGAGGGGGTCGATCTCCGAGCAAAGGAGAATGCTCTGTCGTCCCACGAGAGGACTCTGGATCACTTGTAACCATTTTGAAACGCTGTAACACGATAAAGTCTGCTGTGGAGGAGCTGTGAGAGTCGAGGGATCAGGGAGTTTAGATTGCCCCGCGATTTAAAGGACTAGTCGAGATCTCGCGTGCTCGGCAATACGATTACGTGCTAGATTCCGGAGTATTTAAGCGGGGACTTTTGAGATGCATTATTAATACGATCTGACGTCTCGGACTTACGAGATAGGAAAGTAAACGCGTCGCGTCGCGTCGCGTGTTGTTACCTGCTGACCAAGTGAGACACCCTACGTTCCAATCACGCATTCATCATTCATTCACGGCATAAGCCAGTCGGGGGGACATCTTTCTTGCTAGGTTCATGCCATACTACGGTTTATCTGCTCAGTGAACTCCCGACCCGACTCTCTATCGGACAATGTCGCTTGGTCATATTTGACGTCGACCTAGAAAGCATGAGCAGGTGGATAAATTGCACTGGAAAATTATGACTTACCGCTGTTGTCCGGATAATGCCGTTATACGTCATGATCTCCTCCTCACTACCATTTGGCGAATGACCACGAATCTCGGTGTGTGTCTTGCTGAGATGGATATCCTTGAGGGGAAATGACCCGGTCACAGTTGCATGTCGTATCCCAGTACTATTACCGTACCTGCTCGGTGTGTTGTAGTCCACGGCCTCGTTGCTGCTCTTGTTGGAAAATAGACCCGGGAACATTCTGCGGAAGAGAGGCCGCAGAGCAGGTCCGCAAGAGGCAATGATGGCGAGATTGACCTCGATATTACTCAATGTCTCTCCCAGTGAGTTTCGAGGGTCATAGTTGGGGTCGATGTGATAGAACTTTTTGCGAAACTCATGCACTCGAATAATTGCAACGACGGTTACCCTAGAAGAGACAATCAGTTGGGATTGCATCGTCGGATCTGGACACTACTTACACACCACCCACGAGAAAAACAACTATCAATCCCACCTTGGCAGCAACGCGCATCTTGAGGCCAAGGAAAACCCAAAATGGGATAAGAAGGACCAAAAAGTCGGTGATGATGGTGATGACAGCCGTCGAGATGTAGAACAGCGGCGAGTCGACCTCGCGCTGTGGTTTGATGGACTTGTCCCAAAACGCCCTGATGGGAACCGTTTGGCAAAGGACGGTGATAAAAATGGCAAACATTTGCGCCAGGTTGAATGTGTTGAGTGCATAGATTGACCATCTGATGCTGCGACGATGGCCTCCCAGCCGAAGGAGGAAGATGAGAACCGATGACTTGACGAGAGCCAGGATCGGGTTATAGAGGACCTGCATTATCCAGTTCCAGAAGAGGGAGGGTTCGGCGTTGTATGTGTCGGGGACGTCTTTGGATGGGAAGCCGATGAATTGGTACTTAAAAACTGGATGTTGTTAGCTGTTGAATGATGTTGCTTGCAAAGGAACATACAAAAATAAGTCGGTATTGTCAACCCAATTGAGAAGATCTGGAACACGTTAATAGTGACTTCAATCAGCCCAAAGAGGCAGCGTACCATGGCGGCTGTGACCAACCAATCGTCTACCAAAAAACACCAAGTTAGCAAGAAGCAAACACAATGCAAGTCATCCATCGACCAGATCCAGTGGAGATCATACCAATTCCCACCTGCTTAGTGCTCCATCTGGAGTACATGCGCACACCCCAGACTAAAAAAGCAAGAACGGGAAATAAAAAGATGATGGCGATGGCCCCTTGTTGGAGATTTGTGGTGGGGAGCTCAGAGACGGGGAGCCAGGGCTTGTGGAGGGTTTCGTTGGTAGTGCTCGTGTAGAGGTCGACGCCGACTGCGCCCGACATGTTGAAGGATCTCTCAAGTATGATTGAGGAATGGAGAGTTAACTTAGGAGCAGGAGAGAAGGAGATATGTCAATGAATTAAAGCCCAGGCTGGGTCAGATACTTGCCACCTCGACTGGGTCCGAGTAGTATTCTGCTGGAGACCAGCTGGGTCAACAGTATCCTCCCTCCTGTACGTTATATACATCCATACAACACATGCATGGCCTCTCCTGCCTGCTGGCCAGCGGCTCCGTCAGCCCGTGGCCAGTGTGGTGGCGGTCGCTAGTGTGTCGGTGTTTCTGTCTTCCACTGGAAATTCCATGATCCCACGATGCGGAAAACGCCAAACATCAGTCACGCCAGATACCTGATACTAAATTTGCTAGTGTCTGCAGAGAAGATTCCGCGAGGCACCATCTACAGTAGCGTCGTTGGGCGTTCGACCTGTGTGTGTGCTCGTCGAACATGTTGGTTCCTATTTCAGGACTCGCAGCATTGCGTAGAAACATTATCTGCGCGCTTTGCGCGGGAGACGGACCTGTCGATCATTTCGATGACAGTCTGCAGGGATTCAATCGTCATGACAAGAAAGTGTTGGTCCCAGCCTTGTGCTAATGCAGAGGGGAAGGATTCCGAGAATCAATCCGTAACAGACCAATGCATCTTGAAGTACTGCAGCTCCACATGCTGACCCTCCTAGCCATGCGGAAAGCGGCCGATTGCTACGCCATCTGAAGTGAATCTTGATTTGAGTGGCATAAGATCGTCAAGGAGCAGGGGTTAACTTAAATGAGATTTAGTCAGGAGAAGCTGGATAATTAGAAAACATCTGAATGGCCTCTTCGAGTCTCTCTTTGGATCGTTCGAATCTAGCCAAGACTCGCTTCCCCCTCCCTGCAGGCTGCGTTCCGTTTCCCCATAGTCCAGCCAAACAAAGAGCCGAACCCCATCGCGCACGGATGTGGCTTTTGCCCCGTCTGCCAGGGAAATTATCAGGATGCCGCATTCTCATCAGGCCGTGCTTGTGATTATTCTGCTGAAGGGGTCTTGGCGAGAGCTGAAGATGTCAGATTTGGGACGGGATGAGACTGACTCGTCAAAGACACCTTGGCACGTGGAAACTGGGATATCGTCACCTTTACTTTTGGCATGGCTCAAAAAGAAACTTGAGGGATGGCCATTCAGAGGAGGTTATTTCAGCCTATCGCCCTCTAGCTCGTCTGTGACAGGGCGTTAATGGAAATAATCATGAACAACGACGAGCCGCTTGATGCTACGCAGACTAAAGGAACTAGGCCTGAACCTGGTTTCAGCTCAGCTGTACCAACCAACACTATCCCGTTCCCTTACTCGCTGTCGCCCTCTTGGACAGAAGGATTACTGCCCCAGGCAAAAAACCAAGCAGTAACCTAAGCACAATGACGAGGGATTATCCCCTGTGTCGCACTCATCGATTCACAAGTAGGCGAGTCAGTCAGTTGTCCCCTGTCATCTTACCTCGGTACTGAGAAAACGCGCAGCAGCATTTACCGTAGCATCCTGGTGGTTCCCCTCCACACAAGGATGTCCTCGCTGAGGCATATGCGGGCCAACGACGACACAGTGACGCTGGACCAACGCTGCGTTACAACTCTGTGGCTACCTCCTCCTTGACGGTCATGCTGCCGTTTTCGCTCCAATACGGCGGAATTCCTGTGTTGGTTCTGAAGAATAGACTAGCATCGATGCTTAAGTTGTCTCAGATATTGAGCTAGGGCATTTCATGCTTTCTTGACCCTGTTGAATCTACAGTTTATATACAGCTTCTCTCTTAGTCAATTTCTCTCGTTTATCTCAGCCTCCTCACTCCCCTTGCTTTTTGTCGATCATCGACGCACCCTCTTGATTAAATCAATCTATCTGCCCCTAGTGCAACCCTCTTCACATTTGCTGACCGCTGCGGCTCTTGCATCCCCTGACCCGTAGTGCCATGCAGCTCAATAGCCGTCTTTTGCTGGGCGGTCTGGTCGCCTTCCACCACGTGGCGGCCCAGACCGTTGTCGTCGATGGCGAGACAGTCGGTGCGTACCTTTTGATGCAAATACTAATCTGTAAGCCCCCATTTTAGCTTGCGCGATGGCTGATTAGTTCTTGCAGAAGCTAATGAGGACAATGTTTGTGAGGCGGGCGAGGTTGTCAAGGGTGATTATCTACTCGAGGAGAAGACCCAATTAACGGATGTCGTTCTGTCAAAATTCACTGAGCTCAAGCTCACTGATGTCTCCCTCTTCGCCTTTTCTGATGGTTCTGAGGCTCCTTCTCAGAAGTGCAAGACCTTTCCCGGTGAGGAGCAATGGCCGGGCGATGTCAGCTGGCGTGTTCTGGATCTCGTTACTCGAGGTGCTGTTATCAGGAATGTTCCCATTGCGGCGCCATGCTACAAAGACTATGTCGTCTACGACAAGGATCGATGCAGTGAGGTTATCGAGCAATGGGGAAACTCGTCTCTTCAGTAAGCAATGCGAAGCTCCATGTTCCCCGAACCCAATTACTGACACTCGTATTCAGCATAAGAGACCCGACCTCCGTCATGTCTCCTTTGTATGAAGGTCTAACATGCCCGCCCAGTGAAGACCCTAGCGGCAAATGCACCCTTGGAGGTTACCCGGTTTACTCAGTTGACGCTCACAGCGTCGCTCACATTCAGCTGGCCGTCAACTTTGCTCGTTCCAATGACATTCGATTGGTCATCAAGAACACGGGTCACGACTTTAACGGCCGCTCTGCTGGTGCTGGCGCTCTTTCGATCTGGACTCATCGCTTCAAGACTATTGAGTTTCTTGAAGAGCGCAAGACCTCATCGTACTGTGGTCCAGCCTTGAAGGTCGGTGCCGGAGTGGTTGGTGCTGAGCTATATGAAGCTGCTGAGAAGTACGGTGTTACTGCCGTGGGAGGCGAGGGCCTTAGTGTCGGCTATGCCGGTGGGTATCTGGCTGGTGGTGGGCATTCGCCAATGTCATCTCTCTACGGTATGGGTGCGGATCAGGTGAGTGTCCTTGCACAACATCAGAGTTAGTCGTTTGGTGTCTAATAACAGACAGGTCCTTAGTATCGAAGTTGTCACTGCGGATGGCCGCTTCATAACCGCCAATGAGGAACAAAACACCGATCTCTTTTGGGCTCTCAGAGGCGGCGGCGGCAGCACTTATGGTGTTGTCACTTCCTATACAGTTAAGGTGTATCCGAAGATTAAGGCTGCCGTTATGTCATTCAACTTTAGTAGCGCTGATACCTCCTATGACACTTTCTGGCTTGCTGTTCGAGCTTACTGGGAACTCATCCCGGCTTTCAACGACGCCGGTAACTACGAGTACTGGAACATTTGGCATACCGACCCCGAAACTCTGGCTTTTAACATGGTTCCCTGGTTTGCGCCGGGCATGACTCTGGTGGAGTTGAAGGCTCTGACCAAGCCTCTCTTCGATAAGTGGGACGAGCTAGGTATCAAGTTTGAAGTCACCGAGTCGGAGCATGACAGTTACTATCCTGCTTGGAAGGCTGGCTTTCCTCGTGAGGTCATTGGAGGAGCTGCTTCTAAGACGGCCGGGCGTCTTTTCCCCAGGTGAGTTTCTCTTCCTTCTCATGAACACGGAATACCGATGTGATCGTTTGCTGACTCTTGACAGGGAAAACTTGGTAGAAAAGTTCGACGCGACTTTTGAAGCCCTGAAGAGAGTGTGCGACAAGGGTGGACAGATTATCGGCTTCGGCATCACTGGTGGTCCCGGACCCTATCCCGATAACGCTGTCAACCCTGCCTGGCGAGGTTCTGCCATGTGGGCGATTGCCGTCATCAACTGGCCCGAGGACAGCTCTAGAGAGTTTGCTGCCCAAGAGAGCAAGAAGCTGACAGAGGACTGGATGAAGCATTGGCGAGAGGTTTCCCCTGGTAGTGGTGCGTACGCATCAGAGGCGGACGTGACAGAACCCGATTTCCACCAGTCCTTTTACGGAACTGAGAAATATGAGAGACTTCTTGGTATCAAGGACAAAGTTGATCCAACTGGTCTTTTTTACGCTCACGAGGGTGTTGGCAGTGATCGTTGGTATGTCACTGGTCAACTCGACGGACTTCCGACGCAGAATGGGCAGCTTTGCAGGGTTTGAGATAGTTAAAAGTGCAGAGAAATGTCGATGGGGTAGAAGCGCCCAGGTCTCTCGTAGCAAATATATTCTTTTCACTCTTGTACTCCCTTTTCACAATCCGTTTAAGCGCTCGACCTTGCTCGCCACTCCGAGTCGATCTTCGGGCTCAGTTAACCCATCAAGGGCCGGGCTGCAACTATAATAAAGAACAGATCTTCAACACATTATAACATCATGGCCCGATGTTAACACAGTGGCCTATTTAAACTTCTGCAGCGCCACTCCGAGTCATGGCTGGAACTGCGGCGGCCATTTCATTATCCTCTTGCTACCTCGAAACAAATCCCAAATAATTAGTTCCCATTTGAGAAGAAATCCTGCAAGAAAGAGTTGATATCGTCTGCTGCTTCTTCCATAGGCCAGTGGCCAGTGGGAACTTGCTTAAAAGTCAGATTCTTCACATGCCGCTGTGTATCCTCCAGCTGAACAGAAGGCAAAGCGATCGCGTCTCGCTCTGCAAGTACAAGTAGTACTGGGCACTTCAAGTCAAACGCGTTACACTCATCCTCTGTGCGACTTGTAGTCAGCGATTTGTAGGCACGAGGGAAGAAAAGACGTACCAGGCTCGTCCTGTAGGTTCAAATTTGAGACCAAAACGCGATACCAGTTCAATGGCGCCTGATATCCACCGTCCTTTGAGAACGCCCCTTTGCGAGTGGCGAGATATGATTTGGGCAGCCATGACCCTAGCTCTGCTTGTTTATCCTCTAGAAGCCATTTCTTGGTCGCGCCGATAGGTCCAAGATGTTTTGTCCATTCCACAGGATCCTTGGCATAAAGCAGCGAAGTAAAAGAGTCTTGCTACGGCTATGTCAGTTTTTTCGTTTGTCAGTGGGACATCACATACGTGACTGTTGATTATTTCTACTGCGTCTGGATCCTCGGTGAAAAACTTCATGTATCCGAATAGAGAATATCCAAGGTTCTTCTGAGAGAGGCTGTTGGCAGTGTCAATGTCAAAGCTTGCACCTGGGTGGAGGTAGCCGGTAACTAGAAGCGCTAGCTTGCTGAACCTATGCGGAAGATAAAAGCTCATTCGGGCAAGAAGCCCAGCGCCCATATCATGACCGACTCCATAAACCACGTCTGCGTGCTCGTGGTCGAGTATTTCAGCCACGTCGTAACTCATATGCTTGAATCGATAATGCGAGACATCCAATGGGCGGGATGTTTCACCATACCCAAGAAGGTCCGGGGCAATAACACCAAAGCCTAGCTGTCTAAAGTGCTCGACTTGGTGTTGCCACTCCAGAGCAATGGATGGAAAGCCATGTAGAAAGAGGATATATGGTCTCGGGGGCTCTGCCTTGGGCTTGACGTGGAAGTAATTGTAGGTAAACCCCCGAGAAACCTTGAAAGTGATGGCTTCCATGTTGCTAATTTGCTTGTGTGTATCAAGAGCAAGCTTTGGCTAGCATATGGTGGGCTTCTTTGAGATTAAATAACTCGGCAATGGTCTGGCAAGGTTGTAGTTGGTGTGCAACTATGACATCTGAACCCCGCACATGCCGTTATTTTATTGATCCTGATTTATAACCTTCTGATCTGCCGATACAGTTGCGGAGCGGAGTTGCGGAGGGGATGTGCACCTGCGGCTTCTAATATCCTTAATTGGACGACGCCTCTAGCATGACGCGTACGGCTAAGGCTGAGGCGGTCGAGGATCTGCATGCTAATAAACCCAGGGCAAGGCAAGATGGAACATCAGGAGAGCTTAGATTGACGAATAAGTAGCTTGATAGGTACGGTATCAAACGGCAGAAGAAACAAGATAGCTATGAGGACAGCTAGATGTAATAAGTAAAGCGTCTATGCATGCCTTCCGCAGCCCTGCTCCTTCTTGCAGACGAATGGCTTATGCCCAATGTCCCAGCATGATAGCACCAGAGTCTGTCATGGCACGACGGAATAGTTTGTCATCTCTTCTATTGAAGACACGCACTTGGTAGCCAACTGATATGGCGCCACTATAGGCAATCTTCATGCGCACAATCTACCAACTCGTAGTGAGATCGTTCTTTGATATTAGATATGCCCAAGCGTTTGTATATGTAGATTACGAAAATAAAAAAACACAAGTTAAATATTTATGCCATTTGGGATCTACTAATTGTGTGGGCGTTCGGTGTCTAAGTGTGTCTACTCTAAAATAAGCAGGGAAACAATGAACCTCATTTCTTCCTCTACATCTCCCAATGGTTCAGTGAAAGAATCTCAGGGAACTATTGAGCCGAGATCTTTGGACATGTTGATGAATCCATCACCAGGGTTGCTGTAGTACGGTTTAACCTCCCGAAACCCCATAGATTTGTATAGATTGATGGCCGATGTCATCAACTCTATAGTATCTAACAGTGCCTCATTGTACCCCTCCCTCTGGGCAATTTGAAGGGCTGCCGTGACCAAGGCCCGGGCAACCTTTCGCCCTCTAGCCTCTGGATAAACGTGCAGGCGCTTCAGCTCACAATACCGTGTATTGGGCTCGCGACCGACTTTATAGGTTGGCTGAAGCTCGATAGGCCGAAGATCAATACAGCCAAGGACTTGATCCGTTTCAGTGTCGCAGGCGAGTAGTAATGCTCCTTTTGGCGGAGCGTATTTGCCTGGCAGTGTGCTCAGATCAGTGGCGAAGTCTTGGAATGTCAGATCCATGTTGAGTCACTCGGTGTAGGCGCGGAAGCAATTGACAACGGAGGCAAGATCATCTGGTGTGATGGCTTGTCGAATTGTAAAGCTGGGTGGGCGTGAAGGATCCATCCTTGAGGTTCTTGAGAGGTGAAAAGGGGCAGCGTGATGAGGTGAGTTTGGGGTATTGCCAAGTGCTGGTAACTCGCAAGTCTCGAGCCGAGGATACATGCGAAGTAAATTAGAATCCTGTAGTTATCGGCGTTGGTTCACCTCGAGACCATGTCGCGAAAAACTAAAGGGGTGACTCCGATGTTCCTCTTGACCCCGGAGGGCAAAGGCGAACGGCCCCACAAAGGACCGGCCGTGGCCCCGCCCGGGGCTGACGACTAGCGGCCGGCTTTAACCAGTTGTGGCAGCTGAAAAGGCGGTCACCCGGGGCAAACCATTGTCACCGAGCCGTCATGTTTCTGGCCCATTCTCTCATGGAAAGATCTTTGCTCACGTCGAGTCTACCAGTCGGTCAGTCGGCTACCTGCATAACGTTACGTAGGTACTGTAGGGACGCTAGTCAGCATGGAGGGAGATCCTGCGCTCAACTTTGAGCACTCGCCTACCCCGGTGAAAGTGAAATTCGTTGCGTGAGATCCATCAGCCCCCTCTAGATCTAGTACCGCGTTAACCAAAGCCGAGATCAAAGATGTCGAAAATGCCACACGAGGAAGGTGAAGTGTCCCGGTGGTCAACCTTGTAAATCCTGTGTCCAGTTGGATTGCGAAGCTGAGTGCACGTATCCGAAACGTAACAGACAAGTCAGGGTTAGTGAGAGGTAGGGTAATCTACTTGTCGGTAGGGATGACCTTTTGGCTGAATTCATGATCAAGTTATCTCGAGTCTATTCTTCAACAGAATCAGTTGCTTAGAGCTCGGGTCCAGTCTGGCCGGAGCGCCCGAGACACGCCCGAGGCTGCAGTGGTAGAGCCTACCCACAACCATGAGAGCACAACATCCACTGAGCCGAGCCGGAACCCTGTTCTCGAGAATAATCCCTGGTTCATCCCGCTGGATTCTTTTCAAGTCCCCCTTCGGGTTGGAGAGTCTGCCGACACTGCCTTCGCGACCCGTGTCCGCCAACTCGCGTCGGCAACGGCCCCCACCCGCCTCGTCTCAGCTATCCAACCCAGGATCAGGTAACGGTTTCCTCAAATGTTGAGGAGCCGCGACCTAGCGCAACTGAAGCACGCTTCCTTATCCAGACAGCGTTGGCAAGCATCGACCAATGTTATCACATTGTTCGAAAAAGGTCCATTTGGACTTTGTTGGATCGGTTTGTGGAGAACCCAGCTTCGTTGGACATGTTTTCGAAATCCAAGATCTTTGCACTACTTGCCCTTGGGAAACTGTATTCCAGTCGCTACGAGGTGCATGCATCTCATGTCCCTGGGCTTGTCTACTTCAGCTTTGCCTTCAGATCATATGGTCATCTTTTGGAGCGTCCTAGCATTGACAGTATTGAGGTTTCACTGTTATTGGTAAGCTACTCTCCGCCTATGAGAGGTACGATGAACTTGGACTGACATATGATCCAGTGTTTATATTCACTGTGCATCAACAGATGGCACTCGGCCTACTTCCTAGCTAGTTCGGCCACGCGGCATTGTGCTGTAATGGGCTTAAACTTTAACATTCCAGAAACCCACCTTCATGACGGTGCGGCCCGAGAGCATCTCATAAGAGTCTGGTGGACGTCTTATCTCCTCGATCACACCTGCGCAGCTATCAACGGGCAAATGGTCTCTATTCAGGATTATGATGTATGCGTCAGTTTCCCATCCAGTGACGGACTTAATCCAAACGAGATGTCTGAGTTTGCCAACCCTCACTACATGTCGGCTCGAGTCGAATTGGTTAGGATATTGAGCAAGATCATAAAGTCCTTATATGGTCGGGCAAACCAGAGCGAGTCTTTTTTACAAAGAGTCCAAAATGCACTGAAGGGACTCAAAAGTTGGCTTCAAAGGTTACCAGAACCGCTCAGAATGAACCAAGCAGTGGCAGGGGATTCCGGGGCTGTAAGGTCTTTGCACCTATTCTTCAATCAGGTATGTGCAAACCGATTGCCTTAAAGCTAAGCGCACCTTGTTTACGCCTCCAGTGCATGATCATGACGTCCCGGCCATTGCTACTCCATGTTATACAACATCAAAAGGAAATGAATCGATCAAGCGGCCACGACACCCCTCATCCCATCCATGAGAACATACAGGCTATTGTAACATCGTGTATTCGGTGTGCACGCCACTCACATATGATTCTTGCTGAATCTTGGATTGATGGTTCCTTCAAATCATTTGACTATTTTTACACCAGGTACCTGTTTTCCACAGCTTTAATACTTGGTGTTTCCAGCCTTTTGAACAATCCCGAGAATGCACGAGATCTGGAGGATTTCAAGCTCTGCGACCAACTTCTCAAGAAGCTGAAGGATTCAGGTAGCTTACCAGCCATGGAGTTCTACCAACACCTCGAAGCTCTCAAGATCGGCCTAGCGACATTCACGCCGACCAGGCCGAACTCGGATGGCGAAACTACGCTTGGAACGCCCCGGGCTACCAACGTTGTCGCTCACATACTCCACCTCTCTGCCGCTGGAGAATACATCGATAGCTTATTGCGGGACCTAGAAGAATTCGGGATTCGAGAAGATGGTTCCACCAGGCTCGACCACCTTGTTAAGCTCCGACTAGACGGGTGGCCTGTCGGTGAAGTTAATGGCTAGCTTGACTTAATGTTATCAGCGTTTAGAGGGACTGAATGAGTTACTCACAGCGTGTTTCTGAGCAATAGCCTTTCAGTTTTATGACTGCAGTGGTATCAGTGTCGGCCAATGGGTGTCTTATTTGGAGTTTGTACAGTCTCAGTCGGATCATTTCGAGAGCGCGGTTGACTATTTATTTCAGTTCCTGCAGTCTCTTGCAAGACTCTCGTGCTATTATGATTTCCCATGCCGCAAGATACGTAAAATTGTATGTCTGGTTGGTTATCTGTATGGCAACCTTGATGCGATGAGTCCATAATGGCCCTGCAGTATATTGGGCAAATATCCCTTTTTAATTGATGCTCACACTGTTTAAGACGTCTATGCGGTTGTCTTCTGGCCTGGTATTGTTATAGTTTGAGTCGTTACGCCTTACATAACACGATATTAAAAGCACCTAGGTGCCAAGACGGACCCGGCTGTACTGCTAGTCTCCCTACAACTGAATCTTGCAACAGTGTCCCTTTGGCGCAATCAAGAATCGATTATCCATCTCCATCATGTCATCAGTCATTCCAGGATCAAGCTTAGCCCCTCGACACTCCCGGAAAAACAGCGCGGTGGCAAGTCGCAGTTCCATCCAAGCCAGGTGAAGCCCAATGCAGATGCGAGAGCCTGCGCCAAAGGGTGACATGGCTGTCTTTTGAGCTACTGTTAGTGTTGATTTGTCCATGAATCTCTCGCCATCGAATCTAAAGATTGTTAGTGCAGATCTCAGGTGTATGACAACGTCAAGAGGGCAAACCATCATACCTGTGTGCATCTGGAAAGACTGTAGAGTCTCGATGCAGTGTGTAGGCCTGTGTACTAACCACCGTGCCCGGAGGAATGAAGTAACCACGAACAGAGAGTCCCTTTCCTGGCACAACGCGCGGGAGAGCACCAGGAGCAGCACCATACAACCTTAGAGTCTCCTCAACAACGCTGTTCAGGAGCGGAGCGCTCGTCAGCTCATCAAAAGTCAGGTCTGGACTCAGTCCACAGACTTCAGCCTCTAGCGCTGCCTGAAGTTGTGGCTGGCTGAGTACTGCCCAGACAAGATATGTTAGAGTGACGGCTGTTGTATCGGACCCGGCAACAATCAGATTCCCTGCTTCTGTGCGAACAGTGGAATCCTTGATTTCCGTCTTTTCCTGGCCCTGCGCCTGAGCGAGCATCTGGCTGAACAGGTTTGCCGTGCTGAGTCCGTCACTAGCGCTGCTCATGTTCTTCACAGCTTTAGCGCCATGCTCGAAGACGACGTCGTCGGCACTCATGATGTCACGGATGCCTTTGAAAGGGAGGCGTCTGATAATGGGGAAAATCCAGGACAGCTCGTTTCGGACCACTCCACAAAGGAGGGCCGCTTGGATGGCATCGATGTACGGGGTTTGCTTGCAGTGTTAGCATCGCGATATATAGAAAGAAACTGGGTGATGTCCACCTTGCCTAATTCGAGCATGCGGAATGATTCGCCAAACGAAAGATGAGCAATGACGTCGGTTGCCATGAGGGTCCACCATTTCAGAACATCAGCGCTGCCAATCTGAGCGTCATTTTTTATCTTGGCCACGGCAAGCTGGGTCTTCTGCCTGATCTCAGGCTCCCAATGCGTCAGAAGCGAGCTGTTGCTAAAGGCACGAGCAAAGAGGCGTCTTCGAGCGGCGTGTTGATGCGGATCACGCATGAAGAAAATGCCTGGCTCCCTACCAGATCTGAGTTTGTCATACCAATCAGACTTTGTAAATCCAGATCCGATCTTGTGGATTTGGGAAAAGGCATCGAGATCGCTGATGGCTACTTCATCGGGTGACACGAGAACGACGGGACCGTATCGTAAGTGTAAAGAGTGAACAAAATGGACGCGTCTGCCCGCCAATATGTGCCATTTGAGCACGATGGAAGTGACATGACTGTACCACGGACCGGGAACATTTCGCAGAGGCGATGTGGCTGCTGAGAAAAGCCTGTAGGCTGCGGTGAGGATAATGACACCAATGGCCAGGAAGGGCACCAAAGCTATGTTGACGAGACCCATTCTGGTAGGCTGGTTCTCAAGGGTGCCGACTCAAAATAGGTAGATGTTGGATGTTATATCCAAGCTTGCATATGAAATCCGTGGGGAACCTGGGGAAAGCGGAGATGGAGGAGATATGCATGTTGGGCGGGAGGAGTTGTCGGGAAGTGGGGGTAGAGTACGGTTATGGACACACTCAAACTCTTGTTTTGAGCTGAGAGAGGTTAGAAGACACTGTTTTACTGGGTCATTTAGCCTCGTCTCGGCTTCCTCGGCAGTTTCAAGGGCATAGTTTCGGATTGTGGCCCACTAACCCGGTGGACTAGCGGACTACTCGGGACATGTCAGATGGGCTCGGGTCTCTCTTACGCTCCGAGCAGGACGACGTGTGGGCAGATGTGTGTTCAACTGGTAAGTAAAAGACTAATGAACGACACAGGAAGTACTAATATAGACTGTATGGGGCTGTTTATGACCTCCTTGATCCCACCCCTGGTAGGTTTCTTGTGTATATCTACGATGAGAATAATAACGACCAACAAGCTGATCTCTATAGAGCATTCAAGATTGACCTATCCAATAACTCTATGAATTCTAGTCGGCCTTGGTAGTGTTCTTGGTATATAAGGCACCTGCCTGCTGCCAAGCAGCCTGTTCTTTCCCATCCAATGCATCCTTCACGTAAGCCTCAAGTGTGCGGCCTTCGAGGTCTGGATATAGCTCTTTGGCCAAGAGGTATCCAAGATACTTGGCAAATTCGGGGGTGTTGTCACCGCGGATACCCCAGCTGTTCCAGTACTGAAACTGCGATTCCGAAACATTCTCGAGAGATCCTGGGATGGTGTTGGACTGTTGCGCCGCAGCGGCTCTAGCTTTGATCTCATCTTCGGCCATCTAGAGACCATTTAGCCTTTCCTCATAGAAGTAACAGGCTCTGCTTAGGTACTCACGTATTTTCGCTCAATCTTCTCATCGCTCTGCTTCTCCACTATGTCATAGACCTGATTCGTCGTGTGTAGCTCAGTATATGCAAACACCATCCGGTTCAAAGTTTGCGGATCAGCAATAACGCGGGCTACATAGCGGCCAATATCCTTCACGTCTGTCATGGCAGATGGAGTATTGCCATCACCAGGAATGCACTCTGCGGGCATCGCGAGTGCCTTATCAAGGCGTCCTGATGGCACCCGAGGGAGCGCAATTTGGTACCACCAGCCAACATCAATGACGGTGTAAGGCAGATATACCTTTTTAATATGATTCAAAACCACTTCTTTCTGTTTGGTCTGTTAGCAGGGCCACGACAGCGTGTGCAACTGCCGTGTTATACTCACCCCATCCCTGAGTCTCAGAATTCCGTTTGGCGGGACAACCGTGGCGAAGAAGCAAGGGACATAACGTCCCACGCCGGCAGATTTCGCCGCATTTATGAGTGGTATTTCGTTCAAGATGGCGGTTGCATTGACAGCCGAGATTACCACGTCTATATCCGTTAGGATGGCCTCGAGGTCTCCCTCAGGTCCGGTGAGGTCCGCTCCTACGACCTTGACACTCATCTCTTTCAGCTCAAGAACTTCTGGCTTGGAAAGCGACGATGGCCTGACAAGAGCAGTAACTTGCTGAGTATCGGTCGTCATTTAGTAACAAGTGACATGAGTACTGAGCAGAGCGACTCACAAACCTGCTTGTGGTCGATGCAAGCAATCCTCGGATGATGGATGAGCCAGTCTCGCCTGTTGCGCCGGCTACGGCAACTTTGATGCTACCCATGATGACTGATTGATTGAGCGAGTTTGCGGGTGTTTGTGCTGGAGAAAGGTATGAACCGAAGCGATTTGAAATAGGCAGGCAGCGGCGTGCGTTCAAGTCGGTATTTTATAGCAGTGCAACGTCATGGAGGTCACGGAGCGGAGTTTATAGACTTTGTTAGTTAGTATCATGCGATGCGTGAAAAGGCAGGCTGCGTTTTCATTGGATCCGTAGAAAAGAATGCTTGGCATTTCTAAGCAGCTGAAGCCACAAGGGTGTGGAATAACGTTATGATCTCCGCCGGCGCTCCACGTTGGTACGGAACAAGAGAAATTACTAGTTAGCGCGGCCGAAACTATCACAAGACGAAGAGCCGACGGAGTTTGGTCTAGGTTCTCCAGGATCATAGACTTTACCTCGGCATCTTGCTTTTTTTACAGGCAGTCGCCTTTGCCATGTTCTCAAAACAAGACGTAACAGTTTCATAACGTGGCGCCGTCAAGTCAAACAGGTTCCGAGCATGGTATCCGAGCAGGCATCACAAAGCTTCTCGTTGACGTGTTTTACGAGGCTAGCGAACGGTTCCTGCGGACAAAAAACGGGCAGCCGCCCGATCATTACTGGGCTAATGTGAGTCAACTCCTATGTTGTTGAGGTTTCTTTGCTTTGTGCGTGGATGCTGATGATACTCAGTGGGACCTAGCAAGCCTATGCAACATCCACGCTATCGGCGTCCTGTCGAATAATCGATCCATGATACATCGTGCTGTCGACTATTTCAAGACTGCCAACGGTATGGGGGCCATTGAGAACGCTATCTGGAAGATACATAAGGAGGAAGGGACAGGTAAGGACTTGGGTCAAAACCAAGAAGCTGGACGAGATCAAGGCCATGCGACGCTTGTATTTGCACATCTTTCAGTCTTGGCACAGCAGAGCTATAACCAAGGCGAAGATCTTTTTGCTCTTCTGGAAAACAGAATTCTGGCAGGGTAAGACTGGATCGGGCGCAATCCACTAGCATTTCTACTAACGTAGGTACTTCACGATCTTCGGGCTTAGTTAACCTATCGAGGGCCGGGCTGCAACTATAATAAAGAACGGATCTTCAACACATCATAACATCATGACCCAATGTTAACACAGTGGCCTTTTTAAACCTTTGCAACAGCAGAAGTAGGTACTTCACAGTTCTGAATACATGGCCAAGTACAATCTCGGCCATGACGTCCCCTATTCCACATACACAAATAAGCACGGCACCATGACGCAAACCTCTGACTATGGGAGAGGAATAGTTCGCCCCATTGGTGAGCTGCTATACGGTCACTACAATGGTGTCAAGAATCTCGAGGCTCCGTGGACGCGGGCCTACCGAGATTATGTCCTGGAGAATAGCGGCGGTGCTGAGGGCGGCGGAGGAGATTATGGTTCCACCAGCGGAGGATATGATCAACTTGGATTCGGGATACTCTTGTTCAGACGCAACTGAGTGACTATTCACTCTAACTACGTCGCTCATTTTTGTACCTTCTTCTTTGAGCCGGCATATCCAACCACGTCGCCCCTTTTTACACTTTCCTCCCTTTTCGAGAAGTTGTAATACTGAATTGCTTGGTTTCCAATATTATTTCTTCTTCAAGCTTGTCGTTGATAGGCAGAAAATGCAAAGAGATAAATTTATCAGGCTAAGGTGCTTGAGGCCCTACGAATGCCTGTCTAAACCATCTATCATCAGTGCCACAATGCACCTTGTCAAGCTGGCGGAGGCGAGATGGTGAAGCTTCTTTGCTCTAACAAGATCCCTACTTACTGAATTGGTGTTCTCATGGAGTTAAGAGACGTGTTCTGGGCGTTCAGGCAAAAACGGCTGGTCATGCTGAACCGGACCCTGCCCATAAAGGTGGACGTTATGCTAGAGCCCAAAAAGGAAGGTCACGATAGCCTGTGGAAGTACTCCGTACACAGCACAGTAAAGCTCATCCAAAAGGAGCGCTTCTTTTCGACAACAATCATTACTATCTCAATTACAAGATTTGTTTCAGCTGCTTATAGGATATTAATCACTACTTCGAAACCAGGACCCGGTTGCCGCTCCTACACGGGTAGTAAACTGTGCGAGATGGGCATTGAGCCACAGTCCTTCGGCTATTTATCGGGCCTCGCTTTACTGATTGCCGCTAAGCGGCGACCTAAAAAGTCAATTCCCTCTACCCCTACGAAGTACTAAGAACTCTTGGCAATGCAACTACAAGGTTCATCACAGTCCGCAATCCCATCTCAGTCATATTTAATGCGCAAAAGACAACAAACATGCCGATGCAAAGACGTCACAGGTCGACTGTGGCGTGCCAAGAATGCCGAGGGCGTAAGGTCCGATGCAGTGTCACTGTGACGGGCATCCCTTGCATGCGATGCGCTCAGGACGGTATCGAGTGTATAGTACAGGATGGCCATCATATGCTGTAAGTCTAACTCTTGTCAATTGTTATGTTCTGTGTTGGCCCATGGTTGGCTTGATACTGACAGTAGTATGTCAACACCATCAAGGCCTCGAAGTACATTGACTGCCTCCTCTGTTCGGAATGCTCGGTCGCGAAGCGTGAGGAGCGGTGACGAAAGCAATAGTTCTCGAGCTTCTCCGTCACTGCCCGAGCCAATAGTGCACCAGCCGGCCTCTGTTCCCGACGTCCATCGTGGTGATTCTGTAGCGGAAGGCCACAATGACACTGCCTATCACTCTGACCCTGGGCGGCAAAGAGACATTGAGGAGGAACGGAGCGGAGCTGAGATATCCTCCGCGGCGACAGGTCAAGGGATCGTTAATTCTGACTGCCTTTTCTATCTTGGTACGTGAATCTGCATTTGCTATTTCTACGTGGCTGACTGGTTTCTTGGCTACAAGGGGAGCAACCTGGGGCAACATCCGTCATTGATGTCTGCTCGCATCCTCAGAAGCCCATTCAGAGGCATATTCTACTCCGTTCTGCTCCGCCGGTCACCATCTCTCAGCAAGACAGCGACTATCTCAAGCAAAAGGGCGTCTTTAACCTTCCTCAACCGAGCTCTCGTAGAGAGATACTTCGAGCCTATTTCCATCACGTGCATCCGATTCTACCTGTACTAGATGTGGGTGTACTCCAAAATCTTCACGAACCTGTCTATGTTTCGTCATCCGATTTGCTCCTCTTTTGGAGCATGGCCTCGGTGGCAGTCAACGTGAGTTTCGAGCCTGCGAACAAAGCATCAGATGAAAGAGGATAAATCCGCTGACAGAACGTCCAAGTTCGTTCCGAGTAGCGTTTGGCAGCTTGAGGGTTTTGACTCTTGTAAGGAGATGAAGGCTACGGCTTATGAACATGCCAAGGTTAGTAACTCAGATCACTGTCTTGCTCTGACCCGCGAACAAGTCATAGGGACTGATGACTATCCAGTGTGTTTACAACAACGGCGGCGTAATCCATCAAGAACACCTCCTACAATCCGCGCTCCTCCTGTCCTTCTGGCATTCCGACAGGGACAGACTCTCACAACCGTGGTACTGGAGTGGAGTTGCAGTCAGCTTGTGCCAGATCATCGGGCTACATCGAAACCCAGATTCAGTAAGGCTAAATCCCTTGATCAACCCACGTCGTCGTCGCATGTGGCGTCGCCTATGGGGAGGCTGTTTATTTCGAGATCGATGGTTGAGCATGACACTGGGGCGACCCATGAGAATCCGTCTTGGCGACTGCGACATGCCTTTTCCTACTGTCGAGGATTTGCTGGGTGATGTCGGCGAGCTTCCATCCTCGCTAAGGGACCTGTATCTCCCACAGGACCTTGATCGGCTGACCAAATATTGGCCGGTTCTCTTGCAGCTGAGCAGACTTCTAGGCGACGTCACCATGTTATGCTATCAACCAAATAACCCTCTACCGAGCCTGGAGCAGTGCGAGTGTCTAGAGGCGGAGCTCTCGCAACACTGCATTCCTGATGTGACCAACGGCGAAGAGAGTCAGCTAGAGAGGTTTTATTACTATCACGCACAATTGCACTACCAGTAAGCATTTCGTTCCAAACAACCCTATCAGCCGCTGACTCCGATCAACAGAGCGCTTTTAATTACGTTCTATCGACCCTGCGTGTCAATGATGCCCAAGGATCTTCAACCGTCAGCTCAAGGCCCATGGCAGAACTGCATGCGAACTCGACTAGCATCGGCAGCAGCCTCCACTAATGCTGTCCTTGACAGCATAGTACGCGAAGAGCTTGTTGGTTTGGCATGTCCTATGACGTAGGTCCAGCATTCCCCATCCAGTCTATCCTCGGATCTCATCATCACCAACGTCACAGTTCACGCATCCTCGTGTCGTCCAAATACGCATGTCTAGCTCTCAACATATTGCTAATTTTGATTCCAGTCCCCCACTCTTAGTACCAGCTATGCATGTCCATCTTCTTGACTGCAAATCCCAAAACCCTTTGACTCGGAAACTGGGATTCAACAAACTCGAGTTCTGCATGGAAGTAATGCGCGAGTTTCAAAAGACCTACACCTCAGCGTCTGTCTTCTGTGGCATCTTTGGAGAAGCAATACGCCAGTTATCTCCTGACAATTCGGGTCAATCTGGAGTAGCCAAGTCGCAAACAACGATTCGGGCGTCCGATCCGACGCAAAACGATGATGATGGAATCATGGCAGGTCCTGGAAATGCCGACTCGATGTTGATCAGTGATGATCTACTAGAAAGTCTGTTAAATGAGGGATCAGGATACAATATATGGGAGTCGATGAACATGATGGAACAGCCATTCGATTTCAGGGATGAACCATCATAGCTTGAATTCTACAACACTGTCTAAAATCTAGACTCTGTCTATCTATCTAATTTCCATTCTGTACTAGAACCCGAAAAGAACAATAGCAATGCAAAAAGTCTATCAATCTACAGAATCGGCATCAAAGAGCACACACACCACGACTTGCTGATCCAAATCATGTGCTGCTGACAGCTGTGTCGGATTTCGGAGGCAGCTTCGTGCGCTTCTCGGCCCTAACATACAAGTTGTTGGGCCTGATGAGCTGAAACATGGGATCGTACTCGGTGACATCGCTTCCGTCCTTTCTAAATCGGTACCGATATATAAGTTTAGGCAAGAAGATCTTGATTTCCTGCAACGCAAAGTTGAATCCGATGCACATCCGAGAGCCGGTTCCAAAGGGTAGGTAAGCCGCCTTGTGTCGGTTCTTGACCTCATCGGTACCCCATCTATCCGGGTTGAACTTGGCGGGATTATCCCAAAACTCGGGGTTGTTGTGTATATGATGTAGCGCTGGGATCATGACCGAGTCTTTGGGCAGTTTGTAACCCCCAGGCAAGATGAGGTCGACTTTGGAGGTTCGACCCGGCTGGAATGAAGGGTTGTGACGGCGTTGGGTTTCTTTGATGTAGTAGTCAAGATAGACAAGGCGGTCGGTAAAGTCTGATGTCACCTCCATATCATCGGTGAAGCCGTGGTCGATCAACTCTTGCAACAGCTTATCCTGCACGTCGGGGTATGTCACAAGGCCGTAGATGAGCCACGATAGGAGGGATGAGGTGGTGGTGAATCCTGCGCCTGTTGCGACAACAAGAGCCCAGGTCAGGCTGGACTTGGGCAACCTTTCTCCCTTGTTGTCGGTGGCACGAAGTGCATAATCTAGTCACACAACATGTTAGTGTCCGTGATCTTCTTGTCTGCTAAATACAACTCAAAAGACAGGGAGACTTACCAATCATATCGGTCGCTCGAAGGGCTGCGTCTTGGAGCGGCAAATCTTCAATGCCTCCAGCCTTGGCTTGTTGGATGCGCTCCTCCACCATCCGTTCCAGGGTTGCCTTCTTGTCCCTCAAGGCTTTCGGGTCTCCAAACGGCAAGCTAGCGTACCAGTTTCCTCTCGATGTAACTTTTTTGTTGAGTGAGAGCATGTCGGCAATGAGATGGACAATTTCGTGCACAGGGGCGTCGACTGAAGAGAAATGCTCAAGATCCAAGCCAAGCGTCAGTTTAGCGACAGCTTGAGCACCCAACTTGAGCATGTATTGATATACATTCCAAGCTTCCTCTCTCTCATCCAAAAGGTCAAAGACCTCATACGCCTTTTCGACTGTCTTCTGCATCGTCGGTGCATAATGCCGGACTGCCTTGGGTCCTAAGGCAGGAGGCAAGAACTTGTGCGTAACTCTCCATTCGGGTGTATCCGTATCGCCTAAAAAGATGCCGGCCTCAGGTGTCTTGATGCCATTCAGGGGATGAGCATCGTTAATCCTTTTGGTAAAGAACTCGGACTCGGCAAAGGCGACGGCAGCGACTTCTGGATCGTTGGAGTGATAGACAGTACGACCTAGGTTTGTCGTCTTGATGACGGGCCCATAGCGTTCAAAGAGACGTTGGTGATTGCCGAGGTGGTCGGGAAAGACCTCGAAAAAGTTGCCGACATACGGTAAACCAGGGGGGCCTGGAATGTCGCGAACCGCCCGGCCGTCGATGGTGATGGCGACCTTGTCCTTAGTAGACATGACCTGCGAGGCGGTAGACAAGGCATTATCCGTGCCTTGGAAACCAATTCCTAGCACAAGTTAACATCATCCACCAGCGCATTGTTGGGAAGGGGCGGTTACCTGTAGGCACCACGATGGCATAGTGAGATGCGATCAATTGCTGAAGATGGTTGAAGCTTGCATTTTGGTCAACGTCGATCTCACGGGCAGTTTCTGGGTCCTCCCCGAGCAGGTAAAAAGATTGTAGAGGCATTATGGGTGTTGGTGATCTACCAGGAGGATTGTCGAGTAAAGCATCAATCTCAGAGGCTCCCAGAAAGGTCATCTATTTATTTCTATCTAATGGCTCAAGTTTTCGCCCTTCTGATCCTCAACGTAGCAATGGCAATTCATTGATAGTAGCAAATGTCCTGCCGCGGCATCGAGACCCAGTGGCCCTTACATTGACGAGTTTTCCGATTGGCCAGGGTCAATCCCGAGCAGCATCACGACTTGCCGAGCCTCCCGCCCACCATGACGATCTCCCGTGTTTTAGCGCTGTTGCGTAAGTAAAGAAACTTGGCTTCTGGGCAAACGTAGGTGCTGCATCAAGTAGACTACCACATTCCCATGAGCGACTTGATGGCTCGAGGGTGGCTACCATGCCGCACCGAGGAAACATTTGTGGAGCTTACCGCGGTAACGATGCAGAAGTTTACATCATGACGGAGGGTGGTCAGGGATGATTCGGGCAAATGACTTCCCAAGAGTCAGAGGATAGTCCTAACAACAAGGGGCTGTAGCCATGCAGGATTGCTTGAAGCCTAGTATGATAAAAGCCTCAACAATCGCCGAGCCTTCATCTGTTGCAAAATCAGAAGCCGACTGAGCAACCGGGCTTAACAAACTATTTTGAGCAATTCACCTTCACTCATCTTTTGTTTGCCATGTCAGACCTTCCGACCTTCACTGCAGCTGAAGTCGCAGCACACAAAACCAGGAATGATCTCTGGATAGTCGTGCATGGAAAGGGCAAGTTTACCATTGAAGCACCCGCTTTATTGGACCACCACTAATAGCGCTTTAGTCTACAACGTTACCGAATATGTGAGAGACCATCCTGGTGGTGTTGATGCCCTCATAGACGTTGCCGGCACAGATGCAACGGCAGCCTACCAAGACGTCGGCCATTCCGAAGATGCAGATGAGATTCTTGAAGGATACTTCATCGGGCAAAGTGCCGAGGGCGACAAGTTCAAGCCGCAGAAGTCGATCAAGCTGGTTCAGCAGGTGCCTCTTCAGCCCGTCAGAAAGCCAACTTCCTCTGCTATCCCCTACTCCCTTAGGCTTCTTAAGGTTGCCCTGGGCTCTGTGGTGCTCGGAGCATCGGTCTATGGCGCCTCCGTGTACGGGTCAGTCGGAAGACAGGCGCTCGTAAAGCTCTCGGTTCCAAATCCAGCCACCATGCCACACAACCCATTCCTTACTGGCTTTGCAGCCGCCGGTACATTGTCCGCAATTGTGGCCGGTGTGGTTGGTATCAAATTGTCACAGTTCACTCACGTCGAGTCTGGCTTCACCCGGTTCCCGGCGCATCGGAAGCAGGTCCGGGCCGTGGAGCAAGTAAATCCTCACATGGCAGAGGGCTTCTTGAACCCCAAAACGTACAAGGGTCTCAAAGTGGCCCGGATAGACAAACTTTCACCCAATGTTTTCCGCTTTGTCTTTGATCTCCCTGAAAAGCGTGGCGTCGTGGGGCTACCGATTGGCCAGCACATCGCCGTCAAAGCCACTGTCGACGGCACCTCGGTTTCAAGGTCTTACACGCCTACTTCCAACAACCTCGACGTTGGTGTCCTAGAGCTAGTCATCAAAGTGTACCCCGGCGGGTCGCTGACCGGCGGTTACTTTGCGAATCTGAAGCCTGGGGATGAGGTTCTCTTCCGCGGCCCCAAGGGACCGATGCAATACCAACGGGGGTTATGCAGCAAAATCGGAATGATCGCGGGAGGAACAGGCATCACCCCCATGTTCCAGCTCATCCGTGCCATTTGCGAGGACGACAAGGATACCACAGAGATATCACTGATCTTTGCTAATCGGTCTGAGGAAGATATCCTACTTCGACCGCAGCTGGAATCCTTCGCCCGCCGTTATCCTAGCAACTTTAAGCTTTGGCTCATGCTGGACCAGGCGCCGAAGAAATGGATTTATGGCACAGGCTACGTAACGGCCGATGTCATGAAGATGAGGCTACCTCCCTGCGCACCGGATACCAAGATTATGCTTTGCGGGCCTCCTGGGATGGTTGCTGCGTCCAAGAAAGCCCTGGTCTCTTTGGGCTTCCAGGCACCCGGAGCGGTGTCAAAGATGACGGACCAGATCTTCTGCTTTTAGTCGGCTGGTGGTTGTTGCTTTCTGTATCATAGTACTTTTAGATCTTTCTGCTTTTCGTTAAACCCTGTTTCCTAGCATATGGAGTAGATCTTAAGTTGTCTTTTTATCCCATACTACTTAAAGGTGCATCAGTTACTCGGAAAATATCAGTGACAAATCCATAGGTGATTCCGAACAAACTGTTCCAAAACTTGGTCGGTAGTCACTGCTTTCGTTAGTCTTTGATACAAGGTCATGTTCCCGCAATGTTGATCAGTTATTAATTTGATGACACGAATACAGCAAGGTGGTGCCGCAGCACACTTGGGATTAACATGTTGGAGAGTGCCACGTCTATGCATGAATTTACTTAGACTTTTTATGGTCATAATCAACGACGCCGTAAGGTAGAGTCATCGAGCGCAGTTTTAAAGACCCGAGACTTGATCTATTCAATCTCTTAGGTATGGGAAGAAACCAGTAAAATGCACATCCGCACCTGTTGGCGCTGTAAACTGTCACCCACTCCCCTAGAGAATTATAAGTAACTATCTGAACAGCAACACATTACTTCTCATCGGCTCATTCATGGGCCCGAAAAACACGAGCCTGGTCATGCGAGACGTCTCGTTGGTCAATCTTTGCCGCACACCGCGGTCATTTACAAGGACACGTCATGGCCGATTAAGTCTCCGGCAGAGCCGCATCCGACATTATGCCTAGTGTTTCCGCGGCCATTAATTTCCAATCTCAAACTCGTAATGCAAAACTCGGTCGTTATCAGGGACGGTGATGCTACCTTTCAGCACCCGTGGTCCTACGTCAGAGCCTCTAACCAGGTCCCGCCTTACCGCGGTATGTGGTTCGGGTCCACAGCAAGCTACCGCGGAATGAACGGCAGACGAAGAAACGCCTTGATTAATTCTAACAAGCGTTGGATCGCGTAGAATCGAGCTCTTTCAGGCTCCGGTAAATCCGAGGAACAAATTGATTCAAAATGTATGGGGCTGATAATGGCAATAGCGTCACAAGCGCATTACACATGTATATGAAGAGGCCCAGCGCCTTGTGTCCATTCTGCCAACTCACTTACAATCCCAATTGGTTAAACATACTTCAATCATCTCCAATATCCTACTCCATCATTACTTCGACATGTCGTGGCAGCCACCAAAGAATTTCGAAACCCGTCCCGTAGCCATCCTCGGGGCGGGTGTCCTTGGGCGTCGTATTGGTAACTTGATAAGCTCCGTGAATGAGTGACTTGGAAAAGGTCTAACTCATACCTCTTCAGCATGCACCTGGGCATCTGCCGGATACAACGTCAACGTTCGAGACCCGAGTGACGAGCAGCGATCGCAATGTTGGCAGTACGTCGATCAAGAGCTCGACACATACCTGCAACGAACCTCGGCAAGCAAGGGGACCGTCCGGGTATTCGAGAACCTAGAACCTGCCCTTGAGAATGCCTGGCTTGTTATCGAAGCTATACCCGAGAAAATCGAACTCAAGACTGCCACCTTTGCAACGCTGGACACCATGGCCCCGCAAGATTGCATTCTTTGCACCAACTCGTCCTCATACAAGTCATCCGAGATGATTTCCAAAGTCTCCGAGCCGACAAAGCGACGCATCCTTAACATGCACTATTACATGCCTCCCGCCTGCATGGTTGTGGAGCTTATGACGGATGGACTTACCGACGAAGCCATTTTCCCATTCTTGTCAGCAAGGCTCAGGGAGACTGCGGCCTCACCATACGTCGCCAGGAAAGAGAGCACAGGCTTCATCTTCAACAGACTCTGGGCAGCCATCAAGCGTGAGATTTTGACCATCCTGTCCGACGGCGTGTCTGTTCCCGAGGAGATCGACAGCATCTGGGGTGAGCTATTCACTGGAGACACAGCCCCGTGCAAGCTTATGGATGGTAAGTCTTGGTCATTTCTCTTGTCGGATCCGCGTTGTTGAAAGCTAACCTTGGATTGCGTAGATGTTGGCCTGGACACTGTGGCGTTCATTGAAAATCATTATATCGCAGAACGTGGCTTGAGCTCGAAGACTGTCGACTATCTCAAGAGCACCTATCTCGATCATGACAAGCTTGGTTCCAAGTCACCCAAAGGAGGCTTATACTCGCCCAAGATCAAGGCGGAAGCTCACAATGGTGCGACTTTACCTGGCTCGACTTTGCTTGTCCTGGACGTCGGGCTATCTGCAGCAGAGCCCAGCACGGCATCAGGAGCAATCCTCCAACTCGACACTGATGGTCAAAACGTCAAGACGATCCTCTCAGGGCAGTCTTTGCCAGACGGCATTGATGTCGATGATTCGACTAGACGTATCTTCTGGACCACCATGGGCAAGCCAGGCGTCCAAGATGGAGCAGTTTACTCTGCGAACAAGGACGGAACCGACATCCGCACGCTCATTGCCCCAGGTGCTATCAACACACCCAAGCAGCTCTGTTGTGACAAGCAAAACAAGAAACTCTACTTCTCAGATCGCGAGGGTTGTGCAGTCTACCGCTGCAACTACGATGGCTCAGCTTTGGAAACCCTAGTGGATAACGCAAAGTCTTGTTCGGGGGAGGGCAAGCGAGCCGATGTGCTGGACTGGTGTGTGGGAATTGCAGTCTCCCCCTCGCGCGGCAAATTCTACTGGACACAGAAAGGCCCCTCCAAGGGAGGCAAAGGTCGTATCTTCTGTGCCGAGATGGACAACCCAGGGAATGTTGCCTGCATCATGGACGGACTGCCAGAGCCTATCGACTTGGAAATCGACGAAGCTGGCAGTAAACTGTACTGGACCGACCGAGGAGAGATTCCATCCGGCAACGCCTTGTTCATGGCTCCCCTTGATGACACAGGACTTCCTGCTCCTATGGACACGACATCGTCGATCAAACCACAAGTGCTCACAAAGAACTTCAATGAGACGATTGGGTTGAAGCTCGATGTCAAGAACAACCGCATTTTCGTGACTGACTTGGGTGGAAGAATTTATTCTTGCGACATCGAGACGGGAAAGAAGATGGTAATTTATGCAGATGATGATCGTGCATTTACAGGCATTGTGGTGATGTGACTTTCAAGTAATCTACTAGAATAAAGTTCTTTTTACATTTGTAGATTTTTGAAGTTTCTTATACAGGCCTTTAATTAGTGTTGCTTCGACGTTCAAACCACCACAAGGACACGCCAGTCAACAGTGCGGCGTATCATAGTCAACGGCTACCATGAGCAAAGAAGCCCACCGTGAATTTGACTGGGCTAGAGCTACATTCTGGCGGTTCAAACTTCCCCCTATAACTCTTTCGAAACTCCAAGAACAGTCTCAAAGGCTCATTTTCGCAGTGCTTCATTTCACGGAGCCTTAGGAGCCATATAGGGGGCTTTTACTGTTGGCAGACTTTGGCGCACCCAGACTGACCAGCCTGCTGACAACCACGAAGGCATGACATCTTACTCCTTAACCTTCCACCAGAGCACATGCCGATGCAAAAGAAGCCTTTTACGGTAAGACAGTAAAATACATGTCGCTCTATATATATTTCAGAAGGTGCATGCATTCCATATGTGATGATAGCTTTGGCCAGAATCCCTTCCGCCACTTCTCCCCTCAGCTGAGCGCGAACAGAATGGAACGCCCCCAGTTTCTCAGGGCGAATCCGGGCCTATAGTTAGGCGCCCATGGACCCACTTGCGCATTCCTCGTTCACAGCCCAAAACTCTGTCCTCTCATTTCATTATTTATACAGCCTTGACCCAAACTTTGTTCATTCCCAATAACCTCTTACTTGAACCAGATCTTGCGAAATTTCCCTTCTATCATCATGCTCAAGCCAGAAGAGAGGTTCTTTGCTCTCAGTGGGAGTATATACCCTGGAGGCCCAAGTACCTGGCACGTCATGGACTGGGATCAACGCCGCCTCATATCGGTCACCATGGACGAGGAGCTTGAATCCGCAGAACCGGCGATCGAGCATCTGCGGAAACACGTGGATAATATTGCGCTAGACGTCTTCGAGATCCGGGTTTCGCCGGGGGGTGACTTGGTTTCAACATCAAATGACCGAGAGGACGACAATACTTTTTGCCCTTTTTACCCCTCCTTAGAACTAACACAACATCCGGATGGCATCGAGGCCATCCCAAGGTCAGAACTAGAGGAACTTGATAGACTTGGACCTCTAGTAGATCTCGTCAGATGCTTAAGCCCCTTGGAGCCCAACAACAGGGTAAGCCCTGCCCAGAGACTCATGCCATTGTTCAGAACCTTACCGGAGCACAGCTTGTATTCAAGTATTATTTTATACACCAGCGCCTCTCTTATGTGTGGCATGAGATGAATCTCTGGATGCGATTGCCGAATCACCCGCACATTGTGCCCTTTGACAAAATCGTCGTGGACGAGATCCAAGGACGGTGCGTTGGGTTCACCACCAAGCACATCTCGGGTGGAACTCTCGAAGAGAATAAGACACGCGTCTTTAAGCTGAAATGGCTTCATCAGTTGATTTCTGTGATCGACGAGCTCAACCTGAATCTTGGCATTGCCCACCAGGACGTCACTCCTCGGAATCTCCTCATCGATGCCAGCACGGATTCCATAATGATATTTGACTTTAACTTTTCAGTCCGAATCGGTGAGGTGGGATACGATGAGGACCGGAACGACATCAAAGGACTCATATTCACAATGTACGAGATCATCACTCGTGACATTACGCTACGCGAGGTTGAGCATCAAGAGCAAAACTTCTCAGATATCGAGAACAGGGAGTGGATACTACATCCAGATGTGCGACTCGATCACCCAGTCTCCGGCTTTCGCGGGACTCTTGCTCAATGGTCCGACAGGCGGCGGCAAGGCAGGCGGGTTACTTGCTACAAAGATGCCCTCAACTTTATTGACTGGCCAAACACGCCGGAACCACCGCCATCTGAAGTCGTCATCAACTACTCAACTGGACCAGTGACGCAACTAAAAGTGCTGTGGAGTGTTGAGAGACGGAGGATGCTAGAACAAGGCAAGGAAGTCTTGAACTGGCAACGGCCCCCCCAAGCAAATTTCAAGCCCGGGGACAGGCTTCTGGCGACTGGTGAGTTGATATCGGAGGCTTGAGATGTGTCTTTTGCGGGTTTTTCTGGCTGTCGGTCTAATATTGGCAATGTACGAGGGTTTAAAGCGGATGTTGATATTGCAGAGAACAAAGAGTTCACTTAGAGATTAGTATTAGATTGAATTTCACTTATAGCAAGGTTTTAGTGAACGACTCAAGGAAAGCCCACCCCGCAAAAAGAAGCCCAAAATGAGCCACATTTGACAATTAACATTCCGGCATCATAGGTGAATCCGAAGGTGCAATAGAAACTCACGAGAGGGCTTTGGAGGCGTCAAGCTTGGATGTAACGGGCTCACGGACTTACCGAACGGTAGCGGCAGTGGTAACGCCACGCACGCGGGGGGGCGGATGAGTGCGGCCAAGACACGAATCATGGCCGTAGTTGGGCGCCCGCAAATATTGGAAGAGGCTCTTTGGGCTGGCGCCTTTCCCGAAGAGTTTCTTTGCTCTGGTGCAGGATTGACTCAAGCCTCTCTTCATTCCCGACAAGCTGGGACCCGAACCAACCCCGAGAATTGTCCTTTGTTATTAAATTGGTAGACTGAAAGAGAAATTACGTGTTCGCTTGTAGCAGGGATACGACTAACTAACTATGAGGTCCACTTGCCTAGCACTTCGAGGATTGGGATCGACACTGCCCCGTATTGGCGATCAGAAACTATGTCGAGCTAGCAAAACCGGTGGGTGAATATCTTCAGGAGCACGTGGACGCACGTGGTTGATCTTGCACTAGACGCTGTCAAGATCCGGAGCTTGCCATATGGTAATTTCTTTCATTGACAGGTAATCTAGAAGACGATGATCCCTTCTGTTGTTCTTGAATCCACCTGGCTTGACATCTGGGAGGGTTCAAGCTAGGTAGCTGTCAGATCAAGGGCTTGGGCCTTTGATAGATCCTATCAGGTGCCCAAGCTATTTGAGGCCCAACCAGAAAACAGGCCTGACTCTGAGACTCTAACTAACAACTAGCTAGGAACCAACAAGAATTCAGGCTTGTGTCAAGTTCTCTGTACATGTACCACCTGACCTGCGTATGACACGAGACAAATCTGCGGATGCGATAACTGAAGACCCCCACATTGTGCCCCCTGACAGGATCGACGCGGATGAGATTGAGGGGCGGTGTGATGTGCTCCTCGCTACTCCGTACTGTTCCACACGTATCTTCGGTGGGACCTTGGAGAACATGGATGTTCAACTTGAAATGGCTTCATCAGCCAAATACTGTCTTTGATGAGTCTGTCTGAATCTCTACATGCATTCCTCCTCAAGCTCTTATCTCGATAACGCCAAGGAATCCTTAGTGATCTTTTCGGTCCAAACCAGAGATACGGAGCTAGGCCCGCAGTGTCATCAGGGGTTCGTTGTTGGTGATCAAGGAAGTAATAGTCACAACAAACGATCCTCTACCCTGCGGGAGCTTGACAAACAAGAACCAAACGGCTCGGGTCCGAGAACAAGGAGGCAACATGGCATCCACGTGGGCGGCTCAAATTCCTAGTCGCTGATTTTGGTGATACCCTTGGCCAGAGACCCGGTAGGCGGCGGCATTGCGGAGGACTTCCCGCAGAAATGCCCCCCAACTTTATCGGATTGACCACATCGGAACCGCTGCCATCGTAAGCCGCAATCAGGGACTTTGTCGAAACGGCACCGCAACTAAAAGCATTATAAGGTTTCAATAAACAGAAGATACCAGAAGAAGACCCAAGGGGGCGGTATTGCACTGCCAACGGCCAACCCAAGCAAAGCTTGAGCGTGGGGATGTAATCCTTTAACCATACGAGCTTATTTCGGAGCCTGAAAAAGGACTCTTAGCTACCGTATTCAGAATGATGTTCTTTGACGAGAATAGGGCCGATGTTAGCCATTTAGAGCTCTTGAAAGTGGATGTCAATATTACCGTCGAAATAAACTAAGGGGTTCAGTTACCGACCTCGTCTATCTTATCACGGCGATTCATCAGTTGCAATTACTAGTAGCGTTAGCCTTGGAGACCAAGAATAGTCTCAACTACGGCAGAGACGGTCCCCCGGTCTAGCGGTCCAAGGAAACACCGGAACGACCATGGTGGGAGAGCCAAGCCCCCGTCGCGGCGGCGTGTTTTTCCCAACCCGCGCTTTCGTGTCTCCTCTCCTGGCACTAGGGTGTTCCTCGCGTCTGATTGGTCCGGTCAGGAGCCGTCGACCAGGGTCCCCAGGGTGAGGCAGCTTGGACCAACTGATCTCGCACCGATAGAAAGTGTGTAGCAAAGGCGCTGGTTTCAGTCCTGACGGCGCATGAATGATAAGTCTTAAGGTTTACAATGAAGCCAGTCTTCGGGCGAAAGGTCGTTTTAGAGATGCTTGAATCATCACCATCTCCGGATGTTGCTTGGGAGTCGAAAAGACGGCGATGGGTGGTTCCGTTGTTGGTTCTAACCCTGTCAGAGTTCTGTATCTGACTGATCATTTCTTGGCGGGGGCAGTGTGTGACTCGGTCGCTATCCGGCGGACCCTGGGAAATACCCTGATAGGCGTCTATCATCAGTCGTAGGCCTGCCAAGGGAAGTCGTCGCTCAGGGTGGGGGTGCGGTAGCGTGATGGGCTTTTTTTTGCTTTGATCATGGCCATTTGCATTAGGAATCACATCATTGAAGCTGCATTGTGCGCCCTCCCCCTCGATGCATGCTTGACGAGATTACAGCGGTTCTCTTTGTACAATTTCTTTCGTTCGCGGAGCCGCATAATCATGTTCCGGTGGAGCGCGGAGCCGCACCACCCGTGTCGATCACTGGAGCCGGACCAGTCAGATCACTCGACCCTTGAACTTTGTTTGGCCTGATGGGCTCTGGAAGACGGGAGGGACGGTCAGGCAATTGTGTTACTCGATGGAAGGCCTTTGAAAGAGTGAGAAATCTACCCCTGAAGTTGAGATCCAAGACTCCTCTTCTCTCATCTCACGGATCTCATTTTCCACGTGAGCCTGCCGCGTGATGCCTGACGTCAAGCTCGCAATAGATTCTTCCTCGGGCTTATGGAACAAATTGCCCACGTGTTTCGCTAGAGCCTGCTAAACCGCATCAAGACCTAGCCATGCTCCTGGTCAGCCGCCGACCATGTGGCCCCCCGCTTTCCTGCGTTAGCAGAGCCCTATCTTGAAGCGGCCCCTCCCCCCCTATCTGAGCCATTTACCCATGAAGCCTGCTGGTCCGGGGTTCGAGATGATTTCGACGAGCTCGAATGGGCAAGGTGCAGATGGCGCACGAGTAATGAGCCCTTGTAGACAAGACCCTGCCGTTTCCTTTTATCATCGAGTGGCCTGCTCTGCTCTGCCGATGCAAAAAAGCAAATGTCTGTATTAAATCCACGGCAGCCTACTGACGCCCAGTCACGCCCCTTGGCACACTCTTGGAAACGGCACTTCTCCACACAGTCATCATGAACTTGACCAAGAACACCATCACCCAGACATCATCCCGTCTGCTGCGCACATCGGATGATGATCAACCGCATTCCAGGGTACGTACTCACATATCTACACATTGCGTTGACTACTAACACCAAACAGGACCTCAAAGACCTCTTCTCCGCCCTCATCGTCAGCCTCCTCCCCCTCGAGCCCCATCGCGTCCGCTTCGTCAAGTTCGAACACACATTCCTCTCCGAAGATGCCATCCGCAACCTCGGCAACCTCAAGCTCACACAGTCGAATCGCATGCCCGATCCCGACAACCCGTCATGCAGCGTCACCTCCACCTCCACCACCACATTCTCCATGAGCAAGGATACGGCACGGTCTCTATGTCAGCGATTTGTCGACGCCCGCTTTATCGAGGCAGCGGATGGGAAGCCGGACCAGATCTTTGCGCATCGAGGAGGAGTGTGGAAGCCAACGTCCAAGGGAACTACGATATTTGACTGGTTCTGCCAAAAGAATGGCATCAACCACGATCAGCTGTTCGATCTAAGGAGCCTGATCACTGGACCCCTCCTCTACCTGGAGAGAGATGTGAAAACGGACAAGCCACACGTCGACCGCGCCACCACCGAAGTCGTCTTCTGCCGAATGATGGGCATCGATGGACGGGGGAAGAAGGGACCTCTGGCGCTGGCAAGGCAGGAATCCGCAACGGGCATCAGGTTGACGCATGAGCGCAAGATCGGCGGTCGCACATACCACGACACTTGCACGGGTCAACAGATTTCCGACTGGCTACGAGACAAGGCGACATGTGCGGACTTGAAGGAGGCTATAAACATGGCGTCGCATTTTGTGCACTACAACCTCATCGAGTCGGTTGCTACGGACATGGCCTACATGAACCAGTATGTGGCCTGCAAGCTGTTCCAACCAACACATCTCGCCGTCTACACCCTCTCGCAACGTGGTCAAGACTTGATCGAGAACAGCTCCTCAAGTCGATGCTCATCCCAAGGCAAGACGGACTCGTCAACGTCAAAGGGTGGTGTCACGGAAAGCAACCGCCTCAAGCTGGAAAAGATTCTCCAAGATCCTACCCTCCGCCTTCTTTTCCGCGAGAATCTCCGATCAACGTACTGTGAAGAGACGCTAGCTTTCTACGAGCAAGCCGACGAGTTTATCGAAGAGTCCAAGACGACATTGGAGGGTGTCAAAAAGGGAGACAAGGCGGCAGATGAAAACGCCAACGAGCTTCTCTCGCAGTCGCACATCATCTTCAACACCTTCGTCGCACCTGGCTCACCACGCGAGGTCAACATCAACCATCAGCTTCGCCTAAGTCTGTCCGACAGGATGACCAAGGCGCAAGCCCAGGATTCCACACAAGCCGACATGTTGAAGGAGGTGACGTCCCTTTTGGAGAGCGCTCAAAACGCCGTCTTCAAGCTGATGGCCAGCGTAAGTTTTTCCCTTACATCTAATACACGAACCATTACTAACAAGCATCCAGGACTCTATTCCCAAGTTCCTTAATAACCCAGCAGTGGAGGATCAACTGGTGCAAGCAGGTGTTCGATGATAGACGGAAGACTCCAGCGATACCCATGAGATTACGGAGTGGTGTTTTTCTCTTTTTTGGCTTGCAACAGTAGATAGCACATTTTTTAGACACTTGACATGTACACCTTTTTCTTTGTCGCATAGCAACCACGCAAGATACGTCACCATGACGCTACTGGTCACGTCGCAAGGATGTAATATAGAGGACTTTTGGTCAACGTTTTGATGAAAGACAACTGGTGACTACCTATAGTTTCCACGTGTATGGAAGCTCACGGTTCTCGTCTCTCTCTCACGCTCGGGCTAGCGGGCCACAAGTCAACCAAATCTAGGGAGGATCAGATCCTCTGATCCTTCAGACCCTCACCCTGACTGAGCTCATTATTTGCATCTCGGACCGACAACTATCCCACATTCTTAAGCGTATCAAGGACATGAGGATTACTGTCCATCTTCACTTCTTTTCTCATAGATATAGATCGCGATTATGACTTCGCTTCCTTGTCAGAGGCCATCGCCTGCGATCCTTGTGTCGATCAGTTTGATAGCCACGTGTTTGACGTGTTTGTGCTCATCTCGGGTCAAGGGTAACACAATGATCGAAGTCTGGCACTGTGAAATAGAAGCTTCCCAGAATTCTTCTAATGGTCGGTTAAATTGCTCTCCTCGCCACTAGGCTACCCATGGAGTTGTATCGGTGGTGCTTGGCGAGGAAGGGGGGCAGGCTTGGGGGGTTAGGGGGCTCGGTGAAGTGTTCTGGAACATTCTGCATTTTTGTGCCCAGCAGCGAAGGGTCGGACGGTGGTGGCATTTGGAAGACCTTCACTTCTTGCTTGTGCACCGATCACTCCTGTGCTCCTTTCCCTGCTAGGGCACTATCTAGCCATGGAGCCATTTCTGTGACGGGCTGTTACTGTACTATTTCCCAGGAAGGACAGCAAGGAAAACGGCAACGGATGGGTTCTTAACGAGCAAAATACTTGTGTTATAGATATTTCAAGGTGTATTCTACCAGATCTCCGATATGTTTCCCGGACAGCTTTAATTGAGAGTTTGCTCAATATACTGGTCGTGGAATAAGATCCTTGCCTTCTTTCTCTCGAACCTAGCTAGAACTCCTCACGAACGAAGACCGGTGGACTAATCACAGAGCTTTGAGTTAGACATCAAGCTTCTGCATAGGGATGCGAACTATTGTCGAAATATTGTTCCCCACTCGTCACTATGCAGAAAGCAGGCAACCTTTTGCGAGGAACGGCAGACAAGTGGGCAAAATCAGGCACAAATCTTCGGTGGTCTAGGGTAGGAGATTGATAGCTCCCGAGAATGGTGCTAAATTTAGCATCCTCCACCTCCCCCACATTCCGCCTAATCAGAGTCCTTTCACTGGTGGAGCATTCAACGCCATCCTCAACATTCAGCCTTACCGGCACATGCTCCTTAAAGTGCTTTTTCGCGCCCTTCATTTCCCAGACACGGCTTGTGCATTGGTTCCTTGCTCCCGTGTTACATTGGGAGATTCCTTCTATTCCTTTATTGGGTCTCAATAGGCAGTCCCTTACGTGAACTGAACGGTCTGACCAACAGTCTGTAGCGGAGAAATGACGCGGCACGTAATGGCTGAGACATACAGCCGACTATCGAGCGCGATCAATGGCTCGTATCTTTGGTACAGAAATTGTATGGCGCTTCTCCCTACAAATATCTGACACGCTGGTGCCATCTCCGCTGAATGCTGACATTGTCACACAAGCACAGCGGGAGTTATTGGAGTACATAACGGCGGGAATGCCACCGGGTTTTTCTTTTGTAGGCTCAGCTTTGCAGTATTATCTGTTGATTCTCGACTGGGTCAAGATGTGGTCGCAAAACGCTCTTGTAGGCCTGTGGCTCTCGAGCCTGGTCGCCACATTGGCATCACCTCAGCCTCACCTAACGTCCCTCATCGAATCGGGATCCTCCATGCTCAACTGGAAGCCATGTGACCTAGACCTCTCTGACGAGATCAAGGCTGCCATGAGAGAACGTGGGTACTGCGCCACACTCGAGGTTCCATTGGACTATACCAACCCCCAATCCGACAAGACCGTTGAGCTCCAGTTGATCCGCTTCAATGCTACCAAAGAGCCATTCAAGGGCAGTGTCCTGTGGAACCCCGGTGGTCCTGGAATTTCAGGCATTGAGACATTTGCTACTCTTGGGCCAGACTTTCGCGAGTAAGCACTCATCATGAGCCAGCCAAGAACAGTCTCGCTGACGTCTATCAAAGTATCATCGGCGGCCATCACCATGCGATTTCTTTTGATCCTCGGTAGGTTTATCAAACTGTTCCCCAAACAGCTCGCTGACAGCGATAAGCGGCGTTGGCCGAACTATCCCGTTCTCATGCCGCCCCCAAAACACCCCTGCTAAGGTGACGCGTCGAGATGATAGTAAATTGCCTCAAGCCGACCTCTGGTCCTATATCAAAAACCAGAAGTGGGCCGAGCTCTCAGCTATTGCCGATGCCTGCTATGCCACCCAGCAGGAATATGGCCGCTACATCAGCACCGCCTTTACGGCTCGTGACATGATGAAGATTGTCGATGCCCTCGGCGAGGATGGCAAGTTGAGATATTGGGGTATCTCATACGGCACCATCCTGGGTCAGGTCGTTGCTTCTCTGTTTCCAGATCGGATCGGACGACTGCTGCTCGATTCCAATTCTCTTGCCGATTCATACCTGACAGCCACTGGGATCGGTGGTCCTCGCGATGCTGAAAAGTCTCTGATGTACATGTTCTCCGAATGTGTCAAGGTTGGGCCAAAGACTTGCCGACTTGCCAACTACGCTGGTCGCCGTACCACCGTTGAAGATCTACGAGAAGCAGTTGAGGACCTCTTCCAGAAGCTGACAGAGATGAAAAATCTCCCAGCTGGTCTCTCCAAGGAGGAGTACCCATCCGGAGGCAACTCTGTCCTGGCGCGGCTCAAGTTGCTCATTGTCGAGGGCCTGTCCAGTCCTGGCGGGTACCCCAAGGTTGCGACAATGCTATTCCAAGCACTTAACGGCCGCTGGAAGAAGGCTCTTGCCGTTGAGGAGACACCAGCGTCAGAATGGAACCGAGGCACTGAGGCATTCGCCGGAATTGCGTGTTCCGATTCTTCCTTCCGAGTGCAGGATCCTAATGATCTTTACCCTATGTACCGAGCACACCTCGCTGAGAGCTCTATGGGAGATGCCATCGCTGCTGATTATCTGGGTTGTGGTGCTTGGCGCTTCCAGGCTGCGGAGGGCGTTGATACTGACAAGCTTCGAAACGTTAACACTAGCTTCCCGGCTCTTATCATCAACGGCGCATATGATCCTGTGACATCGTTGACCCATGCCTGGCAGGTCTCTTCCAGATTTAAAGGAAGCCGTATGCTTGTGCACGAAGGAGTTGGTGTAAGCTCCCCTTTGCCCTTCCAGATGGTTGAAGCTAACAATAGGAACTAGCATGGAGTCACCTACCATGCTTCAAATTGCACCTTGGATGCAATCGCCACCTACTTCCGTGATGGTGTTTTGCCCGAAGTTGGTGCTGTGTGCAAGCCCAACATGTTGGCGTTTGAGTATGCAAAGTTGATTAGTTAGGAAAGCTGGGCATTTCATTTGAAGCGGTTTCTCTCAAACATGGCTGGGTCAATTGATGGGCCTGCTACATGTCTCCTCCCTGGATTGAGCAGGGAAATTACATTAACTTGGCATAACTGCTGTTCAGAAGGTTCATTTGTAATACATGCCGGTGTAATGGCATCCAATTGCTGGCGAAGGAGCAAGATCGTGACCTAAACTAGATATATTAACGTCTGTTGAAGTTGGATATTGCACACACCGAACTCGTAAACTCCGTAACTTAAGGAGAGCATACCCTTTTCGCACTGAGCCTCCCATACGCCAAGTAACACTCCAAGAGAGTGACCTCGCTAGAGATATAACCGGCTCGCTTCTGGAATATCTAGTGGTCTCGTATTTGAGATTTTTGAGTCTCTTCCAAGTACCTATGCTGCTTCAGCCAGGATAGGGAAGTATACTGAGCTGGTCTACATGATGCTTCAACATTGGTACGCTGTATCGGTAGGTGAGGAAAATAGTCGACACCTCAGACTCTCGATATTGAATATCAGTATATGTTTCTATTTCTGATTATGAAATTATGGACAAAATGTATTACGAAGTGATCCGCGGTCCCTCCACCTTCAACCAAAGCCAACTTAACTGAGGACCATGAATGGTTTGGCATGTAGCCCACACAGCGAGCAAGCGCAAGGTATCCTCGCCAACATCTTGGCAATCGCAAGTGCTCGCCTCATAGAAAGGGAGAGCTCCGTCAGCCAGCATCAGTAATCAGCCAAGACTAATTCTCGAAGCAGAAGCCGACTCTGCAGTAGGGCCTGAGCGGCCCGTACAGAGCCACGCAGCCGGGACTCTCAGAGCCTTAGGGGATATCGACGCAAAGGAGGTCAATACAGTACTGCCCAGGGGAACAGTCGGAATCGGTGCTGCACTCGTTGTTTGGGTTGGGAGCGACGCAAGTACCAGCGTCGCAGAAGGGTGTAGCTCCGTCACAGTCGGCGTCGGTGGTGCAGTCGTTCGGCGGGGAGACGCAAGTGCGGGATTCACAGATCAACCCAGAGTCACAGTCGCTATCAACATTGCACTGATTGGCGTTTGGGTTGGTAGCGACGCAAGTACCAGCGTCGCAGAAGGGCGTAGCTCCATCACAGTCGGCGTCGGTGTTGCATTCTGGAGTAACAACAGTGCAGACACCATTAACGCAGGTGGACCCGGCTTCAGTGCAGTCTGAATCGACAGAGCACAACTCAGGGCCAGGGCCAGCCTCGCAAACACCCGTGTCAGTGTTGCAGACGGGCGTAGGATCACTGCACATGAGGTTGGACAGGCATCGGAACTCGCAGAACCCAAGAGCGTTGCAAGAAGGCTTGAGTGTTCCGAACAGGTTCTGGCAGTCTTGATCATCGTCACACTCTCGGATGGCAGGCTGTGTCGCGGAGGCCGATGCGGTGGTAGACTCAGTTGATGAGGCGGAGGTCTCAGTGGAAGAGGTAGTGGTCAAGGACTCGGAGACCGAGGTCTCAGTGGAAGCGGTGGTGGTCAAAGACTCAGAGGCCGAGGCAGTGGTGGTGGTAGACACAGTGACGGAGGAATCAGTCGAGACCGTCTCGGTGAGGGAAGATGTCAACGACGTGTCGGTCGAGATGGTCGAGGAAGCGGTCTCAGTCTCAGACACAGACACAGTGGACGTCTCGCTGGCAGAGCTGGTCTCAGAGACAACCGTCGACAGCGTGGAGGTGGTGGAAGGGCGGCATGGCCCAGCACTGACACCGCTGGCAGCGAGCAGGGCCAGGGTGGTGGCTAGAAGTCGAGTGGAAACCATGATAACAAGCGAGCGACAGGGTTTCAAGGAACGACAGAAGCGAGAGAATGAAAACGACAGGAATGTGGAAAGGGAGAAACAGAGCAGAGCGTGGGCAATGCCTCTTATCCACTCCTTTTCACGTCTTTGTTTCTTTTTTCTGATCCGGAAGTCGGGTCCGTTGAGCTGAACCAACATGCGTCGAACTAGTAGCAGTTTATTAGTCTTGGCATGTCGATAGTGGCTTTTCTTGCCTTGACATCCGCGCACTAACACGTTCTGAGCCGTTGATCGTAATCCCCAGAAAAGCTAATCCGCGGCTTCAGATGTCAGTAGTAGTTATTGTGAAACGGGAGAAACGCTCCTTTGGGTCGTGATCTTCCATTCTAGACATCTTTCTACAAAAATTCGGATGTTATTTCTTCTTGAGGCGTCGATCATTCATTTGATGTTTGCTTGCTAACAAAAGCCACATTTAGCCCCAAGCATAGAACGTTAGACCCAACAAGCTGCCAGGGGAGTGCCCCTGAGAGCTAAAAAGTTAGCGGACAGGGGCCTGCCGATCGCCCACTCCGTCATAGATCTGGGGATTCACATGGATGCATTGCTTTGTAGCATTGGTCGAAGAACGAGCAGGACGATTACCCAACCTCGATAGATTGGTACCCTGTAAGCGTTCATGTCCCGTCGTCTTCCTCCTTATGCTATTTCGGATACGGTTGTTATTTGTACTCTTTTTACGGATCGATTTTCTTTGGCCACTGTGGAAATTGTTCGTTCGAGGCCTGGTTTCTACGGTTGAAGCTGATGAAAGGTGACTTAAAGCTGAGATAAATACGCGGATCATATTACCAGGGCCCCCAGAATCTTTTCAGCGGGGCGCATTTGAGTTTTACTATGAGCGTTTGAATGTCTTCTGCCACTAAGTAAAAGGCATTTAACTTTATAGACGACGACGATGCAATTAGAAATCTATAGACAATTTACTCTAAGACAAAATAAAATCAACTAGTCAGGAAGGCCTGGCATAATGCGATCCGAATCATAACTGCTCCTCAAATGTTGCCTGTCCCGTCTAATACCCAATACCGAACCATCTAATCACCGCTCAGCGCGTTTAAGAAGACTTGCCCCTGACGTAGCACAGAACCCAGCCAAACTCAACGGGGTTGGTGCTGATGAGAGCAGGGTTTTCGTAGGTGAACTCAGTGCTTCCAAGCTGGACACCGTACTTGTCGTTGTAGCGCTGGCAGACGACGTCCTTGACATTAGGAGACGGAATGTCGGGAATGTTAACGCTGAGGCTGATAAGATCAAGCTTGGTGATCTTGTACTGGTCCAGGCTGGTGAGCTGGCCAAAGGGAATTCTGACGGGCTGTTGACTGTGGTCGGCAGAGTTGTAGACCATGACGTTGGCGTAGGCCACGGGAGCCTGGCGGGCAGTTGGCTGAGCCATGGAGGCGGAGGCAAAGAGAGCGGCAGCTCCGGTGACGATACTTGTGAAATGCATGATGGTGGTGAGTTTGTTGGTGAAGGTTGAAGTTGAGGCGTGGAGATTAGCTGGAAGTTCCTGGCTTGTGTTGTAGTGTGATTGATGAGCTTGTTCGAATGAAGTCCAGATTTGAAGTTCTGGAGGCTTTCTTATATAGTCTGACAACATCGTGGCTGTGATGATGAAAATACACTCCGTACGACTTACAACTAATAATAGAATCCACACTTTGCATAGTCAAGGCACCCATGCCCAAAGGAGGCTCAACGTGCCGCCAGACCCCCATGTCTTTCTGACGCAAAGTGACTTGTGCCTAGTCTGTGCACCTTTACGAGCAATGCTATGTACGAATCGTCTGCGAATAAAGGACATGAACCACGAGACTGGTTGAGAGTAGCGGTCCAGCTGATTCCGTCCCCAGAATCTGTTTCAAAAAACTCCGACGGATGGACGATCCTACTGGGCTTAAACGAGGTTTTGTGGAGTCGGGAATGCAGATCATTGTTCGTATGGCCGTCGGAGAAATGATGCGAGGCCAATCAGAGGTCATAATGCACGGCCTACGGAGGTCCGTCAGCTGCAGATCGTATGACACGATGTTGTCCATCCTCGAGATGACATAAGATGGCATGTTGATGAGATCCCATATGCCGCTCGGCATTTACAACGTAACGTTGAGAAAGATGCGACGTCCCATAAGGCTATGCTTACTTGTAGTCGTCTCTACCAATGATCAATAGATCGGAGTGGCCGGAAGGTTTACCTTGACGATGAAGTTGGTTATATTTTTGTGTTTTTTGCTGAGGGCGGCTACTTGCGGCCTCGACCTCATATGCGCTGAAAATAGATGTATGAATCCTGAGGTCGACTTGGATCTCAGCCACGCGTCGTCATCCCAGAGCGTCATCTGCTCCCCGCGCAACAGTTGAAAGAACTCACTTGACCATCGGGGAAGCACACGGATGATAGTTTCTTTTTCACAAAGACTCAAGTTCCTCGATTAGATACCTATGCTATGTATACACTTTTTTAACAAGAACCACACGTCATGTCAATCTTTGTACAATAGTCCTCCCTGTCATCTCCACCCCGTTTCTCCCTGTTGCGCTTTTACAACTTGCACTGATCGAAAATAGGGAACGAGGTCTTGCAGTCGTTGCACTTGAACACGTTGCCCTTGCCGGTAGTGTTGGTGTAGATATCCAAGTCGTTGTCACGGAAAGTATTGCGAATAAAGATGTTGTTGGTGGCAATGGCAGGCTTCTTGAGCTTCAGGCAAGCAAGCTGGACGTTGGGGCCAGTCTGGACACAGGGGTCATCGACGAGAACGATAGCTGTGGCAGCCTGGTTCTTGTGCTGGCCTTCAACAACGTTGTCGGTGACCTTGACTCCGATGGTACCGTCAAGGATGATTCCAGCAGCACCGTCACACTTGGGGTTGGAAGGGCCGACGTAGTTGTGACGGATCTTGGCATTCTTGGTTCCGGGGTCGGCAAAGATGCCGACGCAGCTCTGCGTGACCCTGTTGTACTGAACATCAGCACCATCAGTCTGGACACAGAGACCGACGTTGTGGTTGGCGACGTTGTTGTCCTTGACGAGGACGTCGGAGAAGTTATCCATGCAGATAGCGATGGGTCCAAGTCCCGTGTTGGAGACCTTGTTACCTTGGACCAAGGTCTTGACCGAGCCGGCAGTAAGAGTACCATACTTGCCACCATCGGTGAGAGTGTTGCCAGTGATGTGGGTGTTCTTGCAGCCCACGACGGCGATGTTGAGGCCCGAGAACTTGCGGACCTCAAAGCCGCTCACGGAAACATCTTGGGTCTTGGTCTTGACACCGAGAACCCTGCGGTGCTCGGTGATGAACTTCTCCAACTGAACACCACGACCAGTGACGCAGATTCCGGCCTCAGTCTTGGGGCCGCTCAGGCCAGAGCAAGTGTTCTTCTTGAACTTCTTGGGGGGGACAATGACGGCGCCCTTCTTGCCGACGAGCTCGATGCCATCCTTGCTGATGGTGATCTGCTCGGCGTAGATGCCGGCAGCGACGACGATCTTGTCACCGGCATGGGCCTTGTTAATGGCGGCCTGGATGCTCTTGTGCGCCTTGACGTAGATGGTCTGACGGTAGGGGTAGTAGCCGGTGCGTCCGTAGTCGGCGATGTTGTCCTTGTCAGGTGCACAGCAGGTCTTGTCCTTGTACTGACACTTGCCACGGGCTGCAGAAGTTAGCAATGTCTTAGGTGGAGATGCTTGTCTCGGTACTTACCTTGAAGACCAGAATCATCGGCAACTGGCGAGGCGGAGACGCTGCCGAGGAGGAGGAGACCTCCGAGAGCGGATGTGAACTTCATGATGAGCGATTGACGAGGAGGAAGAAGAAGCGAATGTGTGTGCCAAGGACAGTATTGAGTCACCAGAGAAGTAAAGCAATTCACCAGGTAAAAGCGAGGGATTATATAGCTCCCATCTCTTTAATCCCTCGCCCAGATCACCCACACTTTTTCAGCCCTGCAGGCAAGCCCGAGGGGCCGAGACTCAGATCGACAACCCAAACCAAGCTATTGGGCCTCAAGCTTCTATCCCCTCCCTAAATTGGCAAGCAGACGCCAGCTGGCGTTCAATAGCTAGTCTCGGATCGCATCTCAACCGCCAGCAAGCCAGGGGCACACCGTGATCTCATATTGACGCTTCGTGGCAGCTAGCAAGCCTCTTTCGGCAATCTACGAAGTTGATTTGCGGAATGTAGCGCTAGAGTTGAGCCAGACTTTCAGGTACAGGCGCCATTGCTGAGGAGGCTTGTGGCTAGACTCAACGGTGCAGCCAACTCCAAGGGCCCGGAACGCGCCACCGGGTTGGACGGCAACCAAGGAATGAGGCACAAATGTTGAAAGAGGGTTGAAAAGAAACTTGCTTGATCGAGTGTTGGTAGTAAACTATAGAATGTCACTGCCGCGTAAAGCAATCTCCGTCAGGTGACGCATATTTGATGTTCGAATAAGGGCAAGTGTAGCGGGAGAGATGGAGGGCGCCACTATGTAGGGCCAAGGAGAGGAAACTCTATATACTTTGCAAATCCTCCAAACAAGGCTCCCTTACATATACGTTCCTGTCTATCGGTATCAAGACTAAGAGGGGTAACACATTTCCGAATAGAAGTCACCTCTCTAGCTACGAAAGAAACTTGGCGGTGCTGCAAGGGCCTCAGTTATCAATCTCAGCCACACTCGGGGACCATTTCCCAGGCCTTACACGGCATTTGCTAGCAGTCCCCGAACATGTCAGCCGCCACTGCACCGTTGGTCAATCTGGTGCCGCCACGTCGTGGGGTTCCGAGTGCTTGGGGAGTCAGCTGGCCACGCTAACATGCGCCACGAAAGGGGAAAGGGGCAGAGGAGGAGATTGAGGGGGACGATGGCGATCAGATCATTGGGCTGAAAGTCCGAGGAGCTTTTTAAGTTTGCGGGAGAGTAGCTATGGTCAAAGAGCCAAGCTTTCATTATGACTTGATTCAGATGCTACATCTGAGGTCTTGGAGGCAACATTGAACCAACAACCTGCTTGTCCTCCAAATAAAGATGGTGCTGATCATATCGACCGGCCTTCCTCTTTGGGCTGGTCGGTGGCGATCTTGCAAGTTGGGCTGGAACGGGTGTGTTTTGTTTGGTCAATGGGAGGGTGGCCCCCCATACATAAGCACTCTAAGTCGAGACCTCCTTGACCAGCTGAATAGTCAAGGGCGTGGCACACATTAGAGATCGGGTCTATTGACTGAGCCGCCTCCATAAGCAGCACTTATAAGGAGTGCATGCAATCTTTCCGAATGATTGGCGTCAAAGACTCCCCCCCTCCTCTCCATATATCGCCCTGCTCCCCCATCACCTTCCGCTAGCATAGACCAGCTCAATGCTGAAGCTTGTGGTGCAGCTCTTTCCAAGACTTTTAACCAATGGCTCGCACCCTCTCTGTCCCCTTTACAAACAAGCCAAGTTGTGATGGGTGCCGTTATGGGACCCATGAGACACATTACCCGTTCCGATGACTATAAAAATATAGTTGGAGATATCCTGACGGCAAGACCAACCTTTGTGTCGCCGGGCATCAAGGAACTCTGTGAAATCACTTCTCCCGGTACAACTGAATGCCCCGTCTCACAGCAGTCCCCCCTCCTTGCAACTGGGCGTTCAGCTGGCTTGGGTGCTCCCATGCAAGCAGTACCATTGTCAGAAACATCAAAACGCTGTCAAAGATAAACAAGTAGGGTTCGTGAGAGATAAGATAGCCTGAGTTGCCTTGAGCGTACTCGAAAAGTCGAAACAAGGATCGAATCATGATCAGACCAGCTGCAATGTATAATACATGGAAGCGGTAACGGCGAAGAGAAAAAAAAAGACGAGCTGGACAACAAGGCCGATTATGACGATGCGTTCACCATTGTGGGGGGTATCGAGGGTACCTACGGCCATCATACCACCCACCACCTTCAACCCATTGTTAGAGATCTGGCATACGGACAAGTGGAAAATGGAAAGGACTTGCCTGCGCCTTGGAGAACAAATGACATGACGTTTCCGAAGACAAAGAGTTTAGTCAGTTATATTCTCCGAATTGGAGAACAGCTTTCCTCATCTGTAACAAGAATTATGCGCCCAAGAATCATGTATATGCTTGCTACGACAAGGTCAGAGTGACGGTCAGTGAATGTGATTTTGGAGATACTTGCACCAATATAGCCAATGATTTGCACTAGCTGGCGGTTAGTCTCTTAATTAAACAGGCGAAAAGTAGGAAATGCGTACTGAAACCACCAATAACAAAGCAGGTAAAGAACCACGTCTTGGTCACAATCAACTGATACACATTTAATCCTGTGATTGCTATGAAAAGAACTATGAAAATGACCGCCCCAGCCATGGAGGGGTCATATCGGTAGAGCGTAAAGATGGCATCGCCACTCGACTCTGATCCAGGCACGATTGAGAGTGGGGAGCGAAATCCAGCGTTGAAAGAGATTGTAAGAAAGGAATGAAAGAGCGAAAGTTGAAATGAATGTAGAGAGAGTCTTGAGAAGAAGAGATTTACCGAGGGTATCTCGAAAAGGCCAGCTGGACTTTATTGACAGCTGCTTGCGACACGCAATTGCCCCTGAACGAGGCGAGTCTCCATGTCCCGCGTAAGCGCTGTGTGAGGGGACCATTGCGCTTAACGTAAGTGAGCCTTGCTGAAGTCGATGCTTCGCCTTAACCTCGGGTTCGGACACTGCGCGAGTACGGGATGCGAAGTACGAAGCAGCATGTTTCAGCCTGAGGCTTTCATTGGCGTTCTTCGAGCCGCCTTGGACCAATAAGTTTTAGGTCCCCATACTTGAAGAGTTTGCTGCATGGCAACCAGTGACTCGGATTATTCTGGGACATCCGTGGCTCTTTCAACCCGGCTATCACGAGGCGCCCTTCAACTGGAAGTGTCACAAACCGATGGCCCACCGAGGGACGTCCTTTAAGTAGCGACCCTTCCGGACTTCGCTAGTTCTTCTGCAAGCAAAGCACAGATAATGCTCCCAGAATCAGAAACCGACAGCGTCAAAATCGTCATTCATAACGCAAACATTCCCGACGGCTCAGGCACGCACTTTCCGGTTGTAATCGAAAGAGACCCAAGGCTCATCAGACGGCAACGAGACCTCTGCTTGGACGGCGAAGAGGATGCTCTGAGTGAGCATAACAGCACCGATAATGACGAAGATTTCTCTTTGTACGCTGCTAGCAGAGGCAGAAAGCGAGACAAGGGTGACCAAGAGGATGCAGCGGTTAATATTAGACTGAAAAGATCTCGAATGAAATTAGCTAGTCTCTTTAAGAGAGTGTATGGTACCTAACCGTCCAACACGGGTTTTCCAAGGTGATCAAGTGTGACGGCACCTGTCATCACCAATTCTTCTTGAGTGACAAGTGCAACTAAGAATTCATTTGCGATCCACTTGAAGCACATAGATCTTTTATTCTCTCGGCAGTCTCTGAGTACATGTCTATCCTAGCCCTCTAGGCACAGCTAGGCAGGAATGGCAGCCCCATTTTAGTGCAGGATCCCACAGAATCCCACTCGTGTCCACCAACCGTTTGCTTTGAGCCTTTTATAGGTGGCTTTTGTCTCACAGCCGGTTGCCGAGGTTGACATGTACAGCTTTCACAGTAGTATAAGCCGTGATGCCAGCTTCACCCAACTCTCTACCAATTCCACTCTGCTTCACGCCTCCAAAGGGGATGCGGAAGTCAGAGTCGTTGCTGCTGTTGATCCAAACCACTGTGAAATTCTGGTCAGTAGTCGCCTTAGAAGAGGGGCGGGTTACAACTCACTTCCAGCCTCGATCCTCTTGGCAACTTCGTGTGCGCGTGTGATGTTTTCTGTAAAGATGGCAGCGCCGAGGCCATAGAAAGTATCATTAGCACGCTCAATGGCTTCGTCCTCGGTCGAGAAGGAGCTGATGGTAACTAGAGGCCCAAAGACTTCCTCGCGATAGATCTTCATGTTGTCCTTGACATCAGTGAATACTGCGGGCTCAACGAAGAATCCCTTTCCGTTGACGCCCTGATGAGGTTTTCCACCAAAGCTAAGCGTAGCACCTTCTTTCTTGCCCTCTTCGATGTACGACAAGACCCGATCGTACTGGGCCTTGCTAACCTGGGGACCTTGGAAGGTCCCCTCCTCGAAAGGATCGCCCACCTTGGAGGTCTGCTTGACCTGCTGAACGAAAAGGTCGACGAACTTTTCGTAAATCTTTTCGTAAACAAGGATCCTGCTGGTAGCAGTGCAGATCTGTCCTTGGTTCGCCATGATGCCGTAGTGAGCCCATTTCGAGGCGTTGTCGAGTTCGGCGTCCTCAAACACGATAAGCGGAGACTTTCCGCCCGTCTCGAGGGTAATTTCCTTGAGATTTGTGGCTGCGAGCTTCATAATCTCTCTGCCAGTGTTGGTCGATCCTGTAAAGGCTACCTTGTCCACCCCCACGTGTCCAGCCAGGCTGGCACCGGCAGTACGGCCGAACCCGTTAACGATGTTGATGACGCCAGGAGGGAAGCCAGCCTTATCAATGAGGGTAGCAAAGACTAATACAGACAGTGGCGTCTGCTCTGCTGGCTTCAAGACAATGGTGTTGCCAGCTGCCAGCGCGGGGCCCATCTTCCAGGCCGCCATACCCAGAGGGTAGTTCCAGGGGATGATTTGACCACACACGCCAATAGGTTCTCGGCTGGTATATGCAAACTTGCCCTCTGTGGTGTTGATGACTTTGTAGACAAGAGGGTTAGTATGTGGAGGAGATGTGTGCAGTTTCAGACATACCCTGGCCATACAGCTTATCCGCGAATCCAGCATAAAAGCGAAGTACCGAGGTAAGCTCGCTCACGTCGCCCTTTGCCGAAGACAAACGCTTTCCTGTATGAATCGGTCAGTGATTGTTCAAGTCGTCTTTGTAATCACTGACCGTTGTTCCAAGTGTCAATCGTAGCCAGTGTGTCGGTTTGCTCTTCAGCCAGATCGGCCAGCTTCCTCAAGAGCTCACCACGCTCTGTGCCACTAATCTTTGACCACGGGCCTTTAAAGGCTGTCCGAGCTGCCTTGACGGCGTCATCGACATCTTGGTCACCGGCCGCGTGGACCTTGACGATTTCTTGCTCGTTGCTATCAAGGGTTGACGGTATTAGTGAGCTGTTGTGTTTCGTGTCAATAAGAGCAAATTAGGGGGCTTACATCGGGCTCACAACAGAAATGCTGTCGTTTGACTTTGCCGCGCGCCATTCATTGTTGATGAAGAGTCCAAGCGGCTGCTCGAATGAGCGTCCGTTGGGGGCTGTCAGCGTCGCAAATAAAGAGGAAGTCATGCTTGTGTTTTGCGAAGAGTTGAGAGGATGTGAATGTGAGAGAGGGTGTCTGTCGAGATAGACAGTCGATGGGAAGCAGGGATTTCATGGTTAGATGAGAGATAAATAGTTGTCACCAGCTGCGGCTGGAGCACTTGGTCATTGAAACGCGATTTACTGGAGGCTCTCGCGATGTGTCCCAAAGCGGTAATAATTTTGGCTGGGCACATGAACCAAGTGAGTGGGGAAGCGGGCGTTTATCAAGATCGTATCGAGACTCGAAACGGTAGGGAGGGGGAATATCGGAGCGTGAGCATTTCCCCGCAGTCGGCATTCATCGATACCAGTCAAAATGCCCCTCCTCCGGATGACACAGAGGGTTCCCCTCCGTCCACAGGTCGGTATGTGTCACAACATGGACAGAGCTTGGAGCAGGGTTCCCCGGTAACTCAGACTTCCCTACACAGCACTTAGCGGAGCCAACAAAGCAAATTTATCTTGAACCAAATTTGTCTTGAACAAATCGGAATTGGCCTTATGTGTCTGTCTACTCATGTTACGTCTTGGTCCAATGACATGTTCACGAAAAGTCGGGAAAACCAGCAGCAGCCTCCTTCCCAGTCCACTCACGATAGCGATTCAACCCTCCAAAGTAAAACTTAGTGCTCGACTTGCGTCCCTCGACATTAGAGCCAAAGATCCAGCTTGCAGTCGTCTTGAACAGCGACCCCTCGACAAGCTGGTCGCACAGCTCGCTCCACTGCTGCTCGGCCTTGGCTGACACCTCGACCCGACGGGACTCCTTCTTTTCCGAGTGGAGGATGCACTCGGTGATGAAGTCAATCTCGCTCTCGATAACCACTGGGAAATTTGCAAACGCGCCTTGCGGCCCGGAGACGAGAAACATGTTGGGAAACCCAGAGCAGGCCACGGCGCCGTAAGCTGTAGGTCCTGCTTCCCAATGTTTCTGAATCGATTTGCCATCCCTGCCGGTGATCTGGATGCGAAGATAGTTGCCTTCAATGGCGTCGAATCCCGTCGCGAAAATGAGCACATCAAGACGGTGCAAGTTGCCATCGGCTGTCTTGATCCCTTCCGGGGCAATTCTCTCAATGGATGTTTCCCGAAGGTCGACAATATCCACATTGTCGCGGTTAAATATTTGGTAATAGCCTGTATCGCAAAGTGGCCTTCGGGCATAGAGGTCATGTGGCTTGAGGGCATTGGCCTTGCGCGGATCCTTGACTATCTCGTCAATCTTACTGCGCAGGAACTTGCAGGCTTCTTCGTTGGCTTCGAGGTTTGTCGTCAGATCACCAAATGCGCTGAACATAAACCGGAAGCCATTTCCTTGGTCCCAGACGTCTTGGAAACCCTGTCGACGTTCTTCGGGCGTGGCTTCCATGGTCTTTCTTGTTACCTCTGGCACTCCAAACGCGGTGGACGACGCCCAGACGTCCTTCCAGATCTGGTCGTACTTTTGGTTAATCTTTTCGCGATAGCCAGTGGGAATAGGGCCCTGTCCGCTAGGCACCGAGTACTGGGGATGTCGCTGGAAGGAGACCAAACGACCGACTTTGGGGGCGATGGCCGTCATGACCTGAACGCCCGTAGACCCGTTCCCAATGATGCCAACCGTCTTTCCTTGCAGCTCGACTGTGTGGTCCCATTTGGCCGTATGGATGAGGTCACCGACGAAGGATGAGATGCCCAGGATGTCGGGGTAGTTGGGCTTAGAGAGGAGGCCCAGACAGTTGACCAAATAACGAGCGTGGATAACGAGGCCCCCAGAGCAAGAGATGACCCAGAGGTTCTTTTGGTCATCCCAGCTAGCCTTTTCCATCTCAGTATTGAATCGCATATACTTGCGGAGATCATGGCGCTCGACGACGTGGCGTAGATATTCGAGGATCTCGGGCTGGTAGATGTAGTGGTTGGACCAGGGATAAGAACGAAGATCTTCCTTATCCCATGAAAAGCGATAGAGGTATGTTTCGGTGTCGCTCATGGCACCTGGGTATGTATTCCAGTACCAGGTGCCGCCGACATCACCAGCCATGTCGATGCACTGGACATTGAGGCCGGCGCGTGAGAGCCGATAGGTGGAGTAAATTCCGGCGACGCCAGCTCCAACGACAAGGGCATCAACGTTCAGAACTTCTGGGATGGATCCCATCTTGGCAGATGTTTTGAGATGACCTTGAGGCTGCGGGAGGTAGGATTCGTTTGGTGGAAAGAACACCTAGGGAAAGATTGGCTGGATAATGGATATTGACAGCTTGATGGAGTTGAGACGCACGAGTTGGAAGTAGGCCGGTATATATCAGGCCGGCCAAGAACGAGAATGTTTCCATGCCGCTCGCTTATGAGACTAATTAAGAAGTCAGGCGATCGGGCAAGTCAGGCGATCGGGCCAGCCAGGAAGCGACCGCGGCCATGTCCTTCTACTGCCGGTATTCAACCTTTCCCTTCAACCTTTCGGGGCCCTCCGTTGCAGCCACGGCACTCCGGCCGATGGCAAGTGGGGGGCTCGGCGCCAAAAGAGGGGCGACTCCGCCTAGATACCCCGAACTCGGGTAGTGTCCATAAACGGCAAGTCTAGAGTTGATTGGTGCGTTGCCTATTGTCTCTGCTCTTACCGGCTATCCATAATACAATGCACCCGCTTGTAGAGTATTCATATTGGTAGTCATGAGATTCCGCGTCGTTTCGCCTCATAAATGGGTGTGCCACCCTTTCTCCCCCGATAAGCCTAAGCTATCTGGTGCTCCTAGCCCCGGCCATCTCAATCACTTTCACCATCTTATTCTTTCCCCCTGCCGCTTTGCATCCTAAATCAAAGACATGTTCCAAGAGAAATTACTCAATTTTCAGCGTGACTACCTTGGAAAACATAATCATCGCCGTGGTTGGCGGTACTAGAAACATCGGCAGAGCCGTTTCACAGCTCTCCAAGAAAGCCAACTCTTCCACGTTAGGGTTACCTCACGTGATCCTACGACAGGAAAAGCTAAAGAGTCTGCCAGCAGCGGTATTAAAGTTGTCAAAGCCAATTCCTGGAACCCCAAGGAACTTGATGCCGCCTTCAATGGCTGCTGGGGCCTATGGGTAAGCACCAACTCGGACGACATCAACTTCAAGAACGAGGCCGGCCCCCCCGAGTCACAAATGGGCTGCAACATCATTGACGCTGCCATCCCCCAAGGTATCAACCATTTCATCTTTCAAAGCCTCTCCACTGCGTCTAAAATCACCAACGTGGAGGTTCCTATCCTATCCTCTGACAACAAGGAAGCCGTTTCACGGAAGACGGCATAGTTGTATAGGGATTATATGATACAGCAGCCGGATTTTCTGAAGAAGTCATGTTAAAATACATGGCAAGCTAAAAAAAGAAAGCCAAGGACCAAATTCCACCCCAATCTTGATCCCCAACAACATCTTTGTCGTAAACTATGACTTGACATATTCAGTTCTGGGTGTAGCCTGGTTGAGCTCCCTCCCCTCAATCTCCTCCAGCTCGGGGAAGGTAAAGTGCTTCCGGTCATACGAGAGCCAGCTAGTCAATACCAGAAAGAGATACACACAAACGACAACGGAGACGTAGGTCATCTCAGCTGTCACAACCGGGAAGGAGCAAGGAAAGCAGTAAAATACCAGAGCGACAACAACCCACGCGCACCCCCACACTTCCCCAGCTCTGCAGTGTCAAAGGGGCAAAAGGCATGTCTAGCCGTATAAGCTCATCCACCATGTATTCGCCAACGCTATCGCACAGGGCGTAAGCATTTATACAAACACTTCTGCCATCTCCATCTCTCGCGACGTGAAGAAAGATGAAGCATGGGTAATCGAGACCCCACGCGGAACAGTGCACGCCAAGCAAGTCATCATGGCCACTAGCCACCAATATATGGGTGACTGTTAAGGAGATACGACATCTAATACGACAACCTAGTCATGGGCTACTCATCCGACCGCCTACTCAGAGTAGGACCCATCCCGAACCGCCAAGGCATGTACATCATGGCAGGGCTCACGGGCCACGGCATGCCGCAGGCGTTCCTGTGCGCCAAGGGGATAGCCGACATAGTTCTCGATGGGGTTTCATTCAGAAATACGAATCTACCCTCTCTTTTCGAAGAAACGCAAACACGGCTGTCAGACCCGGGAAACATGGTAAAGGGGATTTCTAATGCTGCTTTTCTGCAGGCAGAGCTATGAATAAGCGTCCAGTTGGCAGCAGAATTCCGGCGAGCATGACGCCATGTTAGCGTTGGTGATTGAAGTTTAAATCCTCAGAGACTTTGATTGGTGGTTGGAAGTTAGTTCCTTGGGATCGGGCTGTTCAAGGGTCCGAAGGACAAAAGGTTCTAATTGAGAATATCTCCATTTCCACGTCCAAACATCAGATATTTCAAGGATAGATAGGAAATTACAAATCCTACTTATTAGTTTCCTCAAACTTTTGTCCACCGCCGCGCGTCCTAACAAGGGTTCAACGTTATTCGGTCTTTTTTAGAACAACGGCCCGGGCTCGTGTGTCGTATCTTCCCCACCTTCGGCCGGTGGCGTGTATAGAATCAACGTTATTCAGAAGGTTTTCGGTATAGCCTCGAGCAATAACGTTTGCGATTATAAATACCTCGTGTATTGCGTATATTGGGATCTTTATAAATGAACAGAGGTATTCGATCAGTCCCAGAGCACAACAACAGCACCAACAACACCCAAACAACCACCCACTGCAAATAACTCTCACCATCAACATGCTCGTCTTAATCCCTGGTATCTCTGGAAACATGGGCACCCACCTTGCCAGAGCAGCAATTGCTCGAGGCCTCTTAGTCCGTGGCCTAGGACGTGATGCGTCCAAGGTCCCAGAAGACGTCAAGCTCGAGTCGTTCGTGACGAGCACCTCCTACTACGACGTTCCTGCCATCGAAAAGGCCGTCCAGGGGGTCGATGCTATCATCTGCGCCTACATGTCGACAGATGTGCTCGTTCTTGACGGCCACCTCATCCTCCTCCGGGCTGCCGAACGCGCAGGCGTCAAGATCTTCTTCTCGGCGTCTTGGAACAACGACTGGACCAAGAATAAGTTTGGCGACTTTGAGCACTATGATGCTTATATCGCTTTTCAGCACCAAGCCGCTTTGACCAGCCCTATCAAGCCCGTGTACATCTTCAATGGGTTCTTTGACAGTCTCTTGTTCACTGTCTTTGGACCAGGTGGATTCGACACGACGGGCGAAGTGCCAACCCTGAAGTACTGGGGTGATGAGCCAAACCGCAAATTCTGGTGGATTGCGCAGGAGGACGCAGCTGCTTGGACGGTTGAGCTCCTGTTCAACAAGGATGTCCAAGAGGGCAAAGGTGGCGTGTTCAGGTTCAGGTCTGGAGAAGTCACCCTTGATGAGCTGGCGGCGGCATATCACAAAGCCACTGGTACCCAAGCCAAGGTTGTCCGCGCAGGCAGTGTGGAAGATATCGCACAGGAGGTTCAGGCAGCACGCGAGGAAAAGGGCCTTGCCGGGTACTGGGACTATGCTGCCCCGGCTGTGGCTTTGAATGTTTCTAGAGGCGTTTGGGACATCCCTGCCGAGGAGGTGACTAACCTGGACTATGCCAAAAAGCCCACAGCCTTAGAGGAGTATCTGAAGCAGCGGTTCCAGTAGTCCTAGGGGGTGGTCGTCAAGAGGCGCTCGGGTATCTATCAAACTTGCTGTAACTAAGACAAATTCAGCTCAAACAACAAGCATCACGTCGATAGCCAAACCAAGACCTTCATGAGCCAGCCTGATTTCAGTGATCGACCGTCACATGGCACACATGCAATGACAAGAAGGATGAAAATGGTCGGCTTTTGTGCAGTTTGTCACACCCCGGAAACCTATGTGCAGTCTTGGCAGACCAATATTCATCAACGACTCGAAATGTGGCGATTTATACAAGTTGTCACTGGTTTGATAAATAATCGGGAGCTTTCAGCTCGTGCAAGCCACTTTGGTGTGCATGCATCAGGTGGTCAGACAAGCTACTGCATCTCGAGAAGTCTAACAGCAGTAGATTGGCTAGGCTGTCTTGGTGGCACAGACCGGCTTGCCGGGGAGCATTACAACAGATGCTGCATCAAGACTATTTAGTGGCGCCGAAAGGCTTTCACGAGCCCGGTATTTCGTCCCAAATCCTATCCTTTCATCCCCACACGGGAACTGCCGCGATGCACCTGTTCAAACTCATGAGATTAGTATGGGTCGCTCTGATCCGAGAAGGGGCATCTCAGGTTCTACCCCCGCGCACATTGGTCGCTGCTGAGCCCGGTACCGAACCATGGCGTTCAGACCGTGAGCTCCGACGGCGACAGGACAGCGAATCTCTGGAAGACCTCATCTCTGGTACCCTCACCCTCACTATTGCTCCTGATGAGACCTGTGGATACTACGGAAACGGGCCCACGTACTATTCCTGCGTTAGAGGGGCCTGCACTTGGGAGTCAGGCACTATCAACCGTATGTTTTGTGGCTGGGCGCACCTTTACACCACCTGTTTCGACGAGACGGACACATGCGACAATGACTGTTTGACAAATGGGTACAGACTGCAGTGGTGAGTCGTAAACTTCTTCTACCTAATACAACCTCATTTGCCCAACTCACGCACTTGAAGTCCGGGTTCTATCAACACAGTTTGCGAACTAATCTACCTGGGCGAGGGTATATACGGGCATAACTGTGTCGACACCAAAGTGGGCCTTACTCTGAATACCGCTCGAGGCCGGGAACCCGGAGATTTCACCACCACGGTTGTTGTCAATCGCTCTCAGGTATCGTTGATCGTTGACGATGGTGAGGACTCAGGGAGCACGACGGAGGTCACGATGGAGATCTCGCAACAGGCCTTGCCCTCAAGCACGTCCAAGAGCACATCAAGCACGAGTACCACCGCAGAGTCGACAGAAACAGAAGAGGTCCAAAGCACATCGGCGATCACATCACAACCTAGCAGCTCTGACGGGGGCGGAAGTTCTGACGGCGGTGTCGAAGTTGGTCCAATAGTAGGCGGCGTAGTTGGCGGCCTAGCGGTTATCGGCCTGACCATAGGATTCCTGGGATTCATGTACCTCCGTCGCCGCAATCATCATGTGAGCCCAGCATACCCCAGCCCAGCATATCATGACCACCAGCAGCCTTACACGCCAGAGACAAAGGGTACCCCATTTGACAGACTCAGGCAGCTTGTTGGCCGTTCAACCCCCCCTGTAGAGCTGCCAGGTAGCACGGCATCGCCTCTATGGCTTACACTCACCGAGGTCAGGAATAAGGCGCTGAAGTAGTCATCAAGATGTCCCTGATGGAGAAAGGGTAGATCATGATTCAAACTCACTAGCTTGGAGCAATATTTGAAGAGACGGCTTCAAACCTCTTAGCGGTATGGTCCTCAAGTGGGGCTCAATTGACTGTCAAGTTGGGCTCAACATCACATCGCTTTCCAATGTCGCCGTATTACACAAACAGCTTGTCGGTATAGGTAGCCAATAGTGTGCAGTAGTATATCAATAAATACTCTCATAAGTCAGCAGCTGTTGCGTATAAACTCCAAGCCGACAATCAAGTCTTGAAATACCGTAAACTCTCAAGAAACTCATGCAGAGCTAATAGGGCTGTGTGAATTAGTTCAGAGCTTATGGTAAGTTTCCTAGACCATCACGGAGTATTAGTTCCTCTAGTAATTAATGAGGCCTCCTAAAAATTCCATGAGCTATTATAGGACATGAAACAGTTCTCAGTATCACTTTAGCCTCCCGGAATTATCTTCTTGAAGAAAAGGGTATAGACAGTTCGTATTTATCGGTTACTCAGATCGCTAGACAATCTAGTTCAAAAGCAGCCAGGCTCACCAAAGGACAACAATTCTTTGCCTCTCAATTCCCTTGGCAGCCTCCAAGAAACCTTCATGTTTATGTATCCTGTTTCATCATTGACAAGCCCCCACTGCTATCAAAGCCTCCAAACTAATAGGCAGTTGGAAGTTCGTCCCCAGCATCAAAGCACCAGTGCCGCTTAAGCGTCGCTCTTGTCGGCCTTCTCAATGATAGGAGCAGGCTTCTCAATCTTTTGTCGCAGGATGTGGCGCTTGATGAAGTAGGGGAGCCAAACTCGGAGTTCGTATGAGATGAAGCTCTTGGTAGGGACGGAAAAGACCTCTGAGCGAATCGTTAGCAGGCATATTAGATATAGGGTCAGGTAAAATATCTTACGGTCAATTTCCTCTAGGGTCATTTGCTTAGTCTCTCGGACAAAGCAGAATATCATAGCCCAGGCGACCAAGTTGAGGCCAGCGTAGAATCCAACTTGACCAATGTTAGCATGTGAGTTATAGCTGGAAATCTGGTGACTTACAGGCTCCAGTTGGAGTCATGACATCTTGCATCTTGGGGAAGGTCAGACCAAGAACACCAGCTACATAAATGCATTAGTACCAGATCATTAGAGGTAAGGGGTGCCAGCGCCTACCAAAGGTGTTGTTGATGCAGACAGCCCAGGCCATTCCCTGCTCTCGCTGGATGGTGGGGAAGACCTCGGCCGAGTACTGGAAGGCAACGGGTCCTTCGCCTAGACAGTACATAATGGTGAAAAGGTAGACGAAGCTGCATAGCGTTAGGTTGAGGCCATATCTCCGGAATCGACTACACTTACAGAACGACGGGTCCGATTCGAGCAGCCTGGGACACGCTCTCCGAGTCGTTAAGGAGAGAAAGACCACCTGCCAAGAGGAAAATGCACATCAAGGGGAAAGTCTGTTTGGACAATGAGTCAGCATCACTTCAAATTGTTCGGGGCCGGAGCAGGGCTTACAATCAAGGTCAAAGTTCGGCGACCTTTCGTATCGATCAGGAACAAGGTGGGGATTGTGAACACGACCTGGATGGCACCGTAGCCCAGGGAAGCGAACAAGGCCTGGTCGTCGGTGTAGCCCACTCTGGTAAAGATACTTGAGCTGTAGAAGGAGATGACTAAAACGCGTTAGCATTGCCCCCCTAGGGGTTGTAAGCGACTTACTGTTGATTCCGCACATCTGTTGGGCCAGCATGACGGTTGAAGCACCGTAGTTTGCTCTCCTGATTCTGGGCACAGCAAAGCAATCCCACAGACGATCAAAGTATCCAGCACCTCTCGCCTCCTTGAGTTCTTCCTGGTAGATGACATACGAGTAGTAGTAATCTCGTGTGGCGATGATTGGATGGGCTCGAAGCTGGCACATGGACTTCCAGGCTTCGGCGTGTCTGCCGTGCTTCATGAGCCAACGAGGAGACTCAGGGCAGAAGTAGATGCCGGCGGCAAGGATAAAGGCAGGGATGAAGGCAGAGCCAAGTTCAAGACGCCACGCAATCTTGCCAACATCCTTGAGAATAACATTGGCGCAAAATCCGAGGAAGATACCTTTGGGGTGGTTAGTCAAGGCTTCCTGTAGAAGAAGGGAAACTTACCAACTGTGACCCAGAGCTGCCAGAACATGACAAGGGCACCACGGATGCGGGCTGGGGCCATCTCAGCAGAATAGATGGGGACAGTAGCGTTCTTGGCTCCGATGCCGATGCCCATGACAAAGCGTGCTGCGAAGAGGCCTTGCCAAGACTTGGCGAAACCAGATCCGATAGGGGTCGCTACCAAGCAGCAGGCAGTGATGAAGATCTCTCCTCTTCGTCCGAAGTAGTGGTTCAGGGGGTCGACAATGAAGGCGCCACTAAGGGGGGTTAGGTCACACGTCTAAGCCCGGGTGTAACAGGGGTTCTACGACTTACATGAGACCAGCTGTGAGGAAGATGATGGAGTTGATGATTCCAATAGTCCAGGGTTCATCTTCAATGCCAAACTCCTTGGGGAACGACAAGTTGGCACCATTGGCACCAGTCTGATCCCAACCCTGGGTGGCAGCACCAACGGCACAAAGGCCAATGGAATACCAAAGCATCACTGGGCCATGCCACTTGTGATCTTTCTCGTATTGCAGAGCCTCGCGCTCCTCCTCGCTCAACTCGGACAAACTGGGGAAGCTGTCACCGTCTCTTGCGACGAGGGCAGCCCGACCAAAAAGTTCGGCATGCTCAGCCAGGTCGTGTTCCTCAGCGTAAGCTCGAGCTTCGGCAACCACAGTCTCGGGTGATTTGCTCTACTCGGGGGGGGGCGATCAGTCATTGTTCGAACACGAGATGTGGATGGGCAATGCTGGGTCTTACCTGGAGGGGGTTCTCAACAATATTGACAGCGACCGACTTGCGACGGCCTTCTTGAGGGGCAAACGATGTAGGGTTCTGCAAGACGGCAGCTCCGTCCTTCTCGTAGTGAGAGGAGTCGCCGTGTCCTGGATCCTTTTCCATTCTGGCAGGTTGTGGGTATCAACAACAAGACAAGACAATGAAGGAGGCGTAGTGAGTGCTTTGCTCTGCTCTGCCGATCGATACTCGCAAAAGTTCTGGCAGCGTCGACATTGTTATATTGTATTTAAGCTCAACGTTCCATCCGCAGAATGTGCTTCCCCGGATCCTATCCCCACCCCCCCCCGCGCTCAACTGGTTCATGATCGGACCCGGTTAGACGACATCTACCGCCGCAGCCGAGGCCGTTTTTGGCAGGTTGCCATGTTGAAGCAGGGTACAATTCTGGTTGCCTGGAAGATGGAGCAGGTTGTTGCACGATTGCAGGGTACATTTTTTGTTGCCTGGAAGATGGGGTACCACCCTCTGACATCATGTCATCCACTCGTCGACTCTGTGTGGTTGCATCGACGCACCATTTGGACCACGACAGGGTCGATCAATATTCGGCTGTCTCTCCGGCCCGCCATTTTGTGAAACCTCTTGTCTTTTGAATCATGCAAAGGACACCCTCACGAGTTGCTTGAAGGATTTAAACTACTTAAATCGCGCCGCCAAGTTTTTGGCGCTAAATGTGTAAGACTGACTTGACTCGACGAGATTGGACCAAGTTGGAGCTGAATTATGGGGTTGACGGCTTCTCCGAAGAATCTGATGCCCGCTCTTTGGTAAAAGCAATGTGACTTTTCAACGTTGGACAAGATCAAGGAAGAGAATCCCTCAGGAGTGGGATCCATCTTGGGGGAGGTCTGTAATGATCTTGGCGAATGGTCTCATGTGATTGACCCTTGTGGGCGGTGGGGAAATGTAACTATCGACTCGGCACATCCATCCAAACCAGTGGAGATCAACTGTCTTGTCGGACTGGTCTGGTCGTTGCCGCCCGATATTGGTTCTCCGCATGAGCCGAGCGGGCGCTGACCAGTAAAAAATACGTGAGACTGGTTTGGGTGTAAGTCTCACCTTATGTTTCCGGTGTTTTTTCTTTTGCCCACCAGCCAAGGTGTGAATGTCTCCACCCGCGCCAATGGATTTGCTGAGTTGAATGAGTCGGTGGAGATGGTGTCAAGGTCCAGGTCAAGGAAAATTTTTAATTGCGAACCAACATTGTTGCTATAGAGGGATCAATCCTTAGCTATACTACAATTGCTCTCATTTTCTTGATGAGTCTCTTCACTCTTCTTTACTCCGTAGACTGTGATTACATTCAATGCCGGTAACCGTCTCTGATATCGTCGGTACCTCATGGCACTAATGATAACTGCCCGCATAACCGCCGATTGGCTCAGGTGCGGCTCAATGGAGAAATGAATTGCTTACCCCGCACCCCAGGTCCCCAGGATATCCCAACCTCTCCTCATGGGGTACTTGACCATGTGATTTTTCCAGTCTGTTTTAGCGAAATCACTCTCAGCGTCTGATGGGAACAGTTCCAGTAAGAAAACGCTGATCTTGAGTCGGATGAACATCTCCACCCTTTCCCGTCTTATTAAGCATTTAGCGTGAGACATTCAAGGTCGGAAGAGTCCGGATCAGCCAAAGATCGGCGTGAGGCCCTCGACTCCGTTGTGATCTGAAGAAAAAACATCGGCTGGGGATACACGTGATATGTCACGTGGAGCGACCGTGGGAATGACCCGCCAACAAGAAGCACCTACCCTTGACTTCTACGTCTCACGCTGTCTTTTATATTTATACATTCTGTATTTATCATCATTGACTTATTTTACGCTTCAAAAAATTCCCCTTCTATAGCTCGCTGTTTTCAAGCTTGCTTTATTTCTAATGTGGCCGGCATTGGATTGTGAAAGAGAGCACGGCTCTGGGTGGCTTTGGTAGAAGCCAAGTGACTTGAAATTTCAGCCTGACTCATATTATAACAGCTCCCCCTTCGGGAATCTACGCACAATTAACCCGCTACTCGCCATAATTCACCCCCTTCTTCAAAAAGAATCTAGCCAGGGTCGCAATATTCTCCAACCGATCAATCCGAGAACCTTCATTCTGCCTCAACTTCTCAGCCACGGCATTGAACGTATCCCACACCTCGATGTACTTGTTGTCTGTGTTCCGATTGGTCCCAATCCAGGATAGCGCGTACTTCATCTGATTCCGGTCGCGTATCTTGACCAAGTCATCCTTCCTTATCGCCGAAGTCGGGTCGATCTGTTTGTTCTCATTGGTGTAAAATACACCCAGTCTGACGCACTCGATAACAAGTGCCGCTAGCCCTGCTGCGAGGGCATTGGCGACAGAGCTGCCGGAATGCGCCTCAAACTTTTGTAGATCTTTGTCATAGACATCGTCGCTGCTGTTGACCACCACCTGATGGCCAGGAAAGATAAAGTCCAGGTCATGGGCGTCGCCCACGGTGTCAGACATGCTTCCAGTGGCTTTGGCTGCGCCAATTCGAAAGCTGGCGCGGTTGCTTCCGTGCGGGTATGTCAGGTCGGCCGACTTGCCTTGGTCACTGGCCGCGCAGAACATGAGGACGCCCTTGCTGTTGAGGGCGTTGTGAATCGCGTCGTCAAACTCCTTCTTTTTGTCGCCTTCGGGAGGCTTGATTGTCCACGACATGCATATTATTTGGGAGCCGCGTTCGGCTGCGTACTCAATAGCCTGGGCACAGTTAGGAAAGGGATTGACTTAGTAGGAGCTGACATACCTTGATCGCGCTGTCTGGGTTGATCTGAAGTTTGTTCGAGTTCTCAACCTCAAAGGTCTGCAGCTTGATAACGTGAATGACGGCACTGGGGCAGATCTTATGAATTAATCTCGCCATCAGGGTTCCATGACCAGATGACGAGTCCCAGTAGGGAGATACCCGCCAGGTTGTGCCCTCCTGATAGTAGCAGAAACTCTTACCAGGGAATTTCTTGCCCTTCAAGTCGCTAAGGTCAGGGCGCGTAATGTCGGCACCATCGTCAATGAGTGCGACCTCGACTGGCTCCAGAGATGGGTCCGTGACCTTGTCTCTGAGAGCTGGGATCTGTCGGAAGTGTTCGGCAAAGTTCTCCATGCATTGCATCCACCTGTGAGGATCGACCGAGCGCTCTTGTCGGTCAGAGAGAGTTTCTACTGAAAGACCCCGAACCAAGGCACGCCCACCGCCAGTCTTTGGACGGTCTACTCTGGGCTTGGGCTTGTCCTTGGGCCAAGACTCGTGAAGGCGTTGTTCAAAGGCGTCGAGGTTTCTTCGGGTCCTCTCACTCGATTCAAGGCCCTGTCCACATTTAGAATTAGCAAAGGCGGCGTTGTTGGTAAGGTGAGTTGGGCATGTCGCGTACCTCGGTTTGAACTAGATTGATAACTTCTAGTGTGGGAATCAGAGCGAGTCCCTCCTTTTCGGACCACGCTCGAAGAACAGAGTTTCTGCCACTCCAGTGAAGGGTGACTTCCCGCAGACTCTGGCCGACTTCAGAGAGTGAGACTGGGTCAAGATCTAGTCGGCGCCAGTCAAGAATCTCGACGTTCTGGGAATAGTTAGTATTGGACCTTAATAAACACGATGCAACTTACAAAGGGCTTCAGCGCCTTCTCAATGGCTGCGTCACTATGTGATGGGCTTTTAAGGTCGTCAACGATGACCTATCTTTTGGGTTAGCAATTGAACATGCAACGCCCTGGAAGGGTGGATGTTCTACCTTGATGATACGGCTGACGCCTTGTTGCTTGAGCCAATCGAAGAAGAATGTCATGTCCTTGAAAAGTCAGTCTCAGCGTTGAGCTAAAGAACCCTTATCATCCTTACCTCCTTGCCTGCATATCTTCTGTCGGGTATCTGCTTGTGGTCGTCCAACTCGATCTGGGGAAAGGCTACGTATTGTAGAATTGTGTCAAATCGCAAATGGCCAAAATGTCTCCGGAAGTCAGCCCTGGTGAGCTTTTTGGGTGGTCCAAAGTCAAACCACAGCTCCTTGCCTGTATTGCATATCAGTAAGAAGAGTCTGGAAAGACTCGAAGGAGCAAAGTTACATACCTAGCCCTCCCACGCTCAAGCAGCGAGACGCGTTCTCTGGCTTCTGGGTACGTAAGTAAAGATGCTTAAGTTGATGACTGATATCCGCAGCAGCATCTTGCCTCTCCCTTTCTTTCTCTGGGGAGTAAGGGTCGGTCGCGTCTTGCTTTGGTGCTGAAGAGTAGGCAGAGGCTTTGGAAGACCCCACTGGGTGTAAGGAGGGGGAGGGTAGGGGAGTCAACTTTTCTTGAGTATAGGCTGTCGTGTATGAGGCAGCCGACCTCTCCTGATTGGCCGCTACCACGTACGAACCCGGCTTCTCTTGAGATGGCGCCCCCGTATGTGCTCGAGCGATTCCAACCTTGGGTTCGGTTCTGTCCCTGTCTCTGTCCCTGTCTCTTGGCACCGGTGGTGGCCCCATGCTGGTTTTCTCTGGTCTTGACATGGGCTTCTTCGTATTCGAACTGGTCCGAGCCTCATTGTCGTCCTCCTTTCTCGGTGCACTCTGGCTGGTTTTCTTCTTGCTTTCCTCTATCGCTTGTCGCTGAGTATGTACGTGATACTGGTAGACTGAATATGTTTGGTTGGAATACAGCGCGGCCTGAATTTGGACGTCCAACGCTTGTGGTCCCCAGCGAAGCAACTCTTCGACGATGCCGACCTGGGCCTTACAACATCGTTCATACTCGACAGCCAGATGGAGTGGTGTCCGCCCCTTGTGGTCCGTGACAGTGAACATCTTGTCGGGGACAAAACTGCACATGATCTTGACAATGTCTTGCCTCAGATCTTCCTTGTTGAATGCACAGGTCAGAGCTGTGTGTAGACAGGTGACCTCACGATCGCTGCCTTGGTTTTCACACTCGCTCTCAAGCGGTTCCTTGAAGCGCTGGCGGGTTCCCGGCTTGAGGTTGAGGCAAGCGGCATAGCTAAAGACCTCGTTTCCGTTGGAGAGGGCAACAGTGAGCGGGGTGCGTTTTGTCTTGTCCATTGAGCCTATCAAATGAGGCAACCTGAGCATGGCTCGAGACATGAGCCATTGCAGACTGGTGGCCGGCTTCCGGATGGAATTGCAATATGCCAAGACATGAAGGAAGTTCTGTCCTTCTCGTGTTGTCTTGTGCCATTCCATCTTCCGACTGTCGACAAATTCTAGGAGTTGTTGCGACTTTTCCTCTTTGGTAGGCTTCCGGGAAGCAAGAGATTGGACAAAGCTGAGGGCATCTTCAATGTCCTGGTCAAATCTTACTTTGACATGGTCCTCGTCGTCAAATCCGGCTGTGACGAGAGCAGGAGGAAGGAACTCATCGTCGTTATCAATGTCGCTCTCGTAATCGACTGTCTGTGAACGTCGCAAGCCACCTGGGACTTGATTTGGGTCCGGATCCACGGTCATATTGGCGGCGCGGTGAGTCCTGGAACTGGAAGAGAAGTGCGAATGAACCTTTGTTCTTTCGTGCTATGTGGAGGCGTGGCAAGGCTGGACAGATGAGGAGGCCCGAGAGTTCTCCGTTCATCAGATGAGCCGCCCCCAAGCAAGCTGGAACTGGTGGTCAGCCCTTTCTCGGAGAGCGGCCAGTAAGCATGCTCTATTCCCAGCCACCCCGGTATCACCCCACTGGGGCTGTGTCTAGAGACATCAAGATTGGCTGTCCTTGCGCCTTGAAACTTGGAGGATCGCGCCGTGCCGCATGGCGGTTGATAGGGCGGCCGGGGTATGGGGAGGTACTCTCCAAGTATGCGGTACTTGTTGAATGCAGAAGCGACTGGAACTTGGCAGGGTCTTCAAGGCTCATTTTGGTAAGGCTACGATAAAAGAGGCAGCAGCGCAATTGCTTCCTTAACGAATCTCCCGACTACATGCTACGTGCAAGAATGGCCGAATCTCAGATTGACGACGAGTATAACGACGAGCCTGCCTTGGTGCTTGAGGAGTCCCTACAAGACATTGTGGTGGGCGAAGACAGCACATTCCGAACCGAAAATGCTTCCAGCCAGGACTGGGAAAGGCGCAACGTCATTGAACGCACGCGGGGAAGCATTCACACTCGTGTTGAACTGCTCGAAGTCACGCATGGCACCCTGGACGAATATGGAGATGAAGCGACGCTGATGGTGTTCCGATTCCGTTTCGATCCACAGAAGACTTCTCGACGAGTCCTCCGAGCGCGCGTCAACATCGAATTCATGGGCAAGGATGGCGGTAATGCGCCAATTGTTGAAGCCATCGCCCCCGAGGAAAGATGGGCAGTTGTCCCAACCACGGATTCAGAGTCAACCACACGGGGAGCAGAATTGTACGCCGCTTCAGGCGTGCCTTTTTTCGAGGCTGGGGCAAGGGCCAAGCATGAGAAAACAATCAGCAGGGATGTCAGCGATGCGACAACAGTATCGGGTAGCATCAATCTGGGCAGAGGGCGCAACTCGGGCGAGTCGACTGTTGCCGTCTGGAATCTACAGGAGAACAAGCGACGCGAGACAGGCGTGCCTGATTCAGTGACGACTGCGGTTCTTTTACGTCGTTACGATAGCGAACCCTTCAATGCCCGAGTCGAGCTTGAAGCTGATGTCGACTGGGTATCTGGTTTTGCTCGCAAGTTCGCGGGGGTACCACTGGATGACCCCGTGCTCTTCAACCCAATGCTGGGAGGGTCAAAGCCGAAGAGGGGTAGGAGTTATGGGGCCAAGGATCTTGGTAGCGTGGATTTGTACAAGTTATGCGCTGTTAGATTTGCTGTGGAGGCGCCTTTTGTTGTCAAATAGCTCAGAGAGAATGAATTACTCTGGTGATGAATGGGATTCGCTTACGGATACTGGGGTTGTAATTGTAGGGACGCGAAACTTTATGAAACAGTCAGTCACAGAACCTCGACCTGAACCTGGGTCTTTGTTGGTTTGTGTAGGGATGCATCTACATTGTGCATGCGTTTGTGCCACGGTCAGCCTTGCACAGAGAGCGGGTCAATGATCGCCGTGGCCCCCAAGTCCTAGGTACTTTAGGGGAACTAAAGACGGAGGTGAACGCCCGAGTCACATTGGACTATTGGTGGGCTTGGGCCGGGCCGGCCTCCCCCCGCCCGAGCTGGTGCTGATGCTGCCTGGGTGCTATCATCTCACAGCCGACCGATGCGCATCTTGGAGCTTCATACACAAAATTGGCGTCCTTTTCTTGTCGTGCTTCGATCAGCCCGGTCCCTCGAAGGATCGTTGACCAAGTCAAAATCACCGAGATCATGGCCGCAGCCACGGAGGAGACGACATTGAAAACGGGGGAAGAGGAGGAGCAGCCTAACGGAGCAGAGGTCCCAGTCAACGAGGCCAATGAGCTGCACGATGATGCAGCTTCGGACGAGCAAAGCCCTAAGGAGACTAGGAGTGACGATAATGATGAGGATGAAAAGGAAAATGAAGACTACAAAGCCTACTCTCATCCTCTCGGCGACGACCACCGTCTGGGATTGGAAGTGGTTTCGGGAGACGACTACTACTCTGTTTCCTATGAGTAAGTGCCCGATAATGCGATTTCAACACCCACTAACGCTTGAAATTATGCAGTATTGTCGCCATTCATGGAATGCACAGCTGGAGTCGGAATGCATGGGTGAAAAATCCCAGAGGTCCACAGTTTGAGTCCTGGCTCGACACCAAGTTCAATGACCTGTCGGAACACTCTGGGAGAGTCATGCTATACGGATATGATCCAGGGGACAGGTCTGGAAAAACATTTACTTCCCAAGGAGTTTATGAGGAGGCCGAGGCGCTCTTGGATGCTCTTCTGGAGTTCCGCACACCGGAAATCAAGGTTTGTTTTGATGCCTCGGGCCATGTATCACCATGCTAATGAAGAATCACGTAGGAGAAACGACGACCAATTTGGTTCCTGTCCCATGATCTTGGAGGACTGATAGTAAAAGCGGTAAGATTCACTGGCGTATCTGGCCTACGCGGCTCCTGACATGAATCCAGGCTATGGTTCTCGCTACCCGTTACGAAAGTAAATATGCAGACATCTTGCATTGCACACGGTCTCTGGTAAAAACTCCCTATGTCAGATTGTCAACCATGTTTCCATTAACCCTCGTGCCTTCAGGTGTTCTTTGGCTATCCTCACAGGTACGAGACAAGGGGCTTTCTCGAAGAGGGTATCTCGCGACTCCTATCGCCTATGCAATATCGTCCCTACGTCGGCAACTTGTGGAGAACCACCAAGAGCCTCGCTCAAATCGTTATCGAGGTGAACGATGCCTTCATTCAGACTCGGTTACTTACTCAGGCCAATTTGGTCAACGTAATATCCACGAATCCCCCAGAGCAGGTTCGTATAGCACCAAATTACCCACGCTATATTCTAACCAATGCGCCAGGTTAGAGTCTTTGAGCAATCAATGTCAACCATGGGCGTTCCCTTTGAGCGTCGGGTCAGTATCGAGCAGCCGAATCACTGGCTCACGTCGCAACCACCTGGCGTCACCCATGCATTCTGCGGTGCCCCGAATCAGGAGTGGCTAGGTACGTATGTCACACAGATCTCTTGGTATTTGTTAATGAAGAAGCAGGTCCAGAATTGCCGGGCCATCTTTACCCGTCACTGCATAAGCTGCTCGACCAAACATCGCCCATCTACCCTTATATGAAGACTGAGGTGGTAGAAGGCTTCCCAGAGCTGGACGATCTCATGGATCCCTTTGACAACAAAATCATTCACCTGAGATGTACTCATGGAAATACTTCAACCACGGCGTGGGTATCTGAGAGGGCTCGGATTTACCTTCAGGCTAAAAGAGTTACATCACAACCATTACTCTTCTTCAATTTCGACGCCCATGATGTTCGGTTCAACAACGCTCTAGCAATGCTCCAGACCTTCAACTCTCGTCTGCTCTTCCATCGTCCACGGGAGGTCGAGGAGGCATGCAAGAACATCGCTGCGTCGCTTGAACTCGGTGGTGTGACAGGCCGGATCCGCCTCTTCAGTGACTTTGAGTACCTGAGGGGACAGTCAGGTATTTCATAAGAACTGGATCATCTGGCACATACTAACGCTTGCATAGATTTTGAACGTAGCATCCATGTGCTTGGATGCTTTGATGAGTGTGATGAGTCTGCCCTGTGGTTCCTCGAGGAACTTCGCGACTACTTGGGAAGAAACGAAAACAATTTTAGTCTACTGATCATTACGACACACGGGACAGAGAATGACAAGGCTGTGGCTCATGCGCTTTCTCAGTTTGTCGGAGATACAGTCACCTCTATCGAGTACGAGCCTCCAAGGCCTAAAACGCTCAAGATTGACCAAACCGCCGCGCTGCTCATCCAAGAAGCACCGAATTTCTCATGGAATGACCACTACCAGAAAATCAGTGACCTTCTTTCAAATTATGACCATGATGAGGACCTATACCAGCTGCTCATTGACTGGCTCAAGTCAGCTCGGGAACCCTTTGGATCGGTTCCCAGACTTCTCACTGGGCCTTTTCTACCTGAACTGGTGTTTGCCACTGCCTTGGCTGAAATGCCAGATGGTCGGAGGACATGGGCTCAGAAACTACTCTCCTGGGTGCTCACCTCACTGAGACCTCTTCAAGTGGCTGAGTTTTACTGGATCTCAGAAAACTTGTGGTCTGGAGAAGAATCGGAGCGAAAAACCCGTGAGCCAGCGGACGAATCTGGAGCATGGAATTATGTCGACGATATCCTCCAGTCTTTCGGCGGACTACTCATCGTGGTGCAAGGGGAGATTCGATTCAGACATCCCGATACTCGAGATTGGCTACTCAACAAAGATGAGATCGAAGACAACACGGCATGGTATCGGCAAGGCTCTGAGACGGAGCGGAATGAACTTGTTCTGAAGACCTGTCTTAGTTATGTGTGCAAGGAAGAGGAGAATGCCACAGCGTGGGCTCAACAGATTCCTTATGCTATCGAGTTCTGGCCCCATCACTACAGTCAGACGACCTCCAAAGGAGACGTGGTCAGAGGCCTATTTGGGGAGCCACCCTTATTCAACCGCTGGATCGAAGCGTACAACGCCTTGCCGACTCCGTTTCTGAAACCCCATACAGATTCCCGGAAGCCTCTCCCCGTGGCGGCCCATTTTGGCTTCGAGGACCTTGTCCGGTCTGCATTGGAAGAGTCCCAAGATGGCATTGAGTTACGAGCTCAAGCGTTAGTGGAGGCTGCGAGGGCGGGCCAACTCGCTGTTGTTGAACTCATCATCGAATCCTTTGAATCTGGCTTCAGTTTTGACGACGAGTATCTACACCAAGCCGTTAAGGCAGCGAGTTTCTGTGAGGACCCTGAAGTGTTTCGAAAGGTGGTTCAAATCATACCTCAGCCGCCACATGCCATCCCAGTGCGGACTGCGAAACACCAGGTTGACCAGCCCACCAACGAGCCTGAAGACCCCGAGCCTGGGGCTCAAGATACTGAAGCTCATGAGAAGTCTAACGATGTCAAAGACACGGACCCTCGGAGCGAAGAGAAGAAACAGGACTCGCCCCATGACCCTTTCCACTGGCTTGCAGTGCCACTCCTACAAGCCGCAACTATCGGATTGGACGATGCCATTACCAAGCTCCTCTCAGTCGGAGCAGACCCCAGCCCCCCAAAGGGCACACATCTGAATGAGAAAACCCCCCTTCACAGAGCAGCAGCCTACGGCAACATCAGCTCTATGAAGCTTCTCCTTGACGCTGGTGCGACCTGGGCCACGCCCCGCACTACGCCGTTGCTCACGGCTAATTCTCCTCTTGCGGCGACCACGTTGCTTGAGAATGGGGCTAGGTTGGACACCAGAATGCTCGATGAGAATCGAATGCCCGTGCAAATTCTATCTCAATGGGGAGATTTCTTGCTGCTCCAAACGATCTTGGAGTACAAGGACTACCGAGAGTACTACAAGGAGGAGCCCGAAGGCAACCCTGTGACCCTTGCAGCTAGATTCCGGAACAAGAAATGTCTCGAACTTCTCTTGAAACACGGATTCAATCCCAACATCCCAAATCCCGATGGCGAAACAGCACTGTGGTGGGCCATCAACAATGGACGTACTGACATGTGTCGCCTCTTGCTGGAGCATGGAGCTGACCCTGACCTGACACCCGAAGGGGCTGTGCCTCCTTTGGTAGAGTCAGTGTTTGTCGACAGTCTGGAGATGATGAAGTTACTTGTTGAACGTAAAGCCGATATTGAGAAGAAGGAGATGCCAGGAAAAGGCTGGCAGCGTACACCATGTCTGTCGTAACCACCCGTTCTAGAACGATTTTTACTGACTACTCCTAGTGCATGCTGCCATTGATTATGGACATTTGGATCAAGTTGAATATCTTCTCAAACAAGGAGCAGATCCAAACGTCAAGGATTCGGATGAGCTCTGGGCCCTTTTCACGGCAGCGGAAAATGGCCGCACCGACATGGTTCGAATGCTTGTCGAGGCAAAAGCTGAGTTGAACTCGCTATCTGGCTCAGAGAAGTGGACGCCTCTGCACGGAGCCAACAAATATCCTGAGACGGCCGAACTTCTGGTGCAGCTCGGCGCTGACTTGACCATCTTGACTCTCAGCCTATACACCCCGTTGGACATGGCAGTTTTCCACGGCCAGCGGGCAACCATTGATGTTATCCTGAGCAAAGCCAAGGTCAAGTTTGACCTTAATCTCGAGGGTACGCGGAAGGCAATGGTAAATGCCGTCGATGAGAACTACGTTGACGCCGTTGAGGCGATCCTGGAGGCAGGGGCCGACGTCAATACTCTTGATCCCTCGAACGACAACAACAAGAATGAGTCTATTCTTTGTATGGCCATGAGGCTTCCCAGTGACGACATGGTTCGGAAACTTCTCGAGTTCAGACCAGACTTGGATGTCAGAAGCGAAAAGGAGAACACGGCGCTTCATTGCATGACGGATAGGTCGCCGGTAACATCCTTCCGCTTGGTGGTGAATGCTGGCGGGAAATTGGACGTGGTGAACAACAAGGGGAATACTCCCTTGCAGATGGCTGCACTCAATGGAAACGAGGAGGTCTTCAGGTACATGATGACCAAGGAGGCTGCTCGCTCGATGCTTCACAACTCTCCCCCGGACCAGTCGGGCACGGTCATGCATGACGCATGCAGCGAAGGATCTCTGGAGATGGTCCGGCTGTTGATTGAGAACCAATTCGACGTTAACTTTGTGACTGACGGATATTTCGGTACACCACTGATCACAGCAACTATTGGCCCCAAGGATGATATACGTGGCCAGAAGAAGGACATCGTTGAGTTGCTTCTAGAGAATGGAGCAGATCCATCCGTTCGTGCTGGCCTCTTCGGATACCCGCTCAACTCGGCCTGTATGGGCTCTCCGGCAGAAATCGTCAGCCTTCTTCTTGACCGGAACGCCTCCATAGATGTCCAGGACCCCTTTGGACGGAAACCGGCACACATAGCTTGCTACAACTCTCTCGAGGTGCTCAACCTTTTGAAGGCCCCCGACTCTGATTTTGCCGTCAAGGATGAGATTGGCCGAGTTCCCCTCCACTATGCCGTGGTGAGTGGCCAGATGGATATTGTGGTGGAAGTACTGGCACGGTCAGAACGAGTCGGTGTTGGTATTGATGTCAAGGACAATGATGGTTGGACACCTCTTCTCTGGGCAGCTCGTGCTTCGACATCCCTCCGCCAGCTGCACCCGAACGATCCGACGACGACTGACATGGTTTCTTTCCTCCTGGAGAAAGGAGCGGATCCCACGATCGAGGGTCTAGGGTTCTCTGCACCCTCCCCTGCCTCTCAGATCGCTTACTACTCTGGAGCTGATGCGTATGTAACCCTCTATTCCACCCGACAGCCTACTGACGACTTTCTGTTTAGCATCGGTGACTTGATTACGATTAAACTCGGCAAAGAGCCTCCGACAGCAAAGAAACGAGGCAAGAAAGTGCTTAATGGGTATTGCGATTGCTGCTTGCTGGAGATTGTGGGCAGCTATGTCATGTGTGAGACCTGTGCCGACTTTTGGCTGTGCTTCAAATGTTCCAGATCCAGGTCCAAGTTTCACCCTCGTCACTCATTTCGAGATCAAGGAGAGGAATGGGATGATAATGGGAACGTGGAGCCTGAAAAGCCTGACGAGGTTCCTCAAACGCCAGTCAAAGTGGTCAATGGTGATATCCTACCGGCAGTGCCAGAAGAAGGGAGCCAGAGCGAAGAGTTTGATGACGAGATTGTGGGTTAGAACACTACGGATTATGGTGAATCTCATAGTTGGGACTACAAGTATTCCGAGCAGCCCCTCTAATGTAGATATTGAAGGTGTTTGGTCTAGGTTTTGTAGAAGACAACAAGCCTCTGAGTTCAGTTATTGATACCTGCTATCACTGAAACCCAATGGAAACGCCATCAACCTAGCTCCCCAACCCTGAACCATTGTTTGCCATGTGAAGTAATTCCCAAGATGCCGGATCTCGAAAGACGTCAGAAATGCCATAACTAAATAGATCATCGAATGCCATTTGGAGCTGAAACTGTGATGCATCAAACCCAACCCACGGTTCAATAAACTGTTCCGGAAGATATTGGGGATTGTCAGATACATGGTCGCCGTGAAACCCTTGCTCTGACGGGAGAGACACTGGGGTCGGTATCACGACCTCCTCTGTCCCAACTGACTGGTTGGTCGGCTGGTGGGTTGTAGTTAGAGGCCTCTCATCTGAAGAATTTGGTTCGGCCGTGGTAGTAGAGTCGCTTCTATCAGTAACCACAACTCGTTCTCGATTCGTGGTGCCCGGATTCATGGAGCTCATCAGTCTGTGTGCCAGCTTTGCGACACCTTGGGCAGTGGTCCAGCTCTGGCCAAGCGTATCAAGAGCTTCGCAGCAAAGGCTGAGATCTCTTGACGAAGCATCAATGCCCCGAACCCTGTCTCGCAGAGCACGGTATATAACTGTTGTGGCCATGGCCATGGCATATGGTACTAACGGAAGTGGCGGGAGGGTTTCGTGCTGGCCATGACCGAGCATCTCGAGGATACGGTCCGCCGACGAGAGCCGCCTGGTGTAATGTACGTTATCTGGGCCGCTGTGTCGACACGACAGCATTGCAGCCAGATGATACCAGATCTCGAGGAATGCTACTTCCATGTTAACAAGATGTCAAGGTCTATATAGTGGCACATTTAACTAGCCTCTGTGAGATCTGTGAAAACGATCAAACGTGGTGCCTGATGTGAGGTCTAATAGAGAAGGGAAATCCTCACAGTCATCAACAGTTGATGTGGAGCTTGCCTTGTAGACCTTGGTTGCCTTGACTGTGAGGTCTCCCAATACTAGAGAGATGTGAAGAACCTGAGACCGATAGCTTTCTCTCCTTGGAGCGATACGGTCAATGGAAATGTCGGTGTCGTCGATGATGAAAGGCCCTGCTCCCATGGTAGGCTTGTTCAACCGGTCAAAGTTCCGAAGTGACCACCATAGATAGTCAAGGTCCTCATCCGAGTTTTCCGGCATCTTCAAGTGTAAAGACATCGACCACGCCTCCCTGATGGCCTGCGTCAGATACATCGAGGAGCGGTCGACGCCGCCTCGACCGTCATTATGGAGATGCATCAACGCTAGGATCTGGATCTTGATGACCCTGTTTGGCTCAAGGTTTGCCTTTATGGCTGCATCGAGTCCGTCGAGTAGCTTTGATGCGAAGATTTGGTGGCTCAGAAGTGGTCCGTCGTCGGTCAACCGTAGAAATGGAGCGGCTTGTTTCGCTTTGCAGGTGACAAGACATATTGCTCTTAGTAAGTACCGAGAAGCTTGGCCGTTGCTGAAATCGCGGAGTACACTTGAACCATCTATGATGGGAATGAGTTCGTCTAGAAGGGAGTTGTAGACGGGCAGGAGTGCCTCAATAGTCGTCCTCGGTAGTTCAAGGAGGGCACCCACATCCTGTAGGTAACGTCGATGGTGCTCCGTTAGAGGTGGTATTTTTATCGTCTGTCTATACGTCCTCCACCACATTTGTCGACGCCGAGTTTGTTGAACAACATTCTCGGCGGTTGATACTCGGCCCCGGCTCGTCTCTTGTTGTCGACATGCTCGGTCTGGCTCGGGTAGGGAGAAGAGATGCTTCAATACTGCTTCGGGGTTGTATTCTTGCAGCTGTGAAGGATGCGGGCTTGACTCTCTGGTGTTGACATCTGGTTGTGACTCTGGGACAGGGAGCTCGACTGGCTCCGGATTGTCGGTCCTGGTGTCGCCCTCGTCGTGATAGCATCGTTTCTTTCGTGAGCGACAGTGGTGACAAGGTATTGGCGAAATACTGTCAGTCGTCCTCAGCTCTGTAACAGGCAGATAGAAACTTATCTTGGGACGTCCGTTTCCTCGTAGGTGCAGTTGAAGATTGCCAAACAAGCTCCATGGCTATCGTGATCAATCGATAAGCTCTAGAGTACGGTATCCAGACTGGAGCTCGATTCCACCTGTATTGGAGGCGGCATTGATGATAGTGGAGAGATGGCAGCTCGGGATGGAAGCGTAAAAGGGGCTAGCTTCCCCGCCCTCGACCGGGCATAGTCGGTCTGCAAAAGTAGCATCCGCGTGCGGGGCCGCTCCGAAAATGGTAGATGCCGCTCCGAAAGCCGACTACTGGGAAATCATGACAGTGAACTTGGATGAGCAGAGGGTGGCCTCGCTTCAAACAGGGTCCCAAAGCATGGAAACCTCGACTGACAAATGCCTCCATGCTCTACTCTAAGACTTTTCACCTTGTCCTGCCATAATGGGCTGTTGGACCAAGACCGAAGCCCTCCCCCTGTGAGTCAGGAGCCCGGTCCCGTTTTGGAATTCCGAGCCATCAACTTGGGGGCTAAACCCAAATTGGGTCGGCAACTCAACCGCTCAAGGAGTGCAGCCGATGAGACGTATGCATGACTGAATCGACTTGGATCTGCGTGCCAACAGCCTCTCATGTGTTGACGGATGGCAGAGGCGCTCCGGGGGGATTGGCTGGCCTCAATTACCCCACTGATTACAAGGCGGGGTACAAACGAGCTTCTCTCTGAAGTGGCATATAAAGATCCGTGACGACTTCAGCAGGGGTTTATGTTCATCAGCTCATTGTGCAGTCATTAGCACCACTCGCACATCCCAGCCTTCATCATGTCTCCTTCATCCACTATCACACGCTATGTCATTGTGGGCATGGGCGTCCGCTCGTCCATGTACTACGAGAGCATCATCCGCGACTTCAAGGATGTTGCAAAGCTCGTGGGAATCTGCGACACAAATCAGACTCGCATGAACGCTGCAAACGACCACATCGCAGAACTTGGAGGCGAGCGTGTTCCTACCTACAAGGACACGGACTTTGATAAGATGGTCCAAGAACAAAAGGCTGATGTTGTCATTGTCACCACCATCGACCTCTTCCACCACCACTACTGCATCCGAGCCATGGAGTTGGGCTGTGATGCAATCACGGAAAAGCCCATGACTATCGATGAAGAGAAGCTTCAGGCCATGATCGACGCTGAGAAAAAGACGGGCAAACAGGTTCGCGTTCTGTTCAACTATCGCTACGCACCTCATCACACCAAGGTTCGCGAATTGATCGACTCTGGGGTCATTGGTGAGATCTCGACTGTCCATATGGACTGGATCCTCGACTGCCCTCATGGAGCCGACTTTATGCGTCGTTGGCACCGACACAAGGAGACCAGTGGTGGCATTCAGATGCACAAGTCAATCCACCACTTCGACCTTGTCCACTTCTGGCTCGACACTGAGCCTGAGCTTGTCTATTGCCTCGGCTCCCTGCGTTTCTACGGCAAGGAAAATGCTGAGAAGCGCGGCGAGAAGAACCTTGGAGAGCGATACCTTAACAACCAAGATGCCAAACAAGATCCGTTTGCTTTCCAGCTTGGTGATAACGAGCGGATGAAGAAGCTGTACCTGGACGCAGAGCATGAAGATGGCTACATCCGAGACAGGAACTGTTTTGGTGAGGACATCACGATTGAAGACAATCTCTCCATGATCATCAAGTACAAGAACCGCGCTGTTCTCACCTACAACACCTACGCCTATGCGCCTTGGGAGGGATATCGCTGTGTCTTCAACGGAACCAAGGGCCGTCTTGAGATTAATGTTGTCGAGAGTGGTTACTCGCCAACAGGTATTCCAGTGTCGAAGGATCCCAGTGGCGAGGATAAGCAGTATATCCAGGGAGGCGTCGAGCAGACCAAGATTGTCGTCTATCCCATGTTTGATGAGCCCTATGTGGTCGATGTTGTTAAGCAGGAGGGTACTCATGGTGGCGGTGATCCCATCTTGTTGCGAGATGTGCTCCTTGGTGAGAAGAAGGGCGGTGTTGATCGCGCCGCCTTCATCCGTGATGGAGGCAATGCTGTCCTTGTGGGAGTTGGAGCTAATCACTCCATGAAGTCAGGCATGCCCGTCAAGGTACAGGAGCTGGTTCGCTGGTAGCTTTAGATATCATAGCAATTTGGACTTTCGCTTGGACTTCATCAGATCTCTTAAAAACAATGTGGTGTTATAGTGACCCAACTGCATAGTCGCGAACAAGGCAGCTTTTGCACCCTTTTTGTGATCTTACTATTTTTATTCAGACGGCTGAGCCCTTCCAACCTTTTCATTGATCTCTCCCAGTTGTCCCCATCTTGGCCCCTGCCCCCATATCTAATCAAGATGATCTAATAAAACAAGCGAGCTTGCCCCTCCCATCTCGTATATCCCCCCTGCATTAGCGCCAGTTGAGAGTAGACTTTGAGATATTTTCAGCACGGTCTGCGACGTCTGAAGGTGTAACTTTCGCAGCTCCGTATCTGTCGTATGGGGAGTGTAATACGTAAACCATGCCCCTCCTCTTATACCATCTTTCATATGAACTTTAGATTTGTGCATTATAAGCAATACCACCTTTTGCTGATTTTGCCTGATCTTAAGAATGTCCTTCTCCTTCGACTGTCAGATATGTGGTGTGGACATGGCTACTGCCCGGATTCGCACGCCAGATGAGCCACCGAGCGCAGCTTGGAACTACCAAGGAGCCAATTATGTAGGCTTCTTCGATGAACCTTGGGACGAGGATTTTCAAGACCAAGAATGCCAAGACTGCACCACCGCAGATAGAACTCCGGCCGATCCTCAGACACTTGAGTTCGAACCCCTCCCTCTTTGGCCAAAATGCGATGAAGACGACCCCGACTGGCTTCCGGATAGTCAACTCCATAGTGACGACGAGCCCCTGGAGTACGATGCAGGTTTAGAATCCGAAGACTCTAACAATGGGCCGCCAAGAAGCTCTGACGACGAATCTTGCCGCGACGACAACGATGGCGATGGTCAGGGTGGCAGCTATGACGAGACGTCGAAGCAATACAACGTCTCGGATCTGTTTGATCCGCCGAGGCCTGAAAGGCTGCCACACGGGACCTGGCATAGAAGGTTTGTCCATTACACAGGCAACCGCAGATTTCCAGAAAAGCGATTGCTTTTCCCTCGCCGCTCTATATCCAAGATCCCGCCAGAGCATATTGCCTCAGCGACATGTCGGAGCTTACGAGGTATCAATGGACATGTGCTAAGCCTAGCGCAAATGAAGAATTGCCGCAACGTCCGGCTTTTGATACCAAAACCGTCAAATTGGATGACAGACGTAAGCGAGCAGCTCCTCGAAGAAAGCAGTCTGTTCTATCTGTCAGGAGAGTCAAATGGCTCAAACTTGGGCGTGGACGGAAATTTTCAGCCCTGGCGGTCGTTCTATCCGCCACGCCACGGGTTGCATGAATTGAGGACCAATTGGGAGATGATCAGCGAGGGCTGCGATGTAAGTGTCCCCAAATCATGTATCGCTGGAAATTCTTTCTCACAGAGGCAGGAATATGACGTATTGCGGCCACTGGCAGTTCACTCTTACTGCCTCGACATGTACGCAAAAGCATCATACCATCGGCTGGGCCGTGTTGATTTGGATGGGCTATGGTATTGGCGTGAGATAGAGACCACCCCAGACTCTTACGGAATGGGGGATAGAGTCCCGTTACGGCGGCCGGAAGTGGAACGAGCCCGTAAACGTTGGGACTGTCCCTGGCACCATCTCCCCGGCGACGAATGGCTTGCAGCAAATCCTGTTGAGATCCCAGGCATCTACCGGGTACTGGAGACTTGCATGAACCGTGCAAACAAGGGTCAAGCTCAACTACAGAAAGCGAAGCTCCTCGCTCTCCCTACTGAGGTCATTCATCATATACTTTCGTTCCTTGACTTACCTGACCTCGACACCCTGGTAAGGGCGTGTCGGAGGCTCTACGACCTTTCGCAGCCAATTTTCAAGGCATGCGTGTTTAGGGATATGCACTGGCTGTGGGAGATTTGTGAAGGCAGCGAATATCCCACGTCGCCTGATCGGCCAGCGACATGGGATCCTCTTTGCCCACCTGGCTTACTACCCCTGAGCTTCCGTTCGGCCTTGAAAGCAAAGAAGACGAAGACAAGCTCTGGGCAGAAATTATCGAGGAGGATCCAGAGATGGAGGAGGCTGGGAATGCCGTCAAAGCGATCAACAGCCTGCGCCGGGACGAAAATTTTCGGACCATATCGTGTCAAACAGGAATCGTCGCTTCACGAGTGGCACACCTTTCGTACCTCTGTAGAAGCGTGGATCCAGCTTGCACAGGGCAGAGCTGGGCCTAGCATAGACGGAGCTGACTGGAGGCGTATGTGGTGGCTTTTCAACCCGGCAACAACTTCCTTGCCCGGTATACGCAACCGCGCGCGGATATGGAATCACTGTGAGCAGATTCTTGATTGTGTTGCCTTGGCGCACAAATTGGGTGAGATCGACAACAAGCAGCATGATTTGCACGAAAAACTGTCGGACCCTTCGCAACCGGTCATGACGACGAATATTTACGATGTTGATTGGTACTAAACTAGTTAATATCACCACCAAATTGTTTCTAGAGAAGTCAAACGTTTTGTATGTGTTGATGGAAAGAATTGGAGATTGTGCATAACTGGGAACTTAGCTATGGAATGCGTAAATGAGAAGTAGTTACGGTCTCTCAAACAGTATCAACACGTCGCCCCCAACCACCAAGTCTCCCTAGTAGTGATACCTGAAGTTCAAATTCTCCTTGTCCGTCTTGTCTTCAAATCCATGCGCGAGCGTACTGTCAACGGTAATCTCACCATCCTCTGTTCTCTTATCCCGGATCTTGTTGCTGTACGCATAGTAGGCTCTTAGCAATAGCAACGTTGCGGCTAAGACACCATAACAAGCGACGTGGACTGAAAAGGCGATGAAGTATCGAGGAGCATCGTTGGAGCGGAATACTTGAGGCCCGATACAGTTTCCTACAGCCCAGCATAGGAAGTTGGTCGCGATGACAAAGGATCTCTTGGTCTGGCCTGCGACATTTCGGGTGATTAGGGAGAGACATAAGGCAGAACAGGCCCAGAATGATATCGTGACGTAGTAGGCCAAGAGGAGACCAATTTCGTTCGCCTTGCTTGTGCGTTCAACAGTCATGAGGACCACGGTACCGGCAATTGAGCTACGGGTCTCGTCAGTATGCCATATTATCATGGTTGGGAGGGACAAAACTCACGGGATCACCGATGCAGCCATGGCGTAAATGGGCTGTCCAGTCTTTCGATCCACCCAAACGGCGCCGAACATGATGATGATCATGATAGCGCCCAAGACCATGGACAAGAGCTGTGTCTGGAGGACATCGAAGCCAAAGCTCTTGACCAGAAGTGCCGAAAAAGCATTGAGGCCAGAGTTGGGGAGGGTGGTACAGATTTGAATCATTCCAAAGGCGTACGCTATTTCAGGTCAGCCATGGTCATTCCAGATGCGATACTTGGCGAGCTTACTTTGCGGGTCTCGTAGAGCCTCGTAAACCTGTTCGACCCGAAACTTTCTGTTTTGCAGTCCGCTCTGGTTGCTGCGAACGCGCTCGACCATGAGCTTCTTGTCGTCCTCGGAGAAACACTTTGACTTCATTGGGGAGTCAGGCATCCACCAGAGAACAAAGACTCCCCAGAGTACAGTGATACATCCGTACGTTATAAACAGTGCTTGCCAAGAGTGAATAGGGGATTTGTCGGGAATGTTGGAGAAACAGTAGGCTAGTAGGCCACCGACGATCTGTTGTAAGCCGTTCATGGCATACCTCGGGAAGTTAGCCTGCGTTTTAGAACCGGAAAGCCGACTGGCCACTCACCAAAGAACCACTGTCGTGCTTTGCTCAGAACGGCGGTACCACATGCCTGAAAGAAACACGAAACATGGCTGGCAACAAGCTTCAAGGGCACCCAAGAAGAACCGGACGGCAAGCAAGCCTCCAAAGTTCTTACAGGCCGCATGAAGCGCAAGCACAGCGCCCCAGCAGATGATGTTGGCTGCAAGATATTTGGCCACTGAGATGCGTTGTATGATCCAGTTCGTCGGGTACTCGACTACCAAAACCGCGATATAGACAATGGTTGTCAACCAACTGTACTGAATAATGTTGTTAGCAACCTTCTGAGGAGGAATTGGAGCCATGCTCATATGCGTACCTGCTGCCCGACGAGCCGAGTATCATCCACGATTCCCATGATCGAGGCAAACGAGATCGTTCCTTTGTCAAGTGCTTGAAGAAAGTATGTCACCATCATGACGAGCAGAACACGCTTGTCAATCATCCTTTTCAGCCGCTTGTTGGTCTCGCTGTCGATCTCGATGGCAGCCGCAGAAGCGTATTTTGCGACTTCGGGGTCGACCCTGTTATTGTCGGCAGCATGCTTGATGTCGGTGGCATCCTCGAGATGCGTGGAACTGAATGTTTGAGGGTTGTCCTTCGTTGGCGACATTGTGAAGCAGTAGGAGACAAGGAGAATGAGTCAGCGATGGCTTGGCTGGTCAGGTCGGAGCTGGAATGCCCTCGTTTATATGCTCTGGGTCTTTCCCCGCACTCCTTATACCCCAGACCGCTAATGACATGGAGAATCCGGGGATGCGGAGCTTGACAATCCGGGGTTGTCCACCGCTGGTAGCCTTGATCCATATTATCCAAGGTGATGTCCCCCTGTATGTATGGGATTGGGAATGACTCGCCGAGAATCTCGCCGGTAAACATGTCGGCAAGTTTTGTTGAAGTTCTCCACAAAGCAGAGCCGACCCAAAATTGGCTTAGTCTGTTCCCTCGGGTGTCGGGTGGCCTGTCGTCGTAGCGTGCTGAGTGGCCCCTACGTCGTGATCGACAGGTATGTGCCGATGGCCTTCTGTATCTAGGTATGTTTTTGGGTTCAGCGAGTTGATTAAATTGTCGAGTGTTGTCTAGTTCTATGTTGAACAAGAATCACTTGGTCAGCTCGCTACTATCCAAATCACATAGAGGAAACTCCTCAACTAGTTAACATCATTCGTTTACGTGATGTTTAGACTGTTACATTACGTAGCCTCAAAGAACAGAGTCGTATCCTCTCAAGTGTCAGCAGGTTGTTGGCGCCTCCGCCCCAAAAAGAGTAACAACCCGACAGACCGTGCACGGCTAGACTTGGGGTTGGGACCAGGTCTGTACCATGATGATCCACTATCTTCCGATGCTGGGCGCCGCCAGGACAAGTATGATCTTTGCGATGGGCTTTTTTCTCATGGGACGATCTCGGTTAGGGGTTGATCTCCGATCTCGCTATTGGTCTTGTTATTTCTCTTGTATAAAGCCTGAGGGTTGGTATTACATATCGTGCCGCTCAGGGTACCTGGGTTATCACTTACACATGATTCTGCAAAGCCCAACTAACAATACCGGGGAGGCTAGAAGCGAATGACATAAAGGGGTGAAGGGTCCCAAGGATAACACGGACTGATTATGACATGGTGATTATTTGGGCGAGCAGGGTCGAGAGCCCTAGAAGTATCCTTAGGCGGTATCCAGCCATCCACGATCACTGGCATCAACCATGCTAATCAATCCAGTAGCTAGCCGTAATTAACGCTCAAAGACCTAGAAATAGCCCGCTGGTTCAAGTAGGAGCTAATTCAACAACCGAATAGCCCTCAGATAGATCAGCACCCATCCGCTTGGTTCAGCGAGTCAGTTAAGCCAAGAGGTTGGTGATCTCCCCATGCTCTATTCGACATTTTCCGTCCTTGTTTGACGTGTCTCCACTCTTGAAACAGTCCAGGCACCCGAACCACGTCTTATGCTTAGGAATGTTACGGGCAAGAGCACGCAGGTCCCTTGTTAGGCTGTCTGTGCGATCTCCGGAACACCCGCAATTGTATCGTGACGTGCAACTTCTCACGGCGAGAAGGGGAAGATTAGTTGCAGCTTTGAGCAAGTCACTGAGTTTATGATCTCTTAGGTCAAGCTCGTAAGGGACAATTCCCGCCCCCCTGAGCGTGAGGGTATATTCTGAAATGGCGTGGCTCGCACGGTAGCATCCCGAGGTGAGACTTGTCCATTGCCACGTAGTCCACGGTGCTGTAATGGCGCGGTGATATGCCTCGCAGAATTGAAGTCGCTTCAGGTCCAGGTACCCTAAGTCTATGTCAGCTAAGCCCTTGAACTTGCTCGAGAATCCAGGTTCTTACTCCCAATGTCGTTGGGCAGGAGTGGATGGTCAATCAACTGGATCGCCTGGGTATGGGGTCCTGCAATTGGTCCTTCATGATAAAGGACCAATGTCCACGCAACTTCGCAGAACTCATGCGGCAAATCTGCCACATAAGCGAAGATGAGAAGGCGGGAGATGTTTTCAATTGACGCTTCTTCCGTGTCAGGCAGGGAGGACGTCCAATTCCTTAGCCATAGGGCGCCACAGTACTTGAGAGTCTGGGTGCATTGATACTTGTCGCACACGCCAGCCAATGCGAGAAGTAAGTTGCTTCGAGGTTGTTCGGGGATTCCTTTGAACTTGAAATGTAGTATCCTGCATAGGAGAAGCATAGCTGTGAAGTCGTCATCAGGAAGCAATAGCCGATATGGTCCCTGGCCTGGTGATGCTTTTGAGTCGGACAGTTGAACTCCTTCGAGAAACCTCCCGTCGAGCATGGCTTGGAATACTGGGGATGCATTTGATAGAATTTTCGAGGATACTAGTATCTCTCTGTCCTCGAGTTGGGCAATGGTCTCCTTCTCGTCATCAGACTTGGGCTGATCTTCCTTTTCAGAGACGTTTTTGGAGGGAGCATCAGTTTGAGGGTCGTACGGTGAGACCAGAGCAAGGTCCCCATCGGAATCAACTATGTTTCTTTTCAACATCGATTCGGTATTCGATGTTGCGTCAAACGACTTGCTGGCGAGGGAGGATGGAGGAGCAAGAATGGCGTTGGTGGGGCCACGTGAGGCTTTCCACCAAATTGAGTTTCAGCCACGGCGCTTAGTCACCCCCTTGGCGCGTGCTGCAAGGGGCTTGGAGGCTGGCGCATTGTGATTAACAATTTAAGCGCCCGAGGTTCAGAGATAAGCTTAATCACAGGCGGTCTCGGAGAGAAGGCCATGACAACCACCAATCGAACAGTTGAATTATAACAGTGGATTGCGAGGTTTTGGTATGGTGCACAAAATATCTGCGACGACAAAAGAAAACGTTTGTAGTTCTCTGCCAAGCCTCGGCGCCAAGCCTGATCACGAGGTGAAGAAGTCGGGGCGAACCGTCGGCATTAGCTAAACGAGATTGTTCCATTTGTTGTACTTCTCCATCTCTTTCTCATATGCATCAAATCTCAAATTGTGTTCTACCAATGTTGGCGTCGGTCGCTGTTGAATGTTATTACAAGAATCCCAACATACCAGTTGAGATTTTACTTGGGCAAGCCTACGAAACAATCGCCGGCTCCCACAGCTATCAATTCGCCCCTATGTGCACCTTAAGCTACAGTATCATTATTTATTAATATTCTATACTGGAATTTCCCATTCAAATTATAACTGCCTGTGCCAGAATCGCCCGTTCTGTCCGATCACTTTCGGGTCGTCGGATCACCTACTTACCCTACACATCAATCGAGAACAGGGGGGTTCTCGTTTGAGTCAAATAGCTCTTGGGGGAAGTTGAGGCCATCCCGAACAAGTCCGAGTCTGCCGGATAGTATTGGACCTTAACTTTCAATCGTAGAAGCTTAACAAAAGTCCCGGAACTTCTTGCATGTGCTTCAAAGGCCCTGGCCTCCGTTCGGGGTCTTCCCGACCAGGGCATTGATCAGCACACACCCCTGTCTCCGAACCGGAGCGTACATGTTAAGCATAAGACGCCGTGCCCAATAGGGAAGCTCTTCAAACATCTCCCCACGCATCAACCGTTAGATTAGATTACAGCACTTGCACTCTCAATGGCCACACGAGTTTCCTGCTCCACGCTCCTTTAATAGCAGCTGGCAACAGCCGAGGCATCCACGATAGGTTACATCGACACCGTGAGCTAGGCTACCAAGCCGTACCTTGCACAAAAAGCCCTCGTCCTTGATTGGCAGGTGTCTTCTCGTTTATCTAGGGTTTCGTTCAATGAGCGCGGACTCCACTTCCTTCCACGGAAGGTGGATTTGCGTAGTCACGCTCTGGACCTGGACCAAGGACTTAGCAGGGCTTTCTATGGACTAACAAGGGCGCCGACAAGACGCTTCTTGAAGCTACTCTGGCGTGATGTTTACGGCCTTTCTGGCTATGACTATTTCCAACTTGGCAGGAGGGATAGTTTAGGATACGAGAGACCACGGCTGAACACAACCAAGAGGGCGAGGATCGACACAACCTGGCTATCACGGCATTGAATTGTCCGTTCTCGCGATAAGTCCTGAAAGATAGTAAATAATATAAAGACTGAGAGAATTACGGCTTGTTTGAACATCATCATCTCAGCTCATCTTCGTCTATCTTCAGTCTGACAACTACTCCACTTTCATCATGGTTTCCAAGTCTTTCCTCGCTATCCTTCTCGGCACCGCCGGTGTCATGGCCCTTCCCCCTCGTTGCGCCATCTCTGATCCTACACCGGAACAGTTGGACAACGCGCGAACTCTCAAGGCCATTGAGGAAACCGCCAGAATCGCCGCCAGGGCCTCTATCACTGTCGACACCTATTTCCACGTTGTCTCGTCTGCTTCGTCCAAGTACATTACCCAGAAGCAGCTGCAAGACCAGCTGGTCTACATGAACGATTCTTATGGCCCCCACGGCGTTACGTTCAGACTGGCAGGCACCGATTTCACCACAAACACCAACTGGGCTGCTGGCAACGGCGAGGTTGCGATGAAGAGGCAGCTCCGCAAGGGAGATTACAGCACTCTCAACCTCTACTTTGTTGATACTCCCAAGCTGGATGGCCGCACTGCTCTTGGCTACTGCCACTTCCCCGAGCCTGGCGTGACAACTGGATCCACCACCTTCATCAAGGACGGTTGCGTTATTGATGCGCAAACTGTTCCTGGCGGAACTGCTGAGCCATACAACCTGGGTGGAACTGCTGTCCACGAGATTGGACACTGGTTCAACCTTTTCCACACTTTCCAGGGCGGCTGCACTGGCAGTGGTGACTTTGTCAGCGATACCCCTGCTCAGGGTGACTATACATCGGGTTGCCCTGCCCGCTTGGATACGTGCCCAAACCAGGCCGGCGATGACCCCATCCACAACTACATGGATTATTCCGACGAGTAAGACCATTCTATACATCTTGTTTAGCAATGACTAATTTGATATAGTATCTGTTATGAGGAGTTTACTCCCGGCCAGGAGACCCGCCTTCACACTGCTTGGGAGACTTATCGCCAGTAGAGAGACAGGTTTTGTGGATCTACCCTGACCGACTTGTGTACATAGTCCTTAACAATCCTCTCGGGCGAATGGCTTAGTGATATACTGAGCATGTTCTGTCCGAAGATCGTACATAGTTCTTAGTTGCCGAATTGATGATGAGATGAAGAGTGTAATCGAAAAGTTGATAAAACTCAAGTGCTAATGACTTTGCTATCCCTCCAACTAGTTACAGGTCAAGGAGAAATCGCGTGTGTGCTGTCTCCTTTTCCACTCAATCTTAAAGGTCCATCACTTCGCTGATACCATCCCATATCCATCTCAGAAGACTGATGACCAGCCGCTTCACCTCCCAGAAAACTACGTACAAAACCTCACTCACTACCCACGCGGCGGTTTTCTTGACTTGCTGTATAACCGGATGCGAACACTTCCAAGGTCTCGTCACCGCAGAAGTTCTCGAGTCTTCTAGTTCGTCGTCCACAGCCCAGTCCAGTCTCGTACGATAGACGTTATATGCGTTGGGGCCGCCGCACATCTCGCGGAAATCGTCGCCGCAGTCAAGCCAGCACTCTGTTTCATTTACTCGCGACGACGGCGGCGGGTATGAACGAGAACATTGGCATTCGCTACCATGTCTGATTGCAACTGGGTATCCTTCCGCGGCGCATGTGTGTGTGCAGGAATCTCCCTGAGCACGGCGATTGAAAGACTGATGGTCTACGGTCGTGAAAGCAGCTGGCCTGTCGTTGAAGCAGCCATGGAGCGATAGCTTTGGCAGCTCGTAATCCTCTTTGTCATCGGTGACGAGAGACTGCAGCCCCGTATTCCAAACACTAAGAAGAGATTCGCGTCCACCGCAGGATCGTGGCGGATATCCAGGACATGGGATATTGCACTGCCCGTCTTTCACCCTGGAGCTCCTCTTGGGATATGCATCCGAGCAGAAGCAATCCCGGTCGTAAATCAACGCAACGGGATGTCCCATGCGTATGCAGTATCGGGGACAGCTAGCAGCCGTGCTGGTTGATTCTCTACCCTTGGGTCGTCGGGTAAACTCTCTGGGGCGCGAGTTGTAGCAGCCCTTGTATGACGACCAGACTGAGGTCACTTCCCTCCAGGGACTCTGCTCAGAAGGGCTGTCAACAGTCCCAGCCTGATGCTCGACCTTTTCCGAGAGCCCGGTGAGGTATGCAGTCCACATAAATGAACGGCCACCACACACATGACCAGCTCTGCCACGACATGGGATGTCACAAGAATCGTCGTCGACCAACGCCGTCTTAGGTGGATATGTAGTGGCACAGTGACACTTAGAGCTATGGATCATGGCAACCGTTTTCCTCCTGATCCGACAAAGGTCGGTACAGCTCTTGAGAAAATCCCTTGTGCCGCGCGCGCGCAACGGCACACGAACTGCGCTCTTGGGAAGTTGATTAAAACAATGCTGCGAGACGAGCTGGTCAGAAGTTGCAAGTCGATTTGGCCGCTGCTCGGTTGCTGCGACGGTGCCCTGAGACTGTGAGGGAGGAGAAGGCTCATGCTCGATGTCCAGCTTGACGCCCAGATTGTAGACGGTGTAGGCTCCTGGACCACCACACACCCAATAGGGGTTGCCGGAACAATGCACCGTTCATCAGGGAGCAGTGATCGTTTGCTTGGATACTTGTCGGAACAGTAGCACTCGTCGTCGTTCATGAGCATAACACTGTGTAGTCGGCCCTTACACTGGCGATAGCACCACTTTAGGGTCATCTTTGTCCGCTTAAAGTAGGCGAATTGGCTCGGGAGCTCACTGAAACAGCCTTGAGAGGTGTAGACCCCTAGTGCAGGTGGTGTCACTGGTGGCTGCTTGAGGGCAGAGATCGGGCTCGAGGGGCGATGAGGGGTATTCTTGAAGGCGTGATTGACGCGATCAGCCCTGTCGATGTTTGGGATCTGGGCAACTACCAAAGCCGCCCATAGGATAGGGGAGAAAAGAGAGAAAAATATCATCTTCAGCCTTGCTACTGCGTAAAAAAGCGAGATGGCTTGGGTGAGAAGCGGAAGGAGAGTTGCAACTGGGGAATAGATCTTGCTTTTCTCCTCCATTCTCCGAAGGATCAACTGCATTCCCCTACAATTTGCGAAACTAGGCACGAGCTGCTGTTGGTCTGCACGACCAATCAATACGGAACAGCACACGAAAGAATGGGACGGCGACAAGGATCGAACCAACATTTGTAACTAAAAAAAGCCCTTTTCATGTCTGGATCCTAGCAGTCCTTGTGATTCTCTGACCAACAACGGCTTGAGCCAGATCAGGTAAACGCCGAAACTGCTAACTGGTCTCAGAGACAACAGGCCCAAATTTGTGCTGGTGAGACGTATCTAAAATACTCAATCAACAGCAATTCCTGCCATTTCCCGGACATTTTGTCATGTATCCAGGGAGCTCTGTGTTAAACCAGCACTCTTTGATTGGGCGTGCGAGCACAAGTTGTTTTCAAGGGCAGATACTTTATGAACGATTTAAATCACGGTTTAATACCTACCTGATAAACTGTCTGCATGAAAGACCGCACTATTCAGCCTAAGCTTTGGTACCTGGCCGCCCTGCTTCTGTTGAAGCTCCTATGCTTGTGGTTTACTGTCTTCGCAACCAAAAGGCTTCGACCCAATGTTAGGATCGTGTCGGGTCTGATCGACAAAATGGGAACGCTTAAAATGTGGATCGATACCGTGGTAATCTGGGTTGAGAGTAATGGCATCAAAACCCGCGGAAACCGCGGACACTGCGGACACCACGGACAGCGCGGCACTCAGTCAGTACATTGGTCTCTCTACTCACTCTATCCTTTACCTGTAATATTTAAGCCATCCAGTACCCAGCCGAATTTTCTTCGCAACTACTGTAGACACACACTATTAAGCCTCTTACAAACACGTTATTGTAGATTTAGAGATGTCGAAGTTTAAGTAAGTCTGGCCTTTACTTGCTTCCCTTATTCGTCTTTCTCACCAAGAGCTTTAGCTTCAGGCTGAACCATGTGGCAATTGCTGTCCCAAATCTTGACGATGCAATTGAGTGGTACTCCGAGGTCTTTAATCTAACTCTCCTGATACCCCCGTTAACAGTGGATCAATCCAAGACTCCAGATAGCCCTATCTTTACCATCTACCCGCCTAGTTGCAAGTGGATGCGCCTAGCTCTCCTCGGTGCTGGACCTGAAGGACCTGCAGATTTGGAGCTCTTCCAATTTCAAGACCCAACCGCAGACGAGGAGTGCAACTTTGAGCTTCAGTATAGGCGAGGTGGATACTTTCATATGGCCCTGACTGTTGATGATGTAGATACTGTGGTTGAGAAAATAGTGACTCGGGGCGGCAGAAAGGTTGGGTTGGATATGCCCTGTTCAAAGTCCCATAAAGCAGCATATGTCACGGATAAATGGGGGAATGTGATGGAAAGTATGAGCGCCAGCTACTCAGATATTATAGCTGAAACAATGGAGCAGCATAGGCAGGCCAGCAATTGAAGGTAGTCATGCTAAGTAGGCACTTCAACAGTCGGTTTGTGGAGCTCGCACCACGTGTAGAGTCACGTGTTTAGCTTTCAAGACATGGCTAGAAAGGGGGAAGCGCGTATGATTCTTCTTCTTCCATCATGACACCGGTAACAATGCGTCAGCAAACTGACTTCCAGATGCGACAGGTCTAAGCCCAACGAGTGACCACTTCAATTCTTTTCGACTAGCCACGGCATAACGACCTACAGACCCAATGTCGTTGTGGGGGGGAGTGACAGGCCATTCGGGCCAGGCTCAGGGTTCTGGTAACCCTTCCCGACGATTAGCTCTCAATGTCGGCTTCAACCGCTCTCATGTCGTTTCTCACCTGTTGACACGAGAAAGGCTTGCGACGCTTGTCGAAAACGAAAGACCAAATGCGACGAGAATAAGCCATCCTGTGGGCGCTGCGCTCGCCTTGGGCTGGACTGCAGCTACGTCGAAACAGTTGCTGCAAAGTAGGCCAACATTCTAACCGATCCCCTTGTTGCGTCAAGCATCTGACCGAATACTGCCCCTAGAAAGAATCTTTCAGTTGCCGAGTTAGAAGGGACTCTCAAACGCATGGATGAGAAATTGGACATCTTGACTGCATTTGCTCGACAAAATGAAGGACAGTCTAGAAGTATCATGGCTCGAACAGCGCACGATGCTCTGGCTACGGCTTCCAGTCCCAGTACCCAGGTTGCTACTTTCAGTCCTATGAACTTCGGGGGCGGAGAGCTTTACGCAGCTCCAACCCCGTTCCTTGACACGGGTCGGATCCGGGAGGAGCTGTCCCTCTCGCAGAGACACTCGACAGCTCCGCAACACTTACTCAGCTGGCCGTGTTCTCCCCTCCAACTGAGCGAGCCTGATTTGCAATACCCCATGCATCTCGAGATCAAGCGATCTAAGATGTCACAGTCAACGGCACCGCCCCGCCGCCTTGAGATGTTATCAAGAGATGATACTTGGCTTTCGGGGTTGTCTTTATCAGATGTGCACCTCCTGACGAAGTCATACTTTGAGCACTTCCATCCGTCTTGTCTCATCTTGGACGAGAACGTATTCTACTCTGACATCCTTAGTAAGGCTTTGCAGACCAACTTTGGAAAGGACCACAGCACATGCACCGTGCTGCTTGTCTGTGCCATAGGGTCTATTGCCGCCTACTACTCTGGGCACGAAGACTGGTGCTCGAGTCTTGAACAAGACGTTGGTATCGGTTTCTTCAATTTGGCAAATGAGATGTTTCGCGATCTGGAAGGCGCAAACTGGAGCAGCGTAGAGTGTCTACTTCTGATGGGGTATGTGCTCATCTGGACAAATAAGGCCTTTACTGACTAGTCTGTGTACTTCAGAGTGTTCTATTCTGCTAAAATCAGGGTGTATGATGCGTGGCAAGTGAGCCATCGGGCCTGTTGCACCATCTTGATCCTGGTCCCACTGTATGCCAACGTGAGTCCCTTTTTCGTGTGATTGACTGCTGACTTGTTGAAGGCAGGGAACCTTAGGGGCACGGGAATGCCAACTATTCTGGATCGCATATCTGCACGAAAGGTACTCTTGAACAACTGAGCGGGACTGGAAACACTGCTCACAACTTGACAGTCAAATACTCGCCGAGTTCGACTTCCCAGCTAGTGGTTTGGGGAAGCTGGCCAGCAGCATACCGTTGCCACTTGTGCCTGGCGCAGGAACAGACCCCCATTACGCCAAATACCAGTTCTTCTTTCTAGCTCTTATCTCCATGAGAAAGCTGCTAAATAGGATTCTCTTTCACCTGTATAGTCGAGGTATGCCATGGATGTCTGACTGTCTGACCTGTCGATGCTGACTAGATGGCCCATCAAGAACAGAATAGCGAAAACCCGAGCCACGATTCGCCATCAGCTGAGAAGCCTACGGCGTTCTTGTCGGCAACTCCTTCTATCATTCATGAGCTAGACCGTCAGCTCGAAGAATGGCGAATGTGTTTGCCATCTGGGCTCGAATTCTCTTCGTACTCAGATGCCCAGAAAATCGACGACCAGGACTTTGCTCAGATACGGCCGATCCATGAACGCTTGCGTGGGAATCTCATGGCGCGATATTTCGCCGCCAAGTCTATTATCCACCGCCCGTTCATCTACAGGGCTCTACACTGTGAGCATGTTAGCATGTTGTCCGAGGAGGATCAGATCGGTGCCCAGACGGCTATCGGGAGCGCGTTCAGGTGCACCTTTCACAGCGGAATCTTCCATGAACCTTTACCGTTGCTATTGCATCCCATCAACACTTGTCGAAGGTATGGTCCAAACAACCAGAAATTGTCCTGATGCTAATCAGAGTCTAGTCTTTTTGCTCTCGAAGTGCAAATTTCACTTTTGCTTCGCAGGGAAACGCTCCACTTCGTGCTACCCAAGGATTGGAAGATGGCAGGAAAGGCAAGAGAAATTATCACGGGGCTCACGACAGAAATGTCTCCTACAGTTGCGCGAGACTGGGAAATACTGCAATTACTATCCTAATTGGCTTTTAAAACTCTTACGTCAACAGCAGCAATGAATCAGTTGATCCACTGGAATGCCTTGGAGGAGCGGAACGTCGCAGTTACGCCCTCATCTCGCGAATCCTTGGCCGCCGTGACATGGAACTCGGCATCCCCCTCAATCACCCACTTGTCGACTGCATCATCCCAGTATGAGACGCTGACTTTATCAAGAGTCGCGCGTGCTGTGACTGTCTCTCCGGCGCGCACAAGAACCTTGTCCCAGCCTTTGAGCTCTCTAACTGGTCTTCCTAATCGAGGATTGACTTGGTTGACATAGAACTGAACAATCTCCTTGCCATCACGGTCTCCTGTGTTGGTGACATCCACTGTGACCTCAATCTCACCGTTGGCGGGAAGAACATCTCCGCTGAGCCGGATATTGCTATACCTGAACGTCGTGTAAGAGAGGCCTGCGCCGAAGGGGAAGAGAGGATCGATTTTGCGCAGATCGTAGAAACGATAGCCGGCGTAGATGCCCTCACCGTAGTGGACGATGTCATTTTCTCCAGGATGGTTGCCATACGAGGGATTATCCTCAAGTCGCTTCGGGAGGGTGATTGGAAGCTTGCCGCTCGGGTTAGTAACACCAAGAAGGACATCAGCCAGAGAGTTCCCTAGCTCTTGTCCCTGGTACCAAGCCTGGATGATAGCCGGAACCTGCTCACTCCAGGGCATCGTGATAGGACTACCTGTCTGGTTCACGACGATGGTGTTGGGGTTTGCTTTCGCCACGGCGGCAATGAACTCGTTCGATCGCCCCGGCAAGTCCATCGACACCATGTCGCTGGTCTCAGTCTCCCACTCGTGGTCCTTGCCAACCACCACAATAGCGATGTCGCTGTCTTGTGCCATGTTGACTCCTTCTTGGAAGAACTTTTCGAGATCACCAGGGTTCTCCATGAATCCTATGCGACCACCGTCTTGGACCTCTTCACGTTCTAGTTCTGCCATGAAGTCAAGGTCGTAGGGCTTCGGCTCCCGACTCGTCGACTCAAGGACCAGCTCGTATTCTTTGCCCTCTTGCATGTGTACCTTGACACGCTCCTCTGGCGAACCGTAGCTCATGAAGAGTGCAGACTTCGGGGACCACCAGTGTCGGTCAATGTCAATGAGAACCTTTCCGTCCAGGATGAGTTTACCAGGACCACATGAAGACAGAGAAAACTCATGCAATCCCGTGGTCTTTGGAGTAATGATGGCCTTGCCCCTGTATGAGTACCGCTCGCCGGTGGTCAACTCAGGCGGGAGCCCATCGTAACACACCAGGTGGGAGCTTGGGCGATTCTCCACCATGAAGGGCTCACCGGTATGGCTCATGTTCCGATAGAATGATAGCAAGAAACCAGGCTTCCCTGTTTCCGGATTTCTCATCACGGCGGGATCGACAAGAGGAACATAGCGATGCGTGAGAATGCCTGCATGCGTCTTAACTTTGGCCGTCGGGGCCTTCTCCATCACCTGACTCTTGATGGACTCATACGGTGTCGTGCGGTAGTGAGGTGCCAAGTTTGAGCTTCCACCACCAGTGGCAACTGATCGTGCAGCGTTGGGACCGATAACAGCAATCGTTTTGCCGTTCAAATTGGATAGCGGGAGAAGATTCGTAGAGTTCTTAAGCAAAACGATCCCTAGAGAGAGATGGTGAGCAGATCGCCTTGTCGAGGTTATAGAGGGGAGCATACCTTCAGCGCCAGCTCGACGAAGAATCTTCCGGTGCTCGGGAAGATCATCAGCCTTCTCTGGTCCCTCCTTCCAGTCCGGAATGCTGCTTTTTCCCGTCTTGTAAAGCAGCTCTAGAACCCGTGAAGCTGAGGCGTCGATGAATGATGCGTCCACCAATCCTTGGCGAAAAGCCTCGATCAAATGTTTGCCTCTTCTCCGGATTGGCCCAGGCATTTCAAGGTCCAAGCTACTATTTGTCAGCCACTGCTATTCCCCAATTAGGGCACATCTTGAGAACTCACCCTGCTTTAACAGATGGAACAACACTGTTGGTGCCGAACCAATCACTCATAACGAGACCATCCCAACCCCATTCTTTCCGAAGGATGTCCTGTAAGAGAAAGTCATGACCGGAACAGAAAGTACCATTGACTTTGTTGTAAGCTGTCATCACACTCCATGGGTTGCTATCTCGAATGGCAATCTGAAAGGGCTGTAGGGCGATTTCGCGCAGAGCACGGTCGGGAATCTTTTCGTCAATAAAGAACCGACGGGTCTCTTGGTCATTCGCAACGAAGTGTTTGACACATGTTCCGATACCCGCCTCTTGTATGGAGTTGATGTATGTGGCAGCGAGCTTTCCCGTCAAGAAAGGATCCTCGCTGTAGGCCTCGAAATTGCGACCACCTAGAGGAGTCCTCGGGATGCAGACTGATTTCTGATTAGAAGCAAGACTAAAGAAATTTACAATTAAATGGTGACCTACCTGTAGGGCCAAGCAGGACATCAACCTCTTTGCTCTTGGCCTCAGCGATAAGGACTTGGCAGACATCCTTGATAACCTGCCTGTCCCAGGTAGCAGCCAACGAGACACTGCAAAAATTGATTCGTTAGTGACTGTCATGATATCATGAGAGTATGATTCTTACCCTGTTGGTGCCGAAGCCGCACTCACTCCATCAGTGAAAATGCCACCGCGGACACCCACAGGCCCATCAGAGGTCTTGATGCGGGAAATCCCCAGGCGAGGAATGGGGTGTGTTCTCCAAAGATCTTCTCCTGAAAGCAGAATGACCTTTTCCTCCAGGGTCATTTGCGACAGCTTCTCTCGTGCCCAAGCCTTGGCATGATTCGTGTCATTGCCATTGACTAGACTAGGAGTTGCCTCAGGTTGTAATTTGATCACGGTCATGGTGGTGTCCAAATGAGTGAAGATGGGATGGAACTGAGCTGAAAGGTGGCTCAAGCGATGTCAGCTCTTGAAAAGTACTCCAGACCAAAAAGAGAATACTGGCCGTCTTTAAGACGTGGATGACCGTCCACCCAATCTAGTCATGGCACCCCTTGTGACACAATTGCCAAGACCTTCAAGAACGGGGAGACACGGACCTGGCTCCGCTCATGGGGCGACCAAGAATGGTGTGTCGGACCTGGTCCGTCTCTCCGCGCAAACACTGCTCACCCCTAACCGCTTTGGAACATAGGGTTACCACCGAGCCATTTTCTGGGGCCCCAGGTTCTCTCTTGTCAATCCGGGGACGACCACGGGACTCTCCAATTCGCGCTAAAGTTTCCCGACCATCAGGAGTCAGTTCATGTTTAGAGACCATCATCAAGTCCAAGGTCGGAGTGGTGTAGGATGAACAGAGTTCAAAACTATAAAGGTAATTCTCGCCTACGTCCTCAGATCCTTTGATCCTCAGCAACCACATCTTAACCTCTTCTTTCATTAGACACCCGTTCAATTGGCATCGACCCAAAATGACCTCCAATATTCCCACAGGTCGTCCTGCTCGGAGTGTGGCCGAGATCCTAGCTCAGGACCACACTTCGGCTTTTGCACTCACCCCATCGCTTATCCAACTCTATTCCATTCTTGCTCCCGCTTGTCTCGTCGTTTGCGCAACCAACGGCTATGATTCGAGTCTCCTTACCGGTCTTCAAGGTGTTGAAGCCTGGAAGGAACAATTCGGCTCGCCAAAGGGTGCCCTCTTGGGCATCACCAGCGCGTCTTATCCCCTCGGCGCAATTCTTTCCACCCCGTTATCCGCCTTTATCTCGGATCGTTTCGGTCGTCGTCAGTCTATCATAATCGGAAGTCTCATCATGATCCTCGGTGTTATCATGCAAACTGCCAGCTCTAGCATTGGCCTCTTCCTCGGCGGAAGAATTGTCGTCGGATTTGGTATCACGCTCGCCCTCGCAGCCGGCCCGGTCCTCATTTCGGAACTCGCTCATCCACGACATCGAGTCTTATTCAGCTCCCTATACAACACGAGTTTCTACCTGGGCGCTCTTCTGGCAGGCTGGGTTGCCTTTGGAAGCTACCGCATCCAGAGTGCCTGGGCATGGCGTCTTCCGACCCTTCTTCAAGCGGGACCTGCCCTCATTCAGATTACCTTCATCTGGTTCCTCGACGAATCCCCTCGATGGCTGGTATATAAAGACCGTGGCGAAGAGGCATACAAGATCCTGGTTAAGAACCACGGAAACGGGGACTGGAATGATCCTCTCGTGCAGGCTGAGTTTTGGGAGATGAACGAGACTCTCAAAGCTGAACGAGCTGTCAAGGAACAGGGTTTGAAGCTCTTTTTCGCTACACCAGGCAATCGGAAGCGACTGTTCCTTCTTATCACTCTGGCAGTTTTCGGGCAGTGGAGCGGCAACGGCCTTGTGTCATACTACCTCACCAAGATTCTGACCAGCATCGGCATTGTAACCCAGCATGACCAAACCATGCTGACCGGTACAATCAGCACTGTCAACTATGCCACTGCACTATTCGCCGCGGTTCTGTCTACCAAGGTTGGCCGTCGAACGATGTTTGTTGGTGGCGGTGTAGCCATGTTTGTGACCTTTTCTGCTCTCACAGCGAGCATTGCTGTGTACAACGAGAATGGTTCAAAGGCAGCGAGCAAGTCGGCGCTTGCTTTCATCTTCATCTACTATGCGTCCTTCAACATGTGTCTGAACCCACTATTGTTCGCATATCCCACCGAGATCTTGCCCTTTAGACTTCGAGCGATGGGTCTGAGTATCCTGCTGTTCGCGAACAAGGCCGCCTTGTTCTTCAACCAATTTGTTAACCCCGTTGGAATGGACAACTTGGGATGGAAGTATTACCTCGTTTATGTGGTTTGGCTGCTGGTAGAAGTGCTCGTCTTCTGGTTCTTTTACCCCGAGACGAAGGGTTTTACTTTGGAAAAGGTTCAGGAGGTGTTTGGAGACGGCGTGGATCTTGATGGCCCGGAGGAGAAGGGGAAGCTAGGGGACGTTTTTGGTGTCCATGAGGTGAACGATGAGGACAGTGCACATGTTGAGAAGGTTAGCAAGGTCAAGTCTCTGACGGCCCAGTAAGGGTAGCTGTTCATTGGGACTGCACCGCATCCTCCAAGCATTGAACTACGTAAATTTTACCCATTATTCATACATATGCATCATGCCCCCGGAACTTTACATACTCATAATCCACCACAATTCCCAGAGTGCAACCTTAGCAGCGAGGCCGATGATAGAACACGCCAGACCTAGTAGTTAGCAGCTATCTAAAGAGCTGCTGCTTAACTGCATATACCATGCCGCTACGTCTAGACATACTTCCTATAAATCCTTTATGAATACTTAATAAGGTTCTACAAACAAAAACTCTATTGCATGAATCAATAACGTAAGCAAGCTCCTATAAAAGCTCATAAGTAATAAAAAACTAGACTATAGGTAGTGAGATAGTATTAGGTACAGAGCGATGAGACACTCTTCCTCAGCTAACTCGAATTGCTCATACACAGTTATTGGGAGATACTTTTCCAGTGACGTCAGAGGATGCGCTATCATCCCCAGGGCCCTGAACAGTTACTTGAAGTGAAGACGGAGTTCCCCAGTTACCATAGACCCGTCGAAAAGGATAATAAAAACCCGCCACCATGTTAATGGTTGCACACTTCTGTTCGTTATCTCGGCTAAACCAATAGTCGACGAGAGGATTGGCTCCTGATGGCGTTGCATTGTTTGAAGCATCGCCACATGGAAAAGCGGTGTCTGAACCGACATATATCGCATCCCGGTTATCTGCAGTAGTACAGAACGTGTAGTCTCCAGTTTCTTGTGGAACAAAGTAGCCAGTGAAGACAATGGTGAAGTTGTTTGCGTTGAAAGTCATCCCACCATACGTCTTGGTCAAACCAGGGTAGTATTGAAAACCAGTGGAAGAACCTGGATTCTGAGGGGTGTAAGGGTCTCCAGTTGCATCATTATTATCTCCACCAGGAACGCTCAAAGAAGTTGTGCTGCCTTGGTCTAGAGAGCTCTGTGATAGATAATAATCAGGGCCAACTCCAGAGCTTCCGTCGGATACGCCAAAGCCGTCATCGACTTGTACAGAATTGGCATAGAGATCGAGTGAGAGGCTGGATGTACCACAGGTTCCTGGGGTAAAGAAGCATCCACCTGGTGGTAGCGATGGTGTAGGTGATGCTGTCGTCGTAGATGCATCTGCCGTTGTTGTTGTTGTTGGTTCTGAAGTCGTAGTAGGTTCTGTCGATGTCGTGGTGGGTTCTTCCGACGTAGATGCAGATCTCGTTATTGACGCAGCTTCCGTTGTGGTAGTTGTAGTCTCTTGTGTCGAGGATACCTCTGTTGTCGTAGACGGCTCTTCCGTCGACGAAGTTGCGTCTGTAGTGGTAGAGAGAGCCTCTGATGAACTGGTCGAGGGACGGACAAACACCGATGTTGTACAGGGACGAGTGCAATCACTGGGGGGTGGTACCGTGACTACAGGCTCACAGGTTCCGGTACTGGGGCATGGCTCAGTGATAGTGGTGATGACGTCAGGAGGAGGCGTAGTTGTGAGAGACTCTGAGGGAGAAGGGCGGACAAACACCGACGTTGTGCAGGGGTGAGTGCAATCACTTGGAGGTGGTACAGTAACCACAGGCTCGCATGTTCCAGTACTCGTACAAGGCTCCGTGATAGTGGTGATGACATCAGGAGGTGTAGTCGTGAGGGATGGTGTCCTGGGAGGGTAGGTAATGACCGTCGTTGTACAAGGGTGCCTGCAGTTGGTCGCGGGCGGAATAGTAATGACGGGCTCGCAAGAGCCAGTGCTAGTGCAAGTCCCGGTGATTGTCGTGATAACATCAGGCGGTGTTGTAGTGGGCGATGGTGTGTTGGGAGGGTAGGTAATGACCGTTGTCGTACAAGGACGAACACAATCAGCTGGAGGTACAATGGTCACGGGCTCGCAAGAGCTAGTCCTGGTGCAAGGATCTGTGATTGTCGTGATAACATCAGGTGGCGGCGTTGTGAGGGATGGTGTATTGGGAGGGTAGGTAATAACCGTTGTTGTGCAAGGACGCACACAGTCGACCCGAGGTGTAATTGTAATGGGCTCGCAGGAGGTTGTAGCCGTGCAGACCTCAGTCAATGTGATGGCAGTGTTAGGTGGCGTTGTGGGGACAGTTGTGACCACCACAGTTTCCACGCATGAGGTCTCACAGTTCGAAGCTGGGGGGATAGTGATGGTTCCAGGGGTTGTTCCTGGGACAGTGGTCGTTATAAATCTTGTGTTCGGAGGATCCAAAGGGGGAGTCGTTGTGGTTCGAGTACTGAGACTGGGGATAGGTCCCGGGATGGTTACCACGATGGTCTCAATACAACCGGAGCCCGAGCAGCCAGGAGCTGGCGGAACGGTCGTGGTTCCAGGAGTTGGACCTGGCACGAAGGACGTGGTAGTTCCAGGGACTGGGGGAGGGAATACGTATTTGGTAATGGTCCGGAAACCTCCTCTCGGCGGAGGGACATCCTCACTCTTCAGCGGGGGAGGTGTGCCAGTAATGGTGATTGTGACGACACCAGGGGGAGATCCTGGCTCCTGGGGATTTTCAGGATTGCCAGGAACAATGGGTTGACCTGGTACCTGAGGTTGCCCTGGGGGGTTCGCTGGAGTTGCGGGTTGACCTGGGATCTGAGGCTTTCCAGGACCATCTGGCGGTCCAGGAGTGCCATTTTGATCAGGGGGATTGGTACCCAGAGGCTCGAATGGAACAGTATAAGTCCTAGAGACAGGTTAACTACTTCCTGGTTTAGCAGTGGTAGGACAAGTTACCTGGTGCGAGTGGAAGCCGAAGTGGTTCCATCACAAATGACCTCATAAGGCTGAAGTTCGACAACCTGAAACACGTTGGGGCAGTCAGGTGTGTTCGCTGTAGAGAGACCTGTGCTCGAAATGAGCAAAGCTGCGCTGCCCCAGACAAAGGTTTGGAGACGCATGGTGCCAGTTTGAACTGACCAGTTCTTTGCTTTGATGAGAGGATGTCTTGGCTAGTAATTTGAAGATGTAAGGGGGTAAAGAGATGTGATGAGAGTGAAGGAGCAAGTTACTGAAGTGTTCAGAGGGTTATATAACTTATGAGGGACCTGCTGGCACAGAGTCTTGGCACCTTTCTCAACCTACGGCACCACCTTGACAAGCCCGGATAAAGAAATCCCCTACTTACCTATTCCGGTCACTGTTTTCAGCTTCTAAGCGAGTTTGAAAGCACAAGGTTAGCATAGCCTAGTAGCTCTGTTGAATCCTGCACATTCCTTCAAGATGTCTTGCATAGGTAGGACCCTTGCGTGACATGGCAGGTCGGGCCGAGACATTCAGATCAGAATCCTTCAGACTATCAGTAAAGTATCCCCACTTAGAGGAGAAGCCAAAGATGACTAGTTGATCACTTAGTCCCCTTTGACAAGAAGCGTTTGTCAGTGCTAACAAAGCGGCCGGGATGGCATTCGTGGGGATTCAGTCACAAATCATGTGGGCATTCAGCTCAACTCCATACCACCTCGTATCGAGCTTCTTCATCAGAATGGAGCTAGCCCACTGAAGATATCGCCGTGAATTTGGGTTTTAAGAATGAAGGATCACATCTCTTTCTTCCTGATTCGGAGTTCTCTCGTGCTCCTTAACCTCTCCTAGATCGGTCCTTCCTCGGTCGCGTGCCCGTAACGACCTTTTGTCATCTCTTATGAACGATCCCTAAAGCGTCGACCATGAGACTATTTCTGTTCATCTTCATGTTGAAGTTTGTCGTCGGTCTAGGGAATGGATCTGCTCGGCATCAAGATTTGGAGAGCTGCCAGCCGCCCGAGTGTCCTGTCTCCCTCTTCACCCCATACGGGTGACGGACTTGGTAAAGGACAAGAGGTCTCGCAGCTGTTAGAAATACCATTCTTGCCCCTCGCACTTTTAGAATCGAGTGCCAGTGAATCTCCTCTTCTAACACACCCGACATCGTTTCTTCTTGCACAAATTTCTCTCCCTCAAACATCTCCCTCAAACATGAAGTCATCATCCACCCTCACGCTTCTCGCTCTTCTCACCAGCGCTCTAGCTGGTGCAACTACAGAGCGTCCAAGTTGCGTTACAACCAAGACGCTTCCCCCCATCACCATATACTCTTGCCCTGGGGACAGTGAGCCAACAAAGACTGTCTTCACACCTGTACAATCTTCGAACCCTGCCCTCAAACCCGGAGCCCCCGGCTCTTCTGGTGCTCCCAATGTTCCCGGTGTCCCTGGTGCTCCAGGACAACCCGATGGTTCTGAAGAACCCAACGCCGGCCAGAACGATGGCAACATCCCCAATCCTCAGCAGCCCAACGCCCCTGAGAGTGCTGGATCTGCCCCCAGCCCCGGCTCTGAGTCTGGCTCTGGCCCTAACTCTCACCCTGGCCAACCTGTCGGCACTGCCGAGCCCAGCACCACTGGACCTGGCGTTGCGCCCGGCAGCCCCGAGACACCAAGTGTCATCGCTGTTGCCGGCGCGCCCACCGTTCAGCTCGATCTTCTCTTATTCAGCACTGCCGCACTTGCCGCCTTGGCAATGGTTTGGGTCTAAGGATATAAGGTTGGAACCAACTGGTGATGGGCGGTAGCTGGTGTTGGTAGCTCGAAATATCACTCACACTTTTCCTTAAATCTTGTTTGGGGGATGAAACTGGTTCGTATATCGCTTAGATAGGTTTAATTCAGTGTTTCTAATGCAGTGTTTCTTATCGTCTCCAAGACAAGTGGGCGGAGCCAACAGTAAATGGCGGATCGCTGATGCCAGTCAAGCCGCAAGTTTGTACTGAGCTGCAAAAGAAGAATGAAATGAGAAAAGAGCGTACAGCAGTCGTAGTAAGCATAAGGAGGCGTTCTTGTGGCGGTGGCTTACAGCGTTTAAAACTTAACGTTATCGGCCACGTTTTGTGTCGTTACAATTAAACACGCGGCAGTTAAAACGAACCCATTCCAGCCAGACATTCGGCGCCACAACGGCATATCGTAGATCCTCGCCTTATGCGGCCCATCATCAGACTCAAATAGTCGACCATACCCATTTCAGAGGCACACATGTCTCGGCCAACCGCTTAATTGTCATCTATCACTATTGTACCTTGCATGTGTTACAGTATGTCTCTCGAAACAGAGAGTGCCGTGTTTTCCGTGCCCATCAGTACAGGGTCTTGACATTTTCAGGCATCCGGTTCTCAGAGGCTATAAGGCCATGATGCATTTATGGACTGCTCGTCGGTCAGTGGACTCGTCTCTATGTTGCTGCATCTGTCGTCGGACTGATCATGAAGTCAGCACGTAGAGCAATCCAGTCTGAAGAGATAGCGATGCTCTTGTCTAGGGTATCTACATTATGTCTTGAAAGGATACGGTTCATATTGGTCATCTCATCAAGGTGCCGTTGAAGTGCATGGGAAACAAGGTTGGAATGTGATCTGAGAGAGCTGATGGCGGCCATTGGACACCGCTGTGGGGGTGGAAAGACCCCAGGGAGCTCAAAGGTCCTAGCGTCGATCTACCTGTCTCGGTCGTATTGGGTATGAAAGACATGGAGCCCAGGGACGAGAGGACTGGCATTGGTGGAGGCTGTGGTCAGGTTCGGGTTTCTGAGAGGTATATTTTATGACAAAATCAGTGCTGGCTGCCTTTCGGGCCAGAGCCAGCAGGTATGCTTGGGTGAGCCCATAGTATCTCTTGAAACATAGAATGCTGTCTTTTGGTGCTTATCCGTCTCTAACTCTGACTCTGGCATCTTTGGGAACCAGGTTCCCAGAGGCTAAGAGACCATAGAATCTAAACTAAGCATCTCTACATTCCCAACTATTCTCGTCCTTGATATCCCCCTCTCCCTTGTAGACATTGCGCCTAGGCCAACGACAATGCCAACGCTTATAATCCACACCGGCTTCCTTGGTCCCGTTGACATAGGCTGTACCAAGAATTGCATCTGGGGCTTCACCTTGCTCGACCCAATTGACAATAGCCATGAGAACATTCTCCTTGGGATCCAAACTGGCCATGCTCTTAGCCTGATTACCGATGAAAGTAGCCCCGGGCCCTCCGCTACAGTGAGCCATGCCTGAGATGCGGAAGTAGCGGTAGAAGTCATCGAGCTCTGCCGGGCTCAAGTTCATTGTTCGGGACACGTGCTCGTAGTATCTCGGCGAGTTGTCACTTGTAATGACTCCATCGACTAGGCCATGATAGTGAATGACTTTGCCTCCCCTCTTCTGGAACGCCGACAGATCGCCCTCCCATGTCGCGATGTTGAATGGGTTCTGGGTAGATGCCAGGTCGTAGTCCTCGGGCTTGAGGCTGAGAGGATCCCATTCAGAGTCATTGAAAATGACATACCGGAACCAGTCAGCAGAAAAGAAGGGCTGTCCGGTAAAGTACATAGCTGAGGCCCCTGTCAACTCAGCACCAGGCTGCAACCGAGGATGCACCAGGCTTCCATCCGCGGCCATCAATGGAGCATAAATTTTACGAACAGTCTCGACTTGCGTTGATGTGAGGCAGTTGCTTGTTTCGCCATCTTCGCAAAGAAGACCACTAGGGTCATAGTCACACAAATCTGGTGACTCAAGAATGCCGTCCTTTGCACCATCCAGATCATCACACTGATCTAGAATGTCCTGATGGATAGTGGGCCACATATCAACAGGAACGAAAGTTTCGGCGCCGGCCTCGCCCGTTAACGGGAGGAAATGGCAGCTCCACGACGTGAGGTTGTTGAAAGAAAAAGCAGGAGCCCCAGCGACGACGCCGTCGAAGTCTTCTGGGAACGACTGAATCTCCTTCCATCCTTGGCGACCACCTGTGGAGCAGCCAAGGTAGTAGCTCTTTGTGTGCGTTTTGCCGTAAAAGGTTTTGCTGATATCTTTACCCAATACCACGCCCGTGTGAAGAGCTCTGTACGCAAAATCCTCGATAACGTCGGGGTTGTTGAGAAAGTATGTGCCTGACTGGCCGTCGTGGCCGTTGTTGGTCGCAACTGCGGCAAAACCCAGGGATGATGCGTAGTCCAGATCTTCGTATTGCATGCAGCCTCCGAGACCGCCGTTGCCAGTGCTGAGAAACCGTCCGGTCCAGTTCTCTGGTAGCCAGGCCTCCATCTTGATTCCAGACCTTGTCGATGTGGCGACCTGTAGTGTGACGCGGCAAAGATCTGTCGTGACAATTTGGGAAGCGCGGCCGCAGCTTGGGTCAACATTAGGAAATGACAGAGTGGTGTTGGCTGCAACAAACTCTGACTTTGTGAGGTTTGCATTGGGGATTCTCAAGGATTTAGCCAATTTTGAACATTGCTGTTGAAAGTCGGCAGCCTGGACTGGCTGACCAAGGCATGATAGTAGAAACAGAGCGCATAGAGCGACAAGATATGGGACTGCCATATTGAGTGAGATGTCGAATTAGCCTGTTGGAGGTAAAAGAGCAGGATGGAAGAAGAGGATGGGCTCTTTAATATTCTTGACAATCGGCCTACTAATCAACGATATTCGGTCCGTCCGAAGGCAATTATACATACCCCTGCGACTCAGCGAATGGTGGATTAACTCGAGTTGTACCATTTGCGCATGAACGTGACCCTATATCAGGTCAATGCCAGCGGAAATTCTCCGGCCTGATTGCCTGGAGCGGCGTGACGTGGGACTGGCCTTGAGATGAATGCGCAAATCGGATACTGTAGTTAAAACCGAGCTCGGGTCACCAGTTGCCCAACTGCCTAATTCTTAAACGGAAAGGACCGTTTCAAGAAGCCTTTACCGAGCCTAGCGTTTCAATGCCGGGATAAGGTTTCGCTGCGCCCGAATGGGTTGCTTCTCGTCATGTCGGCATCTAGTAGCGGTAAAGTTGATCTGTTGCAGCTTCCCCTGAGTTGTCTGACGATGTCTGGTGAGAGTCCAATCACGCAAGAACTTTCTAGTGTAACATGTAAATATAACCTAGTACTTGCCACTATCTACCTCGGTATCCGCTCCCTAACCGAGAAAGCAAACCTTCATCAAGTTTATCAACATATGACTATAAAATCTTGATTTTCCTATTCTCCACTACAAGGACAACGCCACCATAGATGACGAGTATCTGGTCATGATCATCTACTGTGCCCTCCGGTACTACCTCCTAGCGCCCCGTGGTCATGATTTGACACACACTAGCTCCGCCTTGGCATGATGAGCGATGCCGTTGAGCCGCTCGAGCAGAAAGGAGGAACGCTCTAGCAAGCCATCGTGGCTGTGGTGGATAGTGCCGTCGAACTCGAATTGGACAACTTCGAGGACAAGAATATCTGGATCGTGGCGAGGCAAACCTCGGGACCGGTGGAGGAAAGAAGTTGATGTCGCGTTGGATAAGGGAGACTATGACTTCCTTGGACTCGTAATTCCCGATGGAACTACTGATGACGTTCTCCGACATGACCATGTTGGCTTCACTGGCAGCGGCAGCCTCCTTCGATGGGTATTTCTTTGAAACGCTTTTGAATTGAAGGAATAATTGTCTCTTGTGTGTCGTTTCTTGACCATCTAGGTCGCTTATCAGCGCCACCATAACCTCCATCATCACTATTACCTCTGCTACGATGCCCCGCTTTACCCTAGAAGGCTGCAAACAGCTCAACCGCATAGGAAAATCCTGGCTTGGACTCCATTGGCCGTGCTTCATCTTGTTATTCCTGAGTTCTTGATTGGTATCATCTTGTGGTGCATCGACAAGTATCCCCCCTAGACCACCACGCCAATTGGGGTGGAGCTCTCCGTTCTACTGAGAGGACGCATCATCATGGCTGTTTGGGCATGGATAGCGATGGTCTCGTTGAAGCAGGTGCTAGAGGTGAGGGTAGCACCGTTCGCCCCAGGCGAATACGAGCCAAACGATCCGCGTATGGTAGCTCTAAGTGCAAGTTACCCCTTTATCACCTGACTTGAAAGCGGCTAATCATTTACCCCAACTGCAGGCAATTCGTCCGCTACCTCGGCCGAATAGAAGCGGCCCATGAATTACCCCGACTACAAACGGCCTCTTAGTTACCCCGAGTCTAAACAATGCTGGGGAGCCTTCATTGCTTCATTCTTTCTTTTTTTGTCACTGCTTTTAAAGATTACTCATACAAAACTATTGTTCTGTTCAACGATTACTTATATGAAATTTGAGATCATATACCTTATCTAGACTGACCGCCTCGCCGTAATTGACAATATCTCGTGTCTTTATTATCTTTGAATCACTTGTCATTCAGTGCTCAGTTAATTATTAGTCCACTTTAACATCATGGCGACTGTTATTCTCCAGTACCCTGTCGGTCACGACTTCGACATTGAGTACTATGTGAAGACGCATCTACCGATCGCTGACAAGTAAGGCTCATCTCACCATTGCTCTACTCATTTGATGAAACGCGACTGAAACTCGTGACAGGGTCTGGGGGCCAGAGGGTCTTAAGAGCTGGGAGGTTATTAAGCTGGGAGGTGAAAGCCCGTACCAGATCTATACTGTCCTCAAATGGGAGAGTGCGGCTGCGTTCCAGAAGGCTGCTGTATCAGAGGGAGCAAAAGTGGTTCAAGACGATGTAAAGAACTTCACTACGGCGGCGCCCGTACTGGTGTTTGGCGAGGCTGTCGGGGCCAGCTAGGCAGTTGACACCTGCAGATTAAGACCTGGAGCACTTGCCCTATCAATTCCAACACTATGGAATAGAATCCGCGCTGCAGCAGATGATACACAGAAACTAAATTTGTTGGTGGCAATGTAATGCTTCATAAAGCCTCGTAGTGGTGGCTGCGCTCCATATTGCAAAGATCACATCAACACATATTTAGGTGTAGAGACGACGCGTAAGAGACGTAGAAGACTGGCCCATGGAGCTGCTCTACGACAGGATATTTTGCCAGGGACACAGTTGCAGCCAATTCCAACAGCACAGCACGTAGCGGTTAGGCCGGCTATTTTGAGGCCAGAGCCAGTTCTCCTAGCAAAGGTTCTTGATGCCGTATTTGCAATAGCTAAAGAACAGCGTGGCATGCTGCCAAATAGGTTGTTCGCGCCTATGATGTCAATGAATCAAGATATTGCGCCTCCTCGAATCTTAAACGTCGTATGGCACACCCTTCGGCAGCACCACGTAACAGCTGCACGAGTCACCTCATTGCGGATCAATAGCGGAGTTCCAGCAAATCCGCACTCCATAGTTAGCGTATCGATTGGTAAGCTTTGATCTGTGGTATATAAACGAGGATGGTGGCTTCATGATCAAAACGTCAATCTGCTATCTATTTCCATCTGTGCCTCCATCTACGCATATTATACACTTCAACCTCGCTGCTCGACTCATAATTTTGCTCAGACCTTGGAACGACCATGGCCCCCCTTGATAACCCCGCAGTTCCCAAGGGCTCTACTGTCCTTATCACCGGAGCTAACGGCCTATTGGGTTCCCACATTGCCGACCAGTTCCTCGAGTATGGCTACAAAGTTCGCGGTACAGTTCGAGACACGGAGAAAAATGCCTGGCTCCAAGCTCTCTTCGACAAGAAGTACGGCAAGGGGAACTTCGAGCTTTTCAAAGTTGCCGATCTGACGGCCGAGGGCGCCTTCGATGAGGCCGTGAAAGGTATGCCAATAATTAGAGAGGGTGGCTGGGGTCTCGCACTGACTCTCTGACTACTATGTAGGGACTTCCGTTGTCGCGCACACTGCGACCATCACGAGCTTCGCCCCGGACCCCAACGAAGTCATTCCCCAGGCTATTGCCTTTGCTGAGAATGCCCTCAAGTCTGCTTACAAGGAAACTTCCGTGAAGCGATTCGTTTTGACGTCGTCTTCGTCGGCAGCTGTTCTCTCTGTACCAGGCGCCCCCGGTGTTGAAGTGCTGGAGGACACTTGGAATGAGTTTGCCGTTAAGGCCGCGTGGGCTGAACCTCCCTACACTCCTGAGCGTGGTGGAGTTGTTTATGCCGCTAGCAAAACCGAGGCCGAGAAGGCGGTGTGGAAGTACCACAAGGAGAACCGAGACAAGCGCCCTGACCTAGTCGTCAACACAGGTGAGAGATTTAACGGTTCTTTAGATGATGTACGCCTATTGACATGCTTAGTTCTCCCTAACTTCAACTTCGGAAAGTCTCTCGACCCAGTCAACCAGGGACATCCCAGCAGTTCTGGCCTCCCTGTTGCACTATGGCAGGGACAGGTGACCCCATTCCACCACATAATTGTGCCGCGTATGTACTCTTCTTCCGCCTGAAGAGCGTAATTACTAAGTTGTTTCTAGAATACTACATCAATGTTCAGGATACAGGTAGGCTGCATGTCGCAGCTGCGGTCTTCGACCACATTAAGGAACGACGAATTTTTGGCTTCGCCGACCGCTTTAGCTGGGATGAAATCCTAGACATCCTCCGAAAGGCCGCCCCTAACAAGGAATTCCCCGCCAATTTCTCCTCTGGATCAGACGCCAATGAGATTAAGCCCCGCGCCGAGGCCGAGCAGCTGTTGCGAGATCTTGGGCGGCCAGGCTGGGTTAGCCTGGAAGAGACTATACTTGACAACATCTCAGATGTGAGGGACGCTTGAGCGGCTCCGCTGTCTCGCATTAGAGTAGCAGCCCTATTCCCGTAAGGAGGAAACTTGAGACGACAGACAGAAAAGCAACGACGTATCGGAATACAGGTCTACAGTTCTGAATAAGGTTGCTCTAAGTGTCGCGCATCTGTTCTCCCTAAGGCTGTGGCTCCCAAAATGTGACGTTCTTGTGCATTGATGATGTTTTGGCATTGGGACATGACTATATGGTATGCTGACATCGTGTTCTTTTTGATAATGGAAGCTCGGCCCTTGGGGATAACTACGCCAGGAGATTGAGAGGGATGGCTTCAGATAGAACTTTTGATCCTCCGAATGCCCATTGTGGATTGTCTCCATGAAGCCGAGGTTGAGGGGTTTAGCAAACTCGTGGTCATGTCTTCCCACAAGAGAAATATAGCTCAAAAGAGCAATATGTGATCTTGTGTGGGCGCAGTGAACAAGTGGTTAGACAAGCGGGGAAATCAAAGGGCGACCGGGATGCGAAGATCCTGCCGAAGGCACACCAACGGGCCGAGATGCATGGTAAAAATTTCTTGGCAGGAATCTAGTCAGCTTAAGAGGCTGTTTATTCATTTGGTCATTCCGTACACCTCTGGTTGTCGAACATCCAGTTAGCCTCGGCAACGCCCGTCAACCCGTCAAGACTACCGATGAGCCGCTGTCCTGTGAAGAAGAGCCCGTAATGGAGCAGACCAGATGTGGTACGACCATCCGATGAGTCTCTGCCAAGAACTGGGGCGGACGAGTCGAGACCTCTACAGCAACAACAGCCAACAGCCAACAGCCAACAACTAACATGCGTTCATCCTGGTCAAGGTGCTTCACACAGACGGCGGAAAATGCATTTGGGTACAGGATCATCACACCTCCGGGCATCTTTCGGAATGTGTCAAGTGGACAGTTTAAGCACGACTCGTAGCAACCCCCAAAGCATCTTGGGTATAAATAAGTACCCATAGCCTGTTCTGCAGAAGAAGAAACTCACCATCACTCCAGTTTATCTCTTCAATCATCCCAAATAAACCAGACCTCCGAGATGAAGCCCTCTTGCCTCTTAGCCCTCCTCGCCTCCCAGGCTCTCAACGTCCTAGCCTTCGAAGTCTCACCTGAGGTAAAGGCCAAATGTCTCGCCCTGACCCCGGAGAACAACCCCAGAAACGACACCGAGTGTGGCGAACACCCAGACGTCCTCGAGAACCCCTTCCGCTACGAAAAGAACACTCTCGAGAAGCGGGACTGCTAGTACGGCAGAAACGCTGGATGCAGTAAGACTGGGTGGTGCTTCCACAGTTGTGGAAACCCTTCTAACGGACGATGGTGCTGGATGGCACATTCCGGGGGTAGCGGACCTTGGATGTCGTGTGGGAACGATAGGGATTGCATCAATACAAAGGCCACTGAGAATGTTGGTTGTGGCATGAGGAAAGATGGCTCGTACAATTGCGACGGTTGTGGCTGTAGTTGCTAAGCTGAGAAATCAAGTGTGTCTTTTGGGTCTGTGTTTAGGCACACCTTGCTCCTAATCAGTCCTCCACGGCACAGCAGGCCAGAAATCATAACTTCCATCTCCTGTATCCTCTCCGGTAAATGGCATAAACATATGCATATTCATCTCATCCGTTGCCTCCATTTGTATGGCAGCAGTTGTCATCGTCCCGAGAGCTGCCCACTGGTCCGAGATGGCTGGCAAAGGAGGCGTAGCTAGGGGTGAATTGATTATTTGCCTAAGTTTAATGATAAAGTTGGGCGTCTCAACACACTGTCCGGCATCAGCCAGGGCGCGCTCTCGCTGGGTGTAGGCTCTCAGAGTGAATTGTGCTGAGATCACTGCGGTTTTCGATTTGGGTTCTTGCAGAAGGGTATCCCTGATGTATGGGGAAGTGAAGATAGTCCAGCCGCGCTCAGCCAAGGAACTCAGAGGACGATGGTATAAAAATGTGGACAGCGAGGCTAGGAGGTCTAAGTTGAAGTGCAGACGGATATACCAAGCAAAGCCCCATCGGTCCATCTGTTCGTAGGAGTCGCTCGCATTTTCGCAGCTGGATAGAATGAGTTTGAAGAGGTTATCTCCAGGGGAGAAGACGTGAACACCCCAGTCAGGCGATTCGCGCATGGGACGCATCATGTCGCGTAGGCGTTTGATGAGATGTGGACGAGTTCCGAGGGCTGCCGCGTGAGCGTTGCTTGCCTTTGCGATGATGAAACGTTTCTCCATATCCAGGAGGTCAGCATCCAGCTTGTCTATGAGGGTACGATTGTGTTCCACACTGGTTAGGGGTATCTCTTGGCCGAGGATACTTGCCTCGATGGCCTGTCGCGTCTCTTTATCGAGCAGATATGCGGCCACACGATGGATTATCATGACAAATGCCATCTCGGTTGGGCCATCTCTAGGCGTCAGCTCACCCGCGGTATCAGGAAACAAATCTGCATCATTGAGGTTGAGGGGCTGCTTGGTGTCAAAGCGCTTGGGAATACAGCTGTATGCCAAACCGCAGTCGATGCCCAGTTTGATGTCATACATGACAATCTGCCACCAGATGCGACGACGCATTTCAGTCTCGAAGGGTGACAGATGTAGTCGTGCACCATCACGATGGTAACCCATTGTCATAGCAATTCGTACCAATGAGCCCAGAAGGACCCATGACGCGTGCTTGTTGCACTGACCCATGAGAATAATCTGAATGGTCAGCAGGTTGCTCCTCATATGAAAGGGCAAGAACTTACCGAGGTGTGTACCAGGGCTTGGAGGACAACCATATTGTAACGCTTCAAGGCGTCAAAGCGAACGAGCACACCGCTCACGCTTTTCAACATATCTTGCAACACACCCTCTCGCGTTTTGTCCTCGCCCAAGATGCCTGCTAGCTCATCGCTCCTCAGTGCGAGAATCGCCAAACCAAAGATACTATGCAGCAATGCCTGCTGGTCTAATGGAATTAGAGTAATGTCGGTGGCGGCAGATACGATCAAAGCTTGTACGGATGGCGCGTGGATGATTTTGATGAGTGGGTTAACACGGTCGAGGAAGATTTGCCAGAGCTTGAAAACTGTGACAGGGTCGAGGGGCGGGGTTTCAGGGCAACTGGGCGAGGAATACTCCGAGACGCTATGGGGCGCGTCGTCTTCATGTAGGAGAGCCTCTGGGTGATCCTCCTCGATGATTTTCTTCATCTTGTGGATCTGAAATCCTTATCAGTACGTGATGCACATGCATGACAGAGAATGGATACCTCATCATTGAGAGTAACCCACAGCTCGCCATCAACAGGCCTCCTGGCCTGATTACCGACAACCTCGTTCCCGTTGAGGGTATGATCGTTCGGGCTCCCTTTTGAGGTGTCATCCTCTTGTTGTGAGGAACCCGGGCGACTGCTCCCAGCAACTGCGTATTTTTGCAATAATGCTTCGCATTTTGTGAGGCGTTCCTGGAGGTCATGACTAGTAGACTTGACTCTGGGTCTCGCAGGCGCTGGTTTCGAGGGTATGCAAGTAAAATTGGCCTGCTTTCTTAGCGCCATTCATACAGACTCATGAGTACTCACGAGCAAACGCTCCTTGAGATATCTCCAAATAGAAACAACCACGGATATGAAAGTGGTGAATACCTTTACACAGTGCGCACAAGGAATGGTCTTATCGCAACGAATCTTCCTCCTCTTGCAGTTGACACAAGAAAGGGCTCGGTCACTCGGCCTGCTGGACCCTCCGCCAGTGCCGCCTCGAACGGCACTTGGTACGGATGCAGTCGCCATAATGAAAGGGAGAGTGCACCAGGGAGCACGCAAAAACTAAGATGACGTGGTATATAGAGCTCAATCGTGATAGACCAGCCCGGACTATAACCTGTCCGACAAGTCCGCACTCGCCACGGACTCTCGGGCTGGGAGAGCCCGCGCCTTTTATTATCCCCTTCGTTGTTATGAGAGAGGGGGAGATAACTAAGCGTTTGGACTTCACATGTGGTGTCTATGTCAGCAAGATGCAGATGAGAGTAACCGAATCGAGGGCCATGCTGCGCTATACTCCCAGGCGATCGACAATGGCATTTCCTAACTGGATGGCGTGCCGTTTTGCCATTTTTGGCATAGCATGATTCGGAAATATACTCTCCGTCACAGAGTAAAGCAGAAAAGAAACAGAAGCTTATAAGGAGGACAAATTCTTCAATCTTATAGAAAGAAATAACCAACAAAAATCAACAAGTAATACATTAGAGATTACAATTATTTGGATTCAAAGTCGTCTCAAAAACACCCATTCAACGAGGCACTGTAGCTGCCATTGAAGCCAATATAATCATAGCAAAACACCCCAGATAACCCTCAGCAAGCCCACAGAGGATGTATGTTAGCTGTCGCTCTTTGATTAATTGACGATTCGGAAATAAGATACCCTCTGGCTCATCCGAATATTCACTTGACAAGTCTAGCACTTCAAAGGCGGGCCGTGTTCTCCACGATCTCGAGGATTCTGTTACCCCAGCAAACAGAGTCGGCGCCCGAACCTTGGTCCACAGAATCTTGGTGCAAGCCATGCGCAACCTGATGGAACGAGGCGTAGGCTTCAAAAATACTGTGAATTGGATTCAAGCCGATGCTTATTGCGCTTTTCAGATGGTATAATATAGGCATTGGCAGTGGGGTCTGAGTGAGGGCTGCGAAGGATTCGGTGGGAGGACACACTTCGCTGTTAAGTGCGGAGTAACCCTGAAGCTTATAGTACCCCCAGGTATTACTCGTGAGTTCAATCAACAGCCCGTATGTTCGGCGTGTATCATAATATTAGAAAGTAGCCACGCTGTGCCATATGCTTTTAGGTGGACTAGGAGCAGGCGGGAAGATCTGATAAGCATTACTTTCCGCCACCTCCTACCCACCCACTTACCCACCTAGCTTGTGCCCACCCACCTCAAGATGGAGTTGGTAGGATGGAGGAAAGTGTGTGTTTTATATTCAACTTATGTTTACACATGTTCACCAGAGAAGAAGGCCCTACCCTCTCTATTCCTGCGTTAAGGGTTCATGTGTTGGTTGGTCACCATATCTATCACACCTTCATCCATCCATTCGATCCCCTAGACATCGGCCTGTAGACCTGGACTGGAAGCATTTCTAGCATCTACAGCTATCATATCCCAATTCCCACCGCAATTGAAAAGGGTTAGCGTAGGCAGCAAGGCAGATTTACGAGTTCGAGAGGCAAGCAAGTAGTCCCGAACCATGGGACTTGTCAATGCCATCGGCGGTGGCACACCTCGGCCACTCGTGCACGCATGCCAACAAGCCCTGCAACTGGTAGTGTAGTATCAAGGCTGTAGCGCTCGGGGCTGAATTTCTAGTGCTGAAGTTTAATTTTGAGCGTAAGGGCGGCAGGCCAGCTTACGGCGCGGTTTGGTGTTTTTCATGGAGATCCATACTGAACTGACAGCTCCTTATCAAACAAAAAGTCGAAACAGTCGAAATTGACAGCTGCTAACAGATGATGGCCTGCCCCATGGCCTAGCTGAAATTGGGCTAGGGGCTGGCCAGTTGAGTACTGGCGCGCTTTTAATGTCTGCCTGGTGAATACGAATATACTAAAGCAAAACGTTTTTTCGGCTGGCAGGTCTTTGATTGGGATGGAGTCTCCTGTTGAATTGCTCCGAGGCCCCGCCCCCTAGCCTTATGCAGCCTTTTGACTCAGGAGGCGTTCGTCCTTCCTGTTAGAGACTCAGTCATGGCCTTTCACGTAATGTCTCTAAAAATAGATGCTGTCATTGGCCCGTATTCAGCCATCCCTGCTAGAAATTTCAACACAGCCTCCTTCAGTGTTTGTCGAGAGGTAACCAACTGAAACAAGACACAAGGGGCATCTGACCGCGGCGACTTCCTCTTGTAGTCTAACCCTCCTGAGCTGTGGTAGTTACAGAGAACAAGCCGTGAGGGAGCCAGCCGACGACAGCACTTCGGCCTTTTTGACTGTCTAATTGACAAGATGTCGACCCGTAGATGGCCTCACTCTTTATTGTTTATTATCTGCAATGATGACAAGCCATCAGCCACAGCAGTAAAGCACAGTCATTAATACATGAAGGCATCAAAACCCAATACCGTAAAACACCGCACTGGTCGCACCCAGATGTTCGGTGCTTTGTCCCTAGCGATCCCTAGCCAGGTGGGTCATGCCAGCATTGATCGTGGGACACAATCAGAATTCACTGGTCTTCATCTGAGGCATTATGTGACAGTTCAAATTATCAACCCCACCACGAGGGGAGGGAGGCATTCGTCATCACACAAACGAGGATCAGATATGAGCTGAACTCATGAGTTAAGCTTTTCGTGGAACAGGCAGTAATGAATTGCTGTTAGAATTGCTGTTATAAAGTATCCTTCTGCTCGCGTGTATGTCGTGAGAAAATCAAATCAACAACCCGAAACAAAAAGCAACCACTATTCAGCAAGCATAGCACATTCAAATCATGGCTTCGTTCTACAAGAAGTTCACAGACCTGTCTCCTTCCGAGGTTGTAGGCTGTCTTGCCCTATCCGCGATCCACATCATCATGGGATCCATCCTCTTTGACTTGGTTCACTGGACAGCTCATCGATCTGGTCCATCATCGAACCCCCTTCTCCGTGCTCTGAGACGCTTTCACTCCGCCCATCACCAGTTTTTTGACCGCCAACTGAACTTCAATGAATCCTTCTCTTCGAGAAACATTCTATATCACTTACCAATGGAGCTCCTGTGCCAAGTGGTTGGCAGTTTGGCAAGTTGGCACTTGACTCGTGTCATGGCTCTGAGGAAAACATCGGTAGCAAGTCAAGACTTGACTCTCGTCTTGGTGTTTCTCATTGTGCGCTCATGTGTCGTTGCTTGGAACGAAGGGCGTGACTCGAACCACATCCCATACTCCCGATTGCCCAAAGACCCGCACTCGATTATCGTGGGACCTCAGTACCATGCCCTCCATCATATCGACCCTCAAGGTTACTTTGGATCCATGATCCGTTTTGTGGACTGGGTTTTCGGCACAGCCGTCACACTACGAGGCCGACGCATTGTCATGACAGGAGCACGAGGAGCATTTGGGCAAGCTTTGCTGAAGGAGTTGAGCCAAGAAAAAGGCACGACGATCCAGGCATTGCAATTTGGACGGGACTGGACCATTGATGATTACAGCGGGCTAAAAATGACGCTTCGAAACACCGATATTCTGGTTCTTGCTCACGGGTCAAAGAACACTAACGAAGCGTTCGAAGCCAACTGCGAAAGCGCGGTCTCTTTCATCGACACATTCATACGTACCCGGAAGCCACCGAAATCTCTGCTGCTCCCAGAGGTATGGTACGTCGGAAGCGAGGCCGAGCTCCATGGCACATGGGCGGAAGGCATGCGTGCTTACACCGATTCTAAACGTGCGTTTACCTCATTTGCTAGAGCTTACTATGACGACAAGCACTTCATTTACCGGCACATCGTCCCAGCAGCTTTCTCGTCGGGAATGGGCCCAGCGGTCGCCAGCGCGCGGTGGGCGGCAAAGCTGTCACTGTGGTGGATTCGGCGTGGAGCTCGATATGTGCCTGTCACGTATACCGGCATGGCATTTTTGAACTACTTTAAGTTCCAATACTGGGTTACTCCGAATAGGCCGTCAGTAGAAAAGAGGATGTGAGAGAAGATATTGGTAGAATGACCTTGGCTTTGATAGAAGTATTAAGCCCACGGGGAATTCTAGTGCCAACGAAGTGGCATTTCTTTCCGTCTTTCTGCTGCCTGTAGAAGACTTATACCTAGCTATATCATGAAAGGCTATTCAACATCCGAGGAAAGATATTTAACTGTCCATACAATAACAATTCCTTCCTATCTTCAAAACACAACAATTTCTCAACACACTGACAAGAAAAACAATCAATCAGTAGGGCTCGTACGTTTAATGTACGTACTGCTGGTGTTGTCCTTGATAGGCTATCGTGATCGTCCACAGTGAAATGCTGCTTAATAGTTTTGCAATAAGTCACTAGGGTAGCCAGCTAGCCAGCAAACATCTACCACACGTCACGGAAGTCAACATCTTCCTGGTCCGTCATGTCATTAAATTCAGTGTCCATACATGTACACGCTGATCAGCCTCGTCATCAATCTTATTGCGTCTGCGATTTTCGTTCTAACAGTACACCATGTACAAAGATGTGGTGATGATGCGTCTTGCTAACCTTTTAGAAGCGGGGCGCGTTTCCAGGGGCAAAGAGGAAGAATAACGATGCTAGACATGATTGGTTTAGAACCGGAAACGGCGTATGTTTCAAGTCTATATTGATACTACAAGTAGGAAGTTCGTTGATGTCTAGTTCGGCTCGCGTCAGTGGCTGTGCTTGAATGAAATGTGGCACGGATTCACGATAAGATAACCACGCTATGGCGCTGAAGAAGCCTCGCGTCTCACTCTTTCATCAACACAATCCGGCCAGCTCAGGTACCGCAACACGACGAAATCAATTCAAACTTCGATGGCGGATTCACGACACTACAGTAGCCGTCCAAAGCTAGGGGCATCTGGGAATACCGCCGCGATGAACTCGCCGCCCAACTTCGCCCCCGCAACTCGAACGGTATCAATCGCGCGTCAACGAGCCTGAATACTGGGCGCGTGAAGCCAGACACTACAAGGATGCAGTGGTTGAGAAGCTTTCGAACAATTAGGCAGTCACGCCAATAAGCGGGCAAGGGCAAAGTAATAAGTCACAAAGGCGCAAGGAAAGAGATCATAGGTGACTAGTGACACCAAGAAAGACTCCGCGCCCAAGGAACGTCTTGGCTTCTCTCCCAACCTCGGCTGTGTCGCAGAAAGAGTCCTGACATTTGATAATCGTCAACGAAATCAGTTACGATCTAGAAGAGTCCCGTTGGGCGTATTATTATCCCGACCACTCCTCTCTGAACCTTGGTCAGCTCATATTATCCGGTCGGGCCAAGACTTGGTTACCCCTCCCAAATTTCTCTCTGCGGGACCTATTTACTACTGAACATAACGCCAACCCTCCAAAAAGGGCTATACGTAATCGGCCTATACTCCCCCTCTGAGATGGATGTTACCCTTGCTTTTGACTTTGTTTGTCCGGAACGTGTGCCCCCTTTACAGTTGGTGCCTTATGCACGCGACCACCCTCTCTCAATCTCATCGGGTGATGATACCTTGGGCCCACTCAAAGGAGATTCTGATCCGCACTCACGGACACATGACTACCGGGATGACTTCCCAAATGGTTCTCGAGCCGAGACAGAGATCACTTACACCGCCGATCGGCCCCCACGTATAGTTAACCATATAACTGCAACCGAATGTCGCTGGACCGAGTGGTCCGGCGCTTTCATCTCTGGCATCTCCCTTGGTGAGCAGACTAGTCGCCTTGAATTACGATACTCTGGCGACAGAAGAAACAACTATGGGGATCCGAAGCCTGATTTGCGGCTTGCTCTATCTGACGGGAGTAGGGTCGGCAACTCCCACACAGAAAAGAGCTGATACAGTGGATGGATACTATGTCACTCCTTATTATCCTGCCCCCTTCGGCGGTTGGGTAGGCGAGTGGGCAAAGAGCTACGACAAGGCCAAGAAGCTCGTCGACTCAATGACTCTGGCTGAGAAGACAAACATCACCGCCGGAAGTGGCTTATTCATGGGTATGGACCCTCTCCTTGACGTGGCCTGATACTCCAGTTAACTAAAATGCAGGGTATGTTTGAACATTTACAAGTTGAAAGACCCCATACTGACTGGGCAAGACCCTGCAATGGAAACACAGGTTCTGCTGATCGAGTTGGGTTTCCTCAACTCTGTCTCAACGATGCCGCCAACGGCATCCGCCTTACTGACAATGTAACCGTATTCCCCGACGGGATAACTGCTGGTGCAACCTTTGACAAGAAGTTGCTGTACGAGCGTGGTGCCGCCATCGGGAAGGAAGCTCGCGGGAAAGGCGTCAACATCTGGCTAGGTCCCTCAGTCGGCCCTATCGGCCGGAAGCCGAAAGGTGGTCGGAACTGGGAAGGTTTTGGAGCAGATCCCGCGCTGCAGGCTATTGGTGCCCGTGAGACGATCAAGGGTGTCCAAGGACAAGGTGTAATTGCTACTATCAAGCACCTCATCGGAAACGAGCAGGAGATGTATCGTCGGCAGACGACCGATTTCGTCTCTCCGGCATACTCGGCAAACATTGGTATGTTGACACCCTATTATTTATTGCTGACACAAGTACTGATGCAAAGTCTCAGATGATCGAACACTTCATGAAGTTTATCTTTGGCCTTTTGCTGAGGCTGTCCGCGCGGGCGTCGGCGCTGCAATGACAGCATACAATCGAGTAAGTTGCTCCATCTCAAGAATTGGTTCATGCATGGCTCACAAACCAACTTCAAGGTCAACGGCACCATATCCAGCGAGCACTCGTACCTGATCAATGCCCTTCTGAAAGATGAACTGGGCTTTCAAGGCTTCGTCATGACCGACTGGCTGTCCCAAATTACCGGCGTCCACTCAGCACTCGCAGGCATGGACATGAGCATGCCCGGCGATCCCATAATTCCCCTGCTCGGGAACTCTTTATGGATGTACGAGCTCACCCGGGCGACCCTCAATGGTTCAGTTCCCATGAGCAGACTAAACGACATGGCGACTCGCATCGTCGCAGCCTGGTATCAGTTTGGACAAGACGACGGTTTTCCAAAGGTCAACTTTGATACCAACACAAAGGCTGCTGTTGGTCCGCTCTATCCTGGCGCTTGGCCAAACTCCCCCAGCGGGGTGGTCAATCGATATGTCCAAGTTCAGGAAGACCATGACGTGATCGCAAGGGAGATTGCCCAGGACGCCATCACCCTTCTCAAGAACGAGGATAAGCTGCTGCCTCTCTCTACCAGCAGCCCATTGAAGATCTTTGGCACCGGAGCTCAGGCTAACCCCGATGGCCCGAACGCCTGTGTCGACCGCAGCTGTAACAAGGGCACATTGGGTCAAGGTTGGGGATCCGGCACCGTCGATTACATGTATCTTGACGACCCCATTGGTGCAATCAAGGAGGAAGCCAAGGATGTCACCTTTTATAACACTGATAAGTTCCCGTCGGTCCCAAATCCTACCGACAAGGATGTCGCCGTCGTCTTCATCACATCTGATTCCGGCGAGAACCAATACGAGGTTGAAGGAAACCATGGCGACCGGGATGCGTCACGTCTGAATCCATGGCACGGCGGAAACGACCTCGTCAAGGCTGCGGCAGCCAAGTACAAGAACGTTGTCGTCGTGGCACACACCGTTGGTCCCCTGGCCCTTGAGGAATGGATCGATCTTCCATCCGTCAAGTCGGTTCTTCTTGCACATCTGCCAGGCCAGGAAGCAGGAAAGTCTCTTACCAACGTTCTGTTTGGACATGTCTCCCCGAGTGGACACTTGCCATATAGCATCACTTATGCCGAAGACGACATGCCAGCCAGCGTCGTGAAGCTGATCGACTCTGGCTTCAGGGACCCACCACAGGATACTTATTCGGAGGGTCTATACATTGACTATCGTTGGCTTAACAAGGAAAAGATTCGTCCTCGTTATGCCTTTGGCCACGGACTCAGCTACACCAGCTTCTCATACACCAAAGCCACCATTGACAAGGTCACTCAACTATCCAAGTACCCGCCAGTCCGTCCTGCAAAAGGAAAGATGTTGGACTACTTACAAGATATCCCCGACTACCGAGAAGCTATTAAGCCAAGTAGTTTCAAAACCGTCTGGCGCTACCTCTACTCTTGGCTTTCCGAGTCAGACGCCAAAAAGGCAGCCGAGAGAGCCACGACAACCAAGTTCAACTACCCCGACGGCTACACGGACGTGCAAAAGACTGCAACTCCCCGTTCAGGCGGCGCTGAAGGCGGTAACCCTGCTCTCTGGGATGAAGCATACCGCCTCTCCGTCGTCGTCACCAATGAGGGTTCAGACTTTGCTGGCAAGGCATCACTGCAGGCCTATGTCCAATTCCCGAATGGAATTTCGTATGATACGCCTGTCATTCAGCTACGTGACTTTGAGAAGACGAGAGAGCTTGCACCGGGGGAGAGCGAAAAGTTGGAGGTTGTGCTGACGAGGAAGGACGTGAGTGTTTGGGATGCCGAGACCCAGGACTGGGTTACACCCGAGGTCGATGGAGGATATAAAATCTGGCTAGGAGGTTCAAGCGATAAATTAGGGGTTGTTTGCTTCGCGGATAAATTAACTTGCGAGGAGAGCGCTAATGGGCCTTTGTCTTATAAGGACTGATACAAGGTCTGATATCAGTGGTCTATTCAGGTTCAGGGTTCGCCTTGATGCGCACCGCTGGGAGTGGTGGGGGTGGGCGACGAAGGCGATAGTCGACTTCGACTGAATGGAACTACAAACTAAAGGAGCATTTGTTTTCTATTACTTTTCTACTTTTCCTTGATTTCAGCAAGTAGAGCTGTGTCGCTCTCCCCAGCCACGAACTGGACCTGGCGAATTCTGAGTCATACCCCTGCCACAGCAGTCAGCTGTTAACATACTGAAAGCTGCTATTGCTTTTGGCGCTAATAGTAGCCCTAAACCCTACCATATATTATAACTAGGGGTTAGCTAACCCATGTTTTTTTTATATAGGCATTTAGCGTGGCGCTATTACTTTACCTATAAAGCCATAGTTTTTTTTACTATTAACCTATAGTTTTTAAAAAATAGGCTTCTTATAATTATATAAATATAAAAATTAATAAGGAGATAAAAGGCTATATAATTAATTAATCTTAGCTAATATAATACTAAGAATATATTTTATTCTTAAGATATTAATTTAACCCTAAGATTTAAGTTATTTTAAAATAATTTATCTTTATTTAATTTATATCTTTTTTATCTATTACGCTGCTTTATATAAACTAGCGTAATAACCAGCTCATATACCCCTAGCCTTTTAGAGGGGCTTTATAAAGGAAACCTTTATTTTTCGCTATAGCTTCTATTATCTTAGATCTAATAAGCTTTAATCTAATATAATTATTTTACCTACCTAGCTTTTCGTAACTTAAGAAGTCATAGCTATAATAATTCTAAAGCTTCTCTTATAAGCTACCTAGGAAAATAGTTTTCTTAAAGATAGCCCGCGAGGGCCTTAAAAATCCTTTTTTAATAGGATCCGCAAAAGTTAATAATATTATATATATTAAACCTTAACTTAATAGTAAATCTAGTAAAATAATAGCGATTTACTAATAATAATACTAAATTAAGGAATAAATTAAATAATTAAAGGAATTAAAGGCATTCTAAGAAAAGAAATAAATTTTATTAGACTCTTTATAGCTATTAGTAAAGGAAATATTATTAAGATAATACCGAGAGGCCTTAGATTCTTTATTATTAAAGGGGGGAGAGATTAAAATAAAAAATATTATTAAGCTAACCTTACTTATAATAATTTAGAAGTATAATAATTAACTAAGCGATTTATATTAAGCCTTTAATAAAGCCTAATATTATTATTAGAAAGGCTATAAGAAGATCCTCCTTATACTTAATTATATAAATTATAAAAGGTAAGTAAAATAAGATTAATACCTTAAAAAATATAATAAGATATAATATTATTTCTTTAAGGAAGATTAGACTTTATTTAAAGAATAGACCCTAAGATTAATTAAAGATATAAAGAATAGAGATATATTTTTAATATCTTAGCTAAAATAAACTAAATAAAAAGAAGATTAAATTCCCTAAGATTTTTATATTTATCTCGATTTTATTAAGAAATACTTCCTAAGATATATTAAATAGCAAAGGGTATTCTTTTATTTCGCTAAATTATAAAATAAATTATATAATTATATTAATCTTAATATATTTACCTTACCTTAATTAAGAGATAAAATAATTATACTTATTACTTAATACTAAGATATAATAGGTCGGCAAAATAAGCATAAAGGTAATACTAATAAAAATTAATAATAAAAGTAAATAAAATAAGACCTTAATAAAAGTATATTAAATATTTACTAAATTAATATAAATAACCTAATATAAGGGAAGTAAAATCCTAAGGATAAAGCTAGTAATATATTAAAATACTACTCTTATAAGAATATAAAATACCTCTTATAAGCCTATCTAAAGCCCCAGAGAACCTAGAGGGTAAACCTATTAAAAAATACCTAATAGCTAGTAGTATAGCCTAAGCGCTAATAAAAGAGGATAAAATTAAGGCTAAGCTATGCCTTAGTATTATATTAATAATATATAGCTAAAAACCTATAGAGATAATAATATACCTTAATATAGTTATAATATCTAATTATATTAGCGAGGAATATACTAAGAGCTAGGGCCTCTAGAACCTTAGCTGAGTTATTAAATCTTATTAGATTATAAGGGGAATAGACTTAAAGGTTTACTATAAGTAATATATCTTAATTATAATAATTAATTACTAGGGCTATATTAAGTACTTTAAGTATATTTATATTAATATTAAAGAGATAATAAAACCCTAAGGAAATAATATATTACTTTTAATATTTATTATTATTAATTATTATATTATAATTAATAGGGGTAAAAGGTATTAATAATTTAAGAGGAAAATAAATAAAATTAAGATTCTCTTAATATAAATATTTCGAAAAAAGATTAAAAACCTTTATTAGATCTTCTTTATTATAGCCTATAAGGAACCTTATTTATTACCCGATAAAGACTTAATAAAAGCCTAAGGAGAACCTATATTTCTATATAAACTATAATAAGATAAGGATATATTTAATTATAAATAGGCGGGTATACTCCCGAGGTATAAGGGGACTAACTATGCGATAGATCTTATTAATAAAAAAGACCCCCCTTATAGGCCGATATACCTATTATCCTACGTAGAGCTATAAGAGCTCTAAAATTATATTACTAAGAATATTAAGAAAGGGCAGATAAGATTATCTAAAAGTCTTATAAGGGCTTTTATCCTTTTTATTCCTAAGAAAGATAGAGGACTTTAATTCTATATTAACTATAGGGGTTTTATAACGAGAGGATATTTCCTAAGGGATAAACCGGTTATATTAGTTTATATTAGCACTAGATTATATTATATAGCCTTTAAAGGTTAATATAATATTACGTCTAGTAATATACTTAAAGGTATTAAGTATAACTAAGTTATATTAATAGCTAAGGTAGCTATTATATAAGAAAGTATAATAAGTGAGTTCTATATACTTATAGTTAATCTTTAGACTAATATTCTCTAGGTTTAGTCTAGGGTAAGACTAATATTTCTAATATTTAATCTTTAGACTAATATAGGTAATATTTAGTCCCTTTAATCCCTTACTTAATTAAAGTATTTCTATTATATTTCCCCGCTAGGCTTATATTATAGCTATAATACGAGGTTCCCCCTCTATTAGTCTTATCCCTAAGACTAGTTTTAATAACTAAGTATTATTAATAAGTAATTCTAATTTATAAAAATCTCCTTTTATTAATATAATATTAGGCTGAGTTTTTAAGTATATTTCCTTATAAAAACTTTCTAAAATATAAGGTCTTTTTACTTATATTAAGGCTTTTAGTTCTAAAATTATGCCTTATATTTATTATTTTTACTAGGGCTTATCTTATAAGGTAATTTCTAATTATTCTAATTATTATTCTAATTATATTAATATAAAAGTAATATATAATAGAGCCGATATAGCCTCTTTCCGTAGGTATATATTAGTATTTCTTTATAGCTATTAGCTAATCTTTTATAATTACGAAAAATATTTAAGAGTATAAATGCTTAGAAGATAAAGAGGCTAAGGTAAAGGCTACCTTAGAGGAAGTAATAGCTAAGCTTACTTATATCTAGAAATAAAAGAGATTACTTAAAGCATATAGTAATAAGGCCTTTAAGCGTAGCCTATATACCTTAGAGGAGTTAAGCGAGCTTTGCGAGGAGTTATCTATTATTATAGAGGTATATTCT